ATATAACCACTTTCGGAATCAATCGACGAAGTAGTGTGCTTATTATGGATCCGCTGGTGCCGAAAACGCGGAAACGTATGCTAGGAGGACCTGCCGAGGAGTGGCAGGCGGGCGATGCCGCTTATCGCGGGAGGTAGTTCGGTTCCAGAACCAATGGTTTCTTCCGGCACCTTCTTGACGGGCGGCCAAGACCGCCCGTTAGCTTCAAAGTCCAGGTCTTAACTGTTTTGGTTCCGCACGGTAATTTGGAATGGGGTTTGTGTTTGGGACGAGGTCCTCTACTAGGCCGAATCAAGACAGTTTAGCTCCAATGGAGTATCCGTGAGCTCTCCGCTGATAGGTTCCTGACAGGACGAGTACAAAGTAAGCTTGTCTTAACCCAAGTCTGTACATCTATCGAAAAGGATCGGTCTGTACGAAGTATTTCGGAAATATATACCTGCAACATCAACGACGTGCTTCGATCTCGGCACTTTGTCCTATGACGCAAACAAAGCATGCGTAAGGCACAGGCGGACTGGTCCTGGAAAGCGAGACAATGGTTCTGCGCTGTCTGACCACTCCGTCCCCAAATACTACCTGTCATTAATTGGCCTCAGCCAACCACGGCTTGGGAGGGTGGGGGGGGGGGGGGGGGGGGGGGGGGGCCAAGGCATAGGAGGATAAGACGTCGAGGAGAAACTTGGTAGAGGGCTAGTAATGCGCGCAAGCCATCATTGATTCTGCCGATATCCACAGGATGCAAAAATGATTCTTCTATCTCGTCCACCCAAAGAACTGGTTGCAACGGGGCATTGCACCATTTCCGGTTTCGCCCACAATTTGAAGCTGCTTCCTTGCACGTGTGTTAGGGCGCTTCTCCTCCACGGCGTACAAGGATCCGGTGATAATACTACTCACTACTCATAGTACTACGTATCAATCAACGGCCTCGTTTTGTAATACTCGCGACCTCGTACTGGTTCCCACGCTGTTTTATAGATGGGTCCCTTGTCCGACCCCTTGTCAGATACCCCAGTTATTACGACAATTGCTCGGCTGCGAATACTACCTGCCAATTAATAGGTGGCAGATGTGGTCTTCTTTACAAATCAGAAATCAGTGATGAGACCAGGGAAGAAAAACCGCACTCCCACCCCCTCCTCTGTTCCAGGGTCCCCCTTCACCGGTGAAATACTTGAATGACTCCTGCCAAAAACCCGCCTGACATTTCGTTTTCACCGAGTCCCCTTTTCTTCTCTTCTCTCCATTCTACCGCCCATTTCTGCATCGCCCTGTCTCCTGTCCACCCCCCCGGCGGTTGCTTAGCACCAATATCTCGATCAAGATTCTGGGAATCAACGCCCCCTCCCCCTTCCATCGGCCTCTCTCTCCACCCCCGCACGTTTTGCCCTTGCTCTTAGCCTTGAACACGTGCCGCACCGCCTCTACAGAGTAACACACCCAAGCCAAAGAGTTTCGCGTGGATGCTATACTCCGGAAGTAAGAGCAAGCCACCAACTGTCAAGAGCTGACCACATCTTGCGCTCTCCGCACAACGCTGTAGGTACGAGGGTTGCCTCAGTTTCTCTTGCCCCCACTGCGCCTGCTTCAATCCCAAATACGGCATGCAGAAAATTAGAATCGTGCTCGCAGCGCATTTTTGACACCCTTGCTTTTTTCCTTGTTGCATCCGCATTTGTTCAGAGGGTCCCTAGCTAACCCACCAACTAACCCGGCTCTCCCAGTCGGCAAAAGTTCGGAATATCACCACACAAGAAAACGGGCAAGGTAAACGGAGAAAAAAGAAAAAAAGAGAAAAAAAAAAAAAAAGTAAAAAAGAAATCAATTAATGGAGGCTGTACCTAATTGATCAAACGGAGAAAGGAGTATTAGAAAAAGGGGAGAAAAGCATCGTCTTTGAGACAGGGAACAGCCATCCGTCCACCCCGCCAGCGAGCCAGCGAGCCAGCAAGCCAGCAAGCCAGCCGAGCCAACAATCCCACCGGCCCGGTCCATCATCGAGGCTGGAACGAAGACCAAAAAATCAAGACCAGACAACACAAATTACTCGGCATCCCCCCCGCCTGTGTCATTGATACTCTCTTCCTTCGCTCGTGCACACCCCCTCGAGGCATAATTAAAAAAGTAACATCGTCGGCCGGCACCACGTGGCCCAGATTGCATCAAATCGATCCCAGCTCCTGGGTGGACCTGTCCTGCACCCAATTGCACAGGTGCAGTTGCAGTTTAACCACCCGTTTGCACTGAACCAACTCCCCTGACCGGATACATCCCACGCGATCTTTGGCTCCTGGACTTGATCTGGCTCAGGCGGGACCCTCCTGTCCATCTCCATCACCTCGCCATCCTCACGCCCTGTACCACTTCTTCTCAGCCCCCAGACACACACTCTGGTCCCACTTTGTCTTTCGCCTCCCTCGCGCCAACCCGACGTCACTCTGCGGCTTCCACTCGTGTTCTTCGGACTTCTCTTCGCCGGTTGTTGCCAAGTCTCAAGTCTCAAGCCTCCCCTCCCCTCCCCTCCCCTTCTCTTGTCGCCGCACCTCTCTCATCACCGGCGCGTAAAGCATCACGCCGCGTGTGTACTACGGCTCGGCGCAAGCTCCCAAACCAAGTTACAGCCAGGTGACCTTCCATATTCTCCAACTCAGCGCGACGGACGAGACAAGTTAGCTAGGATGGACTGAACGGGCATGGGCCAGCTACTTTGCCCATCGAACGCTACGCGCCCTAACCTTGGCTCTCATCAAATTTGAAATCCACTCAGTCCACTCCTAGCATCGGGGTGCAACTGAACGTCCTTGTTCTTTGTCATCTCCTCGGCTCAACTAAAATCTCACTCCCCCGTACTCTCCAATACTACTACTACCCCCTTCTCGTTTGGGAACCATCATTCATCTGCCAATATTGTTTCCGAACTACACGATACGCTCGACTCGGTTCGTGATTCACGTCGTTCCTCCGCTACTCCCATCCCATTCCCCACGCATTGCTGCCCGGTTCTCCACATTTTTCTGCTCTCATTTCCTTTCGCTCCTTCGACTCACCTGGCTTGAGAAACCCCCCCCCCCTTCCCTTGCCCCTCCCCGCATTAACGGGAGCCTACCCTATACCCTTTACAACAACGGCACGTCACTTGGGGGTCCCGGTGAGGCACACACTTCACCGACCCGACCACAGGTATACGGCCCGGTTGTGCGCTGCGGTGCTCTCACTCCGGCCTTGCAGTGTGGCTCCGACTAGCGTCCATGGTTGTTCAGTTGCTTGTTTCTCTTCTCTCCTGTACCCTGTACCACATTACGCCACCAGTGGTACCTCGCTAAGACGTACTTCGACATCCTACCCTCGCTCGTGTGTGTCTGGCTTTGTCCAACACACCCTCTCTCCACCTCCACTATGGTAAGAAGAACCTTTCCTTGCTGTCCCCGGAGCCGGCAGATTGCATCGAATATATCATCAATCGTTTTTCCTCGTAGCCATTTTACTTTCGTACTTTCATTCCAAGTCTGTGTTTTCACTGCAACCTCTCGTTTTGCCACTCTCGGCCTCACCTTCTTCCTATGTCTTCTTTGTCATTGTCTATAATAACTATCTTCCTGTCTTCTCATTATCTTCCTTGTCGTCTATCTCTTGACTACCTCTTCGTCCCATCCCTCGACTCATCACCCATCGATTATCAACCGCCATTCCCTCCTCTTCTTTCCCCCCGGACCATGACTGCTCTCCCAGAGCCAACAAGTCAACATTGCAATTGACACCTCGGCTAGGATATCTACACCCGGAAGAGGCCAAGGCCTCTCGACCATGATCCTGAATCATCCGAATCCCTCGTCCATTCGCCGCCCTCTCCAGTGGGCTACACTGCTCTCGGGATTCAATTTGCAAATCTGCTCCCGGACCAGCGAATAAGTCTGGAGCAGGCTGCGTCGATCTACGGGCTCTCAGGTCTCCAACTCCACTGTATTGTGTGGAATAGCCTCGCAAACTCCTCCAGCTTTGAGCTCAACGCTCCCCCTTCAAAACGGCAAAGAATAAGCTATCCCTTCGTACCGCAGTATCCAATGCCTAGCCTTGATAGCGACGATCGGGAAAGGATTTCCCAGATGAGGCCCTCTGTCCAGGGACCCGAGCCAATGGGGTCTAACACAGGCCTAGCTGGTTGCTCCCTTGGCGTGGATGGCTCTCGCATAGCGAATGGTTTAGCAAGCCTGAGGCATGTCTACCAGAACTGCCTTGCGCGGTGTGATGGTCAAGATGGTCTGTCTCCTCCCACTCCGTCCCCGCCCTCTTTTCTTTTGTTCCTCTGCCATGGCTGTTTTGTAACTTGGTGATGAGACTAACATATGGACTCACGGGCAGGCTACTACCCCATTCCGGCGACTCCTTCATATGACTATGAGCCTAACCGTCCTTATATGGTTGAAAAGCCCCCTTCTCTAGAGGCTGTCTCGTCGGGGGGTTATGTGCCGCCCACGCTCAAGCCCCCCAGCCCCCCATCCTTTATAGGAGATAGTGCGCCTTCAGCCCGCTATCTTCCTAGTTTTCCTGTTCTTCAACCTGAGTCTCAGCCTGATATGGGCCAGCCAGGTAGCCGGGAGCTGCTAAGTTATAATACTCAGCCGCCAGTTGGCGACTTCTATATTGATGAACCCCATCTCACCCCCCACCTACCCGTGAGTGCAAACGTACCAAGATCACAGCCGGCGATGGAGGAGCATGCGATGAGTGCGAGGCGATGTTCACCTCATTTTGGAGACGCATTACCCCACCACCACCCAGACAATGGGCCGGATGGCAATGCGCCAAGATTTGCCAGTATTCCTGGTCAAGGACATGTTGCGGGTTATCAGGACATGATACATGGTGGACCGAGTTTCGATGTCATGCTTTCCAACCCTTTGAACCGTACAGCTGCACGGCGAGGACCATTCAAGAATATCGAGGATCGCGAAAAGACGGCACATACTAGGAAAATAGGGTCGTGTGTGAGGTGCAGGATGCAGCGTATTAGGGTATGGCCACCATCAGTGGGAAGGTGATGGGCCCGGACCTTGGCTTATTGCAAACTAACTGATCTGCTGTTTTCCAGTGTCAGATAAACCCAACCGACCCAAACGGTCCGTGCTTCACGTGCCAAAAGGTTTCGGCGAATACTAGAGTGCGGCGGTTGCCATGTCTCCGTTACAAGATCACGGAGGTAAGACTGTTCAAGCCCGGCCAAGTGCGTGGTTTTGAATGGACGAAGCGATGGAGAGACAATATCGTTGATAACATCTCCAACTGGGCGTCGGACGAAATCAGAATTATCCACGTATCCGAGGGCTATACGCGGCGGCCTGTTGAGCTCCGGGTCCGCAAGTTCATCCCTCAAGAGGGGGATAAGCTCGAACGATCATGGGTTGTGAATGGTGTCAAGAGGTCTGTTTCTATCCCACCTTACGCCATCGTTGATCTGGAGGCCGCTCGCAAAGCCTATTCGGAACACATCGACCGCGGCATTGTCGAGTGTCTTGAGGCTATTGTAAAATCACGCCGTAGCCTCTTGTGGAAGACGTATGACCTAGCTTGGCAGATGGCTCAAGACGAGAAGGTATCCAAGGACGAAAGAGAACTGCTTCAATTGACCCTCAGGCTATGGGTATCAGTCCGCTTAACGACGAAGTCAACGATTATCGTCGGCAAGGAGACACTCGGCATGCCATCCAATATTATGGACGAGTCCAGCCCTATTCATGGTTGCATCCCGCTTCCCCCAGTCATGGGCGCGCAACTTGACCTCATCCTCATCCACCAAATCCAGTCAGCTTTGCGTCGCGACCTTTTGGATAAACTTCAGAGGATGATACAAACGAATAAGCAGAAAACATGGCTTACATCTTATCTCGTAACATTCATCCTCCTCCACAACGTCGCTCTAATAACCAATCATGACGCAAGTTACGCCCGAAAGCATGGAATCCAGGTGAGTTCGCCTCGATAATGAAGGATTCTCGGTTCCTTTTTTTTTTTCCTCTTTCCCCTCTCTCAATCTCATGTACCCCGTTTCTTTGACGTCACTCCCTCACAGCTTTGATCAAGCAACGGAACACAACCTTCGTAGAAAAAACTCACCGGGTAAAGGTTTGCTAACACAGACTTATTCTTATGCGCCAGAAACGGTTCGCAAGGGAAGACAAAGTGAGGGAATATCATCTGGGTGAGTCGGCCAATTATGTGTATCCATGGATGTCGGCAGATCATTTACTCTGCCTTGACGCCATCGGATGCAGGCAAACCATACAACTGCAGTCGGGTAGAGAAATTGGACTGACGGAAGCGGTCGCGCAGGAGCGAATATCCTTCTGGCATACTTCCACTACTGCAACAAGGGCATCTACCCTTTCTCGAATGAATGCAAAGATCAAGATTTGAGAAACCTAGCCGAATTAGACGACGATAGACTCAATTTCGTGAAGGAGACCAGGTCGTACGCAGTTGAGCAAAGTAAGTATCCAACGAAGTTGGGCACGATCGGTCACATCAGCCCTCCTTACCCCACTCCCACCACTGCTCTTGGGCATTTACATTGGTTGTTGAAACCCGAGGGTTTGGAACAAGAAAACGCAGCTAACACGATGGTTTGTGCCATGCAGAGTGCCAGTGGGAAAGACTCCACAGAGAAGGCCTGTTCGAAGACGATCACTTCTTCGTGAGTCAGCTTTTCGTCGAGAATTGGGAGCCCCGCACGACGGTGTAATTGCGCGGCATCGTAGTGCACCTGGGAAGGATAGTGCAGAACCCAGTGTAGAGAGAAACTGCGGGCGGGCTGCACAAGAACGAAAATGGACTGAAAACCGCGTCCGACTACGATATGACTCGAGGACGAGAGGCCCGTGGCTTGCATTTAATCAACAGTGGAGGCTTGAAAGGGAAGACTGTCATTGGATACGCCGAGACTAGGCGTGTCATTGGGTCGAGGGGGAGAGAAAGCCAGAGGGGTCCCCGCGACGCCGGACCACATCCGGTCTTCGGGCCTTTCAATTGTTATCATCGTCGGCCCGCCCCCTTCTTCGTCCATTGTCCCTCCCCTGCTGAGATAATTTAGGACGTAGGAGCGATCGATATCAAATTGACCCCTGTCCGACGTGACAATTGAGGATGTTCGCGACATTATTTCCACCCTTGCCACTCCAATCGCTACGCTGCAACGTCCGTGTATGCGGGAAGCAGCTTGGGAAATGGTTGCCAGCAGCGATCTCTTAGTAAGATTGGGTGGATGAAGTGACGCGAAAGAGGCGGTTACATGGATCAAATTGATCAATTGGATGTGGTGTTGCTGCGTGCATCAGCTTTGCAGGTATCTGCACACAATGCTTCGGTACCTCAATATCAACATGAAGCCGAGTACATACATGGGCTTTTCCGTCTCTCTTCTCTTCTGTGTGGCCACATCTATATTGCCACGACCACAGACAGGATCGTTGAGCGCTCTGATTGAATTGACAGGAGTATAATGAGTCTGGCCTAGCGCTTCAGGTGGGGTGTGCTCCCATGGGCGTTCTCCTGCTTCTCGTACTCGGTCGTATCGGGGATGTGCATGCGATGTGCACAGAGTTGCGGGTGGTAGCTATCTATTCGTGGATCACGGTCGTTGAAGATATGGCATGATGCCGTATAACGAAATGAAACCGCCAGCTCTCGACGCGACTTGGTTCCCTTCACCGACATTGAGGTTTGGACGCCGGAACTGCCAACCTCCGTGAGACGACTCTCCATAGCCGGCCTCTCATTTACTTCGACGGGGATCCTATTTTGCTTTTATTATTTCCCATGTCTTTCTTTTTTATATCCGGTTAACGGCATCCGAAGCATTCCTATCAAGCCAACAGTCCCTCAGCACCAAGAGGTTGCCAGCAGATAATGTGAACACCGCCGCCTGGCCTTGCTGATTTCTGAGACGCTGGTCCCCACGGCCTACACATGCACATCCGTGCCATTATTGGAAAGACCTGGTTCCATCAGTTGCGAAGTACTAGAGTCACTCTGCAGCTACATGCAGCCTGCGCTTGCCATGCACGAAGGAAGAAGACCGGGCCGAGTTCAGTGCCCCTCTCTTCCCCCTTCCCCCGTTCCCCCCTTTCCCTTCTGGTCTATCGGGACATTTTTCTTTTCTTTGTATCGACATCAAGACCCTTGCCAAAATCGTCCCATCAAGGCCGGGATGTGCCACATCCAATTGCTGATTCTACCGGATCCCACACTTTTAACCCCACTCGAGGTGAATCCTTGACAACCTCTATGTTTCGTAGACGCCGCAGTAACGAGGCAGGAAGCCCAAAAGAGAAATCGAGCATATGGGGGCGGATAAGACGGGAGTGGATTCGCCAAGTGTGTACAAAGGGGAACCTGAAGTTTTTTTCCTCATATTTTTTTCTCATCTTCTGTCTCCTTGATTTTTTTTCTTTGTGTGTCATTTTCTGGAGGGCCGGCCTTGCAGGGGCACCTCACCACCGCAGGTCCTACGGCCGATTTCATCTTATATGATAATTAGGGTACACAGCGCCATCAGAGGGACGTAGCCGAAGATCAGCGGGTAGGAAAAAGGAAAGAGAGACATATTGGAGAAGACAAGAAGGAGAAGAAAATAGAAAGGAAAAGGGAGGGGAAAAAATTAGGACGAACGAGGCACTCGAGTACTTCGTACATGGATCAAATGTATAATATTGTATAAACATTGAAGAGGGAAGGAAACCACTGGAATTTTGCAAGGGCCAAGTCACGATCTTTAGGAGGACTGCGGGAAGAGGAAAGAGGACCAACACCAAGTGGGTTAATGCGACATGCCGGCGTACGCGCCGGATGCATCTTCCTCGAGTCCCCTTCATGGGACGTTCCCCTCCATCTCAGTATCCAGTCGATCTTGCCTGACTCCCTTGACTTGGCAGGAGGCATTGGGCCAGGGAGGGCAATGCTAGAGACAACATGAACCCAGCAATACTACATCTGAACAATAAGCGAACCCAGCGATGTGGGCCCGTCTGTGTGATGAGTGCTCCCAGCATAAACATTGAGATTGAGAAAATCCATCTCTTCACTTCGTCACTTCTCGTCACTGGCGAACCCCATCCGAGCGGCACCACAACTTGCTTTACTTGTACGGAAGTTTGCTTGCTTTGATGGAACGGTGAAAAGTATGAGCTGATGGATTTTCAAACTGGTTCCACATTGAATCCACCCACGCCAAGCGCATGGGAGCTACAGTTCTTCACTCCCTTGCCGCTCTGCCACGCCTCCATTCTTACCTCCTATATATTCTAGCTCGCAAACTTGCCATCTCAGACACACACACACACACAGAGAGAGAAAGAGAGACACACACACACACAGAGAGAGAGAGAGAGAGACACACACACATTCCAACATTTCCGGGGCATTGCTTGCCTGCTTGCCGCTAACCCCCCAACCATGTTTCCGTCGATTTCTTGCTCCCGCCGGTACTGGAACACAACATGGGCATGGGTTGGCCATTTCTTCACGCGCGCCGTAGGCGTAGCTGCAGGTATACGCCTGAGGTGGGTATCATCCCCGTTGCAGTTGCAATCCACGAGTCCATCTCCACCTCCCTCAACTTGCTAAAAGGCTCAGTGCTTCTTGTATGCACGGGAGGGTACGCTAGTGCATGTTCAAGAAAGAAGGTCTTGGTGCAATTCCGAAGGCATTGATTGAGGTCAGCTCAATTAACTTGGCCTATTCCCGATTCAAGCTTCTGATCCCTGGCAAGCCACTCTGGGTCTCGTCCTGGAAAGGCAAAGCAACCGAGACACGTTGAACGTTGTCGAGCCGATTTTCGAGGACTAGTGTAATTTTAGGAAGTTTGGGACAGAGTGATCAGTGACGACTGACCAGGGTTTCATTCCCCGGTCTGGGCATCGCACTAAGAATAACAGCCATGCCGAGACTGCGCAGGGCACTGACCTCAATCTGGTCCTTGTGAGCAAGGATGTGAGGCGATCAAAGTTAATACTAACCTGAACCTAATTCTCACGCATGCGAAGTAACTCTGGTCCTGCTTCATAACCCAACCCAACCCCCCCCCCTTCCCCGCCGGTCGACGTCGACGTCGACGTGGGGATTGGTGTTGGCGATAAGTGGTTGTGGTTGTGTACCGGGATGAGGCGAAGTACGAAGTAGACGACACTAGGCTTCACTCGGCTTCAGGCATCACAACATAGTCTCGGCAGCCAGGGTCCCAAGGTCCGAAGAGTGGAGGTGTGGTGGAGTGGTGGAGAAAGGCTGTTTGTTACCCACGCCGATTGTCATTTGAAGTCAAGCGCAAAAGGCAGGAGATTGGAGACGCACAAATCAATCGGAATTGGTCATGATCAATATCACACTAACTAGTTCGTGGACCTCCAAGTCAAGCTCAACATTTGAACTGGGCAGTACTTCAAACTTGTCAGTAGCACTGTTGTACCGTCTTGGTCGTACTGCCGCACTGCACAGAGCATTGTAGGACTTGACGTGCTGTACGACGCTGGAAATCTACCCACTCCCCAAGTTTGGCTTGACTGGGTTTGATGGGTCAACGATCAATTGCCAATGATCAATGACGGATCGTCTCGACCACCGCCAGGCTTATGTCCACCGACGGCGGGCGGCGACAGGCTCTTGCAGGCGGTAATACAATCGCCAGAGTGAGTTTGAATGGATCAACGGATCAATAATCGAGCACATTAAACGCACAGGTACTCCTTGTATGGATAATTGAATGGTTGTGTGGATTTGTCTTGCATTACCTTCAATGCTGTGTACAGAGTACAATAATAACTTAAACTCGCAAGCCTGATTAAATTTGGTGCAAACAAGAGCCCTTTTTCATCTCGCAGCTCCCCTCCCTCATGTTCAAGATCTCGGGCAGCGTCTGTCTTCGAGTGAACATGAACAAGGCCCAGGCCACTTACACGCCCAGTCTGCTCGGCTCTGCTCTACGTCGAACTTCGTAGTCTAGTTTGTGCGGTTTGCTGCCAATTCGTCTAATTATGTATGTGCTTTGCAGGTTAGAACCCATGTCTGGCTAGACCTGCGTCATTTTGAGTGCAGCCCAAGCCACCCACCACCCACATCCATCAAACAAACATGGAACACGGCGCCCTCGATGGCTGAAAATTACGGGCTTTTCTTTCTACGCCGTCCGTCTCCTCACACGGCAGTTGGCCAGTCCCGCGGTGGCCTGGCTCGGGAGTCTCCATGCCCATCTTTTGCGGCATTGATGCTAACATTGAGGACTAGCAATGCCAGCACGGTGAGACCCGGTCACGACTTCTCTCCAGCGATCTCAAGCGATGGGGCGGCCTACGCCTTCCACCCCTCAAACCTCCCACCTCAAACGCACCTTCCGTCTAGACTAGATGCCAATAGCTTTCCTGAGGCACGTGTGTATGATTACTGAGTGGGACGGTATGACATGACATTGCAAGTGATACTTTCTTCATTCGAAATTGGAAATTGATCACTCGACGTTCCTGTTCTACTGAGTTCCTGTGCTCCTTCTTCAACGGAACCTCGATCTCTCTAATCTCTCCTCCCTACTCTCTACCCCATCAATATACTACTCCATAGTTATCACTTGATACTGTCACTTATACGTATCGACCTACGTCGACACATCGAGGCAGTCGATCGCCCTACGCTAACCGCTACTCTGGCATTCGTTTGCCCATCACTTCAAATGATCCCTCCCGGGGATTGGCCTTGCAAGCTCCTGGCAGCCCCAGCACCCTGCAAGCCCACTTCCTTATCTGGTATAATTCTACAGTAAACGTAATTCCCATATCAAACCTCCACCACCCTTTGCACCTCCTAAAATGATCTCTCCCCAACTCCCGACCTCTTTGCTTTAAACCTTGGCCTCTCGCTGTCGCTCTTGCTTATCCCGGCGTCGCCTCCCTAGTCTTTCTTGCCTACAACCGGCGCCGTTTGCTTTTTCTCTCCTGTCGCCGCTTGTCGTGTGCTACCCCCTCCTCCCATTCGCGTCTTAGTGTGTATTCCTCTGGAGTACGTGTTGACGATCTAGGCCATGAGAGCGCAGAACCTATGTCGAAGACGGTCATGCACCGAAAGTTGAAGTTCCTCATCCACCTCTCCCCTGTCTTCCCCCCCTCGATGTATCACTGCTCTCTACTGCCTCCTGTATTTACCAAGGGGTCGATGCTGGTGCGTCGACGCCGGGATCCTTCCTTTGGCCTCGCCATCCACGCAGCGCATCCTTCCTCGCTCCGACCCTAATCCTCTTGTCACTCTTTTATCCCCGCCCGGGAAGCCAATGAAATGAAGCCCGTCCGATGGATCCGGGCGCCACCCGTCGTGTCGACACCCGAGGCGTCGACGCAGCCTGAGCCCAGCCCGAAATTAGATTGGGTCAGGCCAACCTCTTATACGTAGCGCCCATGCTCCAGAGCAAACCGCCATCCACCTCCAACATGGATGTATGTGGTTTTCCTCCAAGGGAGAGAAAAGGCGAAGAAAAAAAAATAAATATTGACGCTTCACCGGTGACGAATTATATTTGCGTTCACCTCACCGTCTCGATGGACAACATTCCACAATGCCCCGAGATTTACCAATAGCAGGGCCCCCCTAGATCTAGTTCACGGCCCGCAGCACCTCTTGCGCGTTCCGATATTCTCTTGTCTTGAACTTACCATCGCCACCTTGACTTTCTTCAGAGCCGCAAACTCATGCTGGACTGATTTGCACCAGGTCCGGTTACGTCAAACGACGACAGCCCTCTTGCCGGCCCACCCCCCTCTTTGCCTTTTCCTCACCGTGAGCCCTACTTCTTCGCTACAACATCGTGAGGCGGAAAGCCCCATTCAGCTCATATCGCTTCTCCCTCGCTTCACACCATCTGATTTCCCCTGTCTCCTACCCCCGGGGCTCCTCAACATTTCATTCTATTCTAACCTCCACTCTCAATCTTACCTCCACCGCTCAGCTCCAAGTTCGGTGAATTCATTGCATCTCCAGTCTCTGGTACCTCCAGCTGTGCAAGGCAGGTGTCTCTTGACACGTCCTTCCAAGGCGCGTGGCCTGGCCTCTTCTCGTTCAAACGGACACCACAGGTAGCCACACCTATCAACCGCCCATGTCTTCCCAATTGCTGGTTCCCTTGCTGATTGCACGATCCACTCCCATCGCCTATGTAGCTACCCACGTTTGAAGGAAACCACGCCCTCGCGGGTATAGAACCACGTCGGCACAATTCAACCATCACTATATCCGCTCCTTTTACTTGTATCACGTCACGAGCTTTTACTGTTCTTTTTTTTTTTTTTTTCCTTTTGTTTCCTTTTTTTCCCCTTTTTTTGTTGGGAAACTCCAGCTCCATTCATTGATTGATGTATCTCCGAATTGCTTTGTGGCCCCCCTTTCCGAGAAGGGACCGGAGTAACTGGGTCTGAACTCTGAAGGATATAAGTGCCTTCCACACTTGTTCTCTTCCCTCTTTAACTTTCCCTTTGAGGACTATATATATCTGCCAAGTCATGTGTGTCTTCTGTTCTCCTCTGCTGTTGACTCCCAATATCTCAGTTCCCATATCTTGTCTCACTTTGTTCTTCTCGTCGCCACTGCCTTGACTATCAGCTGCACCATCATCAGAGTGTTTGTGTTGCTGCTATTATCTGGTAATTCCTGTCTCAACACGACAAGGTCACAGTCCACCACAGCCTTGCCCACCGAACAACCTTCTTGGCTTATATGAGGACCACACACTTCCTGCAATATCGTGTACTTGCTCCACCCTAGTCTACTTTTTTGCCTCTTTCTTCCCCATCTTTTTTTCTCCGGCATTGCACCCAGGTCCAGCCAAGTTCAGCACTAGGGGTGAGACTTGGTCTTATAGTCCAGCTCGTCTCGGCTGCTGAGATATATTCTTGGAACAGGCGAGGTCTTCAAGTTATACAGGTACGAAACAAGACCATCATTTTGTTTCCGTTCCGCCGCCATATCTTACTATGTCCGCCTTAAAATCGCAAGACTTACACGGCTTGGCTAACTAGCTACGCTTTAGAATAGGCCAGAAGCAACTCTGATAACATGACTCCAAGCACGGTTGGCCCCGTTATTGATCTGGGTAACATTTTTTTCAATACGTATTCGTCTTCACAGCCACTACGCGTGCAAAATAATTCTGCCCTTCCGGTCGGCTTTCCCTCAAGCCTCCAAACAGACCTTGCATGGAGTGGACAACAGTTCAAAAATGATCAGAGCTACATTTTCCGGCTTAGCCCTTCCGACGTCTCTGAGGTAGAAGCTGCCCTTCGGCATTTCAAGAGTAGGTTCCATTCTTCAAAAATGCCTCCTGTGGCACAGAGAGAACCTGTACTATTCGCGTCGGATCTAGTCTGATCTGGTTGGTTTTGATGGAGAGCTGACATCTTACACCGTACTCAAGCCTTGGAACTTGATGGCAACGATGTTTGCTCTGATAACTTCCCGTTGCCAGTCCTCGGTGAAAATCTCAGAGGATTGGCCTGCGACCTCTACGAAGGTCGCGGGTTCTGCGTCATTCGAGGCTTAGATTTGAGCAAGTACTCGGTTGAAGACTATACGGTCATCTGGCTCGGAATTCAGAGCTACATTGCCCCTAAACAAGCTCGTCAGGACAAGAAAGGCAATATGCTGGGTATGGAATCTTCGTCGTGACGCCATTCGTCTACACATATCCAACCTTGACCACACCTCCTCGCCCACCTCCCCGAACGTTGCTTTCGTTTGCGCGTGGACTCCCAGCAGGGGCAAAAGGTGTACCCAACTAAACGCTAACCATGGCATGTTTGCTACAGTTCACATCCATGCGGACAAATCATCCGAGATGAAGGCCGAACACCATCGACACTCGACCAATGCCATCGTAAGCCAAGGTGTTTGTACGCTGAGATCTGGGAATCATTGACCACTAACGGCAGGGATTATCGAATAGACATTCCACACTGAAGAGTCTGGCGACATTGTTGGCTGGCTGACGCGAAGTACTGCCGCTTCGGGTGGCAAGTGCATTATCGCCTCCGCGCACACCGTTTACAATGTTCTAGCTGCAGCACGCCCGGATTTGGTACGAATTCTTGCTCGCTCGGATTGGCCGTTTGCCTTGTAAGGCTATGCCCTTCAACTACTGGAAATACCGTGCTTTATCGTGGCGGGGACTAACATTCTACCTACACAATCTGCTAGCCCGCGATTTCAGTGTAGGCCCGTTATCTACTTCCACGAGTCGAAACTGATTATGAATTTTGGTCGCACCCCTCTGATCGGGAATTCGGTCCACATCCGGCCAAGCTACCTTCCTTCGCTATCAGCCCACCAGAAGGAGGCCCTCGATGCGATAGAAGCCATCGCACAAGCAACTCAGATGGAGATTCAAACCCAAGCCGGCGATATGCATTATATAAACAACCTCGCTGTCCTCCATCGCCGGGATGCCTTTGTCAACGGTGACGAGCCTACCGCCAAGCGCCACCTTGTTCGTATGAGGCTCCGTAACGACTCTCTTGGATGGTCTATTCCCGATGAGCTCGAAGAAGAGTGGACCAGAGCCTTTGAAATGAAGGGCGACCGCATCTGGCATCTAGAACCGATGCCTGAAGGCTTCTTCCCTCTTCGAATGTACACGAACTAGACTGCTAGCCACAGCAAGTCTGTTTCCATCACTGGGTGGGCAAACCCTACCCTAGTCACGCCAACAGACCCCTCTCCACTTACGTCTATGACAGCGCGTTAGCCTAGGCATTCTCAGGGAATATTAGTATCGCACCGGGTCGATCGGCTTTCCCCAGAACCATGTCTAGGCGCCTGAGACGGACAAATCCACACAAGTTGTTTTTGTTTTTCTTTTCTTTTTCCTTTCCCTAATAGTAACATTATTATCCATCGTGTGCACATTATTATTTTTCTGAGTGGAATCGGAAAATGGGCAAAAAAAGGAAACGGAGGAAGGGGGGGTGGAGTGTGCGGAAGAAAAAGCAAAGGGGACGGGGGAGGGGGAGGGTAAGGGGCAGGGACAAGGGGGTCCTAGAGAGGTTCCCGGCGTCACTGGTGATCATCATTTCTTTACCGAGGGTGTCGTGTCGTGTTTGTTCTATCCCAGCTCCATACATACGCATCAAGTCACACATCAAGTTCAGTTTGCTGGCTAATAATATGTTGCGCATTTTCCTCTGCATTGCTATTTGTTACCTTGCTAGTTGGGGCTGGCTGCTTTTACACAGGCTGTTGGCTCCTATTCTCCACACCCACCTCTTTATTTGTATCAGCGATGGACCACTTTTTGCCTGTAACTATTAATATGGAGGGTTTTGAATTTCAGCTGTACATGGATCCACATGAATATCAGATGGTGTTAGGGTGCTGCGGAGGGAAAGCGCTTTAACAGACTTTGTGCTTCCTTTGCGTCTTTTGCCAAGGCTCGATATCATCTACTAGTCTATCGGCTCCCCATGGCCCTGAGACTCCCCACAGCAAACTAGTGCAGAGAGAATACACTACACTAGGAACTTACGTAGCTGGAGTGTAGCGGAAAGCGATTGTGCTGAAGTTTTGGAAGCTGGAATGAAAGGAAGTGTGTGGTCAGCTCCAAGGCAGTTGTCGTCACAAATTTGCTCTAAAGGCACAGGGATTAGGAGCTAGAGTGACTAGGATTGGATGAGGGGACGCGGAAACCTGGGACCCTGGAGAGGGAGCTGGGACCATGAGATGCAGCTGCTATTTCCAGACCTCCAACCCGTTTCCGTTTGGGAATTGGAAAATGGAGGAAAAAGAGAAAAACCTGGTCCGGAAGGGTCTTCCAGGGTTCCGGGATGCGCGAATTTTAACCCCATGTCCCATGCCCTTATAACCATGTCGAGATGGAAACATCTAATACAAGGTAAACTAGGACCGGAGTCAGCCTGCACTATTTGTATGCTAGTTCAGATCCATGCCCGGAGATAGATCTTGGTAGCAACTTGGATGTGGAGCTTATTTCGTTGTTAAGATCTAGCCCGGGACCGGATCACGCTCGCCGGCCCACCGTTGTTCAATATTATGTACTTCGTGTGAAGGATGAACTACACGAAACGACACCACACCCCAAATATGATGATATACATTGAACATGGTTTACACTCCACTTGTGTACACACTAGTGTATGGAGTACACTACTTGGGAGAGCCGGGGTCTCCTCTCTTCCGGGAGGGCAGAGAGAGAGGGTTTGCCCAAAATGCAACATTCTACCCGGAATGTAACATCACCAATCACAAGCAGGCACCATTCTAGCGCACACTAAACTAACGACATGCCTTAAAAGAAGGGTTCGCTAAAACTGCGAGGGGACTAGTCGAGATGTTCTTCTCCGTGGAGTTTATGTAAATTATTAGCCTCGCCAGCCTCGTTGTTTATAATCTGATCAGTGCGAAGCTTGCGGCGGAGGTCGCTCATCTGAGGTGTGACGAATGCAGACTTGGGACCAGGGTACCGAGGTAAGGTAAACTTGGGATGGCGTGCGTACCTTACCTTGCCTGTCCAGTGTAAGTGGGGAGGGGTGCTCTATATACTTCGTATGTGGGCGTCGATCTTTTTGGTTTGGGGGCTGTTAGTCTGTCCATGCGTACCGCTACTCGACCCCGTAAGGCGGGAAGTGGATGATCGTCAGGACCAGGGGGGTAGTTGATCGACACATCGTCTTTCCTTGCAGAAAAGATGGCAAGCAGCTTGTCATAATCTAGACTGGGGCGCGACGGATCAGGGGCCGGTCGTAAGGAGTAGGTACTACTCAGTACAGCTACGAAGTAGTCCTCACGATGTCGAAAGAATGGTATTGCAATGGAAAGTTCCAAGCAAAAAGATAAAATTAATCAAGGGAGGGCACGGAATAGTAATAAGAAGACAAAAAAAAAGGAGGGGGGGGAGAGAGAGGCAACGGTATCTTGCTAGTCTCATACCAAGCGAGGTTGTTATCAGAGATATGGCAATTCCGCACGAAAATCGGGCTGCTTCAATGTTGTTTTTACAAACCTATCCTTGGGCGCAAGACTTCCGAAGCAGGACAGCCGGAGTTGACTTGTCAATAATAATACACTGCGGATTAAGTTACTAAGTCTTGCGTGAGGTTGATCGCCCTCCTGCAATGTACAAGGCAAGCGTGAAGTAGTCCTGAAGGCGTTTGGTCTCAACGGATATTATAATTTGATGGGTTGATGCCAGGGCCGGATGATGAAGAAAAAGAAAAAAAAAAGCAAAGGACTTCATCGGGCATCATGAAGGAGGTTAAGACGCCGTCAACATTGCCCACTTCCGGTTCAGGTTCCAGCCACAGGGCCAGCCTCATGCCAGGGTGTGTTTCGAACTTCTGGACTTGTTATCGCGCAGCAACAGGTGTTGGAACGGCTATGACGATGATTGGCTTGTCGGACTCGGGGTTCCTGTCGCTGAGGTCGCCGCCGCCATGGCGTCGCCGTGCCCACCTGCACACTGCGAGACCCGAGGTGGCGGCAGATTACAACAGGGCATTCGACATAGCAGGGCATTCGACATGCACAGTTTGCCACGATCTGCAAAGGCTCATCCTGCTTCTACATGCACATTCCATGCGAAGTAGTCTGATGGAGACGCCAAAAGTCACTCGGGATTCAACGAAGCATTCCACGCATTTCTCCGAAGGTGAAAGCCACAATGCTGCAGAGCTGGAACTTGGTTGTTTGGACCCTCCCTAGATTTGCACGCCCCTTCGGGGAGCATCGCCCAACCGATTCGGTAAAGTGGGCTTCGTTGAGCGGCGGTCATGGAGACGGTGACGGAGGTCGTGCGCGGACGGGATCGTTGAGAAGGTTGAAATTGTGCGCTATTTGACGCCCGCCACCGTAAGAGGGTAACAGTTGGAGTCATTTATGATTGATTGCCGAGGTTGTACGCTGCTTTGGAGTTGTATTATCAACCATCGACCAGACCTTTACCTAGCTCAGCTGTGTCCGAAAAACAAGTTAGGCGAGCTGGCAGAACCAAGTATGGACCGGACCAACTCGCTGCATGTTTTCGGAGGGCCTCGTCGACCGTTGATTCTCTCCACGCCGTTTGTTGTTGGCTGCTTAATTCGTAAACGGATCACGTGGATGACAGACGCAGCGCCAAGATTTGGACGACAAGACGTTTTCGTTTTCCAGGGACGAGATGGAATTTGAATGAATGTACTTCGTACGAAGTAAGATAAGACTGGACCTTCCAGGTACTTCCTTGCAATGTCAAAGGTGTGTGTGAGCGGTGTGTGAGTGGCGTTTTTCAGCTGGATCCATCTGTAATCGCCTGCAGCCACTGACGGACCTCACTTTGGACACGCCTTTTCGTATCGCGATCTAGCAATCAGGGGGGAAACAGAAAGTCAATTCATCAACTATCAAAAAAAGCAATTCGCGACACTCCTTAACTCTGACCTCCTTTTCAAGCGCATGCACTTCGCAGTTCCCCCATTTCATCTAAGCTAGGCCAATCTCATCCCTGGCAGGCCAAGGACACATCTTGATGGCGGTGGACGAGAGCTATTCGCCAGAACCTGGGCTCTGCTGAAAGAACCTAGCCCCCCCCCCTTCTTCCCTTTTTCATCCGATATACTTCGCTTATTTGACGCAACTTACCGGTGTGCGTGAACCTGGACATCGGGCGGAAGCAGATCGGGTAGTCGGTGAATTCGGTGATAGAAATTTCCTCTCAGGACCGATCAGCCGCACTCGAATCGACCTTGTTTGCTACGTGAGAAGTGCCGTTTGCGTTTTGCTACGCCTGACCCTTTCGTCTCATTTCAGTCGAATCTCCTAATGCAACATGGGGTCAAGTTCCGACCCTGCTTATGAGCTGGTCAACCAGCATGATGCCTACCAGGAGCCAGAGCCGGCGGACGCCCCGCCCCCGAAGCAGAAGTTCGACCGGGGTAGGAGCCGGCGGACCCTTAAGGCGACGGTAGTCATCTTGGCGGCATGCCTTATCGTGGTTGCGGTATTCGAGATCATCTCGAATGACGCTATGGACAGGTTCCGAAAGGCCATGTCTGATGCCACTGGCGCGGAAGGTGATTGTCCCTGTCGACCATCCAAAGTTCCTCAGCACTTCCAGACGAGCCCTCAATTATGGCCTGGGCCGACGATGACGGGCCAGCCTGCCTTTATGGCTCAGACTGTTGCGTTTGATTCGTCGCAGACTTATGTGCCGAATGAGCCTTTGATGACGGCCGTCCCCGTCCCGGGAATGACGCCTCAGAATCAAAGCATCTTCAGAATGATGGGGTGAGAGGGATCGATGCGCTGTTGGCCATAAGACGCCGCGACTAACGGGGAAGTTTTTTTCTTTTAGTTATCTGTCGCCTTATTTCCCTTCTCCGGGGTTCGGTGTGGATGAGCATCCACTTCCTCCCGGTGCAGAGATTGTCCAGCTCCACGTAAGTAAGCTACGGATTATCAGAGACAGGTCTTTAGTCCAGAGTTTCATCCATTACGGAGTTCTAGTGCGATTTTTGACCTCTTTTCTCCAGATGCTCTCACGACATGGCGCAAGGTATCCAACACAAGGATCCCATGTCGAACAGCTTGGTCGGAGGCTGGAAGATGCTGCAAGCACGTTCAAGGCATCCGGCCGCCTGGAGTTCTTGAACGATTGGAAGTACGAGTTGGGTGCCGAAATCCTCGTCCCGAAAGGTAGGCTAGCTTCCGAGCTGTGCTTTGTTTTTGGTGGTGTAGCGGACTAACACGATGCTCCAGGACGGCAAGAGATGTATGAGTCTGGTAGGTTCAGTTGTTCGTTGACAGTGTAGTTAGGTTGTGTATTTGTTAACTCTCCATATCAGGAGTCTTGCATTCGTACATGTACTCTCGGCTTTATGACCCCAACACCAAGATCATTGCTCGAACTCCTGTAAGGGTCTTTCCAAACATGCTGCTGAATTCTCCGACGGCTTTTACTAATCTTCCTGAAGACGCAAGACCGAATGCTCAAGTCTGCTGAAAACTTCATGGCCGGCTTCTTTGGACTTGAATGGTTAGTTAAACCGCCGATAATATCGAGGTGTAGTTCTAAGGCTTTATTCCTAACAACCCTGTGAAGGACCAAGAACGTAACCCTCGAAGTGATTATCGAGGCTGAAGGCTTCAATAACTCACTCGCCGGCTACTTTGGTTGCCCCAACTCGGGCAGGGACCGTTCTCCCTTTGAAGCATCCGCTAAGTGGAAAGATATCTACCTAAAAGATGGTATGGTCTTTATGCTGCCTGGTCCCTTCGCTAGATCTGGCGTCCGCCGTATCTCTCTTTCACCACTAACATTGCGAATAGCGACGGAACGTTTCAGTGCACTGATAGAAGGTTACGAATGGACGGTTGAAGACACTTACTCCGCCCAAATGATGTGCCCCTATGAAACTGTAGGTTGTGCATGTTCTAATGCTAGCATCACGGTTACTGACTGCAGAATCCTCTCAGATTGCGTATGGATACAGCGTTTTCTGTGACCTATTTACGTATGAGGAATGGGAAGGATTTTCTTATACAATAGATATTGAATTCGCGGGCTCCAGTGGCTTCCAGAGTCCAACAGGAGTAAGTATATGGAAATGATAGTTTTCTCTCTCTTCCCGGGAAGAATGGCCGATGCTAACAGTAGGGATCTCAGAGAGCTGTGGGCATTGGCTACCAACAAGAGGTCATCGCCCGCCTGAAGAACCAAACGCTTGACTACGCCAATTCCCAAATTAACGTCACACTCGACAATAATACCGAGACTTTCCCTCTCAATCAGAGTCTCTACTTTGACTTTTCCCACGACACGAACATAGTATCCATCCTCACCGCTTTCGGGCTCAAGCAATTCTCCCCCTTCCTCGACCCAACACAACACCCGGGGCCCCACGACTTCACCGTCTCCCACGTCACTCCTTTCGGCTCCCGCCTCGACATCGAGATAATCCGAACGCCGAAGCCCCTGTCGAGCGACCGGTCGGGGTACCTCGACGGGGGCGAAACCAAATACGTCCACTTCATTCTTAACCAGCGGACCCTGCCGCTGGGCGTCAGCTTGCCCGAGTGCGACGCCTCCCGCGTGGATGGGTGGTGTGAGTTTGAAACGTTTGTTGGCGTGCAGGAGAAGATGTCGGAGGTGGCGAGGTATGATTACGCGTGCTACGCGGACTTGCCTACGTACAAGTATGGTGATATATCCGATGGGGTGCCGCCATCTGTGGCTAGTTAGGATGGACCTTGGGAGATGTAGTGTATGATGTCCGGGCCGTCGTTTCTCTAATTTTAGGTTTGTGGTAGGGAACCACGAGTGATATGGTGTATGTATGAATAAGAAGAGTACAGAAAAGGTATTACAATTAACGGGTGGAAACATAAGGAGACGTTGGACATGAAGGGACAGGATACACTTTCAAGGGATCCTCGGTCTAGAATGCTTCTTGTCCTTGTCGAATTGTGAAACTCTACGTGTCTAGATTATGTTCCATGGTGACTCATACAAAGGTTCACTCGTAGAAAGGTACACACGTACACGATAGTTCAAAAGAAAATGCCTTTTTTTCGAAATACGATAATATAAACGTATTGCTAACTCTGACGACGGGGTATTATACAAACTGTCGCTGGGTGCTCTAAGCCCAAACTCTATATATACTAGACAAACCGCCTTTTCAACTCTCGCATTCTTTCGTTGCTCGAAGGAGGAAATAGATGCAGGTCGTGATAGTGAAATGCCGGAATGGAAAAAGAGAGATGCAAAGCTGATGGAGGAAGCAAACTTGGCCTCTCCTCTAGATATGTAAAAGAAGAAAGATGAAAATGAAAAATGGTATCCGCCGAGATGAAAACAACAACGCAAAACCCAGAAGCCGAACGATATAAAGCCGTATTCCAATCAGAAAGAAAAGAAAAAGAGAAAAAAAAAAAACAAAGGGAAAATCAGAACGAGAAACTCGCTAAACAATGTTCGGTCAAGGGAATATCAACAAGAAGGAAGACGCATCACACTCACGCCTCCTTGGAAGGAGGGTGCTCGGGCTCCTGCTCCGGGCCCGATGACTCTTGCTCATGCTTTCCATGAGAAGAAGAGATGCTGTGGTTGTTGGATCGAGCCTGCATACTCGAAAGCTCCTGCTCTCCGAGGACGGGAATAATCTTAGTATGTGGCATCTGCTCGGTCTTTTGAGGAGACCAGGCGAGGAAGTCCCTGCGGACCTCGACGTAATCGTACGAGAACTCGCCATGCTGATCATCGTCGAGACCGAGGAGCTCGGCCTCCTCGCTGGCACGGAGCTTGAGGCCGGGGACGAGATCGATGGCCTTGGCGATGAGGGCCGACACGACGAAGGCGTAGGCGCAGGTGGCGAAGATGTAGGCGATCTGCATGTAGATTTGTCGGTAGTGGCCGTTGACGAAGCCGCCGGTGATTCCGACGTTGACGCCGTCGAGGCCGATGACCCAGTCGTAGGCGAAGAATGCATTCCAGATGAGGCCGACAATGCCGCCGATGCCGTGCTCGGCGAAGACGTCGAGGGAGTCGTCGATGCGGACCATGAACTTGACTATAGGAGGAAACAACGTGTTAACGAAAGGTGTCCTCGGGATGGAAAAATTGGTGGAAAGGGGAAGGAAAAAAAAACTTACTCTTAGTGCCAAAGTTGCAAGCTACACCAGCAACGACGCCGAGGGCGATGGAAGCCCAAGGGGTAATGAAGCCGGAAGCAGGAGTGGCAGCAACAAGACCAGAAATACAACCGGAGCACCAGCCGACCATGGACCACTTCTTAGCCAGACGGAAATCGAGGAGACACCAAGTCATAGCGGCGAACATGGCGGTCAAGCAGGTGTTCCAGCAGGCCATGGCAGCACGAAGGTTAGCACCGAAGGCGGAGCCACCGTTGAAGCCGAGCCAGCCGAACCAGAGGAAGCAAGTTCCGAGGGTGATGAGGGAGATGTTGTGAGGACGGAAGTTCATCATCATGTGCTCGTTGCGGCGACCGAGGATCCAGGAGTAAGCAAGAGCCGAAAGACCGGAGCCGATCTCGACGGGGCCGCCACCAGCGTAGTCGAAAACACCCCACTTGAAGGCCCAGCCGTTGGAGCACCAGATCCAGAAGGTAAGGGGGCAGTAGACGAGAGTAAGCCAGAAAAAGATGAAGACCATGGCGGGGAGGACGCGACCCCTCTCAGCGACGGAACCAACAACGAGGGCGGCAGTGACGGCGGCGAACATCATCTGGTAGAAGGAGTAGAGGAGGCCGGGGACGAGGGGGGAGCCTTGGGACGGGGCTCCGAGGACTTTTCGAAGGCCGAAGTGGGTGAGGTCGCCGATGTAAGGGTTGCCGGATTCGACAGAGAAGGCGAGAGAGTAGCCCCAGAAGTACCACTGGAAGACGACGACGGAGAAGGACATCATTGTTACCCATAGCATGGAAAGAGCGGACTTTCTCCTCGCGAGACCGGAGTAGAGGAAGGCGATGCCGGGGACCATGAAAAGGACGAGACAGGAGGCGACGAGGATGAAGGCCTGATCACCGGACTGATACCATTGGTTAAGGTTCTCAGTGGCTTCACGAGAGTCAGTACATATGTGTTGATCAAACACTTAAGAGGCTTCATTCGCGATCGATGGGAGTTCGAGCCAGGAATGGAATCGATGAGGGGCGAATTCTTACCGGAATCGCCGCCGAGATCAGGATTAGTTCCATTGAACTCCACCGGAGCTCCTGTGTGGACGTACGACATAGTCGCGGTTGAGATAGCCCGTAAGGCTTCTGTTGTTTCTTCTGAAGTGGTTGGCTTAAAGGTGAGGTGAGAAAACGGTGAGCGAGGACGAGAGTATCTATAAGGCGAGGAAGTCGACTATATTAAAGGGCGAGTAGTTGTTCTCTCTAAACAACACGAAAGTAATTGAGAGTTGTTTCCGACTATCTGATCTTAGATTGGAATGAAAGACTGGAATCGAAAGGATGGATCGTCGGTGTAAGGTGTGAAGACGAAAAATAGAACACGATGGGAAACAAGGTACCGGGAAGAGCAGGAAAGGGTTTTTGATATATATGTAAGTGCGTCCCTTTCGTATCTCACACCAGAGAAGAGGGTCCCGAGATAGCAGATTTTGTGGAGGAACGAATTGAAAATTACATAGTGTTATCTCTGGCATGGATGAAAGTATTCCGTAAAAGGCATGGGGGCCCCGGAGCCGGGACGGCGGTGCAGGGGGAGTATTTAGAAAGGGCGTAAGAGTAGGACTGGGACTAGTTTAGTTCGAGGGAGCAGAGGCGTGGGCACAAGGAAACGATCTAGGTTCCCCACGCCCCAGTTGCTGTTGCTCTTTGCAGTTTGCAGTTGGTAAGTTTATTTGATTGCTGTTGCTGTTACTGTTTGCAAGCATTGACAGATAGTGTAGATTTGGGTTCGGCGCGGGAGAAGGTCCAATGGAGAAGCAGGGGATGATTCGGAGAGAGCGCCACCTGGGATACTCAGCCTGATTGTACACCGCCTGCATTTTGGCATGGAGAATACTTATGGATGAAGTTCCTCCCTGGCCCCTGGCAACCAATTCGAACCGCAAGATTCGTCTCCATCCTCGTGCTCGTCATGGCAAGGAACCATCCAAGATCTCCTGATGATAGCGATGATAGGCCCAGTTCAGCATCACTGACACAGCTCCAAGACGAGCTGAGCTGAGGGATTTCACGGTGCCATCCCTCCCCATGTTTCTAGTTTGGTAATGGCAGATCACGGCCAAGCCCTTATCTTTTGCATCTCTAAATCTTCAAATCTCCAAATAAACTCGAAGCGTCAATGGCTCCCATGTCCATCTTAGGTTCGTGGCTTGGAACCACGCGATGCTCTTCCGTTATGGTCACGAAGTTCCAAGCAAAGACCCAGGCCCGGCCAACCCAGGCTGTACCCAGGAGTCGCCGGGGTCGCTCTCGAAATTCTCCATTTTCAACCCTCGCACAAAGACTCGGCGCCCGAGCCGCAGCCCTAGCCTACCTACTTGTAGGGAGGTTGCCCGGCCCAGTATCACTAACACTTGCTACTATGGTTTGCATGGCGATCTGCAGGCGTGCCGTATCACCAGCTGAACACAGCCCCAGAGTCTTGGGCGACGGCGACAGCAAGGGTGTGCGTGTGCGTGGGTGTGGGATTGTGGGATATCACGGAGATGCCCTTAAACTAGTCTCGTTCCAAGCATCCATCCTCAGGGAAAGAAAAGCCTACACAAGCCAATATTAAGGGTCAATGACTAGGGAAGGAACTGAACCTCGGTGGAGAAGGGCCAAGCCCATGAAAGGGAATCAAACATCTGCTTGATAGACTCACGGAGCTGTGGGCGCGGAGTACCGGGACAAGCGAGATTTCTGTGGTAATCACTGACACTTCATAGGCGCATTGAGGGCGTGTACGCAGGAGGAGCGAAAAGTTTGAGCGTTGATCCGCCTCAGATCCAGACGTCGAGTTTTCCCCCTTCCTCCTTCTTTTTTTCGCCGTCTGATAAGGCTTTAATTTTGGCTTGGTCACCGAAGCTTATCTTCAACACATGCGTATTATGTACATGTATTAATATACCTTGAGATACTTATAGCCACCATACTTTGATCTGCTTTAAGGGTTGTAGCAGTACATTGTAACACCGAGCAACAACCTAAAATCCGAATCCACTGATAAGGATGCGAAATGTAAGGAGGAACTCTGTGATTGGTTACATCACGACGGGTTCCTCGCCTTGCGGCTTCTCGCCCTTTCTGGAGACCACAACGCAAGACCTGGGGAGATTATTAACTCGTGGCAACGTGTATTCATACGAAGTACTAAACTATTTCAGCTTCACGCCTCCGTGATCCTGGGAGCTCGAAGCAATCAGGCAAGACTTCGGAGTCGGCTTTCATCCCGCCCTCAAGAACCCCCATGCCTGCATTGTCCAGCCATTGACCGGTTCATTACCGTCCACCCACCTTTTGATTTGATCTATTGGAAGGGCTAGAAGGTGTGAGATTCGAAATATAAGCTTTTCAGCCAAGTAACTCGACGCTTCTCTGGTGCAAAGCTGTGGATACAAAATATGAAGCGTCGATTGGGGCGAAAGTCGTGGGATAATTTTCCGAAAATGGAAATCACAGTCACCGTGAGTGGTTCATGATGTCAGCGGGAAACAAGGACACCACTAGAAAAGAAAGAGAGAACATCAGAGCATGCACTATGACAAGAGCAAGTTGAGGCTAGCTTCTTTCCGACAAAAATTTCCCCATGTTCTTCGGGGGCCGGTATAGGAGCACGACTTTGAGCCGCGTCAGGAGGAAGAGGTGGAAGTGTCGTGTGTCATCGTGGACATCTTATCTCCAAGGACAAATTGGATGGCGTTCAGCCAAATCGACTGCGAAATACGGAGGATGCCTCATCTTCACAGACAATTGCAGACACCCCTTCGTCCCGGGATTTTCCACTACTGCCTTACGGGAATTTCTTTTCCCGGTTGTCTCCGAGCCTTGAGTACAAAGGTACAAAATCACCTCGGTCCATTATTACGAAGGAGACGAATCTCTCTGTCATGGAAGTTCAAAGTTTCTGTCACAGCTCTCTCTCACCAAAACCTTAGCGACCACTCACATGCCAGATTTCTTATCTGGGGGAAGAACAGGGGTTCTTAAAAAACCCCTGCTCCTTAACGTGTCTTTCCCCATTTCCAGCCTGTTCCTCTCCAAATGCCTCCTGTGCCATTGGGTTTCGGAGGATTCGTAAGTACGAACCACCATGAAGCACTGAAGTGCATTGTTCGGATTAATGTACCATACTATTGTGGCAACACCATCATCGGCCCCCAAGCGTGCTATGCAGGGACCAACCACTGAGCTGGGAGAGTATGGCCTTCAAGTCTTCTATATGTATTTAAGGCTGCTGCATGCTCCCACACTCAAACAGGAAGTATTAATCGCGCCTCGGTTTCTACAAATTGTTACGCGAAGCTATGTGTCTGGCAAAGCTCTCCCGCGTCGCGACCGAACTTTTGCAAATACTCTCGACGCACTTCGCTGATCCTCCCGTCTCACCAACTACCGCGGCCCAAAAGCCAAGGGTGGAGTCCGTTTCGTAGCGTGGCTTCGTCGTCATTCTGATTTTCCCTTCGTGCGATGAAACTACACTACTCCGTACTTCGTGGTGGCCGGCGCTAATCATACTCAAAGTGGATTAGCAACTTCCTGCTAGACGGCATTCACACAAGACATCGAAATGATTCGGACAATCCATTGCCCAATACGAAGCAGATCTGGGTTGGTTCTGCTGCCCGATGTGAGCACTGAAAAGCTTGGTCTGGTAAGGCTCAGTTCACCTCGTAGGCTCAATTCTAGGGTGATCGAGATGATTGTTAGGCGTTGCCCTACGGCGAAGCAGGACGCGGGGCTCACCATTGCTTGGCAATGATGCAGCAAATGCGGCAACCAGGTGGTAAAGCTTAACTAAGAGAATGGAATAATAAGAGGTTCAAGAGTTGGACCAGCCGACCAGCGACAACTCGGGCGCCGCCTTCGGAAACTTGGTAAAGTTGGAATCTCACCCTCGTGTTAGTTCCCGCGTTGGGCTCGCGCGGTATCGGAGTCTGGCACCCATAAGACATCGAGCATTTCCTAATGTAGTGTTACCACCAAATGTAGCGCAGTAGATAAATCTCAGGTCGTGCTTCCTGTTATTCAAAAAAAGATGTCATGCAGAAATATCCAGGGGGTGTGGCATCCTGCTTTGACTACCACTACTATTGCCAAGGCGGGACTGGTGGACCCCCCTTCCTCCACTGAGCCTTACCCTTCTAGAATTGCCCCATGAGCTATGCATCGTATTCAACTGTCAAGCGCTCCATATCCAGTCCCAGATGCGGTAATTCGACACTTTAGAAATGACTCTTCTTGGATACTAAGTTGCTAACGGGCAATTGAGACCAGAGAAGAGCGTCAATCGGCCTCAAAGGAAAAACATGTTCTTGACCCACTTCTGCTACGAGCACACGAACCAAATTAGGAATATTACATGTACTGGTAGAGGCTAGGAATTATAGAAATAGTAATGGAGGGCCCAGTCCTTGCAGCACCAGGGATCGAATCTCACGATCTGGAGTTTGATGATGATGCCAAGTGAAGCAGAGATGGAAGGGGTTGCGGGTATTCTTCGGCTAATTATTCGTGACCAGATGTTGCTGTGCACGACATCACTTCTTCACCTCGATGTCAGGTGGGGAAATCTCGGTCAGCCCAATGCAGAGGGTTCCAGGTGCCCGCCGCACTGATCGATGATTGACGTAAGCCTAACCAGGACCCAGCTTGACCCGGCTCGGACCTTGAAGATCAGATCCAGCACACACCTCACGCTTTCTCAGCTTTTGAGCCTCCATTTCAAGATCAACAAGCGAGCCTTCTTTTTCTCATTTTTATTCCATCGATCATCTGAATTCGGGGAAACTTGTCGGTCACACTCACCAACCATCCAATGATCGTTCGCAACTCAAGTTTCGATCTCCTTTGTTTCCCGCCTTGATTTTAAGAGCTCAAGCTGTTTCTAGGAGCCCCTCTCTTCCCACTGCGCCCCACCAGGCCGGGGTTTGCCTGGGAACCGAACTATCAACCATGCCGGAGCTTCCCAAGCCTGATTTCCGTGATGTCTCGGTATCGCCAGCGAGGCTTCTTACTGCATGCGATAGAGTATGTGGCCTTTCTCTCCATCTCTTCCTCCTCTAGCACCATCCCACCATCCCATTCCTTATATTCTTTCTCATCTCCTCATCCCCCTCGTCCCTCGCCAAGTGCAGTCTACTGACTCGGATGCTTAGTTTGGAGAGGGCGCTGATGAAGTCATCAAAGACTACGAACTGCCCTACACTTCTCTGCCTGGCTCCGCCCAGGAACAGTGGGCCCCCGATGAAGACCTCGAAGAAGAATCGGACTCGGAGAGCGAAGGCTATGGCCTACCAACTGGTCTGGCCGGCGACTCCCAAAGTAGGCCTCGTACCTCAGAAAGGCCCTTTGTGCCCCGTCTCCAAAACTGGCGCATGAACCTTACCGCCCTCTCACAAGTCTACAACCTCTATTTCGCCGCCTACGGAAACAAGATTTGGGTGTATCGTCTTCCGGGTCCCGTAGCAACGGGCTTGAAGGGTGATCCAGCTTTGATATTGTGCCCTTCACGGCGGTCCAAGTTCGCCGAACTGGTTGGAGGCCATATTGATAGGGTACACTATGACCATGCTAATCATCTGATTACTGGATTTCTTGGCGACCTCGAATTGGTTCTCATGGCCTACGACGATGGAGATGTGATAGCGTACTACACACGAGAGATAGCGAGGTACATCGCTCAGAAGACCACAAGCCTGGAATCCTCCTCCTTGCCGCACCCGTTACCCTTCTTCCACGAGAACGTTGGCGCGTCGGCGTGGGGCCTTGCAATTCACGCCAAGTCACGTTTGATAGCCGTCAGCTCCAACAAGCATGAGGTAACAGTCTTCGCTTTTGGTCTCAATCGCTTGACCAACAGTTTCAGCAGCCTGGGACGCCCTGACATGAAACGCGAGGAAGCCGCCGTGCTTCAGAGAAAGCGAAACTGGAGGATACTCTTGCACCTCGGTCCGTCTGGGAACAATATACCGAGCATAGACTTTGTCAGCAACGACGCCGGACATGCCGAATACGTATGTGCTGTCGATATCTCCGAGCAGTTCTGGTTGTTGGATATCTGGCGGTCTTTCGCCCCTCCCACCTTACTTCGTCCCCGCGATACTCACTGGACGCGTCGCGAAAGGTATGCATTTCCAGAACCCCCCCCCCCCCCCCCCGCCTTTTCCTCTCTCTCTCTTCCAATTGGAATTTGAAAAGCTGCTAATTTCGAGGTTCACATCTACTTAGCTTTTGGGGGGTTCTCGCCTTATCTGATAGCAGCTTTTTAGATGTCGGAACGGAAAACCCCCACGAAGGATATGAGGCTAGACTGCGTAACTGGCAAGTAGCATTGGGATTATCCGCGTTATGTCGCCCGTCTGGAAAGCCACCTCTCTATTGGATTGATGTCAGCGCTTCCATGAACCGCGTATTTAGCAGCCTTTCATTCGATCCAGAGGGCGATTACAGCCCAGCTGCTTATCCCGTTCAAGATAGAGCCGGGTTTAATGGTGGGCCCCTCCCTGATCTTGAGTTCTATAATTTCGCCCTAGCACAGAGTGAAGGCGAATCCAGCGAAGATCAAGAGGATTTTGAATATGCCGAAGAGGACGAGGATGATGAAGAGGATGACGAAGAGGAAGAGGATGGCGATGACGACGACGACGACGACAACGGCGACGACGATGATGATGATGAAGAGGGGGAAGAGGATGGTGGGGATGAGATGGATACCTGTGAGGAGGCAGACCACGGAGCCGAAGACAAGGAACACCAACAACATCACCACAACTGGGATGAATACTTCGCGAGTATCATTGTGAAAGGGCATACCCTGGACCAGCCCCTTGGATCTGGCGAACCGAACTTTTTAGAAGTACTCGATTTCCTATCTACAGAGATGGACCCCCCAGACTTTCCACCGAAACCGACCTACGCGGCACCGCTTCGATCAATTCCCCTCGCCTGCCTGCCGAAAGACGCACGAATTTCTCGTGACGCTAGCGAACCGGTTCCGCGAATGAGCATGATCTACAAGCCTCACCTCGGCCTCACCTACAAAGACCCGCATTTCTTCCCCGAGAAGATACGCTGGTTAAGGCGGAGGAAGGAGGTCAATCTTCGCCGGCCGACGAAACGAAGCTCTGCCGCCATCGCCGCCATCGCTGAGTGCACGAGCTTTTTCGTCACTGCAAGATCGGATATTCGGCTTATGTCTACCGACACCGACTTCATTGACCTCTATTGCACCGATCCCGCCCGCGTTCCAAATCTGCCCGGCACCTATTCCCATATCTACCGCGTCAACATGGTACTTCACGTGCCCGAGTTGAATCTCGTCGTGGCCGCAAATCAGGCCGGGCGCGTGGCTCTCATCAGTCTCATTAAATGCTCCTACGCGTACCCCAGGGCAATGGGCGCCCGAAGTTTCCGAGTCGACATGCTGCTCCCGACTAGGTATGAGGAGGCGAAGCGGAAACTCCGTCCGAAGGTCCCCTTGTTCGGTGTTGCCATCGGCCCTGTTCCAGAGGTGTACGATAAGAGCTTACGCCTACGGTCTGTCCACCCAAGGCCACGAACTCCAGACCAGAGAGAGTACAGGTTGATCTTGCATTATCGTGATCATACTATCCTGACCTATGTTATCAGTCGCCCATCACCATACACCTTGCGTGTGGTTTAAGCTGACTCACCTCTTTCACTCCCCTCTTCCCTTCATGGTTTGTTTTGTCTGTCCTTTTTTCTTTGTTCTCATTAGATACCAAAATCATTAGGGTGGCGTCTGGTTCTCATGCATCAAGGATGTAGATGTGGTTCGGTAGAGGGTGTATGGAAGTTTTTTTTTCAAAAGGGATTGATACCACAGACACAAGCAAGCAGGCAACTTGAGCATTTCATTTGAAGAAGCTCCTAGCATTGGGGTTACCTCCTTTTTCTGAGGATGATGGTGGACTTTGTGATTCTTTCTCCCTTTGTTTCTTCTTTTGACAGAGTAGATGTCGGAAATACATAGCGAATAATGATGATGACCAGATTTTAGAGGTAAAACAAGTGAATAAGAGGAGGCTTTTCATGAATTTATTCTATTGTACTATATCGGCTTTAGTTTTGGCCTGTCCACAAAGTCTTTTTAATATGTGAGGTAAGGTTGAGATCTTCTTCAAGACTTTTTTTGTGCTCTCCTTCTCCTCCTTGAGCTTCCCCCAATAATCTGTTCTGAGCAACACAAAAGCATCGTGACTGTTCCATGATACCCATTTCGCCTCGCATATACACAAAGCATGGCGTCGATTTACCCAGCTCTCAACTTCTAGAAACCGAAAAAGAAAATAAGAAAGGGAGGGATGGGAGGACCTCGGTGTTTTTGCGTGGGGGTGGATATCAGAAAGAACTAGGAAAGCCGAGCATTCATAAGGAAAAGGATGCGGACGACCGAATCCCAAAATCAAGAGGCAAAATCGCGAAAAGGAAAGGAAAGCGCAAATCCATCAAGGGGGGTTTAAAGACCAAAAACAAGGCTCAAGCTTTTCATGTACTTCTTCATACGTCATAAACTCTCGTCCTCCCAGCCGCGCCATTAGGCGAACCTTTCCTCGAACCCTTCCTCGCCGCCGTGACGAAGCGTACGGCCTCGCGCCTCTTCTCCTCAAACTCGGCGCTCCTCTCACGCTCCCACTCGACGAACTTCTCCCTCAGCGCGTGCTCACGGCTGGCGACATCCATCCGTTGCAGGTATTGCTTCTCGGAGCGGGAGCGCCGCTCGGCCTTGAGGCAAATCTCATCGAGGCGGCGGGCGAGCTCAGCATCGACGGGTCTGGGGGGTAGGAGCGCATCATCAGCGGACAGGGAGCGGTCGGCTTCGGATCCGCCCCAGAAGCAGCGGAAGATGATTTTGGTCTTTTCGGCGTCAAGGCTGCCCCAGACGATGATCTCGTCGCCGTTGTATAGGCGCATCCAGTGGTGGGCAGGAGACGAAGGCCTCTTGGCGTCGTGGGAGAGGAGGCGCTGGTTGTTGATCCAGATACCGTTCGTGGCTTTTGTGGAGATGTAAAACGCAAACGACTCCTCGTCCTGCTGGTTGCGGAGCCAGGGGCGCGGATGCCGATCCCGCGCAGCATCGAACCCCTCCTTATAGAGGAGGATCTTGAAGGCGAATTTAGGGACCCGTACTTCGGTCTTGGGCTCGTACATGTGGGTATTTTCCAGTCCCCGGCCCCATGACAGCACAGAATCGGCGATGGGGATGGATATGTTCGTAACCGCGGAGTCGGGCGCTGATTCCAACAGGCCAACCAGGCGGTTTCGAGCCGGGTCTTCTGGCACAGGCACAATGATGCCCTCGGTAGGTAATGTATCCGGGATGGAATCGGAATCATCTTCACATTCTGGCCCGCAGGGCGGCGCGGTGGACGGAATGTCCATCATCTCGTCTCTTAGTCTCCGGGAGTCGCGCCGAAGGAGGGTTCGCGGTTTCGTCTGCTGAGGCGGGGGCTCGTTTTCTTTCGCTTCCTCAACCGCGCTCCAGTCCGTTGGCGGGAAATACTTCATCGCCAGCTCCCACAGCTTAGACTTGCCCTGCTCAAACTTTTCGCCCCTGTCCCGCGCAGCCTGCCGGAAAACATCTAGCTGCAATTGCGTCATCTCGGGATAGTCAACGTGATGTGTACTGGTGTCTTTCCGATCCCAGAAAATCGTCTTATGAACTGGTCGGTCGATCAGGCGCCCGGACTGAAGCCTCTGGACCGGTGGTATCGAGGCAAGCAGCTTGTACTCCTCGATGACATCCTCCGAAAGTCCCTCGATATTAGCCTCAGACTTGAGTCGTTTAATAGTCGGTTTATCTCGTTCTAGGCCCTGTTCGAACTCATCGCTCGTATCGTGGCTCGGCTTCCGCTTGCTCGTCATAAAATCGGTCGGCTGCATGAGGGCCTGAGAGTTGTCACTCCTCGAGGCCATACTAATAGTGCCTCCAATTGCAGCTTCTGTACGCCCCAGGCTCTGTGATTGCACGTCATGGACGAGGCTATGCAGCTGGTCTGCTGACTGATTGTGCGGGCCGATGGAGACTTGCGCGTTCTGCTTCGGCTGCGAGCGCCTATTTGGCGTAAAATGGTCCGAGTCGTCAAAGCTGTCTGGGGCCTCGGAGCCGAGGATGATCGTCTCTCCTGCGCTATCGGAGGTGTTGGTTGCCGCGCGTAGATTCAAGCGGTGCGAGGGGATGACTCCCGAGCTGCCGATCGCTGAGACATCGACCTCGCCAAATAGGCGCGGTGTGGGTTTCGTATAGTTTTCTTTCTCGGACTCATCGTCGTCCATAATAAGATCGTCGCCGATGATATCTGATATCACAGCGCGGGTCGCGGCCCGTCGTGTGACGCCTCCGTCCTCCAGACTTAGCTGGGATGCGTTTACCTGGAGCTCGTCGTCTGTTATCTCGTCAAAAGACTGAGCGTACCCCGTCCCGAAGGCACCGCCCAACCAAGGGTGAGAGCGTAGTTCTTGCACCGTAGCTCGGATTTCAGGCCGCCTCTGGAGCATAAGGCGCAGGAAATCAATGCCGTTGCGTGACACGCCCTTCTTTTGAAGGGGTTGGATATTGAGGTCCGTATTCATGATCTGGTGGAGCAACTCGGAGGGACTAACGCCACGGTGGACGGGGTAGGGCGGGCTACCCGTGAGAGCGTAGAAGAGCACGCCGCCAAGCGACCAGACGTCAACGGTATGGCCGTATCTCTGGCCCACCGGACGGCGCGCCTTATTCCGCGGATTCCTCCTCCCCATGTGGTCGTACTCGGTAAACTCGGTATATACTTCCGGGGCACAGTACAGCAAGGTACCGCAAAAGGTTCTGAGAAAAGTCTGCTCGCTATCCACCATTTTAGAGAGGCCAAAGTCTGTTAGCTTGACCTCAAATGGCTCGATCGAGCTCACCAAGATGTTGTCGGGTTTCACATCTCGGTGAGTGATGTTATTTTCGTGTAGGTATTGAAAAGCGTCTAATAGCTGAGAAGCCATGGCCTTGACTGTGTCTTCGGGGAGGGGACCATGATCGTTTATAAACTTGCCCAAGTCGCCTCCAGCGACGAACTCCATGATGATGATCAGAAGGCGATTATCCCAGTCAAAGTGTTCTATATACTTTACAATGTTCCGCTAGAGGTTGGTTGGGTGTTAGAAGAAGGGTTGTTATACCAAACTCGGGAAAATGAGTCAATTCATGACGAAAGGGATGGGGAGCTGGGTGTCTGGGGGTAATGAAGACGTACGTGTTTTATCCTTTGCATTATCCTCATCTCATTCTCCACCTTTTGGTCAAGAATGCCATTCTTCATAAAGTTCCGGGTGTCAAGCTCCTTCGCGGCATAAGGACTCCCGTCGATTTTGGAGGTGACCTGGTAGACAACAGCAAAGGCGCCTTTCCCTACCATGCACACCCTATTATACTTGTCTGCGCCATCCCATTCTCGCGGTATCACGGCCGGGTTCATGGCGCCATTTGACGGTGGGGTCGCCGACTTGACCCTTTGTTGTTCCGGCAGCGGTATACGCCTGGGCCCTGGCGCAGGTGGAGGAAAGAGGTTCGGAGGCCCGCTCGGACCGGGGCCCACTGTAGTGCCCGTATTCGCGTTCGTATTCCCGCGGAGGGCGGCGACCCGGGCAAAGTATTCGTTTAGGCGTTCCCGATAGGCTGTGTCGTAGGCGCCATCGCGGCGGGGAACCCGGACCATGAACTCAAGATCCATGTTCTCCTCATGCATGAGAACCTTTACCTTCGAGCCAGAAGTCAACATGCGCTTCGTATTGGAAGGGTTATGTGACTTGGACTTGAGCAGCTTGCCGTCGACAATGGTGCCGTTCGTAGATTGGTCCTCAAGCATGACGACGCCGTATTCGTTGATGAATATGCGAAAGTGTATGTTGCTCAACCTCCTGTAGGGGTCGTTGGCAAAGCAGACGTCGCATCGGGAGGGATTCCGGCCAAATGTGAAGCCCATGAGGGGGTCTTTCACGGCGGCGGAGAGCTTTAGCACGATAGCATGATTCCCCAGGTCGGGCGGGGCCATCTGGAAGCGGCTGGCCTCATCTTCGTGATATGGGTCGCCATCGACGCCGTCTACAGCAGCTCGACCGAATACGTGGGGCGAATTCTCGAGAGCTATGCGACAGATCTCTCGGCGGGCATGGGGGGAATGTGGGTGGAGGACGCAGACGATGTCGGAGATGTCGTCATCGGAGAAACCAGAATTCTGCTTTCCTATCCGTCTTGGATCGAGGACGTTTTGGGTCGCTACCGGGAAGAGGAGCCACCAGGCAGAAGTTAGTTAGCAGAGGCATCCTCACTATGCCACAGGCACGAGAACCACAGACGTTCTCACACGCGGCGTGGAGACAGGACATGTCGACGCTCCCAGCTGGCAGCTTGCAGGTATGGGGCTTCGATAAGCTAAAACAAGAGAAAATGAAGCTAGAGGCTAACCTTGAGTAGGCTGATCATCATCCCCGTCCATTGGTGCAGGAGTGGTTGTGATAGGCATGGAAGAAGGGGGGGGGTCAGGTTCGTCGCCAGTGTGCGAACTCTAGGTAACCACTACACTGAAGTAGGGTCGAGGCAACAGTCGAAATATCTCCAGCTTGGGGGGGTTGGAAGGTTGGCGGACGGGGTAGGACGGGAAAAGTTGCCGGGGAACTTGGAGAGAAAAGGAGGGAAAAGTGAGAAATATGTCGGAGAAAAAGTCGTCGAAAATTATTCGAGAAAGCTGGCAAGGCGGAGGAAGCTATTTATTTCACTTCTAAAATGTTGTTGGCTCTGACGGCGTCGAAGAATCAGGAATCACGAATCGTGCTGGGGGGTCGCAGCAGGGGGGTAGATGCGGGTTGGAGAGGTTCCCCAACAGCACGCACCGTGTCGACATACGAAGGGACGAGGATTGGGAGGTGGGAACGAGCAAAGCAATTTTGTCCAGAATAACAAATTGAGTGGAAGAAGGGCCTCTTGAGGTATAAGAGGAGACACGGCGGGGGAGTGGAAGTGGAAACAAGAAAAAAAAAAGAAATAAGAAAATAAGATGGGAAAAAAAAGGCTTGGAAAGGGCGAGGCTTCAGTGTTGTAATCCTTGGAGGCAGGAGAACTGGACTCGGCTCGACTGAAGGGATGGACGGCCGAGTCTGGCAGAGTCTGGCAGTGGCGCTGGCACTTTGGCACTTGATAAGATCAAATGATGGGCCACAAGTGCTCCTGCTGGCTGCTGCCGTTGTATGGGGAACAATTGACTTTCTCGAGGTTGGCAGGCGCTGAGAAGTAGTGGGCAATTGGAGCTACAAATTGTACTTTGTAGTGGACTTTGCTGGTTGTGGAGTCCCACTAAAATAGAGGGGAAGTTCCGACTCGTCGGTTCACCACAGCAACGATTGGGTCACAGGGCTTCGTCCGTCCATATCTCTTGATGGTGCATTCCTCCTGATCGAAGCAGAACCAGCTCGAACTCGAAAAATGAAAGTGGTGTACGATGTCGAAAAAGCAAACACGCGCTCGACACCAACGATGTGATTTTTATCGCGTCTTTCACAGCAGTTAAATTCACAACATGCGTGATGTTGGAGCACCCCCCCTCACACTCCAGGCCGACTCTCTGCCCGGCCGTCCCCTGTTCCACGCTCCAAGACAACCTCTCATCCCCCAAAGCCCAGTCAGCTGGCATCAATCACGATCCCGAATCTTCATAGATTTAAAACTAAATACTGCTTCGTATTGATTGCTCGCCTGGACCTGGATCCGACTGTCATTCAGAGACACCTACCCCGGTTCTCTCCCGGACTGATTTGTCCCCTATTGACAGTGAGAGTCTATTAGACCCGTTAGGTCGGTGTTAGAGGGAATGGGGGACGGGAATGGGGGAGTCGGCATGGGTCAGAATTTGCCCCCGCCGCCCCTGTAGGGCTAACAAGGGTCCATCGCCATTGCTTCCGGGATTGGGACGTTTGAATCTGACAGGACCATCAATCACCCCTGCACTACCCTTGCATGGGAAGTTCAGGGAGGACTCCTACCCTCTCGTTTCCACATGGAGACGGAAGCGAATGGCTTGGCCAGGCTGTGTTCAAGATTCTCGGGGGCTGTGAGAGTTGATACGCCAATTCGAATTTTAGAATGCGATCGATGTTTCTTAGTTCCACGACAGTCCCTGATCTGGAATTAACACCAGATCGGGTTAATTATGTACTTGTAGAATATGTATCCGGGCTGCATCAATGAAGTCTCTTGCCACTCCCGAACGAGTCTACCGCCACCGGCATCCGGGAGGTCGAGGGAGTGACATACAATCAAAGGATCATCCCCTGTAACGTCCCGGGTCCCCGGTGCTTTCAGCCCCCGTTCATTGATTGCCCATTTCTTGACCATTTCTTTGTCCTTCATCGGTACTGCAGTCCCCGAGGACTCCGAGATTTTTTGCCTGGTTCAGTCCGCCCTTGGGTTGCCTCATTCCTGGACCCCGTCGTCAATTTGGCGGAGATCCGTTTCAAAACAACACTTAGAATCCAGCTTATCCTCACGGCCAATCTAGTCAGGAGTTAAAGATCAATGAGAAATATCAAAAATATATCTCACTTGCCAAAGTCACTCTCACCATTCATCAGATCAACACCAATATCACAAAACTTGCGTCACATGACCAACAAGAAACACTAAGACTCACATTTTGACCCTGTGCCACGGCCGATACGATATGTGTTTTTGCTCACTATCCACGAAACGACCACTTGACTGCTTAAAATGACCTTAAAAAGCGGTCCAAAGCCGCACGCTCTCACATTTAATCAAAATACTCCTGGTAGTCCTAACCCCGAGTCGGGAGCTTCTAGTGAAAAAAACATGAACATTCCCTCTCCCCCAAAATAAATGAAGAGAAATCCGTTTGGATCCAGTAAACCGCAAGTCTTCTCTATATCCATCTCGAAAACTCTGCATAGTGCTAAATAACAGGCTACTGGCCATGCTGTTCTCTCCTCTTTGTCTTCCACCCTTCTTCTCAACTGAACATACAAATAGACTAGATGGAACTATTGGTCTCAACATGCATAGATAACAAGAAAACAGCAAGGGAATGGTATTCGTCTCGGAGGATGGAAAATCATAAAGCTCCCTCAGCCCTCACCAAGATGAGAAAAGAAAAAGGAAAGAGAAAAAAGGAAAGTAGAATAGTGCCCTGGAAGAGCTGGGGATACAACAAGACAAGTTAAGAAAGGATAACACAAATGAAAGCATACGTTAGTCCGGCATAAATATTGTCATGATCTTCTTCCCTGTCAACCCCTTAGAATGCTTGCCCCTGATACATATATCCGCGGCCTCCTTGCTGTGCTGGCGCACCGCCACCATATGGTCCTGGGGGAGGACCCATCATCCTAGGATCAAGCGGTGCGGGCGATTGGCGCCCGGTAGGAACCCTCGGCCCCGGCGGCCTGGAGTATCCTCCTACCCCTTGAGGTGGGAATGGCCCAGCCATCATGGGAGGACCCATATTTCCCGGACCACCGCCATAGACGTAGGGCTGCTGCTGGAACTGAGGTTGCCACGCTTGTTGAGGGGACGGGCCAAAGCCCATGCCTTGGTACATGCCCTGGGGGGGTGGGATATTCACGCTTTGTTGCTGATATCGCTGTTGTTGCTGTTGCTGCTGGCGCTGGTTAATCGCGTGTTGTACTGCTTGGCTGTTGACGCCGTGCTTAATCTGCTGCCTCTCGCGTTCTCGGGCTTCAATCGCGCCGACTAATCCCGTGCCTTGCTGCGTCGGCTTATTTCCCGCCATACTGATCAGAGGCGATCCTGTAACACGAGCAACGTGCTCGAGCTCCCTGGCAGACAAGTTGGACGGCATCTCTCCGGCACTTCCGAACCCCAGCGTTGCTCCCGCTCCTCGAGAGCCCGGACGCTGAAGGAGATCGGCGGAGCTGGCACGAGAGTGCCTCTGGGCCAGCACGTCGCCCGATATCGTCCGCGTCATCGACGGAGTTGGCGTAACGGACCGTCCGGGACCTAGAGTGTTACCGGACGGGGTCCTCGCGTGCGAGATGACAGGGGCAGCGGCCGCCGCCGCTCGCTGCTGAACAAACTCTTCAACGCTCAGGCCCTGCCCACTGTTACCTGCAACGGCAGCACCAGGTTGCCAGACGACCGACCGGCGAATCGTGTCGTTCGATTCTTGACGGCTATGGCCTCTCTCGCCAGATGGTGACTTTCGGTGGATATGAGCAAACGGCGGACGCTGCTGCTGGGGCGGTGGCGATTCCGCTGCGGCTTTCCTGCGCTGCATATCATATCCCACCGTCGGACCGAAGTCGATGCTGGGAATATCGTATTCATCGCCCCCTGTCGGCATTGGTGGGGCGTCACCGCCACCCACAGTCCTCAGAACACCAGCGCGCGGTCGCTCGACAGAAGCTGCCGTTTCGCTGGACTTGCGGGTGCTCGCATAATCGGGGCTCGTGGTGGAGTCGGCATCGCTATATTGGCTGCTCTTGGAGCTGTTTTGGCGTTGGACATTCGTCGGTGGTCCTCGAAACGGCAAGTTGCCCGACGGAATCTGAGGCGTGTTGTGCGCGCGGGTTCCGGTGTAATGACTGCTGGAGTCCTCACTACGGAAGCTGTCCTGATGGTAGGGGCCCTGTTGAAGACGCGGCGAGTTCTCATCCGCAACATCCTGCGTACGGATCTGATCTAGGATAGCGGGATCGATCATGTTGCCCCTAAAGCTCTCGGAACTCGAAGCTGATTGCGGTGACACGTTTGTTTCGGCATGGACGGCTTCGACCCTATCGGGGACAGGCTTTCGGTGGAAAGGGGGCGAGGTGTTGATGGGGGGGACCATCTCGTTATGAAGCCCAGAGCGGCCTTGTGGGGGCCCGGACCGCCCAGCAGGATCTCGAGTCGGTGGTGTGCTCGGGCGGTAATGGCCGGCGTACGGTCGTTGCATTGGCGGCTCAAGTGGAGGGGCGTTTGGAGGCGGATTTGATTCAAAGTTACCACCAGGGCCGAAGCGACCAGGGGGGTTAGATCTGCCATCATCATAGGACTCGGTGCTGCGACGGGGTTCCTGATACGGGGGAATCATATGTGGTGGGGGCTGGGGTCGGTTGGAGTCGAGGTTCGCACCAGGGGGTGACATGGGGGAAGAAATCATAGCTTCACGAGACCGGTCTTGGTTAGCAGGATCGACGACGGGGTTGATGTTGGAATGTACCAGTTGTCTATGCTCGGCAATGCCTTCGCCGTTCCCTCGGAAGGGGCCGTCTTGAAGACTCTTCTCAGAAGCATAGTCTAGGCCACCAGCCTTGACCAGCTGCGATAGAGTCGTGTTGGACAGCCGGCTATTGGCCCTGCGCTGCTCCGGTGAGTGGAACGGCTTTCCACCTGCGGGCCGAGCATTGGGTCCATGATTCAAGGCAGGGGGTTGAGAGACGGGCTCAGGAGTGTTCATCTGCCTCATGCCCTCCAATTCTCGGACCGGCGTGTTTCGCGATCCATGGTCATCATCTGAGCTGGAAGTGGTATCGCGCGACATTACTGACTGGTCATAATGGGCACCATCCACTCTAGAGTTTTGCAGGACATGACCTGTCGAATTGTTGCTGAATGGCATGCTCATGACAGGAGGCGCAAAAGCAGCTCCGGACCCTGGTTGGGGGTCGGATGAGTTGCGAGCATGGTGGCCGAAGGGGACTTCGAAATCAGAAGGTATCATCGGACCGCCATGGGGCGGTGGGTATTGGTTGGGGGAGAATGAACCGGCGGAGCGGACGGAAGCAGCATCGTCCGCGAACCCGACGGCTCGTGGCTTGGGGGGGGAGTCCCCGTTGGCACCCATACCAAAGCTTAGCCGGTTACTCCTACGACTGCTGTTCCGGTTGTGCGTCTTCTCGCTCTCGTCCCACTCATTCATTCTCTGGCCAGTCAGGTCTTTTAATCGCTTCCTCCATTCCCTTTCGGTCCAGGCTCGGCTGCCGTCTATCGCAATGAGCTGAGAGACGTCCAAAACGTCTAGATAGCCATATCGTCGATGTTTAGGCATCGCGAACATAAGAGATCTCGGGTCCAGAGTACTAGCGACTAATCTTCCAGGACGGCCATAGAGGCCAAAGGTGTCCCAGGCGGGAAATAGGAACCGAAGAAGCATTTCAAATCCGCTTACAGCAGGGTGGGCTTCAGGCATGATGAAAACAAACCCTTCCGTGGAAGACGGCGGATCGGTGTGAATAGTGATGTTCCCTTCGATCTTTAGGAGGGTCGACGCATCAATCAGAGACTTGGCCTGGGGGTAGATGGCATAGGCGGAATAAGCGTCGGTAATGGTGGCGATCGGGCGCGCTTTCTTTTGCCGTTTGCCCTCCTTCTTATTATCGTAGAATTTGATGTCACCCTTGAGAATGGGAACGTGAGACCGGTCGTAGGGCGATCGCTTCTTAAGCTCCTTCTGGAGCTTCTGATATTCCTTCTCGTCGGGGGGTGTGATTACGCACCAGCAACGCCTCCACGGGACACCAGCACCGAACCGCACCCTAACCCAAGCCTCGTTCTTAAACCTCATTCTCTCCATAATGATGTTGATGTTGTTGAGAGACTTTCCCTTTCCGGCGATGAGAGCACCGGTATAAGCTTCTTGCAGGGAAGCAAGCTCGAACATTGCTAATCGGATGCCGCCGGTCCATTGGATGAGTGTATCGTAGGAGTTGAAGTGGAGAAGGTATCGGTTCCGACCCGCTGTCGAGATGCTCAGGATATTTTGGAGAGGCTGCTCGTCATTCGATCGTGTAGGCAGAGATTCAATCTACCAACAAATGTCAACTAAATCAGGTTCCCCAAGTTGTGCCCAGCAGGCGATAGAATTAAACGGAGGAAATAGGCCGGGGGGGAGGGCTACCATCTTGATCGAAGCGTCGGTAAGGTTGATGAACTTGGGTAAAACTTCGCCATCATCGCCAGCTGCATCAAGTTCGGCGGCGTCCCAATAGGACAGCACCGTACCGACAAGCTGCGCGAAGCATTCCGTCCATGTCCTATCGGGGTTCGGTCGGCCCTCTAAAAGTGGGAAGTTAGCACGAAATACTACGAGCCGAGCACAAACCTGCCGAAGAGAGCACAGGGTTCTAGTGTTGATTCTATGGTGGGGGCACCAGGATGGGTAATTGTTAAAGCCGCGCCGCAGATGAAAACCCCACGGCGCAGGATTTTGGAAAGAGAGAAAAAATAATCACTGACGAGTATTCTGGTCATCGAGCTTCAAGAAGTATCCTTCTTGATACAGCTTGTTGGCGTGGCCATTGAGGAAGGTGAAGATGGGCTGAAGCTCAGGGATAACGTCGTCGCTGATATCCATGAAGGGCGGCTGGTACGTTTGCACCATAGACAAAGGTCTCGAGCTGCGTTTGCGCGAATTCGTGCCGCTTACAAAAGAAGAGTCATCGGGGGGAAGGCTCGGTGTTTGTGCTCTCGAAGAGGGAGTCGAGGCTTGATAAGGTTGCGCGGAAGATAATTGAGGTTGTCGAAAAGGTTCGGTTGTGGCAGGCGTTTCACGAGCAGGGTTATCGCGAGCAGGCGGGGGTTTGGCCTCGGTGGTGGTTACCGAGTCTCGCGAGCCGGTAAATTGAGAGATGAAGGAGAGAACTGTAGGGAAGAAGAAGAGGGGGAAATGAGCGTTAGCATTTATGAATCGGAGGGGGGTTGAGTAATGTAAAGTAAAGGCTATTAGACAGAAGATACACGTATGCGTCTTGTCTTTCTCGGTTTGGCAAAGACAAAGAAGAGAAGAGAGTGCGTGAGTCGGAGAGGAATGTACACTTGGCACGTAGTAGCAGGAGCAGGAATAGTCGCCGGGACGGGGAACGGGCAGCGACTAGGGTGTGTGACTATATTTACCTCTATTGCGCCCCATCTTGACGACTGGGCCGAATCACGGCCTCTGGGGCTGAAGACAGATATTGGTTCAACCCGGCAATGGTCTGCGGTGATTAGAGACAAAAGGAAAAACGAGGTGATCGAGAGACACGGATCGCAAGTAGTAGTCGAAGAAGCATCAAGTGTGCTTCGGACCCTGCGGTTGTTAAAGCTCGGTTGTCTCTGGGGGTGTGTCTGGTATGCCCGAGCTATATCAATGTACAGTGCCTAGTTCAGGTCCTGGTCGGTCGAACCGCGATAACGATGATGTATTTCGGATCGAGAGGCGCAACCCCGAAAGGAAATCGATCACCCAGAGAGGATATTAAGAGAACTGAACGAAAGAAGAAGAAAGGAAGAGCAAAAGAAAGAAGAGAAAAAAAAAGAAAAAGATGGAGGTAAAAACGATCTAGGCTAAGAGAAAGAACATGGCAAGACTAATAATGGGAAGAGAAAATACAGGTTGTGGGAACCCACGTAATGGTCTAGAGGTGCTTAAGGTTTCGTCGACCGGGGAGCCAAGAACATGAAGAGAGTGCTGGCAGTGCGAACATAAAGTAGCAGTCAAGTACGAAGTGGTCGAAGCAAAGTGGTGAAGAGTGGAGAAGGTTACGGACTGCTGGGCTGTTCCTGCCTCTGCTTGCCCGGTACAGTTGTACCTTACCGGACCAGGCGGCCTGGCGGTGGATTTGAGGTTGGACTGGAAGATTGGAAGATCAATATTGATACTTTGTAGTGGGGGGAGACAGGTAAGAGAACATGGAGACATGGAGAAAATGGAGAAATGGGCATTCAACGTTAATAGCGCGACATTCACCTCTCCATATCTTGCTCAATCCGTGGGATGGACTCGGTCGAGCAACGTGCGCTGGCATGGATTGCCTCGTACTATGTGGTAATGTTGTAATTACATTGATCTAGCTTTTTTGTCCAAAGCCAAGGCTTAAAAATGGCTTGGGCAAGCCAAGGCCAGAGGTTATCGGTGGGCATCAAACAGCAAAAGGCGGGACGTTGGAGAGGAAGGGAAAGAAAGCTGTGGAAAGGTACATGTCCCTCCCACCCCAACCCGGAGCTTTTGACCTGCCTCCAGCCCATGTGTGCACTAGGGTAGTACTTCAGGTACCTGGGAAGAGTGAGTGGTTGTATACAGGTATACTTGTATGTACCGTGGTGGTCTCTTCTTGCCGCTCTTTGATCTCATCAAGAATCCACCATTCCATCAAATCAAATCCACCTCCCCGATCTCCGAGGGATGTAGTATACCGACTGGTGTAAGAAAGTTCTATAATTAACACCCTAGAGAAAAGAGAGTGGACAAAGGGAAACCAAAAGAAAACAAAAGAGGGAAAAAATGAGGAAATCCGAATACGCGTACCGTCCCTCTTTCATCGACAGTGGATGGACGATTATCCCGAACGAGCCTCCCAAGCCACCCCAACACGTATTTGCCATACGAAGCCGGAGCACACAATACGGGGCCATTGTAAGACTGTAGACGTATGAAAGTGGGTGGTACACCTGGGCAAACATGGGTCTCCGGCTTAAGCGGGTACGAGTTTCGTTTAGCTCGTGAGGGTATCATGTGTGAACTAGAGAACACTGCAACAGGCCGAATTTAGGCCATGCCCAGAAACTGACTGTCAATTATTATCTCACCCCAAGCGCCAGGCACGCCAGACACGAACCATGTCCGCCACATCCACTCCACACTAAACACTGAATAATACCTACACCACTAGGAACTACTTAGCGGATGAGGTCTCGCTTGGAAACTTGCCGTCGTTGAAGAAAACGGCGGGAAGAAGGATCATGTGGGACAAGTCTGAGGCCTTACTCATCTTTGCGTGAATAACATTCTGCACATTATTACTCCTACCTACCTCGTATAGTGTGTCTACTTCGTACCAAACACACCTTGAAAGCATCATCCACTTCGTCAGTTGAGGTTTGTACTTCAAAATGGCGGGGACGAGTTCACGCTACGCCCTATGCAGTTACGACGACATCGACGTCTTGAGAAGCTACAGTTTCGATTGCAGGAAGACTAGCTAGCATGCTGGATCAAATATGTGTTGATGTTAAGTGGGATTTGCCCATCCAAAGTATAGTACAAAGGTAGATAGGGTATAATACATGCCCCAACAGCCACGGAAGTACCATGAGCAGCGTCAAATCCAAACATCAAGAATTCAAAATCAACAGGTGGCGGGTCGACTGAGAGTCCCCAACTGAAATTAATCAATCATTACTCTGTTTGCTTGCTTGTGTGGCTCGCCCTGACATGCTGCGAGTATTGGAGTACTTGGTGCCAGGAGCACTCTGGGCTGTCGCAGAGTGTCGCAGCCAGAGACCCAGCGGTAGTGTGATTTGCGTCGTAAAGAAACAAAACCCCTGTAGCGCTGGCGCCAAGATGCTTGTCTTATCCAGTCAACGTATTGCATGACGACGCGATGAGACGATATCCGGCAGAGTTGATTTTTTGGGCACGTTCCACTGTGCGTCGTCCTCCCGCTAGGCCCGCCCCAAGCCCCTGTCTCCTCAAGCCTCTCCCTCCCGGAAGCTGCGGCGATTTTTCTTTTTCCTTCGTTTCTTTCCTTCGTTTCTTTTTTTTTTTTTTTTTTTTTTTTTTTTTATTATTCTCTTTATTTTCCACTCTCTGTCCTTCTTTTTGTGCACCCGCATCGACGACCAACCAAGCTGAGCCGCTGCCAGGCACCTGTGGCAACCCTGTCAGCGATTACGATTCTCCATCTCCATATCAGAAAGGAACTGTAATTACAGGGATTGGGGTAAGACGAACAGCTATCCCAACACAATACGGCAGCCCAGTGGATGCGAGTGAAGATCTGTCTCAAGTACAAGTGAGGGGATTCCTTTTTTTCCTTCACTCCTGCCCTCTCTTTTTCGTCTCTGGAAAAGAGAAACTAGATGGGGGGCTCCAAGACGGCAAATTCAACCCACCGGATTTATCACTATCGAATTAAAGTCGGATGATACAAGGCCCATACCACCGGTGACGCTAATCCTCCTTGGCAAATATGGAGTACCACATTCGTATTGGATCTCTCTTGATGTCTCCGTCTTAATCACCCATGACGAACTAGACTTCAATATTGTCAAGTAATACCTCGCCGCGGAGTGTACTGAACTACAAAGTACGACGTATGTATGCGCAAATTGAGCGTGGCACATCGCTACTACCGGACGCTAATACCGGAAACTACTATGGCTTCTATTGATGAAGTACGAAATAGGATGGTGGGGTGGAGTGTACGATGTAAACTTACCAAGCACAAAGTACGAAGTAATACTGATGCGACGGGCCAGCTGAGATGACATCAACGGTCCCTCCGGTCGAGCACCTTTGATAGACAGGGGGCCATGCTTGGTGCATCCAGCCCTCCGGTTGTGTACCCAATGTAGTATTAATAGTGTATGCTTCATACTAGCGGTACTGACGTATCCCACTATGAAGTACGAGTACTACCTTGGGTCTGCTCGCTGCGGGCACTCTTTCCTCTGAAGGCGAGTTACATCGATGTACTTCATAGTTTGGGTTAGTGATCTACTCTGAGGACGGGTACGGATTACAAGCTCTCCCTCTTAACTCATCGGAAACCTATTTACAAAGTAAAAGTTCCCGTTGCTTGATCTAGGGTTAAGCAATTCTCATTTAACGCGAACTGAACCCAACAATCTCAAGGCCAATTGAAGCATTAATTTGAGCCTTCACACTCTCCTGAGCACTATCCGGTCCAGGCGGTCGGCTTCTGCGGAAGGCGTACCAACTATCAAGTACCCTCGTATTTCGACCCTGGAAGCGCCAAGCGAAACGGAAGACCCGGGCGCAGGTTAGAGAATTCAAATGCTTCGGCGTTGACAATTATATTTGGCAATGATCTTATCTGCAGGGCGACAAGCACAGCACGACAAACTGCCATTGCTGCCAATCGAGAGCGTATCCCCAAGGCGACCCGGGGAAGCCGCACTGGGGAATTCTTGGCCTTCCCTGACAATGCCAACCCTAATTCTTCTTTTTAACCCCGTCGGCAGCAGAGTACATACATACCATTCATGTTGGGCCAACATTGAAGTTTTTGCAAGACCAGTGGATGACGCCAAGCGCCTGACCAGTCCGGCGAAATTACAGAGAGCCCGTTTTTAAACCGTCGATCCGGCTACTATCATCAATCATTCGTCGTCAGCCAGCGTCAGCGACACAAACACCGACCAGTACTGTCGTCTTCCTCAGCTCTGAACTTCAATGTTCCAAGCATAAGCCGACACAACACCAGAATAGTGTCAAATCTGTGCCCATGTTCTTATGAATCCGTTTCGGATTTTGGCCCACGGATGGTCCGCGACCGCCTGACACCATAGCGCTTGGCCTTTCATGGCCTGGCCCATTGGTTTTCGTGAAGATCAAGAGTCGAACCTGTCGTCTTCGGTATATTAATACGCACAACAAATGCCGCGACATGTCAGAGTCTAGGCCGATAGAAACTATGAAATACTACTAGGATATAGATAGTCGATCCGCCATACTCCATACGAAGGAAGCGAGAGCCATCACCTTTCAAGGCCAGTGGATCTCATCTGGACCCTGAGCGGAGCGAGAGCAAACCCGTTGATAGTGGAGTTCGGGATCTTCGGCGGCAAGGGGCGTTGTTCCATTTCCGAAGATGCAGGAAGCGTTGAATCCAAGAATGGAGAACGTGGGCGGTGTCCTCGTACGAAGGTCAGTACGAAGTACGAAGTAAGGCATGACTGCATGACTCGACTCGGCGATAATAATTGGAGAGGTTCTTCCGTGGAGTTGGGAAACCCAATCTTGGCGTCAGTTCGCCACACGTTGTGCGACCAGCACCAATTCCATCAGCATCGTACTTTCGCACAAGTAGAGAGACTAATATCACTGACGACCGCTTTTTTAACCTCGTCAGCAGCTCACACTGGCATCTTGATCTTACTCTCATTGTTCCCCACGATAACCTACTTATCGGATGTAGACCTTGCCATACTTTAAGGATCCCTAGAAAAGAAACTCTGTTTTTCTCTTTCTATTTATTTATTTATTTTAATTTTTTTTCCATAAAAACATCGAAGTCATTGTTTCAAACTATCAACTGCGCGTATTCGATGCAGTGCTGAAAATCAGATGCTGATCGTTCACACAATGTGCGTCATTCAGCTGCGTGGCCACACTACGTCTCTCAGCCTCCACTCAACCCGGGAAGAGGAGGATCAAATCTTTTGTGCCACATCGGAAGCATCAGCCAGCCAGTGTCACTTCCGGGTGGATGCGGATTCAAGGAGCCTGGCTGCACCGGTTGTTTGGAACGGGGGGTTCGACCATAAGAGAAATTAAATGTCCAGCGCACCTAGGGGTCTTCTGCATCTATTCTGGCAGCTCGTTCAGCGACTTCGTACGAAGCAATCGAGTGTGATTTTCGAAGTATTGCGATGATCGATCAATCCCTTCAACCCCAGGGAAAATCCTCTCCGCGGATCCCTCGTGGCAACCTAGCAAGTTGGACCAGTTCCGGGGATAATAAGAATGATGACAATTCGAAACCGATACCCGGAGTTCGTTCGGAGGTTGTAGTGTAATAATATTCGTGTATTGATCAAAAGGCCTCTGAGGCAGGCTCTGACGTTGTATTCTTGCTTCAGTGTCAACCCAGTCCGGTCAATCCCTGTCGCTGTCGGGTTCTAGAAGAATTCAATGTTCTTAAATTCAATCCATCACATGTTTTTAGCAGCTCAACATTCTCTGTCAGCACATGCTAAAACCAATGTATGAAAAGTACTCGCATTGAAATTAATTGCGAGCATACGTCAATTTAACCTACGAAATGGGGGCTGCAATCTGGGAGAATGAAGAAGATATTCTGACGGGAGCCAATTGATCCTATCTGACCAACTTTTCAGTGATGAGTGCCTCCCAGAGTCACAATATTACTTCGTATGAATAATTGATGAGTCTTCAAACTGCGATTATGACTCTTAGAATCTTCAGCAATCTCCACAGGGGATTATCACGTGTACGGAGCATGTGCTGTGTGTTGCGTGCTGTGCCTTAATTGTCAATTCTGGCTTGGGGGGGGACCTGTCGTTATCTCTCGCCCCCATCAATCTATCGCTTCGCTTCGCCTTTTCGCGGGTCCAGCAAACCATTCCAAGTCCCCAATTTTATGGGACGAGGTTGACAGCAAGACACGGGAGAGAGAGAAAAAAAAAATCAAGACAGGGGCAAGACTAGAGTATGCTGCAGATGCTACCAGCTCAAGCCCGTGTCAGGCAGCGGGATCAGATGTATGCCCGCCATCGATCAGAAAGGCTGATAGCAGGTCATTGCGGAGTCAATCTTATCGCATGCTTGGAGAATTCTGCTTCTCGCCTACAATTGTACCCGCCTGATCTCTGCCTGGAGAGATGCCCCTCCTGGTAGGCATGAGGACACCGTCGTTATTATTATCATCATCACCATGCCTGGCCGCCGCCATCACCCGCGCCTCCTCCCTGCGACCATCTCTTCGTCAACGTCTACAGCGCCTCGTCGGCCAAACCATCGCGAAGAGATGTTCGTCAGGCATCGTCTCATTTCCCCCACCTTCCGAAGAACCCATCCGGCGCCCCCTCCCCAGGTTCCCCTTTCGCTTTGAGACAGGCATCGCCCTCTTCGCGAAACGAGCGCCGCGACCCTTTCCCCCGCCTTTTATGTCTATGCCGTCCGTGTCATTTTCGGATCCTCTCAGTACCTTCGACCGTAGTCGCGATCGACGGAGGCAGTGGGTGAACGGGGAGCTGATTCGCGGCCATACCAACGGCGATGATGCCGTTTATGCTAGCGATTATTTTATATGCGCGAATGATGGGGTCGGTGCCTGGTCGACGAGACCTCGAGGTCATGCCGGGTAAGCACTTCGATTCGCGTGGCCCCTATTCGCAATAAGTATTTTTCTTCCTATGTGCTAATACTCTTTTTCCCTTCTGTCCCCCAGACTGTGGTCTCGATTAATATTACATTTCTGGGTCGCCTCTATGGAAGACGACATACTCCGAGCTCACCAGTCGAACGAAGAATACCACCCAGACCCCGTGGCCTACCTCGACCGAGCATACGAACAGACTCTCGAAGCGACATCGGCGCCGAACGATTGCCAAGGTACGACGACAGCCTGCGGCGCCCAATTATACTACAAGAAGTCGGAAGAAACGGGCGAAAACGTACCAACATTATTCATAACGAACCTAGGAGACAGCCAGGTACTGGTGATGCGACCGGGCGAGAAGGAGATCCTTTACAAAACAACCGAGCAGTGGCACTGGTTTGACTGTCCGTTCCAGCTCGGAACGAATAGTCTCGATACACCGCGGAAGAATGCCGCGCTTACCATGATGGAGATAGAAGTCGGAGACATAGTATTAGCCATGTCTGATGGCGTAATCGATAACCTCTGGGAACACGAGATTGTACGGATCGTGACCGAGAGCCTCGAGAAGTGGGAGACGAGCGACGATCCTCGCACAAAGGCTATGGGCAGGATACAGTTTGCGGCGTCGGAGCTCATGACTGCGGCCAAGACTATTGCTGAGGATCCGTTCGCGGAGAGTCCATATATGGAACATGCGATCGAAGAAGGTTTAGCAAGCTCAGGAGGTGAGTTTCCGACCCCGGACCTCCCCGTCCCCCGTGGGGAACATAGTTTTCTCTTTTGTGTAATATGTCTAACCCGCGGACAGGAAAGCTGGATGATATCAGTGTTGTGGCTGCTCTCTGTGTTCCAAACGAGCCAGACCAGGACAGCGACAAGGGACACTAGGTTTTATGCTCATCTATATTTTTCTTTTTTTTAGCCGTTTTCCTCTCTTTTCCTTTTCTCTTTTAAACCTAATGCATGGCGTTGGCGAAGAGCTATACACATATGGCGGGTTCATACCTACAGCGAGTTTTAGTGGGCGTTTTAAGAGTGGACGTGTTCAATGCTGGGAGTATCCGTATAATCTTTAATTTCGGTCATGAGATGCACCAGTATTATAGTTTCGAAAATGCAAAGTTACATTTCTGCGGATATTGCAGCTCGCAGATATCTGATCTGGATGCTTCACAACCACTGGGAAGCTAAGCATCGAAGAACATCAAATTGAATGTGATAAAAAAGGTGGGGGTGCGCATGGACGCGGGAAGACGCTGCGGGGTGTTTTTCTCTCACCGAGCTGACCGAGAAGTCTTATCGCCGCGATAAGATCTAAAAATTTCTGGAACCTCCGAGTTCCATCCACTCTGTAAATTCCCAAGCTTCACACTTCCCACCGATCAACCACAGCGACGCAACCACTTCCCCAGTTCGCTTCTGTCCCAGAAACTCTGGAAATCGTCCAAAATGCGTGGCAAGCGATCTAAACAATACAGAAAGCTCATGGAGCAATAGTGAGTCCAGCCACTTCTCGCAGCCTCCAACCTGTCAAGACCGTTTTTCCATGTGCTAATCCCCTTGCAAGCGGAATGCACTTTGGCTTCCGTGAACCCTACCAAGTCATAGGTACGCCGCTGCCGAATACCGGAGATTCTATACTTCTTTCTAACGACAAATAGTCGACGCCGAGGTAGTTAAGGACTGCAAAAAGTTCAAAATGGACATGGTCTCCCTCCTCAAAAAGACTCTCCACGGTGAAGTCAAGCCACGTAAGAACCCAATTCCACTTCCCCCGGCGCGCATAAAGACGCAAATCGAAAACTAACCACCGCCTCCCCCTCCCAGTTCTAACGCAATGTTCCATCCGCCACCTCTACGCAAGCAAATCCGAACCCGGCATGGACCAAACCATCGAAAAAGCCAAAGAAATCGAACGCCGCTTCTGCGGCCACCACCCACAAGACCACCCGGACCCGCTAAGCACGCGCGATTGCATCCACTCGGTCGTCGACGGCAAGGACACGGGGAGGAACAAGCACCGGTATATCGTCGCGACACAGGACCACGAGCTGCGGAGGGAACTGAGGGAGATTCCGGGCGTGCCGCTCATTTACATTAATCGGGGCGTGATGATTATGGAGCCTATGGCGTCTTCGTCGGCGTCGGAGAAGGCGAGGGGGGAGAGGGGGAAGTTTAAGGCGGAGTTGAAGACGACGGGGAAGAGGAAGAGGCAGGAGGACGAGGAGGAGGAGACGAAGGAGGGAGAGGAGGCAAAGGACGGCGGAGAGGCAAAGGAAGCGGTGGGCAAGGCGGGCGGGGAGGAGCAGCCGAAGAAAAAGAAGAAGAAGAATTATGGAAAGGCGAAGGGTCCGAATCCGCTGTCGGTGAAGAAGAAGAAGAAGAAACCGGGACCGCCGGGCCAGAAGCCGAAGAAGGCGGAACCGGCGGTGGCGGCTTGAGCGGCTGGGAGGGGAAAAAAGGACAAAGGATTTCGAAAAGCTTTAACGGCGTACTTTTTTGTGTTTTATACGGTAGAATATACCCAAGGTTCATACGGTTCTGGTTTCCACGGACGACATCGTCGGCTCGATACACCAACTACCAACTAGGAGGGAGGACGAGTACCAGCAATTCGAGACGACCTGTAACCCCTCTAGCGGTCTATCGAATTGACCAACTACCCATGATAGCTGCCGCCGCTATGCCATGGCCAAGTGTTCCCTCATCTAAGCAGTTTTATTAGGTCCCCCCCAACGCCCAAGCTGCCCCAACATATCTGCGTTGGCTATGATGCAGCTCTCAAGCGGGACAAGAGCCGCTTTCTCCCTATCATGGACCTACGTAGAACACGTCGATGGATCGGGATTGGAAGTTCTCTAAGTTGAGGTTTTGGAGTTGAGTCGGAAGAGGTGCAGGGCTATGATATTGACCCAGGTTGTGCAGATCGAATTGTGTAATACTAGTAAACGAACTGCTCTTGGCGTAGCCAGACATAGTAAGCCACAATATCTGTTCATTTTTTTAGGGGGAAATGAATTAAATGATGAATTAAAAATACAAGCGGATCATACATGCTCCTGTCCATCTGTGTATTGATATTTCATTCGAGGCTGATCGATGTTCGTTGAGATCTATGTTTGGTTGTGGCCCTTGCTTAAACTCATGTCCTGGCGTAAATTTGGCTTCAATCTCTTAAACACGATCCACAACTTCATCTCACGCCATTCTCTCACCTCTTGCACTCCCGATCAAACCTCATCCAACAACGCATCACCCTCATTTCATAAAATACTCAAATCCTAAATTAAGCGGGAAAAAAAAGGTCACAATGCGCCTTACTCCCTCCCTCTACCAATCCATCCGCATCACCCTCTTCACCCGCGCAAACTGCGGCCTCTGCGTCACGGCCAAATCCGTCCTGTCCAAGCTCCAGACCTCCCGGCCCTTTACCCTCCGAGAGGTAGACATTATCAAGCCCGAGGCGAAGCCATGGAGGGATCTCTATGATTTTGATGTCCCCGTTGTAAGGCACACCTTCCTCGGTCGAACCCTAGGTTAAGCATGTAGATGGGATATATGGGCGCTCAAGGCTAATACACAAATTACTCTTGAAATAGATCCATATCAGCAAGAGCTCTGCGCCGGAAGAGGACCCGAAGCTCTCTGGGGAGGCAGCAAAGCTTATGCATCGGTTCACCGAGGAGGAGGTCGCTGCTAAGATGAAGGCTGTTGAGGAGGCGAGCTGAGTTGAGCATAGTATTGACGAGAGAAACTACCTATTTGGTTCTCGAAGTCTTTTAGAAGCAAAATCTTCTGAGTTCAGCGTTTTGAGGTGTCTTGTGAAAAGGCAATATGTAAGAGTACGAGAAGGAAACTAGGAGAGAATAGTGGGATTATATAGATTGTATATATATAAGATGTCACAACGTGAACCCATCCGCTTCTATAGAATATAGCTCATTCCTTCCACCTTAACACACTCACCTCGCACCCCACAATCGGATGAGACACTGGGAGCCGTGATAGAGCAAAGGCTGAGCAGAATGAACTCACGGCGAAAGGGGTTGTATGTGAGTAGAGATAAGCCTCCGTGACTCCCTTGCTTCAATCTGTTTTCTTTCCGAGCGCCAACCATTTTAGTTACGCCGACTAAACACCAGCAACGGGTATGATGTTCCCAGTACGTGTTGATACGCCTTCCCTGTCCGCATTTACCGCCTTGCCTTGCCGATCCATACCCTTGTTTTTATTGACCATCCCTATGTACACCGTCCACTCCAATAATGACAAAAGCCCCGAGTGACCCAATGCGATAAAGACAAAGGAGAGAGGTGGAAAGGAAAAAAAGAGGGAGGAAAAAGCCACCTCCCTCTTCGAAATAAAGCGTGAGGAGGAAAAAGCAACTGAAACTCCATACGAACTCCCTGTGATATTCCGAACAATCCCTAGTCGTGAAAGGAAAAAAGTCATCGTTGTACGCCCATGCTTCGTTTTCATCGCTCATACCGCGGCAGCGGCTCCGAATTACCATGTCCCTGGTTAGACGGCCCCGCTACATTACTATACGAATAATGCGCCCCATACTCATCCTCATCCTCAAGGACCGGCGCTGACGGCTCATCAGTCGAGGGTCCAGGTGCCGAACCACTGCTGGACGGTTGGCAGTCATCGGGAAAGTCGGGCGGCGCACTCGCTTCGTTGAGGAGCCGCTGACGCTCCAATTCCTGTTTATCACTGCTACCGCCGGGTTGGCTTGGTTGGCTTGGTTGACTCAGTCGACTCGGATGACTTGAATCATGAGCCTCTGGATCGACATCATCCAGTGTGGGTGCAGACGGAGCGTGCGGATCTTCAACAGCGTCCTGCAGCGCGCCAGGAGGGGGGGCAGAAGGACCCCACGCGTCGTCGGCATCGTATATATTGTCCTCTAAGGGAGCAGACGCTGACGCAGAGGGCCCGGGTTCCGACGATTCACCGGGCGGCTGGCTTGGCAACAGCCTTTGCTCTTGTAAACGTACTCTTTCTTTTTCTGTGAGGCTACTCTCGTCCGGGACGACCGGAGGCGGAACGTATACTGGTGTTGGGGGTTCAGACTGCCCGTCAGGATGGGTGGTGTGAGGCGGGGGAGGGCTATGTGGAGGTGGAGGGCTAGGTGGGGGAGGGTGATTAGGAGCTTGGACGTATTGTCCTTCCGGTACCGGTGATGACGGCGTGCCCATATAATTGTTATTTGTCGGCAGTCGCGGAGATGGATAGTCAACCCCGTTGGCGCTCATTGGGCTTTGCCCGTCATTCCTCAAAGATAGAGACCCATCATCCTGGCTTGTAGATGAAGCGTTGGGATGGTGGAATGCCCTCCGTGAATTCGTCTTGCTTCGTAACCGGGTGCTGTCCAAGGTTCCCACGATGATCTCCAACCCATCGTATATCACGCCCTTCTCGCGTCGCAAATTTTCCGTATTGATAATGTTGGTCGACCACGAAGTATACATCGAATTCCCACCATTCGCAGAGTTCCCACCCGTGCCGATGGACCCGAATCTAGTTGCCGATGATCCGCTGCTTTGAAACTGACCATCCAATCGCCCGCCGAGGTCGACAACGACTTCTAAATGGTATCTAAAACTGATCATGTCGTTGGGGACGTTCTTTATCGTCGGAAACGAATTCTCGGGCACTTTTACCGACACAGTAACGTTTGTGCTGAGTGATACAGGGTCGATAATGAGAGGCACCACGGACTGACAAAGGTCTTTGCGGTAAACACTCGGCGAAGACTTATTCGAGAGGGACAGACTAAGGCTTGTCCTTGATCTTGACAGACGATCACTCCCGGACGACGAAAAGCCGGTGCTAGCGATAGACGAGTTCGGGATTGTGGTTGATGGTGCCGTAGGGTCTATCCGTCCCTGCCTGTACAGGGTCACAATAACGCCATGCATGCTCCTCACGCGCTTGATGTGCTGCACTGTTATCCTCACAGAGACTGTATCACCAGGAAGACACCCGCTTTTGAGTAGCTCGATGGTCGTCGTAATCGTCTTTGCGTCGACAGCCTGGAGCTTGGCGAGACTCACGCTCCTCGCTATAGCCGGGCTCGAGGTCTGCGACAGAACCTCGGTGGCCGGCAAGCTTAGGCCTGTGCTGCCGGTAAAGTTGCTATCTCCACTCACAATGCTTCTTGTGTCTGCGTGTTCGTTGCTCAATCGAGGAGCTATCGGCTGTGGTTCTTGCGAAGCATCTTCCGATAGTATGGAGGGATCAACAGAGTCTGCATCAGAGAAGGGCTCGATCGTCGGTTCTCTCTGCAGCACCGCACGGTCGCTGCGACTGGCTGTCTTTTTCCGTCGCGTCTTTCTCGAGATGGGCTCTAAAAATATGATGCGCGGGCGGGGCGGTGGTAAAAGCCCAACGTCCACCTTCTCAACCAACGATACCTTCCGGTCGCAGTGCACAGTCGGGGAGATCGTAGTCGGCCGTGTTAGGGTGGCCACGATATTATACGAGACGGTGCCTCTCTCGAACTATAGGGATCATGCATGTTTAAGTTAGTTTTGAGCAAAAGGAGGGTGTGGACGCGGGCGCGCCTGGCAGCCGGGATCTGTTTGGGGGTACATACGTCGATGCTGCTGGGTAGATCTATCTTGTCGGGAAAAACCAAGTCGAACTTGAACTCATATCTTCCGACATCTAGCCTCCCATCGCCGCTGAGCACTTGTTCATCCTGGAAAAGCGACGCGTACCCCTTTGAGGGGAACTGATCCCGCGACGTGCCCGGGGGGATGGGGCGGTCGGAAACGGCGGAGGGGCTCTTCCAGACGCGGACGAAACCATGGAGGGAGACGACGAGGTGGGTGATGCGAAAGGGTTTCGTGACGACGAGTATTACGGCTCCGTGGACATGGTCACCGGAGGAGTAGGTGCGGTGGGGTTCGTCGGCGCGTATGTGAAAGAAGTCTTCCGAGTTACGTTTGACGGCGGATCGCAGAGGGATGGTGAACCGGTTGAAAAGGGAGCGGCTAGAGGAGGACGAGTTGTCTTCTGGCGACGATCGGGAGAAGGGGCCCATCCCCGATCGGATGAAAGGGTTGGCGAGTGTGGTGGGAAGCGCGGAGGGGGAAGGGCGGCGGTGGTTGATGAGGGCGAGGATAGGAAATTCGACGGGAGCGCGTAGAAAGCAGAGGGCGGAGGGGAGCGAGAATTTGATGTCGTAGGAGCCAAGGCTTGGTGGCCTTTCGCCGGGGTAGGGTAGGTTCGAGGTAGATTGGTGGGGGAAGGAGAGGATGCGCCGTGGAGTCTGGCGTGGGCTTTGCTGGCAATTCAACCGGCCGAGCTGGTGAAACAGGCCGGTGCAGCGGGTGCGACGGATTTTACAATTTACAGAGGAACACACGTGAGATTGATTATTTATTCCGTGTTCAACACAATCCGCAATCCGCAGGGAAATGCAGGAAAATACAAGACAAGAAAAGGCAAGGAAACAGGGGAAGAAGGAAAAGGCGTCTGGGTGATTAAGAAAACGTGTGGAGGGGCAGAAAAGAGTGCGAGGATAGAGGAAGATGGGTATAATAACTTGATAGGCACTAAATCGTCGTCGAGTGCATCCGATATCAAGCTGAAGGTCAAGGCCAAGACCAAGGCTGAAGATTGTTTTCTTTGGCAAGGATCATTTGATAAGTGGGAAAAGCCAAGATCAGGACAACCAGGAAAGGAAAAAGACGAGAACGATCGAGGGGGACATTGTGGTTTGTTGGTTGTTGTTGCTGATGACTTCTGGAAAAGTCTAACCTTGAACGGTGCCGGATCCCGAGCGAGTCGGCGATTGTTACAAGGTACAAAGAGTACTTCGTACAACACTACAGCTTGCAGTAGCCACGACGGAGGGAGTAGGAGTATGGAGTACTGGCAAAACTATTGATGTACGGTAATGCACGAAGTACCTCAGTATTACCGTATTGATTGGATTACCACTTCTGTAGGGGTCCCAAGAATCAAGGCCACTTCCAACTTCCAACTTCCAACTTCCAACTTCCAACTTCCATTTTGACATTCGGCGAGCTCTAATTGCTACTTCGTAGTGTTGGCAAAACTAGGGCAGCAGGAAAGCAGCAGGAACTCCCTGCTGTCTGTGTGCCAGTACTTTGCTCCCTTGCATGGTTGAGTTGCCTGCCCAAGTCCTGATCGGCATCGACTGACGGTTTGAATGCCGCCAACTCGAACAGGGGTATTAACATTGCCTGCCTGTAAAAGCTGTACTTCGTAGGGCAGCAACATCAAATGCACTCTCCTTAACCGAGCTATTGCATTGCTGCGCTCTAGATCGGATGAACCGCAGACTGGACCGTGGATTGGACAGCAGAAGAGACTGTGCCATGATCAATGACGCTTCACCTCCTTGTACGTAATTGATGTCGGATCTCCTGCATACAATGATTTAGGTCGCCTAGAAGCCCCTTACTTATTCTGTAAGGGTTCTTCTGGAATACCTCGGGCTTTAAATCAACTCCATCTCGGCCGACAATCTTGTGATGCCGTCCATACTTGTGTTTATTGTTTATATGCCACTTCCACGGCACCTACGGAGGAGTATTTCTCTCTCTCCGTTATTTGGACGCATGCATCGTGTGTATTACATTGATCCTAGTGATATCCCAGCATCACCACCGCACCTTCCCCCACAACGGCCTCCCTCCACCTTTCCGGCGTCCACTTTCCCCACAAGGCAAAGTACCTCCAGGCTGATATCCCACTACTGCATAAAGATTCATCATCATGACAAAATCCGCCTTGAATGGGAAGGTCAAATCAAAGGTCCCAGTAACTATGGCCATGCCGAATCGAGTGGATTTGGCACGATGGAGCATAGAGGTTATCGTTCTTCCTCTGTATTGAAATATAATGTCTTCTTCCATTTCCTTCATGTACTCCCAAACCATGTACCGACCACGCAATGCTCCAAACGCCTATCTACACTCTAGTCTAATGCAATCCACCGTGGGTAGTGTACAATGTCAAAAGTTTCACCTCCGTTTGGTTACCAATAGTGACTCCGCCCTGCTTCCAACTTTCCAGTGCTCTTCCTCTATCAGTAGTCGTCCTCCAGTGCGTCGCCATTAAGAATGATCTTCAAGATTCCCGCTCCAATGCCATCCGTTGCTTGCTCAACCTCCTCTTCTCCAACGCAGCTAGCCACCCGCTTCTCTTCTCCCGTGTTGGCCAACCCGTTCCATCGTCCCCTCCTGCTAGGTGTTTGGTTGATCACCAGGCCACCCTTCTTGCCATCCACGTCCGTGATGAGACCAAGAGTCTCGAGGCTTCCGACAACCTCCCTAAACTCTGAGCTGGAGAGTGGGTGAAGGACTGAATCGCTCTTGCAGAGCCGGCAATAGGCATCGAAAAGCATCTTCACCGTGGGCGCGAGGGTCGCAGATTTCGAGGGAGTTGGCAGGTTGGTTGTCGTCTGGTTTGCCCTGTTCCTCTTTTCGAAAGCTACCAGTGCGCAGAGTGCCGCCTTTTGCTGCAGGTTCAGAGTTTTTAGTCGTTGATTCGTGCCGTTGCTGAATGCCGCCGAGGTGACCTTGTTCAAGTGCGAAATCGAAGCTCGCGGCGCCGTCTCAGCGCTGAGTGCCTTGAACGAGCTCGCTACCAATTGACTGACGCTCTGGGGTCGTCCACCCTGGCGGGGAGATGATTCGTTACACGTCTCTCCCAGCACCTTTCGTGATGGGGTCATCTGAAGCATCGTTTCCCTAGCTTCAAGCTCAAATTTGTACTTCGTTTCCGCCTCAATCATGTCCAGTGCACGCCGGCAGATCTCAAAGGCTCTTCGTAGGTCACCTGTCTGATTCGACACCTTTCGGGAGCAGAGTTCGATGGCGGCAGGGTGAATGAATGGAACGTAGTCTGGCTGCGTCGAGTCCGCTGCGATAACGCTCTTCAGTCGTGTAAGGATAATGTTCCTAATCTGCGGAGCGGTGTACGGAAGGAACGGGAGCAGATCGGGCTTGAGGTTCTTTGCCTTGAGCCGCGGGAGAAACCTGTCGGTAAGATCGAGGGCGTTGGCAATGCCGATGAGTGCAAGACGTGACTGCTTCAGCAAAGACCACTCGAACATGCGGTAGAGACTCTCCAGTCCCATGGTTAGAATGTGGTCAATCTCATCAAGAACGACGAGATATGTCTGCGTTGACTTCTTCCTCTTTTGAATAAACATTTTCTCCAGGCATTTCATCGCGTCGGCCTCCGTCGTTGCTGTTTTATCTTGGTCCAGCGAATCCAGAAGCGTAGCATAAAGATCTTTGGATGACTTGATGCTCATGCAATTGATGTAGGTATATGTGACTTCGGTAGTATTGGCAACCTTCTTGGTCGTGTCCTGAACCATGGCACTCTTTCCGGTACCTGGTGGGCCACTGACGTACAAGCAGCCATGGGGGTTCGACGAGTTTAGTCGCCGCATAAAAGCCTCAAGCTGTGCACGCTCATCCTCCCTTCCTACCAACTGGCCTGCATCGGCACCCCGAGCAAACAGCTGCCTCGCGGTGTGGTAAACGGTAGGAGCGTGAGAAGGTGAGAGTGGGGTGTGGGGAGTGGATCGCCTGAACAATTTGCCAGCCGACATCACCACGTGCCTGGGAGTCGCCGGAGATCGACCAAGAGCATCGCGGAATCGTGGGGTCTGAGGAGTGACGGGTACGGGTTTGGAAGGCGAGGCCTTGGTTCGAACCATCCGCTTGGTGGGCGAAGGCTGGTAGGCGTCCTCATCTTCCGAGTCGTCCTGCGTGTTGCGAGGGTCGTAGTTTTCGTCATTCTCGACGTCGTCGACATCATACTTGGCTGTGCTCCGGCGAGTCCTCTTTCGGGGAGGATCGATCACCGCCTCTGCGCTCCATGCGTTAGATATTAATTCCCGGTTGGCTCTGGCTTGGAAGGATCGGGTCGTCTGGAAAAACGAGATATGAGCCTACCTTTTTCGACACCACTTCGAGTCCTCTTTCCGAGGGTGCTGCGAGGCATTGTGTATGTGATAAAGAGTATCCACTTCCTAAAGGTATGTACAGTGGAATGAAGAAGGAAGAATACAGTTCTTGGTGGAAACAACTGTCGCGATATCCAGAATTGAGGAAGTTAGAATGGAGGAGGAAGAGCGATGCAGTTGGAGTACGTACAATGTACAAGGAGGAATTGGAGATACCAGGTATTTAATGGGGATCCACCCGGAATCATCGTGTACCGCGTGGTGACGGGAAGGTGTCGCGTTCAGCGCGTACCACTTAAAGGACTTGCTCTGACACGCGTGGTCTTGCAATTAAACCCCTGGTCGGCGCCTTCCCGCGCTGGCGCGTAGGGTACTTCGCGACCAGGAGGTGGAATTATGTAATACAGTGCTAGTAACTGGTGGAGGTCTCTTGGGCAGTACCAATATAATCCGAGAACTGTACCTTTTGTACGAAGTATTGGGGGGGAAAATTGTAACTCCTTCACTTCGGCGCTTTCCATCGCTTCCGCCCGGAGTTGACCGGCGGAGTATAGCTTGGGCCTCTCACTTATCTATCGCCACTTACTTCGTACTCTCCCTCGACAAAAGCGGCCGTGGATAAGTCCCTGCATGATATAACATACACTTTACTTATTATGGTCTTCCTTTGCTTCAGCTAATTAACGTCTTTTACACTCTACATATTTTACAAAAGTGCGAGGGCGAGTGCTGTAATGACCGTCTTTTGTTCTATGGATGCCCGATAGACCTCCGGAGGCTTCCGATTCCCAGCGCCTCCACTCTTCCCGGCGCTGTTTGAGGCCTGGTAAGAGAAGAGAGTAATTCAACAACATCTCAATCTAACATCTCGCATGATGGCCACACGGTCTGGCTATAACTCCAATGTGGAGGCCTTTCGGGACAGGGAGTTTCCTATGCTGAAAGGTATAAATTTACAAACTTCCCGTTTTATATCAATGGTGTCCCAACCAGCCCGCTGACACTAGAAGCAGACTCCTTATATCTCGACCATGCTGGTACCACCCTTTACTCCCAATCGCTCATCGAGGGGTTCACTCGAGATATGATGTCAAGTCTCCTCGGAAACCCTCACTCTCTCTCGTTATCTTCGCAATTATCCGCATCCCGAGTAGAGAATGTCCGACTACGCCTTCTTACTTTCTTTGGCGCTGATCCTGCCGACTTCGACCTAGTGTTTGTCCCGAACTCCACGGCCGCTATGAAGTTAGTCGCCGAAGCCTTCAGGGCAGTCCCCGGTGGCTTTGCATACGCATACCATCAGGCAGCTCACACGAGCGCCGTTGGAATGAGAGAGGAGGCGGAAATAAGTTGTTGTCTCGACGACAGTGCAGTCGAGGACTGGATCTCAGGTAAAGCGGCTCCTTTGGGAGAGAGCAAGCGCGATGACCCCTTACCCCTGCTATTTACATATACAGCCCAATCCCATATGGATGGACGCCGCTACCCGCTATCCTGGGCTGCAGATCTGAGAGCCGCCGTATCGTCGAAGTCCCGTGAGGTATACGTGCTCTTAGATGCTGCCTCACACGCTGCCACATCGCCCTTGAATCTGAGTAAAGGCAAATGTTCACCTGACTTCGTTGCCGTTAGTCTATACAAGATTTTTGGATTCCCAGACCTCGGGGCGCTGATTGTTAGAAAATCCGCTTCCCATGTCTTCCGCTACCGCAGGTATTTCGGTGGCGGCACTGTTGATATGGTATCCTGCGAGCAGGAGCAGTGGCACGTACGCAAAGGCCAGTTCCTCCACGAGCAATTAGAGGATGGGACACTGCCTGTTCATAACATTATCGCTCTCGACTCTGCTCTTGATGTGTACGAGGAGCAATTCGGTTCGATATCTAAGGCCTCGTTGCACACTACCTATCTTCGTAACCGACTCTTTGCCGGACTAGCATCTCTTCGGCACTACAACGGTCGTCCTGTTTGCACAATTTACTCCCCGGACCTCTCCCACATCGAGGAGGAGAGGTCTCTGGGAGCTGGGCCTGTCATAGCATTCAACATCCAGGACAGCAAGGGAGAATGGGTCAGCCTCGGCGAAGTCGAGAAACTGGCGGCCTTGAAGAAAGTTCATATCCGTACCGGAGGTGTCTGTAGCCCCGGCGGCGTAGCAGCAGCCCTAGGCTTGACCCCCTGGGAGGTGAGGAGGAACTATTCGTCCGGAATCAGGTGTGGCGGCCACCATGACGTTGTTGCTGGAAAGCCGACGGGCATAATACGGGCTAGCTTGGGGGCTATGAGCATCGAATCGGATGTCGATCGGTTCGTGCAGTTTATCTCGGAGTTCTTTTGCGAGAAGGAGGCCTTAACAGAACCTGTTTCACTCCCGATGACAAGCGCAGAGCGGCTGTCCGTTCGGCTCGAGGTGAAGAGCGTTATTGCCTATCCTATCAAGAGCTGTGGAGGATATCATATTCCTCCTAGTACTTCATGGACGGTTAAACGGGAAGGCCTTGCCTGGGATCGGGAGTGGTGTCTAGTCCACCAAGGCTCCGGCCAAGCACTGGGGCAAAAGCGGTATCCTAAGATGGCCCTCATAAAGCCCAGAATTGACTTCACCAACAATCTCCTGTGGATATCCTATCAAGGCGAGAAGCCGAAGGGCATTCCCGATACGATATCCGTTTCCCTCTCCCGAAACGCAGATGCCTCCTCTACCGATGACACGTTCCGTATGTTGTCTTCGAGGGTATGCGGCGAGAGCATCACCGCCCAAGCTTACACCTCACCCGAAATCACCAATTTCTTTTCCGCGATCCTCGGTGTTCCTTGCCTCCTCACACGCTTCCCACCTGGCGGCCAGGGCCGAAGCACGCGATCTTCCAAGGCTGCCGGCCCGGCGAGGAAGAAGAGCCCTCGCCAGCCGAGGGACGACAACGGAGCCATCTGCATACCGGGAACTTTCCCGGGCCTACCGAGCCCGCCTGAATCGGACTCGGAGCCATCCGTACCTATCCTCCTCTCCAACGAGAGCCCCATCCTCCTCATCCACACCCCGAGCGTCTCCTCTCTCAACACTTCTCTCCCCGCCACGCACGAACCCATACCGCCCGCTCAATTCCGACCGAACATTGTTGTCGGCCCGGCGGCAGATTCTCAACCTTTGCCTGCCTTCTCGGAAGAGTCGTGGCGCGGCATCACCATTGAACCCGGTGGTGATGATGGGGAGGCTGGTGGACAGAGTGCGTTTCGAGTTCTTGGGAAGTGTTTTAGATGCCAGATGGTCTGCGTAGATCAGGATAAGGGCGAACGCGGGGAGGAGCCGTTTGTTACGCTAGCTAGAACGAGGAGGGTCGAGGGGAAGGTGCCGTTTGGGGTGCACGTCTGTCTCGAACCTGCGGGTGATGGGATAGAAGCTAGTACAACTATCTCCGTTGGTGATCTAGTCTACGTAGACTCTGGTGGATGATAATACTTCTTTAATGTAGTCTAGACGAGATTGTCTTGGTCATAGCATATCAAGTAATGATTCTAGAGGCGAAACATACAAGTTATCACGAGCATCAATGGACTTCATAAGTTGGGGGACAGGATCGGGCTTGAATTTAAGAATACCCAGCAAACTAAAACTAGAAGAGAATCAAAAAGTGGCATCTCTACCTGGATACAAATCCCCCACCCGATTATCCCCCCTTTGTCAAGCCAGTGCGGCAGTTCCACGCGTCAGGTCCAAAAGCTCCTGGTCATTGATGAGCATTGGGGTCACAGCACGACATGTATGCGCTAGACTGCCCCCAGGAGACGCGACCAGCCCTGCTCTACGCTCTTTGGCGCCCCACCCTGTAAGCGATTTGCATGCCCATTTGGCACGTAGTCGACTGTGCCGGAGGAAGACTGGGGATACCACAGCTTAAGCGGTGGAGCAGCGGTTTATCTTCTCCCCTGTCTTGATTTCTTTTCTCCCGACTTATTATGTCGACCTTGCGGTGTTTGTTCACGCGGAATGCAGTCGAACCTCCTCGGCCGAGTCCGAGACGCTGGCTCCGGAGCAAAGTAGCGGGAAGCGGCGCTCGCACGAGTAAAAAAAAAGGACATACATGCCTCGTGCTCTTGGCTTCTCGCCCTTACTATCGCGCTTATCTCCTTCAGAAAGGTTCGACGCTTAGAGGTTATCAGACAAGCTAACCATCACTTCGGAGAGTGACGGGAAGGTCATCCGCTATCAAGCAATACTCTCATAGGAATACCACTTGGGTTCAAAGATCAAGACCAACGAGCCATACACACCCAACGCGAAGCCACCATCCATTCCGGGGTCCATCCCTAGTCATTCCCCCTACTGCCCAGGGCCGAGCGTGGGTAAAATGACTGTGCGGGGGGCACCACCAGCCTAGAGTCCGGGTCCATATGGACGACTAAGGAAGGAAAAACCAACCTACGAAGTGACCTCCGCCAGATGCCGCCCGAGGTGGCAATGGTATCTTCTGAAGCCCAGATCCGTGAGGCTTCGCCTTGGCAGAGGCATCGCTCGGCTGGAACATTCCCCCCTCAGTCGCACCTTGGTCCCAGGACCGGCCTTTTAACGTCATACCGAGGACCAGCCATTAGTCCTCGGCCGTATTAACCCATTGGGCCGACCAAAGGAGGACCGCTCCGGTCTTCTCTAGCATCTCAAAATTCTTAAACTCGTATATCTAGGAGCGAGTCAGTTTGAGAACTCCTGAGATCGAGTCAGAGAAAACGGAAGCTTGGGAAGAACTTACTCGAAATATCATTCAGATCGTGAGACAAAGATCCTTAATATATTCGAAAGCGTTCCAGTCGTACTTTTCTTTTCTTTTCCGTTCTATCCTTCTTTTCACGTGACGAAATCCAAGAGAGTTGGAGTCGTTATGGACATGTGCCCGCTGTTCTAACCGACGTACCCTCATTGCCAATAAACAAGTCATAAGGCATGCCGACATCCTGTACTGTGGCTCCTTGACAGAATCTACTAAGTCCAAACTAGAGAGTTGTTAGCATAAAGTCAGGACACAGGAAAGAAAAACAGACCAAATGAGAGTGTGTGTGGATTTGGGGGGGTTGAAGGAAAGAAAGCGCTTACCAGGCATTGACGCGTAAAAGTCGTCGACGGCAAAGTCATGATCATCAAAAGATGTCGTCTGTCATGAATGCATACAAAACCCCTTGGGGGGAGGATATCCAAGGTCTATGCACCATTAATGGGCAGTTTAACGTCGTGCCCAGGACGAAGGAGGCTCTCTGGTCGGTGGGTCGCGCATGGACGATAGAGGAAGGGATATCGAGTCGGCGGCACTTTATTTCAGAGTGGCCATTTTCATGCAGTCGAAGCCCGGGGGAGTTGAAAAAGCTGGGGAGAACTGATGCCCAGAAGCCAGGTGAGGTCCGAGGTGAGGACGCGTTGAGCTTTGGCATGCGCAGTGCTGGCCCTCAATGTGGAGGCGACACCATTTCAGGCCGTCAAATGCTCTCCTGTGAATGTTTGTTCGGTGGAGAGAGGTTAACCGTCGCCAGGTGCAGCGGCAGATGAGAGCTGACGGGGCCGAGCCCCTGAGGATGTTTCCATCTCGCTCTAGAAAATAAATAAGGCGAAGAAGGGAGGGATAGGCTCCCGCCGGTTATGGCAGGAGAGAAGGTGCAGTCATAGCATCTTTTCCAAATTTGAGGTGGGAAAGGGAGCAAGGTGTCGTCTTCCAAACCCAGGTTGGAGCTGGATGAGGTGGGATGCAGGAAAGAAAAATGCAGGTGAGAGAACGATTTAAACGTCGAGTCCAGGTTGGAGCTTGGGTTTAATAATGTGTTGTCTGGTCAGCTAAACTGGTACATTGACGTTGTACTGGAGCACCACGAAGTACTTCGTAATAAGCTTTGAGGCGCGACGCGAGACTGGAGGAACAATTTAACAATTTAGACGTGTACTTCGTACCTCAGTAGCTCCAGTGGGGAACTCAACTGGCGGCTAGGTCTTTGGCACCTGCCGCATTCCGCCTGGCCTTCGTGCTCAACTTACCTTTGCAGAAGGAGCTAGATGGAGGCGGCGATCTTTGCTTCGTAAGTGCAAATTGCATTTTTGATGATTTTATTAACGGCAATCTTGAAAACTAGAAACAGACAGAAAAGTTCCGGCCTCAGAAGAACGGAATATTCATTCGCTCTCTATCCACCAAATGGCCGACTCATTCCAACTTCCCCGTCCAAACAATCTCCCCTTGTGCAAAAAAAATCGGCTAGCCCACGAAGACATTGGCAGTGTGAAGTTTAGCCTAGACGAGGAGCTCTCTCTCTCTCTCTCTCTCTCTCTCTCTCTCTATGCTTTTGTAGTGTTTCAAATGAAGACTTCCTTTTTTTCAATATTTTCTTCTTTCATTCATTTCGTTCATGCAATCTTCACTCTGACGCCAGTGGAGCGGGATGGTAGCTTAAGCCGTGGAGAATCGATACGACAAGTGCGGAAGACATGGTGATGATCTCTCATCTCTGCTTCTATCGGGCCGATTGTCGCGCTTTTATGCGTTTACTCTGACAGGATGGAACAAGATTCTATCAAAAAGCTTAGCAATCGTTTACTTTTGATGTCTTCGTGAAGAAAAATCAGGACTCGGGGCTTACCTCTCAATATTTTGTGGAGTGGTCACTCCAGTTTTGGTCTGGTGTCCCTCATCAAGCTCTACCACTCGGCCTCCAGCTCATATCTTGCCGTCAGCAATGACGGCCCCCCCGACACAACCAACATTTATTTCCTCGACCTAGCCATTATCCGAGAGCATAGCCAGCGGCCTCCTCGCGGCCACCCCGGTTCAGGGGCCGACTGAAGTTAGGGACTTGATGGCGGCGAGATTCGTCACCCCTCACGGAGTCGCCTCTGGCACTTGCCAACAAGCGTCCATGGGAGGCAGCTCCCCGTTGTTGCGCATTAACTTGAGAGGCAGGATTGGCCGAGCTCGAGCCATGGTCGGGAGAGCGGAGAGCTTCGTCGAGATTGGAAACCCTCTCCGGCTGCAGGTTGCGAGGTTGGCTGGGGATCAAGGCCTGAGTGACACCTCTGGCGGGGCTGAGTTCTCCCACAAGGGTCGTGCCTTGGCTTACCACATCAGAGCTGTCCCACTCAGGGTCGTCGGGAGTAAGCTCCTGGATGCGGGATGTCCGGCCGTTAAACATATCGTCACCCCAGTAGGGTCCTGAGTTGCGATCTGGCTGGGCCGGCCTGTGATAGCTAGGCGGGCGCTCCTGGAATTCGGCAGTTCGGCCCTCTGCAGGCAACCATGGTCCGTCTCCGAAATCGAAGTACGCGCCCCCATCTCCTGGATAGGGCGGCGGGGGAAAGGCGGGTCCAGGGACAGAACCGTAATCCGCATCGGGAAAAAATCCGACACCGGCAGATGGCTGGTATGGTAGAGTAGATCCTGTGGTAAAATAATGCGCGTCAGAGGAAACTCCGAGACCCCCTATACGGCTGGTGTGGTAGGGAAGACCCCGCGGTAGGGCCACAATACGAACCAGAGGCAGCACCAGAACCTCCATACTGCTGGTAGGGTAGAGCTGACGCAGTGATGGGATCATAATACTCGTCGGAATAAGCTCCAGCAGTGGCTCCAGCAGTGGTGTATGGCTGATACGGTAGGGCAGATCCAATGATGGGATCATAGTACCTAGGATCATAATGACCACTGGAGTGAGGTCCGGAACCTACATATGGGTGGTATGGTAGGGCTGGGATGGTGGTGGGATGATGATTCGTTTGAGATCCGACTCCTGCATCTGCTTGAGGTGGCTGGTACATCTCAATTGTTTGCGTGGAGGGGTGGTAGATAGGTATCGAGGCTGGATCTACTAGGTGCTGGTGTTGAGGGAGGGCTGCTCCTGTGGAATCATAAGGAGCATTTGAAGGAGGAGGGGGGTTACTCTCAATGGGATGTGGAGCATCTTGCTGTGTTGGCAGAGAGGCTCTTTCAGGCTCCTGTCTCTGCCTCTCGGGGTTGTGGGCATTGGAGGCATTGCCACGATCCTCAGTCTGACTTGATGCCCGATTCTTATTCTTTCTCTTCTTCTTTCTCTTCCTCCAACGAGTCCAGGCACGGCGGATGCTGGTGAACATTGCTGATGATCAGATTAGCACCAGATCTTTGACAACAATCGTTAAAAGAAGAACAATGGAATAAAGAAATTGTACTTACCGCTTGTTCTTTGTCAGTGTGTGCTTTAATAAAACAATGGAGTGAAAGATGTTGTGATTTGGATCACTTTGTTTCCAGATATGTGGAAGATAAGTTTCTAAGGAGAAAGAGCCTGGGAACTGAGTTTCTGTAGTGTTTCTGTAGTCACCTACGCGTACGAACGAACGCGTAGGTGTATATGTGGCTACTGTTGTGAAGAACATGGGCAAGATAATGAGCTGGAAGCTCTATTGCTCTTTCCCTGTATCATTTCCTCTCATGATGTCATAGTTCCTTCTCCATCTCTAAACAGCATCACTCCAGTGAAGAGCTCCAGAAACAAAGACGGCCCAACTAGCCGGGTCGATATCGAGATAAAGAGACGAACAATATCATTGTTGTTGCTTTGTAGTACGCCTTTGAAAGACACTCTCTCCATTATGGGGCATTGTTCCTATTCTAGGAACTAGGCTCTCGTGGAGCATATAAACCCGGACATTCTCCCTCGCTGGGTTCAGAAACATCTCCTAGAAACATCCACAACACACTACAGTTGTCCACCAAACTCCCATCGCTTCTACTAACAGCATCCTTAGGACTGGTTGCACCCTCAGCCAACCCGAGCCATATCATTGAACACCCAAAACTCTTCGAACACCTTTCTCCGCTTCCAAAACACCGCCATCATGTGCGTCGAGATAATCCAGTACGCGGTTTGTAACCACGAACGAAAAATCGTTTCAGGAAAGTGTAGGCTCATACGCCACGCTGGCTGCCTCGAGCCCCTGATGCGCTGCATCTACGGCCCACCGCCTGATAGCCCGTGTCCCTTCCCCAGGTACCCGGGCGTCATCCGGACCACCGACCAGTGGTGCTCGCCCGAGTGTGAGGATCTTTACAAACACCTAGGATCGGAGAATTTCCGCGGAATGACCCCCAGAGAGTACATCAGGCACCTGGCAGAGATCGAAAGCGCCGGGCGACCCCTCGACTGGATGTATAGAGGAACCCCGGACACCACTATGCTGCCGCAGCCAATACAAGAGAGCCCCAACCACGGGCCGATCGAGGAAGATGAGACAGCCGAGGCGTACTGGAACGTTTACTCCACTAGGCGGACGCAGCCTCGGACAGCCAGCGAGCAAACGAGGCATCCGAAGTCTAATATTCCAGGTTCCTCCGAAACTAGCGGACGGGCAACGAGCCCCAAGACTCCAGTACCGCCCCTGGCCAACGTATTCCGAGAAATCCCTAGCCTACCTGAGCCCATCGAGACTCGCGCGCCTCACTCACCGCCACCTTTGGCAAACGTGTTTCGAGAATTGCCCGGCCTACCGGAGCCGAGCGTGCAACACCAGTATTATGTTTATGCCGCCGAGCCCTCCCCTCTCGCAAATGCGTTTCGAGACTCGCCTACTCTACCCGAACCCACTGCGCAAGCGTCTAGCCGCAGCGGAAAAGGTAAGGAGCCACAATACCCCTCTTTCACCAGAGTCAAGGTACAGGAGAGACAGCCCACCTTTATTAAAGTCGAAAGAGAGGCGCACCACTCTAGCTCCCCCAAGAACGAGTCAAAAGAAAGCCACCGCGACGGGCGCCACCGGCGCAAGCGTTCCCCGCACGGAGAAAGGAAAGGTAAGTCTCACCAAAGTGCTAATGCCGAGATAGAAATGACGAAAATACCTCGCCCCACATTCGGCCGAAAGAAATTGGCAGTAGAAAGGGAAAACTCCAACGCATCCCGGGACGAGCAGTCTTTCCAACGCGGAAGGCCACGGACGCGAGAGCCTCGGGAGGAAAATGCCAAAGGGAAGAGGCGGAGCAGATCCTCCGATCGGCGCATGTAGGGGTGGATCTCTCTTGGGCTTTTCAGGATCGATAGAAAGACTGTAGATCTATTATCTTTTGTTTTATCGAGCCGAGCCACGGGGACGGGATTGTTAATAAATTGATCTTCCATGCAAACAAAAGGAGCAAAATCTGGGCATGCGGACGTGAATATGTAGAGAGGACAAGATCATGCAATTATGATAATCTACCGGTGGAAGACGATTTAGAACCAAGCTGAGCTGCTCCGAGCAAAATGGTGTAACTAAAATGTACTATTGAAGGTACGAACGATCTGGAGCTTCTTTCCTTGCTTTCTCCAATCTCATTCCTCGCTCAATTCGCGATGCAGAAATGGGGGAGCAGGCATGTACATACCGTACCAGAAAAGAGTCGATTTCTCAACAAAACGCGGAGACTTTGAAATAAACAACATCGTCGATCCTAACATTTGAGAGAGTGGCTGGCTAGAAGGCCAATAACGGGCGGGAAGGGGCACTGAGGCGTACAGCGTAGATGCGTGTGACACTACGGGGGGGGAAAAAAAAAGACCGTTGCAAGGGTTCCTTATGGCGACGAACTTTGAGATACGCCGCAAGTCTGCAGAGGCTGAAATGTTCTTTTGGCCAGAATGCGTCATGGTCCGCCGTCGAATCGGCCGAGACTAATTCAACCAGGTGTAATGACCGCCGCCGTAAGTCGTGATCGGCAGCGAGACATGGGGGCCGGATGGTATGCGGCGCACCGAAAGAAGAAATTACTGTGCCTTCTTCACGGAGTTGCTTTCCTTCTGGGCCTTGAACTTGGCAATCTCCTTCTGTACGGCCTTATCCACACGGGCCTGCAATTCGGGGCGGTAGCCGAGCATGAAAAGGAACTCAAGCCAGACAAAGAGCGGGGCCAAGAAGATAGCCTGGATCAGATTATCCAGAAGGGCAGGCGCACGACCCTCGAAGGCGCCATGGCCGAGGAACTGGAGGAGCCAGCAGACGATATGAACAGTAAGAGCAACCTTGTTGATGGAGTCAGGCTCGGTAACCCTCAGGTAGTTAACACCAGCGGCGCCGCCAACACAGATAGCTCCGAGAACGGTGCCTGCAACAGGTTCCAGGAGAACATAGAGGCCGCCCCAGAGGAAGGATGCGATTGTACCCAGGTTCAGGTCAAGGTAGGGAACTGAGAGCCATTCTGGAAGGTTGACTAGAGGCCCCGTGTTTGCTGCCTAACGTACTGTGTAAGAAAGCTAGATCGCAACTGAATGGGAGAGAAGAATTTGCTCCATGACAGCACCTACAAGAGCGAAAGCCGAGAACAGGATAAGGGGCACGCAGATCATATGAATGGCCACATTCACACCATTATGGTGGTAGGCGCCGTACTTTGAAATGAATCAAGCAAGTTAGTCGCCAAAAAGTCAACTAGATGAGAGCCCAAGGCGAAGGAGAAAGGAACGTGGGAGCAATACAAAGACGAGTTGCTTCTCCAGGTCGAGAGACATGATCAGGTTGAGCGAGGTCGAATGAGGTGGTGTAACTGTAAGCGAACAGAAGGCTAATAAGGTTGCGGTGACGTTTGACGTATTATGCAAGCCCGACGTGACCGAGAGACTGAAGGAGCGTGAGCGACGGTCTAAAATAATCAAGGCCGATTGGCAAGATGAGTGTCAAGTGTTTCTTTGGCGATGCTGAAATTATAGGTAAAAAGGTGGTTCGACGACAATGAAGGTGCAGAGGCGCGAGGTTATCAAATCCTGATGGGAAGTCGGCCGCAAGTAAGTAATGGCGCGGGAGCAATAAGGAGAGAAAGTGAGAGCACAGTAATACTATTATTATGTGTGGTAGAAGCAAGAGGAGATTTGCACGTCCAAGTTCAATTGCCTTTTCGAGTCGCGTGGGTCTTTCTTTCCCCAAAACTTTTGACTCCTGCTCAACGACAGCAACCTGGTAGTGTACAAACAACGAAGTACCGGGTACGTACTTGTCCTCGTCCATCAGCCAGGTGATTGCAGACTGGCAGTTCTGCGCCAGGCCGAGTACAACTTCAAGAGGTACCTCACATTCCATCATTGATCCCATTTCAATCTCACCTCCACACCACAGTCGCATTCGTCGTTGAAACCGCAGTAATTTAGTGGTCTGGTCGCTACGGTGTATGCGTTGGTTTTGGACTGCCTGAAGGCCACAGCCTCGGATGATTAGCAGTGGGCCGTCTTGGCCGTTTTCCCCAGGTTCAAGGGGCCGGGGTTGACGCTATAAGAACGCCCTAGGAAGCTTCCCTGTCGCGCTACTTCGACCTTGTTCCTCTATTCTTGGGGTTGGGTTATTATTCCTGTTATCTGAATAGTCATGATGAGGTCCTAGATGTGCCTTCTGCAAACGCTTAAGATCGAACCTGCACCTCAAAGCTGGCAGTCGCAAGTTCTCGGGGTTGCCATCCAAATTATTCTCATGTGATTCTTGGGGAGGCCCTGCCGAGGTCTAGACTCCCCAAGTCTTAAACGTTTAGAGTAACGCTGAATACGAAGGAATAACCATTCTCCAACTGGTGGGATGTTCATGGTTGCGGGAGGCACGGTACAAAATTTGGACCATTTGCAGTTTCGACACTGTCGGAAAGTAGTTTATGCGCCACAATCTCTAATCCCACTTCCATTGCGTGGCTTCAATTGTTTCGTGTGGCTGACATCACGACCAAATCCACATTGTACTTCGTACTTCAAACTTCAGCCTTGTGCTCGCTTGATTCTTCTCTCTTTCGCGATCCGTCAACCGTCCCTCTCTCACCGCCCCCCACCTCCAGCAACCCTACGGCCGAGGGTTTCCATCCATCCACCCTTCGGCGAGGAGAAGAATTCCTTTGAGGTTTTCCCGGGTTCTCTTCTCTCTGCCTGAATTCCTCCCGCGATCCTTTTTTTTTGTGCACTCGTCGCTCGCGCTCGCGCTGCAGGAGCACGAGTCGCGGATCCCGACGTCACACATCGAGCATTTCTGCGCCGTCCAACATTCGTAACCGTCTTATCGATCGCATTCCGCCTTTTACCTCCCTAACCCTCGTTCCTTCTTGCTACACCCTCAAGTGGATCGAAACCCAAGATCGGAAGTGGCGCTAGTTACCCTCGCCTAGTGACGGACCCTCGATCGAACGCCTCCTCCTCGCCCCGTCTTCGAGACCTCCAAGTCGCTTCACCATCCTCACCCATTCCTCCATTGCGACGTTCCAAGTCGCATAACCGATCCTCTATACTCCCATCTTTCCAACACCGCTTCTCCTACGTCACCCACCGACATAATGTTTTTCCTTTACAATATGGAGCGCAGGGTTACCCTGCACCCCTCCTATTTCGGCCGCAACATGAAAGAGCTTGTCACCACTAAGCTTGTGCAAGACGTCGAGGGTACATGCGCCGGGGACTACTACATTATCGTCATCATGGATGCCTTCGATATCTCCGAAGGTCGAGTGCTCCCAGGCACCGGGCTCGCCGAGTTTACCGTGGGTTACCGCGCCGTCGTGTGGCGGCCGTTCAAGGGCGAGACTGTAAGCCGGTCGTGGGGGCCTCCCCAAGGGCTATTTTGCTGTCCCCTCCTCGCGGGGAGGGGGAAAGATGGAAGAAGGCTGACATGCATTGCGACAGGTTGATGCCGTTGTCGTCTCGGTCAACCACCAGGGTTTCTTCGCGAACGCGGGTCCACTGAAGCTCTTCGTGTCTGCACACGTACGTTGTGACAATTGAACCAGAAGTGGATCACTGGGGCACCGAGGCTTTGTGTATTACTGAGCTAACCTCGTTTTACGGACTTGATAGCTTATTCCTAACGAGATCAAGTGGGATCCCAACGCCACCCCTCCGCAATTTACCAACAATGAGGACATGGTCATCGAGAAGGGCACTCAAGTCCGTGTCAAGATCATTGGTATCAGGAGCGAGGTTGGCGAGATGTGGGCCATTGGGAGCATAAAAGAGGATTATCTCGGGTACTGTTCTGCCTCAACCTCTCGTTCTACTCAGGCTCTCCCTCCAATGGTCTCGAACTAATCAACTCTACAGATGCCTTCAAGAGAGCTAACAGATCTTCCGTATTTGGAAAGGGGGAGAACCGCAGAATGCTACTGTATTCGCTATGCTTTCCCACGCGACCAAGGCTGTGGAAACGCCCTTGGTTTTACACTTTCTAATCTGCTATCCCGAACTACCTACACCGATGACCCGTCGCCGAGGCCACGAGTTATGGGTAGAGTCCTCCAATGCCATTTTGATATGAGACCGCATTCGAGGACATCGCGGTCATGATGTTTTTCGCAAAATAACACCATCAGTGGGAAATTGCAAGGCGTTTAGGACATTAAAAACTGCACTGTCTAGATTTAGGCTGCATGACAGGCTCCTGTGGTTAGGGGTCTGGAACTGGTATAAAAACCACCTTCAATAGATGAAACAATTCTAGAAAAGCCCTGATCCCTTGTAGGATATCCAAGACAGACCGGGAAATCTCAACATCTATGATCCCAGGGGTCGAAAAAAAAATGAAAGAAAAATATATGATTCATGTGACGAGGGGATATCAAGTGATCGTAAACCTCTATTGCCCAGATTACCACCATCCTGAAAAACAACATTTCATCATAATCGTAAACATGAACCGCATACCAACCCAAACAAAGGAAACAAAGATCATCATGTCGTGATATGTATGCCAGCCAATAATACCCCAAATGAAGAAACCACCACCTACCCTTTCCCCTTTTAGCTTTCCCAGCTGTATGTATCTTAAGTGTCTAGTTCTGCAAATCTGGTCATTCGCCCCACGGTACTTGTACTAGGATGAGGAATCGTCCTCATCTGCGGCCTCTCCGTTTGCTCGGGCGGCGGATCAAAGGCTCTCGAAGGCAGCCATCCACCCCTCGGTGCAGAATCTCCATGAAGCTCCACCGACACATGGGACGAGGGGACCTGCGTCGTGGCCTCGGATATAGACCGGTTGTGGCCCCGAGTGCTGGGAGGGGAACTATTCGCTGGTCTGGCCCACGGCGTAGACGAAGGGTAGGTGCCGCTTCGCTTCCGGGGAGAAGGGGGGATGGGTGCGGGAGCGGGCGCGAGGATAAAGTCCGGCGGGAACCCGCCCTGGGCTTGCTTCTTGTTCTTGGAGCGCCGCCAGAGAAGGAATACGAGGATGCCGATGGCAAGGGCGGCAATGCCCGATCCGACGCCGATACCGACGATGGTACCTGTTGGGAGGCGCTTCGACTTGGAGTCTTCGGCAGCCGTTTGCGAATTTGGGGCGTCGGTCGGTGATGTGTTACCAGTTTGGGGCATCTCGGTTGGGTCGACGAGGAACGTGCTTGTCGACGTTATTGTGCGTGTATTGGGCTGTTTAGAGGAGACTGTAACCGTTGAGGTGCTGGATACTGTTTCCCGCGCACCGACAACTCTGTGCACAACAGTTAGAATGCATTCATCGGGTACTCAAACAGCAGTAGCAAATACCCACCTCGTGCTCGTGTAATAGATAGTGGTGGTGATGGTAGTCGTTTCGAGATTCGTCGTAGTTTTCGAGTCTTTTACGGTAGTTCGAGATACCTCAGTGGTGGTGACGATGACCGTCGAAGTTGACGTGCTGCCATCATTCTGGCGACGCTGTAACTTCGAGGCGCTGCGAAGTGTACAATGTCTTGCCTCGGTTGGAGAGATAGGTAGGCTGTCGTCGAGCAGGGGGTGGAGGTTGCCGCCAAAGATTAACCCCCTCCATAAGACTACAAAGGTCCTTGCCAAAGCTCCGGAGGGCAAATCGCTTCTTGCCTTTACTCGGGTCGGCGTGGCGGATTCGGCGTCCGGTGTGAGAGCGGGAACATGTCGTTTCACCACCAGCGTCGTCGTCACATATGTAACCTCAGTCTGGGTGCCTTGATCAGATGTGATGGTTGTTGTAACGATCGAGTTAACAGTCAAGGTCTCCTCGACTTGCAAATGCACAGTCACGACCTCCACCTCGGTATGCGTTAAAGTCGTCTGCACCGTCTTTGTCGAGGTGACGGTAGTGCTATTACTTCCCGTTAGTCTACAAATATGCGAGTATGGACATAGAGACTTGGTCTCGGAGGTCAATACGACGCTTACACTGGGAGCTCGCACTTTCCATCAGTGCACTTCCGGCCTTTCTCACAACATCCAGTTCCGCAACAAGTTGCCCCGGCAGAGCAACAAGCCTTTCCCGGACAGCATGTAGCAGTGGCATCCTGGCAACACCATCGATCTGCACCTAGGGAGCAGCACCCTCCGCAATCCGGGCAAAAGCCGTCCTTCTCGGCAAAACAGTAGTTACTGCCGTTCTCCAGGCACTCTCGTTTCCTGAGCCACAGGGTTCGCTGGCCGCCATAATGTGGTTCTAAACCTACGCGGGCAGGCCATGGGTCGTAGAGAAGAAAGGAAACGTCGTCGGCGAGAGTAGTCTTGTGGAGGTCTGGGGTTCGATCCGAGGTCGGCCAGGAGTTAACAAGCGGAAGAAATATCAATACTCCAAGGGCAAGGATGGTGCGGAGACTTGGTGGGGGCTCCATCCTGAGATCATGTCGTGAGAATCTACAAAACTACTAGAAAGAAACCAAGCAAAAAAGAGAGAAAGAGACGAAAACAAAAAGAAGAAAAGAAAAGACGGATCACCAGGAGTAAGTCCTCCTAAGTAAGAGCGAGACGGAACCGGTGCGACATTTTGACGGAGGGGAAAAGAAAAGCCACTCGAGCCTGGTGTGTACTACTACTTACTCAGGCCACAGCGAGGTCCGGCGGCATGGGAAGGACGAAAAATATCATGAACACAATCCGGGACAATTGGTCCTCGCCACGATCAGCAGCCGAGAACACCTGGGACTAGCCTGCAACTACTCAATGCGAGGTCGAATGTAACCGAATCATCTTCTTCGACCAAGGCAAGAAGGACAGCATAGACCAGCCACCACTCAGCTGGACTAGGTATGTACGACGTATCATCAGGCTGGGTTGTGGGAGTATTGTCTGCGGTCAATCCGATAGAATGGATGACATCCCCACCCCGCGCCCAACCTCCTCCCGGATAGTAAGGGCTGGCCTGCAGAGATTTCCGCTCTCAAGCTTCCTTTCCTCTCTGTCTTTCTCCCTCTTGCTGCTTTCACAGCTTCTCCGCTGTTCGTCTGTCAAGCAGCGTAACTTTGGGGCAATTGACGTGGGTCGGTGCCGAAAAGCTGGGCGACATTAGTATTGACCTGAATGGCAAGAAAGGGTAAACAGGCCGGTTGGTTGGAACCAGCACACCGCCCATCATCAGCCCTGCTGGTATGACACACGACGTCTGATAATTGGAGCCCGAGGTGGTCAGTGGAAGCGACTTGGTTGGGCCGGGCCATTCAGGGCACCAGAATCCTATTTTAAGGACGGAAGCTGATAATAATAATGCGGACAATGAAGGAAACCCACATTTGCCAGCGTTACATTTGGAACCATGGAAGCGGCAGCCATTTCTTGGCAGGAAGTTCATGATCTTATTTATGCCTTGCGGCCTGAGGCATAAAGATATGATTGATACGAACCCTCCAGTCGAAGTCATTTGGTAACAGCCGGTAAGAGCGGGGGGGAAAGAGAAACCAAAGCGCCAATCATCAGGCGGGCGGGGTCAGACGTGCTTACTCAAAACAGTTAAATATGTGGGTCCATTCTCATCCGTTGACTGGTCAATTACAGAAGTACACAGTGTTCAATTTAACGGGATCGCGTCTTGACGCGTCCCGTAGCGCGTTGCGTTCCCAGGGTCGTCGTGAGACGTCACAATGGTCATGGTCATGGACATTCCCCCCACCCACCTCGATTTCAACCTGTTTTCTCGCTTTACGAAGTACTTTTTGGTTCTTACTCGGAGTATTATCTCTGTCACTGTCGCCAATCACGAATGGGGCAGGCATCATGACGCTGGAACAAAGCCGGTACCCCTCCCCCAAAGCACTTGCAGTTGAAACAAAATCAAAGCGCAGACTGCGTAAATCTTATCGGGATGCAGCGGCAGATATCTAGTCGCTACCAGAACTTGTCGTGTTCCATGATGACGATGATGACCACAGACCATGGTAAGAGGCAAGAAGTGGTCATTCCGCAACACAAGAATCGTGGGGGCCCAACACCGATGAAAAACCAGAGATCCGATCCGTGGATGGCTCAGACCATAAGGGTTTACACAGCTACTAGATTCCTTCGTAGCTCCACTCACATTCTGCATCCGGCTCCTTAGTGTTGGATGAAGAGATCACTCTCGAACGATTTACTTTGTAAGGGCAAGCCAAACTTAGCGGGAGAAGCGGGCCCGGTTTTATTAGAGGAATAGTACTAAATTAGTGCATGCCCTGGACTGTCGCCGAGGAGTAAAGTGTATACTATTCTTTCCGCTTCGGGATCTTGAGTATTACGAAGTATAGACCGACCCTGAAGATTGCACGATGTTGCTGCTGGATGCACGGGGGTCATTTGACCATCCGGGCTGGACCAAATGAAGATAATGCAGTAGGAGACGTGCGGGAAATGAATTGTGCGGTTGGGTGACCATCTAAATTATCACGACTTCTCAAAAGGAACGCTAACTGAGAGCAGACATCTACACCCCCTCCCCCCCAATCAATCTCTTCACGGTTCTGGCGGAAAGGGAGGGCCAACTGACGATTTGAGGCTTCTCCATCACACCAACCACTTCCAGAAATGTTGTATTCTCCTCCGGACCCGAAAGAGTGGCTAGTTGAGACACCAGACCGTTCGTGGCCGATCCAATATGATAATCCACGCCGAGTGGAAATTCATAGTTCATTTACAAAGTACCAGAAAAGATGCCAGAACTTGGATTGACTCGAAGCTAGACCCGGGAAAAGATCAATGATAAGACACGGGTTTGGTTTATCGGGCTCCCTTGAGAGTCTAGACGAAGCCCCCTTGCGTATCGTATCGACGAAAATGTCTGACCAGCTGGCCGCCGCCTTGAGTCTCATTAACACTCGGGGGTTCGTACCAAGCGGGCTAGCCCTTCTACCCTCCATTAAGAAGTACGATGGCTGCCCCTACGAAGGTACATAGCTCCGCGAACGCCGCGGCTAAAGGAATGGGTATTAGTATGTCTCGCTTGTGTTGCGAATCGGAGACGGGGGAAGGATGGCAATATTAATCCCGCGCAGAGCCATTGACAGTCACAGGACAGGATTATTTCCAGGAAAGGGCGGGATTCGTAGTCGTTTAACCAGGTCTTGACATCGAAAAGTTCGAGAGGTAATATATTTCAATGCCCTACTAGGCATCTCAGCCGGGCTTTTTGAATCTTGATCCGTCACTCACTCTCTCCTTCCACACGTTGTAACAGGAATGGTCGTCATACGTGAGTTTGATACACGAGAGCAATAATCCTAGGATAAAACAGAAAAAGTGCCTTGGTCAGAGTGACACGGGCCCAAAGATAGGCAACCGACGGAGTGTGAATACCTTTTGCCGCTTTTCCCCCGCTTCGCCCGTGGCGAACCGTAAGTGGGATCTCTGAGCTGAGACACGGAATAGTTCTGGCGATGAACCTTCACTCCCTCGGTCGAGATCCAAATACATTGTCTAGTCTAGCATCCGAAGGAGGACAGACGGGAAAAGGGGTCCGTCTGATCGAGGCCCTTGCATTGGTCTGTCTTGGAGTGCATCACGGAGTGCAGTGGTTGCTGCAAGAAGGTTACGCACAAAGTCATCCCTCCATCATGGGATTTGAGAACGATGATCGGGAGAGGGAATAATGGAGAGGGGAGAGGGGGAATGTATGGACATTGTCGAGGTCGAGCCAAGTCCTTAACCACACATCAACGAACTGCAACAGGGGGCCGCGTCTAGGACATACAGGTGCGCTACTGCAGGAGGAGAGGCGGAGGAGGAGGGACATTTGAGTGAGTAAAGGAATAGCAACGGACGGCATTGGAAGAGCACGGATCAAGCACTCGCACAGCAAAAGGTGAGGGGCGGGCGAGAGATACCGCTAAGCCAGGTCTCGAGTACATTGACGATCCATAGTGGCATCTCGCCATCCGCGTGGAACACGGTTGAGACACTCCAGCTGGGGCAACTTGGCGGTCGAGGAACTGTACCACGGACCTGCTCTTCAAGTAGATTAGCTGCATATCAATATAGGTACGACATGCATCTGGTGAACCGGGCTTGGCTGCCACATTCCCACCCACTTTCGTCCTGCTGCTCGTCCATCCTCAATACTCGACACTCGATGCTCGATTCCACCCACACTGGAGCCGAGTTCCTTCTCTCCCCCTCGCCTTTGAGTTGCTTGCTTCTGCCATATTGAATGCCATCAGGTACGCTGGAAATCCTGGCATGGACTTGTGAGGTTCGCCAGATTGCTCAGGATAAGAAATTCCAGCAGCGCTCAGGCCAGATGCCGCTGCCACAGACAAATCGAGTTCCCAGCGAGCCAGAGGAAGAGTCGCGAAGCACGGAGCATAAAGCTGCAGTCACTGATGCATCCATCGATGGCATGCATTGCACCCTGTACACAGGCATTTAAGACTCGCAGACCACCTTTGTGCCCTCCCGCAAACGGGAAGATTGGAATTCGAGTTTCATACCCACTAGGCCTCCACTCATTTACTCAAGCAGAGTGTTCCCGTTCCGGGTTGTGCTCCCACCCTTGACACACCCTCCACTGTCCACCTGCTCTCGTCCTCGCACTTGCTCCCACTTGTACATCGTACCCTCGTCATCCCGTCATCATCTGTATAAAGTGTACTTTGTACTTTTACGAAGTACAGTGCTCCATTGCACTGATACGCTACACTACTCTCGTCCACCTGCCCACCTCGCGCCTGCAACCACCCCTGTCGCGTACCCATTAAAGTCCATTCCCGCCATCTGCTGCACGACTTCGTACCCCCGTCATTCCTGGCTTGCCTCAACGTGCTGTTTCCTGAATCTTGGGTGCCATTCTCGTTTCTCCCCTCCCGCTGGTCCTGGGGCTCTCCGCTGTCAAATATCCCGTTGGCGCCAACCCTCTCCCCCCCACCATCCTCGATCTATTCTGTTAATCTTCCCACTTACACCATACCGCCATCTCGCCAGATCACCATACCCAACCGGCCCTCCGAGACACGCCTGCCACTAGATCGCAAGTCGAAAATTTCTGTTCGCTACTACTAGATATTGGCGCCGTGCTCTTCTCGTCGAGCGACACAAAATCAAACCACTAAAATTCTCGCTCCATTTGCGCAGCGCAAGTCGTCTCAGGTCTCGTCGCATCACGGTCGCAAAAATTGCCCACACCAACGCTCCAGTCGCAATTGCAATCGTACCACTCTTCCAATCCATTTAAGCTAAAAACCCTTCCATAACAAATTCCTATTAAACCCTACTGCGCTCTGCGAACATGCTGTTACCCTCTGCGCTCCAATGCGACTCGTCGCAAACCGCGACAACTCGTCTCCAAGCCGCGCTGTTCGCTTCGCCTCCCGCGAGCCCACCAACTGTCACAGCACAAAACGCCTTCGGCAATATAGTCAACACGTGTCGCTCTCTACAGGCCCTTATTGCGACACCGACTGCTACCACTACCGCCTCCTCGCCTCCTCCAGCACACCAACTTCCTACACCGCCCATGTCGTACGCCGAACCTCCTCCTCTAAAACTCCGTCTACGGCCTCGCGCGAAGCCCGAAAGCTCCTCCGAATATACTCTTCCTCGCAAGCGAATCGTGAAACGCCAAGCGCCGCGCGGCGTGAATAAGAGGAGGCGCGCTCTAGACGATGACATGGGCAGGGACGATGTTGACGAGAATGACGATATTGAGAGCGATCTTGAGATCTCAGCAGAGGCAGGAGGGGATGCCGAAGTGCAGCAACCTGCGCCTCAGACTCCCAAGCGTGCGAGGTTAGCCCCCGAAGCCATGCCTCTCGGTCTCGGGAGGTCTGATTACCACGATCTACACCTTAGGCAATTAGAGTCCAGCCAAGGTCTAAGTGTCAACCAAGACCAGGACCTATCCACCCAAGGACATGACGAGTGGACTGCTGAGGACGACCGGATACTGGTGGAGCTTGTGCTGGAGAAGCTTAAGCTGACCAAGTCGGACTGGCAGGACTGCGCTCGGAGTCTGGGGAAGGATCGTCACAGCGTTGGACGAAGGTGGAGGAGTCTGATGATCAACGGCGAGGTTGGCCTCAAGACGAGAAGTAGCAGGCGAGCTAAGTTGCATTCTACCTGGAGGTAGCCCACAGCCATATACCGCTGCAACCTCCTTTCACTTCGTTTCTTGTTTGTATACTAGCTTATTGGGTTTTGGAGGGGCTCTTGAAGTTTCCCTGTGTATTATCTTTTGGGCACCCAGGGGTTTTGGTGTTGGGTTTAAAACGCTTTCCGCCCACCTACACAAGGGGGTGACGTGCAATGGGAGGTTTGGTAGTCTTTCGCTCCGTTCAGTTTTCCTTACTGATTTCAGTTTACATACAAATGATATCCTTTTATTTCAAAGCATCCTCTATCATTGAGTACTCGACCCAGTTGCTCGGATTCACCCGAACTGGGGAAAAAGTTTCAAAAATATGCGTCTGTCCCAAATGAGAACGTCTTTGCTCTACTTTACTTCGTACGCTTTTACAGATGCCAGGTCGCAGCAGGGGAATTCTAGCGGGAACTTGGTCCCATCAGATCTCCCCTTTCAAAGTCCCTGACCCTCACCGCAACCATGACGAAGCAGGGCCTGGACCCCTGATGTCAATGCTCCGCTTTGCATAAAGTAGGGCTCACTCGAGCCTCCATCAATATTTAAGACCAAGTACTTCAACCTTGCTGCAGAGGCATTGGTGAGGACAGTCCGAGCTCCGGTCTTGGGTCCGGGACCTAAACTTTGCATGGTCCGAGGGTCGTCCATATAACCATGGTGTACCTTTGTAGAAAGGAAAGGCTAAGCGTCAATGTTGCAGGATGATCCAAGAGGATTGCGGCTCTAGGGGTGTTTCGTGGGGTATTATGGATCAAATTTATTAGCATCAAGGTTGCTAGTTTCGCATGGTCCCAACCCGGCTTTCGTCTATTAGTTTGACTTAAACCGTCTGCCGGGTGAGTAGCGTGAAGAAACCTCCGCCATATCCAAGCCAATCTATGGGAGAACAACATCATCGGTATGTACGATGTCCAGCCCAGGTTCCATCCGTCGATGGGTCTTCAATTACCTGGAAGCAGCCTGGGGTGTTCCGTCACCGGGCAGCCGGGCAGCCCAGCATCCAACAGCCCACAGCCTCCTTGAGTGCCACGTATTGTCGCGGAACCGCATGCCGGTTACCGGTCCTAGTTTCATATCGGAAACTCGTAATTAACATCCGACTCTGGTGCTTCGGAAGGATGAGCTCCAGTGTTGGAGGAGATGTTAGGCTCCTTCTCAGCTTAGTGTGCTCGGATGAAAGGGACAGGTTGATTCTCGATGGGTTGGTTCTAGCAACCTTTCTGATATTAAGGCTCGAGTGGGACTTGGCTTTCCTTCTAGCTGCATTGATGCCGTACTTTATAGATAGTTTCTGGACTTATTGCTTTCTTTAAGCTTCGTCGAAGAAAATGGAAATGTGTATAGACAGACCTTGAGGACTCTAAGATCTAATCGTTAGCATCGCAGTCTTGACTAGTCTAGAACATGCCCCCTACCTACTCTAGCTGCCCTGAGCCTATGACGGGGATAGTTTGTATAGAGCTGGGTTTAACTCTGTTGTTAAATTATACACAAGCTTGGTCTTAGGCACAATGCGAGATCTGAACTGGCTACATATGGAGGCATGCACAGAACAAAACGAGGCAGACAAGACAAGAAGCTAATATTCATTCAATTCTGAAGAATATTCTAGTTGCAATCCATTCTCCATATTCCTGTCCTGGAAATGTCAATCGCAGCATGGGATATGGGCAGTGAAAATGGAGGGATGAGATCATGACGTCGACGGATTGTGTCTACTTTGTTTGACATCTACCTCCCCTCCAGTACATTTAGTTTGCACACAAATTTCATCCCTTCAAGCTCTCCTTGACCATAAATCATCAACTTCCAGTCTTCCACCAAGCCCACAAAATCCACCAAACTACAATCCACCCTCGTCAAGGTGGAATTGACCCACCAACAGCATCTCCACCCTCACTCGAAGCAAACAGCTCTCAGCTTCGATACAGCTCAACCTCTCCATCCTTCAACCCCACCTTCGACAAGCTCAAGCTACCCCTCACCCAACCACCACCCCTCCACCTGGCCATCACCATGCCACCAACCCTCACCAGCACCTGGGCCGTAAAAGCCAAAGCAGGCGAACCCCACGCCCTCATTCGCATCCGCAACCTCCAATCCACCGCCCGCATCGGCGTCGACGCCTGGGGTCGCCCGAACAAATCCCAGCCCATCCTGGTCTCCGTCGAAGTCTCCCTCGCCCAGCCCTTCGCCGAGTCCTCGTCCACCGACAAGGTCGAGACCGACACCGTCCACTATGGCCGTCTGAGCAAGGCTGTCCTTGCCACCCTCCGCGAGGTGGATACCGCTGCCGCCGCTGGTGATGGCGCCGCTGTCTCGCTGCGCCGCCTGCTGGATATTATCTGGTGGGAGCTCGCGAGTGTTGGCGTCGATGGGTCACCGGCGCCAGGGGCCGTGGATGTTGAGAAGGCGTTTTTGAACCTTTCTGGCGTTAGATACTTGAGCGTCACACTTCACTTGCCGAAGGCGACCTTGTCTGGCGGTGGGGTGAGCTTGACGGGTACTTCGCTTTTCGAGATGGGGCCTCTGGGACCTGAGGTGGACGTGTATGGAGTATGCTTGCAGCTTCACAAGTTACAGGTGCCTACGTTGATAGGCATTAACACCAACGAGAGGGAAGCGAAGCAGCTGGTCATTGCGGATATCAAGATTGACAAATTTATTGAGACTACCGACGTCTATCCGGCATTAGAGAAAGCTATCCACAAGGCAGGTCACCTCCATCGGCCCCCATCCAACCCCGCGAGAGTGGTATGTTTGTGCGTGCACCGAATGTACTGACTAAGGTCCCTGAACCCTCTAGAACATGTCGAATTCATCCTTCGGTACCCTTGAGGCCCTAGCTGTGGATTTAGTTTCCTCAATAAACGCCACGAGAAGCGACGCGCCGAGAGAGCCCTCGTTGCCGGATGCATGGCAAGTTAAGATTCAGCTTGAAAAGCCCGTTGCTGTACCCCTTGCAGAAGGTGCAGGGATCGAGTTTCTGTCAAACTCATCCGCACAATCGTGAAGCACTTGCTGACGATTCATGCGACGGCGGGATGGGAGTCGTTCGGGATTTCAACGTTGGCCATGATTCTCCTAGAATATGGAATGTCCCCGTTCGTAATCCCCTTGACGAACTCCATGTCAGGGTCAAAGAGCATCACATGGAAATGCTCGACGGTTCGAACCGACTTGAGGCTGTTCCAGTTGCGGAACCACAACACCTAGTGAAGAGCTCCAGGTTAAAAAAAAAGTGAAAACACGTGTGCGATTGGAAAAATAGCAGAAGCGAGAAAGAAGGATGGTTCGTACTTGATCCGCAGGGACTTTAGTCCGGAAAGTCTTATTCACGTATTCGTCGATGGCAACCCTCTCCTCAGCCGTAAGGTCTCCAGTCTCAGGATCCTCCCGTAGCGGAAACTTGGTCCACACCAAAAGGTGGACGATGCGTGGGTCAACGCCGTAGGGCCAGTCATTGTACAGAATCTTAATATCACCGCTGCACTCGAACGGGGCGCCCCTTGGCTCCAGAGGCAAGCTCCACCCGAGCCTCTTCTCGAGAAGAAAGTTCGTGACACTTCCGTAGTCCTGCTTGAGTTTCCAAGTAAAAGCATGGTATCGGCGCAAGTCCGAGGGAAGGCGGCGGAGATAGTCGATCCGATTCGCCGCGACCTCCGTCAGCACCTCCTCCCAGGCCATGATGGAGAATTCGGAGTCGGGTATGTTGAGAATCTCCAAGTCCCGGACCTTCATGTTTCGCAGGTATTCGGGACACTCTTCTGTCCGTTCCTCTTCCGGAACGCCGATCTGCCAGTATGGGAGATTCTTCGTGCCGTCGGCCATCTTGACCTTTGCCTGTGCTTGGCATGAAAAGAGGAGTTTTGGGCTCGAGGATGGCTAGGATCAACGAGAGGCTTGGCGGCGATCAGGCTAGAGGCGTATTTATATTGGCTGAGAAGCCACTGCTGGCGTGTGGATTGATCGGAATGCGATATTGGTCTGCCATGACTTCTCAATTCAGGTCGGTCGGTGGAGGTTAAGACTTGGTGATTCACACCCATACGAAGTGCTGAGCCTGCAGCTGTCACCACTCGCGCCTTCCAGATGCATAGATAGAGAATGCATAGTCCCGAGCATGGCTGCACGTTTCCTTGAGATTATACAGCTGGCTTATAAATTCATGATAGGCATAATACAGCAAGAGCTGCCCATGACTTTGGGAATTGTTAGCCGTGAGCCGTGCACCCACTTCTTTCCTCTGTTTGATGCTGAATTGATGCTTCCCTCACTCATTTGTTGACTAGCTTGTGATCATCCTGAGCTTTTCTCTCAAGTTCCCCCCCTTCGAACCTTCCACACATTGTTTCATTCTCTAAAACTTCTTCATAGTTATTCTCTCCGAGCCGGATCCGGAGCGACTCAATTGAGATGACACACTGTTTGAGTTGTTTCCCAGACGACGCAGGTGAATATTGACTATCGTGAGATCCTGTTTATTGGGGTTAGTAGGATTGACGCGTCAGTCGGGATTTTGTCGCCCACCGCCCGCTGGGTCTCCTAAAATGACGGGACATGGGTTCGGCCTGCTCAGGTCAGTCATGAGGAAGGCGTGAGAATTATATGTCGTATCGACGCCCCTGCTCGGCAGTCTTGATTGCGGCTGTGTCGGTTGAAAACACAGGCGTGCCTCACGTTTATAATGAAATTAATTTTAGGGCGGCTCCAATGGGACGAAAATTGTACTAAAAAGGTCACTCTTTCCAACCTGGCGTTCTGGACCCCTTGACCTGGAGCTCTTTATCGGTCATGCTCAAACTGTTTTCTCATGGACAAGGTCCCAAGGTCAAAGTTAATATGCGGTTGTTCCTTTCGGTGGGAGTCGTTTCCCCACGTGGCTTGGTGTTGGCCCCCCTCGTTTCTCTGGGTGGTCTGCCCAGCCTGCTCCTGCACTTCATACAAGTAGGAAGCACACTACTTCGTGCCTTACGAACCGCTGAGGCAGGAAGATTTCTGAATCAGGTCCTCACCGGGTGGGGAGACGAAATCCGTTGCTGCCATTGAAAGTTTTACGCTAACCACTGATCATCAGGGCGCAGGGCTCTTTTGGAGAGTCTAGACGAAGTACATACGAAGCAACTGATGTAGCGCCTACGACACTAGTTGCCGGAAATTGGTGAGAAACTAGGGGGCTTCGAAAGGGCTAGGCATATCGTTAAATCCGCACTGCGAAGTTAGTATATTTCACACTTGGATCAGTGGATCATTGTATTCTCCAGCCTGCCTAGCCTGCTAGCCTGGCGATGTGCTGTGCCGAACTACTGCTGCACACACTATATAGCCCTCTTTTTTTCTTTTAGACTTATCTGAGATCGCTGCTGCACTGGTGCTTCACCGCCCGTTGAACAGACGTTGCACTGCACTAGCAGAGTACAAGTAGGGGCTAGTGGAGTTCAATGTTGATAGGTCCACGAGGTTGTGTCCTTCGAAGTAGGTTAAGATGGTGGGCAAGAAATTGGATTCGTTCGGTCGAGATTTCTTCGAATGTTAGAACCGGAAAAAGGCGATTATCTCGAGGGGTCGATTTACACTCATTGATGTCATTAACGGCAAAGGCACTCTCGAAGGCGTCATCTTGTACATAGTAGCTCACATCTGAAGCAATACTTGCTGGGCGCTGGCAAGAGAGGTGTCTGCCATGCTCATGAAATCGATGTGAAGAAGGGTGAAGGTCGGACTCTGTCCCATGATTGGTTCAACAGAAGTTTAGAAACGCCACCTGGATAATATTTCACAGCTTGATGTTGCAGTGGGTGCTGAAGTACACTAATCGCAGAGCTAAGTTCCTTGGGCGCGGATGTGGCAGGCTGGATACTGCATATGCCGATGGTCTACTTGGACAAACAATGCTGCTAAATATGCTCGATATGACGAAAACTTTGGTTCGCTTGCGGAATTCCCCGATGCGATGTCGTGGAAGGAAAGATAGGAACTCGAAGTTTCCTGCCCAATGCATTCGTGCTTTTCGTCCCCTCCGATAGCGAAGAGAGCCCAGCATACACTACCTGTAGGCCGCGATGCTTATCCGGCTGCCGTTGTTCGTACTCAACAAATTCGGTATGACCGCCGATTCTTCTGCCACACTGGCTCTGCTAGTACCAGTGATTAGGCTTCGGGGCGAGTTATCTCGACCACGCATCTGTGCAGACTCTTGGAGTAATTCATATATATATATATAAATATGTATGTACGTATCAGCATGCCAGCATCCCTACATACATCAAGGTTGGTTGCACCCACGACAGAAAAAACCAGCTGCTGTGGTGTAACCCGCCATTTTCGGTTCAATAAAAGTCAGTTGTAAAATCTACTTTGCGCCGAGCCACATCCATTTTGCCTCTGCGTGTTCCTCATTTGGAAGTGGGCTGCTCTGGACTCACATCCAAGGGAGCCTCTTCATCACGGTGAAACTATCGTCGATCCTTCCCGAAATATCGGATTCGGAGGGAAGAAGAGCGGGATTGTGAGCACATATACATCGACGGACACCACTTCGTAGGTTTGTTCTGCGATGTGATTCAATGTTCACTCTTCCGGTAGAGACAACGGAGGACAGCGTTGAAAACCAGAGGGCAAGAAGAGCGGTTTGGCTAGACATGAATCACTTACCCAATCCATTGCCAGGAGGTTGTATCATGGCGCCACCTAGCCCTGTAGTAGGAGAATTGAATTGGAAAGGGCAGCCAGACTACGAGAGGAGGAATCAGTACCTCGCAGTTGATATCAATGCATTACTATGTATGTTCTCGTACCCGTCTGCATGCTTCGTAGTGTAGTGTACCCGTGACCAAGTACAATTGGAACAGCAAAGGACAGGACAGTCCTAGTCAATGGGGCCACTTCTCATAGATACACTTGATGTACTTACTTTCCCTCCTGGATCTCTGAGGTACGAAGTACTTCGTACATTACCGGGAAGACAGAGGACAGGGGAAGCTCCAAGGGATCATTGATCAATTGATTCGACTGGACAGGCAGGACGAGCCCATAGCTTCCAACCCCACCATCATGGGGAGCTCTCACCCCTTCGTCATCCACCCCCCTCCCCTCCCGCCCTGGACTCGCCACTCTTGCCTGGCCGACCCCCTTTTTCAAAACAATCAGAAACTACTGTTCAGCATCCAACACCTCAACATAAAAACCTGAGATCCCCCGATATACAACTTCGTCCTTCTGCTCCCTAACATCGTCGTCGTTTTCTTGTGCTTGCTCCTCGCCTTGTGTTCCTTTCTTTGCTACTCCCATCCTGTCCCAACAAGAAATCGTGCTCTAGCTTCAATATCCATCCCCGTAGCTCTCTATCATTGCACAATGTCACAAGGCGTAAAGTCATCGGTCCCTACCCACCTCAAGCCCTCCCCACTGGGCGGCAATGGCGGTCTAGACGCTGATAACCTCTTCCAGCGGAAACATGGCAAGACTCGAAGCCACATGGTGAGTCGATTCTCTTGCTCCCTTAGATTGTTTGTTGCATTTGTCGCCGAGTTTGCACACATCCCCTCCCTCGAAGCTCCGAGCCCGAAATCTCCACGCCAGAGCCTGGATCATGAGACTGGCCTTCTTGGAAGTCTTCCTACTCGATGCAGTGCCGATTGCCGCAGAAAAACATCGAAAGACGAAGCCTCTTCCGACGAATTTCCGCATACAATATATACCCACAACTGGGCTGTTGCGCTTGGAGAAGGTGCTACCAAGCCCATCTAGCAAATCCACTAGGATATTGCAGATAGAAGGAGCATCTGGCAGCCTCCAGCTCAGCTTGATTCTCTTCGAGAATCAACACTGGGCTGATTAAGGCTTTATTTTACCCTTCTCCCTGACATCTTGTCACGGAGCTTCAGGTCCTTTCCCTCTTGTGGACTTCCACAACCCTGTGCAGAGGCTACTGCCACAATTTGCCTGCTTCCTTTCTACCTCTAGATTTAACAAGCCCACTACATCACGATTGCCTCTGCAAATACAATGGGGAAGACTTGTATGCTAACTTTGCCCGAAAAGGCTTTTGAGCACGCCTCTACCAATGTTGCTGCCGCCCAGATGCGAAATGCCCTCACGGGTCTTGCTGAGACGGTTAAGGACCCTCATGAGAAGAAGGTACGAAATTCAATCCCACCCTACTCGATTGAGGCCTGGATCATAGTATAATAAACTGGATTTGGCGCTAACGAGTTCTCTGTGGCTTTACAGCTTTTCGAGACTGAGATGGACAACTTCTTTTCGCTTTTCAGGCGCTATTTGAACGACAAGGCCCAAGGAAATGCTGTGTACGCCTGAGTCCATATCCCTATCTATCTGGCAATGAAGGACACGCCCTTCGAAATCGAAAGAGAGACAAGCCACTAACATCTGGTGCGCATCATTACATAGTGATTGGGATCGCATCAACCCTCCCGCGCAGGGCCAAGTCGTCGAGTACGAGGACCTTGCCAACTCTGACGCCGTTCAGTTCCTGAACAAGCTCGCCGTTCTCAAGCTCAATGGTGGTCTTGGTACTTCCATGGGCTGCGTCGGCCCCAAGTCGGTCATCGAGGTCCGTGACGGAATGTCGTTCCTCGATCTTTCCGTCCGCCAGATTGAGTTCCTCAACGAAACATATGGCGTCAACGTCCCCTTCCTCCTCATGAACTCTTTCAACACGAATGACGACACCGAAAACATCATCAAGAAGTATGACGGCCATGGCGTCGAGATCATTCCCTTCAACCAGTCGCGATACCCCAGAATCTACAAGGATTCGCTCCTTCCCGTCCCCAAGGACTTTAACTCGTCCATTAGCGACTGGTACCCTCCCGGTCACGGCGACGTCTTTGAGTCTCTCTACAACTCTGGTGTCCTTGACCAGCTCCTTGATAGGGGTATTGAGATCATCTTCCTCTCTAACGTTGACAACCTTGGTGCCGTCGTTGATTTGAGGATTCTCCAGCACATGGTCGAGACTGAGGCTGAGTACATCATGGAGTTGACCAACAAGACCAAGGCCGACGTCAAGGGTGGCACCATTATTGATTACGAGGGTTCCGTCCGCCTTCTGGAAATCGCTCAGGTGCCTAAGGAGCACGTCAACGAATTCAAGTCGATCAAGAAGTTCCGATACTTCAACACGAACAACATCTGGCTCAACCTCAAGGCTATTAAGCGCGTCGTTGAGAACGATGAGCTTGAGCTCGAAATTATTCCCAACGGCAAGACCATCCAGAAGGGTGACTCTGATGTCTCCATCCTCCAGCTCGAGACGGCGGTCGGTGCAGCTATTCGACACTTCCGTAATGCTCATGGTGTCAATGTGCCCCGACGCCGTTTCCTCCCCGTCAAGACTTGCTCTGACCTCATGCTCGTCAAGTCTGACCTCTACACCGTCAAGCACGGCCAACTTCAGCAGAACGCCGCTCGCTTCGGCGATGCCCCTCTTATCAAGCTCGGACCCCACTTTAAGAAGGTCTCCGACTTCCAGAAGCGCATTCCTTCGATCCCCAAGATTATTGAGCTTGACCACCTCACCATTACTGGCGCTGTCAACCTTGCCCGTGGCGTGACCCTCAAGGGAACTGTCATCATTGTCGCTAACGAAGGCAGCACGATCGATATTCCCCCTGGTTCAATTCTTGAGAACGTCGTTGTCCAGGGAAGCCTGCGTCTCCTTGAACATTAAGGGATGCGTGAAAACGTGGCAAAGAAAGGAGAAAGACGGAGAGCGTATACCGACGAGGACGTGGAGAGGCGACAATGCATTACGGCCTTCATGTCTACTTCATTTTACTTATGCATGAGAAAAAGAGTTTCGAGGGAAAATTCGGATGTGCTTTTTTTTTAAGGGTTGCGGATACTTACATTAATGATGACGGACGGGTAATAAGCACGTCGATAATATAAAAAGCATTCACAAAGTCTCTGCAGGAATTAGGGTTAGGGTGCGTGATATTATAGCGATCCTGCCTACCTCTGTATGTAGTTTGAACGCATGTATGAATATAAACATCTCACCGAAACTGACTTGGGCTATCAACGAATGGCATGGAGAAGGCATGGAGACTGGTAATCTCTTGCATAGGTTTTGTAATTGGGAGGGTATCATTCATTAAATCTGGGATTTCTGTAGGACTTCAGAAACATCAGACCTTTAGGTGGCCGTCATTATCCGCAAGAAGCTTGCAACACAGGGTGGCTCCACGGCAGGCCGCTGCAGCCAGAGGAATCCTCATCTCGTCAAATATCCATTCCCTGGCCTTCGTTCTTTCTCCCTCGCACCTCCTCATCTTCATCCCGAATCACTCGTCGCCTACTTCGCCTTCTTCCCGATCTTATCGGAGCAGACGGGGCAGTACCACTTGCCGTTCGGCTCGCTCTTAAGGCCTACGCACGACCAATGGAACCACTCATAGGGACACTTCTCATTGTCGCACGCCACCATGTCGCCGAAGCTGACGTTCTGACACAAACAATATTTCTTGTCATCCCCGCCCTCTTCGTCCTCGGCGTCGGCCATTTCCGTGTCTTCTTTGCGGGGACCACCACCTCCTCTTTCACCCTCTTGCTGCTTCTTGGAGGGGGGCCCCGTTGTCGCGTGGGCTTGGGCGGCAGCCGAACCTGCCGCCGCTCTCGAGGGTGTACCGCTCCGGGCTCGTTGGCTCGTACTCCTGCGGGATTCGGTGTCGTCGACTGCGCTGCCGGTTTCGGCTTCGGAGAGATCGCTCTCTGCGGGTGAGACGGGGGAGTTCTTGCTCGAGGCTTTCTTGACGCGGAAGAGGGAGGATTTGTTGCCGTTGGCGGCGGCGGTCTTTTTGCGGCCGGGCGCGCTGGGGGTGCCTTTTCGGCTTCCTCCGGCTGTTGCGGCCTTTGAGGTTGATGTGCGGGGACCGGCACTACCAGCCCGTACGGCGCCGGTGGCTCCAGTCACCGCCGTTGACTTGGTGGGACCGGGTCCTAGGGACGAGTGCCTAGCCAGGCCGCTGGGATGTGCTGGTGTGGTGCCGAGGCCGGTGGTGGATCGAGGGCCGCGCTTCGGGGCTCCGGATGTTGGGCCGGCAGAGCTTTCGCGCGCTTGACGGCTGAGCATGATGCTAGCGGCCGGGGTTGCGGGTGCCGAAGCGGCGTGTTGTTGCGTCTGGGCATTTCTTATGTGGGCGACGGTCGCCTTGTTCGTGATAGGAAGCGTCGTTTGAGGAGGGTGGACGGGGGTCGAGGGGATGGAAGGACCCGTTATGTTTGTTCGGAAGGAGGGGGTGGTGATGTTCGCGGCGCTGTTTCGAAGAAGCGAGGGGACCTCGTCGGGATCGTTAAACCCGGGTTCCACGCGATCGTATAGGCCTTTTATCTGGCGGTCGAGGTAGAGTATCTGTCTATCGTAGAGTTCCTGCAACCTCCTCGAGAGGGCCAGCTTCTCGTCGGAAAACTTCTCGGCCTTGGCGTAGTTCTCCCTGATCTGGTTCCTCAGGTTATCCTCGCGGGGATTGGGCATGTGGCTGCCATTCGTCTTGATCCAGCGCTGTATCTTAGCATCGCGGTCCTCGACGATGCGCAGGGCGTCGTTGACCTGGCGGTCTTTGTCGGTGATTTCGGCTTGGATGAAGCGGATCTCTTCGGGGATGTTTTGGAAGCGGTAGAAGAAGTCGTCCAGGATCTGGGCGGGATCGATGGCTTCTTGCTGAGGCATCTTTTCGACAAAGTCGATGGTCAGATCGTCTCTAGGCATGGTTGTTAACGGAGAAGGGGGGGACGAGGGCTAGGCCTCAAAAAAGAGAGAAGGAGGAAGAGAGAGGCCGATGAACGAGAGCGGCAAGCAGCGCATGAAAAAGAGGCAACGAGGGGAGAAACAAGACGAGTGAAAAGATGACGGCATGTAGGCAGGCAAACGAGGGGAAAGGAGCCTCCTTCTCCGTTCCGCGAGGCAAGCCGGGGTCGAACGATGACGCCGAGTCAGACCCCTCGGGGTGAATACACAGTGTTGCTCGTGTGTTCGAGAACTCGAGGAAGACGGGAAGATCCAGGAGATCGTGAGGCACAGTTAAAGCACCAACAGACACGTGCAACTTGATGATGGGGGAAAAGAAGGCAATGTATGTACAAGTATTGAGTGTAATGCACTACTTCAGTAGCAGTGGGGGTGAAGTGGGCACATGCATGGTCGGGTACAAAGTAGTAATTTGAAGAGATTCAAGCCCAAACGTCTACCAGCTAAACCCTTGGCGAGAAGGGCGCTGGCTGGATTTGGGGGTTTGAACTGGGGGCTTCCGGTTGTCAAGAGCAACGGCGGGAGCAGAACACTCGTGTCGTAGGCAGCCAAGTGCAGTGGCGACGACTTGAAGGCTGAACAACGGCTCACCTCAAAGAGAAAATCCGGGGTGGGCAATGGGTGAGATAGATGTCGCAACTGTCAAAATTCTTTAGACATCCACTACATGGGGGCAACGCTCATATAAATGGATGGGGAAGAGGCGAAAGAGAAGTCGTGGATTTGTGGAAACGCCGGGCTCCAATTCTAGTAGTGCCAGATTGGAGACTGATTTGATAGAGTCCACGCAGGGGGCGCAGAGTGAACAATGAGCCGCGAAGAAAAAAAAGCAGGAAATTCTCGATCTAATATTAGCGAAATGTCGAATGTTCAACGCTAGACTCACATGCCGCGCTTAGTCACCCGTAACACAGGACAGGACTATTCCGCACCCCACAATTGCAACCCTGTTCTCGACATTTGCCACCTGCAACCATGTGGCTGGAAGTCGCGACTGGACCAAGACAGATGGCAGTTAGTGGCGGCAACCTTCACTAATTCCCAAGTCGCCTTCATCTCGAAGACTCTCTCACTCTCACTCCAACCCTCCTCAGAACAACAACAACTTCAATTTCAGAAACCTCGACTTGTTCGGTTTCTGTTTCAGGGTCGAATCCGGAGAATATATCCAGAAATATTCTCCCAAAAAAAGTTCTCCTGGTGAATATAACCTCAACGCGCAGTCTGGTTACTGTAGAATTCGCCCCGCCACTCACTCATCCCAACTTAAACCGCCTCGTCTTCACCCTTCACCATGGAGACGACGGTATGCTCCATGATCGATGATATCGACTCCTCATTCACATATCGCGTGCCCAGGGCGAACTACTTACCACACAGGGTTGGACTCGACGAGACGATAATAGAAGAGTACAACGTGCCGCTCGGGAAGGCATCGGAGCGCGAACATGCAGAGTACTACCTCAAGATGAAGCGCACCGCGCAGGAGATGGGCATCACGAGGCCAAAGGGCTACACGGTGTCTTTCCACACGAACCCCGAGATGGAGAAGCACCATTTCGGCCAGACCCATCCCATGAAGCCATGGCGACTGACTCTGTCCAAGAGTCTAATTTCTGCGTACGGCATGAATTTCGCCATGGACAACTACATCGCTCGAGCCGCCACCTACGATGAGCTCGCCAACTTCCACACCACAGATTATCTCGATTTTCTAGCCACAATTCCTCCAGAGCCCGTCCCTAGGGATTTCGACAATCACAACGCAGATCTTAAGTTCAATATGGGTGGTTCCGATTGTCCGATATTCGAGGGCCTCTATTACTACTGTTCCATGTCCGCCGGCGGGTCTCTGGATGCCTCCAGGAAACTCTGCACCAAGCAATCCGACATTGCCATTGCCTGGGGCGGCGGCCTGCACCACGCAAAGAGGGCAGAGGCGTCTGGATTCTGCTACATCAATGATATTGTCATTGGTATCTTGCAGCTCTTGCGGTGTTACCCCCGCGTCCTCTACCTCGACATTGACGTTCACCATGGAGACGGCGTCGAAGAGGCCTTCTTCTCGACCGACAGGGTAATGACGGTGTCCTTCCACAAATACGATCCCCTCAACTTCTTCCCCGGTACCGGCGGCCTCGACGACAACGGGCCCAAGAACGAGCAGAACCCCGGTGCGCACCACGCCCTCAACATTCCGCTCAGCGACGGGATCACGGACGAGCAGTACTACGAGCTCTTCACCACCGTCGTCACCCGCTGTATCGAAAAGTTCCGCCCCAGCGCCATCTGCCTGCAGTGCGGCGCCGACTCCCTCGCCGGCGACCGTCTCGGTAGGTTTAACCTCCAGGTGCAGGGCCACGGGGCCTGCGCCGAGTTCTGCAAGAGCCTCGGCCTCCCACTCCTCCTCGTTGGCGGCGGTGGCTACACGCCGCGCAACGTCGCGCGTGCTTGGGCTTTCGAGACGTCCATCGCCATCGACGCCCACAAGAAGATCGATCACACCATCCCCGAACACACGCCTTACCGCCCGCATTTTCACCAGGATACGCTGTTCCCGACCCTAGAGCAGATTCTCGGAGAGCCTCGGCAGAATAAGAATACGCCTAAAAAGCTACAGGAGATCGTGCAGCACATCACGGAGCAGCTCCGATTTGTCGAGACGGCTCCTAGCGTGCAGTTTCAGCATATCCCGCCTGATCTGGGAGGCATCCGAGAGGACGTCGAGAAGAGGCTGCAGGAGGAAAGGGAGGAGAAGGACGATACGATTAGGAAAGAAAAGGAGGAGGCGGTCGGTACGGCAATGGAGTTTTAAGGCGTAGAGAGGAGGGTAGTTGGGTTTTTTTTCCCTCCTTTTTTTTTCCTCCTCTCATGATACTCGGTTTGCCGGAAACTTGCTGCGCATTTCACGACAGGGTGGCAAAAGTTTACAGAAAGAAAAATGCTGTTTGTGTGATGATTGACTTTCGGAGTATAGGTATACTAGCAAGAGGATACCCGATTCTCTATTAATTTCCTGCATGTTGCCCTTCCAAGCGACCCATAATCCGTGATGCATGATGCATGTCCCAACTAAAGGAAAAGGGAGAAAGGAAAAAAAAAAAAAAAATGAAGAAATATCAGCGACAATGCGATAATGCGACACTACCTCGAACTCCATGAATGCATGCTTCCAAATCACCCAAACCGAAAAAGATACCACTAACCCCTCTACGCGCTCGGTCGCTCAAAAGCAGCCTCCGCCTCCCTTTCCAACAACCTCCTCCGCACCCCCTTCCCTTCCCACCAAACATAGCCAACCAAGACGAGACCGATCCCGGCGGCAAGCGAGAGCAGCATGATATCCACGGGAACCGGATCGCCGTCGAACTTGACATGAAAGAGATAGTCAAGAACGTACTGTGACAGATTGAAAGGACCTGTCAAGGTGATGAGGACGCCGTACACGGTTCCAAAGGTACGCAGGCCGAAGACTTTGGCGGCGTAGTCCGAGACGGCGGTGTAGTAGAGCGGGCGGTATAAAACGAACAGTGCAACGTTGGCGTAAGCGGCCCAAAGACGAGGGATGACTCCCAGGGCGCCGATGATGGTGGCGCCTGCGACGAGGGTGGAGAGGACGGAGACGGTACTAACGTTGTCGAGGAGCAGGCCGACCAATGGTACGGAGAGGAGGCCGCCGATGGGGAGAGCGGCATCGAAGAAGTGGTTAAGCCTGATGGCCTTTTCGACCGAGTCGAGGATGGATTCGTATTGCGGGCGGATGGTGGCGATGAAGTAGTTTATGCGTGTCATCTGGACAATGGTGAAGAGGCTGATGAGGATGAACCAAGGGGAGCGGATTTGCTGGAGGGCCGTGGCGCCGTGCATGGCGCCCCAGATGCCGGATACGTCGTTGCGGCGCTCTTCGCGGCGGACAAGGACGTCGCCTTGGGCGGAGCCGAGGAGGTTCTCTACCTCGGTGGCTATGGAGGCGTAGCGGCGTCCGTCGGGCTCGCGGAGGAGGGGGGTCTGGTGGCCTTCTTCCGAATGGGGACTTACGGAACCGTCGCTGAAGTAACCGCCGTCGGAGTCGTATTCCTCGGCCATGGAAACTAGCTCTCCGAGGGATTTGTACGGGTGTGCTGGGAGTACGAGGAGGTGGAGGAGGATGATAGCGGCAGGGACGGTAAGGTAGCCGAGGAAGAATTTCTGGAGTGTAAGGGTGCCGGCCGTCTTTTCATATATGATACGGTAGATGTAGAACAGTGCACTGGACGCATCGAAAGAGCCCGTAATCAGCGAGAGGATAAGACCCGATCGGGACGGAAAGGCATTAGACAGCTGGAATGACGAGATGAAGACTCCAGGACCTCCCAGCGCAAGAAGCAGGTACCCGACAAGGAGCCCGTCGAAAGCAATAATATCCTTGGCATACGCCATGAGCAGAGAGCCCACGGCAAGTAGGAAACTGCCTACGATGGCAGAGGCTCTAGGCCCAAAGCTGTCAAGGATGGCACCCATGGGAAGAGTGGCTACGTTGCTGGCTACGGCTGCGACCGTGAACATCATGTTTAGTCGCATTTCGACGCAGATGTCGACGTCGGCATCGACGGGGTGTTTTGCGGAGCAGGTGTCCTTGTAGGCGCCTTCTTGGCGCAGGACGGGCTTGAGAGCGGCATAGCCGAAGATGATTCCCGCTGCTAGGAGAGAGTAGAGGAGCGTAGCAACGATTTGGACTGATCAGAATTGAATTAGCAGTTATCTAATGTTCTTTAGATATATCAAAAATTAGCAGGAATATCGACTTACATATCCTCTTCCATCTCGAGACCTCATAGGCCGCCACGCCTTCCAAGGCTCTCGGGCTAGCACCAAAGCTAAAGTCCCAATCGGGAGGAAAGGGGTTGAAGCTCAGGGTCCTCACCCTCTGGGGCCGTTCCGCGTCTGGTCGGGGGCCAAACACATCAGCCCCGGCTGCGACGACGGCATCAATAGATGCAACTCTGTTCATGGCCATTTCTGTCGAGTTTTCGGCGACATGCAGGCGGTAAGTGACAGCACGCGCAGGATGATGACGTTGTTGGCGCAAGGTAGCCAAGGCAGACGACAAGTGGTGATCGGTTTGCCCTTGTCTGTTCTTGGGCGGTGGGCTGTTGCAGATTCCCGCAAAACACGTTGTCAAACGAAGGGGAGCGAGTGGAAGGATTCGAGAAGGAAAATATATCTCATCCTGATGTTTTTTGAAAAGGGGAATAAAAGGTTATCGTCTATTTAGAATTGATCGAGGCGATGGAGTCCGTGATCACCCTCAGATAGAGTAGTTAGGCACCTGGATGTGTCAGGCCGCTCTTTTTTTCTTTCGTATTCTGTCGGTCTCGGCCACCCCCCTTTTTAAGAGAGAGAGTCTTTGAATCAATTTGATGTCGTGCGTGACCTGTCTGGCCTGGCCGGGCCGCTATGCGAGGAACAAAGAGGGGGGGTTGCCAAAAGAGAAACATTCATGAATATACTGGGCGGGAGGAGTCTGGGTGGTGTGGTGTGGCGGCTCTCGACTTGACAGCATGCATGAATGGAGATGGTAGATGGTAGACGGCGGCTCTATGTTTTCTTTGTTTCCACGGGAAGAGGGCCAAAAGGAGAGGTAGGAAGAGTCCGGCGTGACTACATCCATTTTATTATTATTATTATGGACTGCCATTCTTGATTGCCAGAGTAGGAAGTGAGAGTGAGACTGTGAGAGCATGGCGAGCTCGTGAGCAGATGGGACCGAGACGAAAGGGTCATGCTGATGGATATAAGCGACACTGTAAGCTTGGTATTATTTACTGGATGTGGAAAAAAGTGGCATCAAATTGATCTTAGGATCGAACTATTTGGGCTCTCCAAACACCACATGCACCAACCAACACCATTTCCATCGTAGGCAGCTTAGAAGATGCACTCCCGAGAACTCGGTTGGTTATTCGGCCGCGGCGCTGCTGTGTTGCATGAATGTTTACGTTCTAATGCCAGTCGAGGACTCGAGATGCCCATCTCTAACAAGTTCAACCACCACGTTCATGCCGTCTTGGTCGTTTCAACAATCGAGATGGCCTCTTGTAATACCTCCCGATCAGTCTGACAAGACAACCTCTCCAACGCCTCACCAACCTCAAAGAACCGGCCCTTTATATCCCCCGCCCTGTTTACACCATCTCCTCCCTCCTCCCCATCTCCAACCTAAGCAATATACCACCATATAATTTTGATATCCTTCACCTCATCCCTCCCCCAATCCCTAAAAGCCACTATAAACGGCTCCACAATCCTACCGTAAACCCTCGCCTCATCGACAATATCCTCCGCCTCCCCCGCGCCGGGAGCCCGAGTCGCCATCCGAACCGGGTACAACTGCCCCCCTGTACCACGTCTCCTCCCGCAGCGCCGCCTCGTGTCGGGATTCGCCGCAGTTTCTGCGCCCCTTGGCTAGGAGCCACTCGTTTTTGTGATCGGAGTGGACGAGGCAGACGCTCGGGCGGGGGCCACGGGAGAAGTCAAAGAGGACGGCGCCGCAGCTCTCGACGACGGTTGTACTGCGTGGTGGGGGAGGTGCTCGTTGCCATTGGAGGAGAGGTAGAAAATTGAAATGTGATCAATGATGACAAGATATTCAGTATGGTATGGTCGCCTCGAAGTTGCTGAGAAACGCCAAGAGCATCTAAACTGGGCGGAGTCCTCCCTAGAATATTCCGCAGGAAGAAGTCGGTGGTGGAAGAACATGTAACGTATTACTCCATCTCCATCATTTCCTTCACCTGCATGTTTGCGACATCCATTGTCCTCGATGTCCACAAACTTCTATCCTCTACGTTACATGTGCAACCCGAATGGTGGGAAGGTGCAGTCGACACAGGGCGGACTTCCCTGAGTTCAGGATAAGTAGGACGCTCTTTCCGCTCATTTTATTTACCATCAAACCACCCCAAAAGGAGTTTGATGTTCTACGAAAACTTTGCCATGGTGCAAACGGAAGAGGAGAAAACCCAAAGAAAAAAGAATTGTCATTAATCCAAACCCCAAACATGTTTATTTACAAATCAAAATATCGTCCAGCTACGGTACAAACCGGGCTGTTCGTTCTTCCACCAAGCATCGAAAAAATCTAAATCCCCTCAACTAAACAATGGGTATAACCCCCTCGATGTTCGATCGAAGCCGATGCGCACCAACCTCGATTCAGCCTGGCATATGCTAGGCCTCGTGGCTTGCAGGGTAGGACAAGGAGCAAGACGCCACGCCTGGTTCGATGACGTCTCGGCTACTTCGACACTCATCCCGACCAGAACTGGAATCGAAATTCGACGCACCGTCCTGGCAGCACGCCCAACCATCTCTTGTCTCCCTTCCGCCTCGATCCAAAGGGTGATGGCAAAGCACAAGTTGAAAGAGAACGAAAACAAAAGAAATTGCCCAAAAGAAAACACCATGAAGCATCACCATTCGAGTTAAAAAGCACTATGCACAACGAAACTCCCATCTACCGTCGTCGCAACCTTCCTCCAATACCCGCTTCACGAAGCCTCCTGATAAAATACCACCATCCCCCACGGCACGGGTTATCATCCTATCACCGAGGAAGCGGGAGGTCGTGACGTGTCTTGATGGATACTGGGTTCGAACGATCGAGGATTCCGAGCGACGGAAGAGGAGCAAGAAAATACCAAAACAAGACTCCAAACATTGATGACGCGCGGTAACCCGATTTCGTCGTCGCAAAACTAGTAGTATCGGATAACAGCAACGCCGCCATCACGAACAGCCGTCTACAGATCACACACATACATGTTAACATTTCCGAATCAAATACGCCTCAGTTAGGAAGGGATAAGCTTACCGTGCAACCAGAGGGGTTTCCGTTGGTGTAGGCACCGTTGGAGAGCTCGCACTCGATGCTGACGTCACCGGTAATCTTGATGTTGAAGTCCAGCTTGGCAGAGGTGGTGGGGGTGTTGGGGAAGATGGAGAGGTAAGTAATGCCGTCAGCGCTCTTGCCAACGCCAATGTTGACGGGAGCCCAGTTTCCGCGCTCGTCGTGGTTGCTGGAGCTGTCCCAGAGACAAGCATCCTCGACGCTGACGCCCTTCTTGTTGACGTAGTACTGGGCGGTGGTGGGCTTGCCGTCCCAGATGTAGTAGTTGGGCGAGTAGGGGTTGGTGAGGGGCTGCTTCTCGCCGGGGTTCAAGACGGTCGGGATGACCATGGACTCGGTTCCGGGGTAGTCGGTTCGGCAAGTCGAGACGACCTGGCCCAAGTCGTTCTGGATGAAAACGCCACCGGCACCAGCCTCGCAGAGAGTGTCATGGCCATCACGAGTGAGCTCGAGGAAGCCGTCGCTGTTGCAGTACAGACCACCAATGGACTGGAGGGTCGAGCCCTGAGCGCTGGGCCACTGAGTCTTTTGGTATCCGGGAGGGCAAGCATACGAGCAGAAAGAGCCCGACGTGCAGCCATCTCCGTTGACGGCGGTCTCGATGTAGCTGATGGAAGAATCACCAGGCTTGTAGTTAGGGCACCTCTGAATGCCGGCCCAGCCACCGGTTCCGAGGTAGCTGATGGGAATCGCACCGTAATCGGACGGGAACTGGGAGCAGGGGATGGTACCGCTGGGGAACTTGGCCGACAGGCCGGTGCCGCCAGAAGAGGCCGCCTTCGCGGGCTTGGGGGAAGGCGCGGGCTCGGGAGTGGGCTCAGGTTCGGGGGTTGGCTCGGGCTCGGGCGTGGAAGTGGTCTCGGGCTTCTTCTCATAGAACTGAGCACCCTGCTCGGGCTCGATCTTGGGGGTGGTCTCGCCGATGACGACGAAAAGACCATCATCCAAGCCCTGAGCGGCCTCGTCCTTGGGAATCTTCTTGCCGTCGAGTTCGTAGACGGTTTCGGTGGCGCTGGCAACCCACTCGGTGACGACGTCGGGGGCGCGGCGGACCTTGGAACCAGCAGCGCGGCGCTTGAGATGGCGGTGGGCGCCACGGTGGTCGTGGGGTTGAGCGACAACCTCGGCGGCCATGGAGGCCGCGAGGGCGAGGACAATGAGCGACTTCATGGTTCGTTCGTTCCTTTCGTCGTTTTCTCGATTTTTTGGTTTTCTTTGTTTTCTTCCCTGGACCAAAGGTCAAGATATACAAGCCAAAGGTATATATAAAGGAGTGTGGGTTTTGCGATCCTCGAACTAAACGAATGTGGAAGAGAGCATCAACGAAAGATACCGCTCTGTTTGATAAAAATATATCACCAAGCACGAGGCAAAGCAAAGAAGGAAAAAAGAGTGTGGTTGAAAAGGAGTGGAAGATGGAAAGAGAGTGAGGAAAGAGAGAAAAGGAGTCTCCTTCAAGGATTCGACACTGCTGCGAAAAAGGTAGGATAGTCAACGGGGCCGCATGGTCCTGGCGAGAAAGGAAAGGATCCGGGTCAGGGGTATAATTGGGGGGGCGTCCCTGGGGAGAATGGGACAGGACAATACGATGCCTCTGCGCCGGCACGGATGGCCCAGCATGGCTGTGCGTTCCTGGTGGAGGTACTTCGCCCACCGTTCCCTACGACCTCATCCCACGACCCTGTTGGCTACGGTAAATTCCTCAGTATGTACTCCTACGAGGCAAAGGTGCGTGAGTCTACTTCTGCAAAGTCATTGGATTGCGTGGTCGATCTGGGACCATCGCGATTTCGTCGGACTGGGAAATAACAGTGGTAACGGTGGGAAAATGGATTGAGAGAATTTGAGATTAAACCATCTCGTACCTGCATTAGACGGGTTCACAATCTCGAGTCGTTCCCACTCGACTCGCCCCTCTGAGTGACTTACTTGTCTACACACTACTGCCTATCCCGAGAAGTACTTTTCTGTACTCCAGGGCGACTCGTGGGCGGCTCGACGCTTCTCTCGATGCTTCAACTACTTGACGGTACCTTTTTCTGCCTGTCCGTGGGTCAGACAGACCACAGGAAGACAGGAGACCCGTGCCTGTACCTGGAAACCTGGCACGAACCATTGACGCCCACATGTACTTCGTACCGTTTCTGCAATCCCTTCGTACGATTGATACTTGTCCAAGCTGCCCTTCGAAGAGGAACAATCCAGGGAAACCAGGGTTTCCCAGGTGGGGAGGCAACCGTTGCGATTGGAGGGAGGGAGATTAAACCTGGTGTCACTCTCAGCATTGGCTGCCAAAAGAGGGACCAGTTTTTACTTCGGACTAGCCTGCAAACACTACCAACACCGCCTACACCATGGACTTGACACCGAGGGTTTTTAAGCTCGACTATTTTGGTGTTATTATGCACAATTATGCTTGTAATAATCTCTCTTGGGGAGTGGACTCTGGAGCGGGTTCCCGTCAACAACATTGAAGTCCGTCATGTCCGCGGCGCATAAATGAATGCACTCGCTTTATGGATTGATTGATTGGATGGAACTCTGGACGGAAATGGGACAATCTGGCGATCTGTAAATCGAAACGATCTGATGTGCCAGTCGGTCTCTGGATTCGGACGTGCACACTAGATGCGCGGGATCAGAGTACTCCGTATACTTCAGACACAGCGACGCAACATCGAACATTCCGAATTCATGTTCTTGACCGAGAAAGAACTCACCTGAAGGGTTCGTTCCTTGGCGTATGCACGGATAATTCCCCATCATTAATCCATTTTCGAGAATCCCCATCAAATTGATCGTTGATCCATGAGAATGGAATTGATCCTTGGCGTGTATGGTACCTCCACCCTCTGAGCAGCACGCCACCAATCTCGTCAATCACTCCACCAAATTAGCTCCTGGATCTCTCCTGGCCAGGCCAAGCGCTAAGAAAGTTGGTTATTTAACGATAATGAAGCCAGAACCTCCCCTCTGAAACTTGCTCCCTTTGCTTAAGCTAATCGATCTGATGTTGACGTTGATGAATAGGGGCTTACGTATGTTTCGTGGGCTTGGGCCAGCTTGGGGGACCGACTGGCTCTGAAGGTTGACATGGGGAGATTAAAGCTTGGAGGAGCTTTTGCGGTTTAATCTAAACACATCGAAGAAAGTATTTCCGCGTGGTATTCAGCGTCATGTCTCCGGGAGTTTATATGACTCCCTGGTATGTATCGTCGTCTATACTACACAGGTACTTGTGCTTCTATTATACTTCGTACGTCTCCAACTCTTCCGTTTCTGTGTTGCCTGTTGAGGCTCTTGGAACTTTTTTTTAAATAATTACTGATATCTACGAAGTACCAAGAATCGCCATGCATGAAGTACATGGAGGATATACTTCGTAGTTTGCTTCGTATGGTCAGTATGTGAAGAAAACGATACATACAAGTAGGTAAACACGGACAAAAGCCCTAAGGATACCAAGGAGGGAAAGGGCAGATTGCTTTAGAAACCACCCCTAATCTATTGGGCACCTCCTTCATATACGCGCCTGAGTCGATGTCGTGGATGATCGAGGACGATGTCTCTCCATATCTCAGACACACGATCAAATGCGGAAACCTTGGGTCTCATTCTAGGTACGCGATACCACAAGAAGGCCTTGCACACGCCATCCTCGCAGCTTTTGCCGCGCATACGTACGTACCTGTTATCTTCCTTGCTCCCATCTCTTCCATCATTATGGTAGCGGAGGGGAGAAAAGGAAGAAAGAACTCCACCCTCGCCCCTGGTAATGTGTGCAAGTGCCCACAATGACGTTTCCCCTACTACCGGCAAGAAACTGCCATGGAACTTGTGGAATAGATTCGTGCGATCTTGTTCCCCGGCAGGTTGGTCCCGTCAACCACTGATCTTTTGCCGGGGCATGGCGCATTTCGGAGGATGACGCCACGCCGCACGTCAGTCCTCTGAGCTTGATGGTACTAACATGGATATCTCGGCTTCCATCGTTTTATTCCACCATGTTCCCTTCCTTTGTCAGCTTCGTCAAGCCTCTAGATCGTCTGCGCTCTAGGGAAGACTGTCACCCTGCCCTTGCGACAGGCGGGGCCGAGAACGAAGCGTGGTCGATTTCTTAGTCGAATTGAAATAAGGCCCGTTTTCACTCAAGATCAACATTGTCAGTACGTGGAGTTCAACTGTACCACATGGACTCTTGAACTCTCTTTACGTCCGTGGGCTCTTTATATGCAAGGGGAGAAGGCCTGTCAACAGATCCGGGTGTCGGTTAAGAAGAGTCCAGTCTTTGAGGTTAGGGCCCAGTATATCCACACCACCCTAGCCATCCGAACCTAGACGCTCCCAGGCAATTCTTTGCGTGGAAAGATGTCCAAAGGCTTCCATCTCACGATACGGATGAGTTTGGTAAGAGCATGCACGCACGGTCTCTGGTTAAAGCGCCCCATCCCCAAGCCCAGTTCGACGAGATGCGAAGGTACCTGCGAATGAGCCATGTCAGCTGCGGGAATGCGAGGAGGGAAAGGGTCCTAGACCCTACATCTATAGAAGAGGGGTTTGAAAAGCAAAGAGAGAAGAGGGGCATACCGACTAAACCCGCTTGTGCGGATCGTCCGTATCGAGTCTTAGACACAGTCTCAGTTTGTCTTACATCTTTGGCGTTATCTTGGCCCTCTTCCCTTCCAAGGCACCTGGAACAGAAGGTCCATTTCGATAACTGAGGTAAAACGGTTTCTATCTTCCCAATCTTTCCCGAGGTACCACTCTCACTGCAGGCCCGGGCGGCTAGAGTTAGCTGAACTTTGCTGGGAGGAGACGATTGAGGAAAGGTTGTGCTCGCATATACATCATCTTCTTGCCTTGATTATGCTTTTATCTCGGTTTCACTCATCCCCGAGCAACTCACGATGCGCATTCATATGAGATCTGTGAGGCTTCCCGTGATAAATCCCATGACTCTGCCTCCGCACCCCGACGTCAGGTCCCGGCAGGGTAGGGCCCGCATCTTAGCTCTCATCGGGCAATTCTGGCCAAGATGTCTTTGGATGGGATGAGCCTGGATAGGGCATTTGCACTTGGTTCGCATTTCCAGGATGACGTTCAGGGCCGGGCTGTCGGATGATGAGTCAATTGCAGGCCTTGGCCGGTTAGGGTTGGTAAGATGCTATTCCCCTGATGATCATGCGGACACTCCTCGAGACGAGAGAGATTCCTCCGTCACCGCCCGAGCGAGCGCTGACTCGAGGAATTGGGCTGGGCTAGATGTTAGAATCAGCAGCACGGGTCAGTCTGTCAAGTGATTCATGGGACCTTGGCGACCTTGTAGTCAAGGGTATAGCACGAAGAGGTCCGAAAGCATGCCCGTCAGCTTCCCAAAGGCAACCCTAGTTCTTTTTTCGAGGATACGCCAATTCTAGTCCATAAAAAAACTCCACTAGTAATAAACAACGAGTGGTTGATCAGCCCTGCATTTCATAGGACGATCGTTAAGTCGGAAAACCAGGCGATAGTGCTATAAGATGGCCGGCTTAAGCAATCGCCACCCAAGTGAGCCCGGTATTTTCGGGCGGTGATCCCAAGGAAAGCAGTTTCACACCACTCAGATACCGGGATAACAGGAACAAAGAAGGACGGCAACTTTGGTGTTAAGTTATGGGGTTGGTTGAAGCTCCTTCAACGCCACGAAGCCACAGTTTTCTTTCCTTTCCAGCACAATTCAGTCCGGTCCCAAAATAGAAGACCTGGGGACACGTGTTTCAGGAAAAGCCTCGCAGGGCTGAGGGAGGCTGAGATGGCTTCCTTTCTCAGATCCCAACTTGTGGAAGGCATCTCACAGGATATGGGTACTAGAGGTTCGCTCTTCCCCGTATAAGCCGCTCTACGTGGCCACTACCCGTCTGTAAAGGGGATGCTCGAATAAGGTCTTTGATTCGCGGATCCCGGAAAAGGACGAACACGCTTATCAACTTGGAGGTCAACGCTCCGTGTCTGGACCCCCGAAGCGAAGAGGCATGGCGTTTTCTCTCTTGAGCTGCCAGGCGGAGCAAAGTTTTGATTCATATCATAGATGGCAGGAGCGCCGGCAAAATTGCTACGATTCATATGTGACAATCAAGTGTCCTATCGGCGGACGGCGCCGTCATTTTGCCGAGTTCCAGGATGATTAATTGGCCAGAATGACTCTCTCACCAAGATGTGCGGGAGAGGGGAGAGAACAGAGTCGGTTGCTGCAAGATGGCATTCGACGAGGCCAGCAAGGTCCGTCTGGAGAAACAATCTTGCCTTCATTCCTCTCTACCAAGGCGCTCTATCACCTATGGCGTTCTTTTGCTTCGAAGAGGTAGGAGATGCGGCATTATGTATGTATCAGTGTTGACAAAAGACAAGATCGACTGAAGTCCAGGTTCCCGCTTACCTGGAGGATATCATCACAGGTTACAGTTCGATCTTGATGTTGCCTTCATGAATGCGAAGCTGTAACCTCCGATTCGTCAATGTACATGTATGAAGTAGTTGTACGTTCCAAGACGTGATACTTCGTATGGTTGGATCGGCACCTTCACATTCACTGAAAGTACGGATACACCTGTCCGGGAGCAGCCTGATCAAAACAGGTTCACAGTGCGGGGATTCAACGTTGGTCTGACGGGATGAGCACTTTGACCATTGGCCAGGCTCGGTGGGACCACTAACCCCCCTTGTCGTCAGCACCGCCACCGCCTACCCAGGCAACGTGGGCCGCCAATCGTAACATCTGCCCTCACCTGGCTTCCTGTCTCTGCCGGGATCCGGGCATGCGGCTGATCGAGGAGACAAATGATTTGGTGGAGTTCACGGGAGTGCTGGAGCCTGCTTGCCAGAGAAGAAGAAGAACAAAGACACAGAACGGGAGGCCTTCTTTCCTCGTTCCGGATGGCCCCAGTTACTGTCAGATGGTGTTTCCGGGCCCGATGCTAGCAGACGCACGAGATTACAGGGCTAAGGAAACAATACGAATACACTGTACCTTCGTAACATAGAGGGAGGTTTTCTGTTTATTGTGCCTGGTCCTGGTCTGAGAATTGATCGATGGATCAACAATGCAGATGCACTTCGTCGAGGTACAAAGTGTCAGAAAGTGCGCACTGTATACCCTAGATAAGTATCCAAAGGAATCCAAACAGTGGCTGGATAGGAAGTATCGGGGACACTGGGGATCGCGAAGTTTCGCAGGATTTATGGGATTTAATTGGTAACTGGAACTGCTGAGTGGCGCACTTACCATCCCCCAGTCATCCTCCAATAACACCCGCCGTCGTTCTCGAGCCGTGCGAATGCTACTTCGTATGACGAATGCTAGTGCACAAATCTACTTCGAAGTCATCTCTGCCTTTCTTGATCCTTCCGGTTCTCTTCTGATTATTCTTCCCTCGAATTTTGAGGCTCGTTCAGAACTAAACTTGCACGGGTGTCGAAGAGACACACCGACTGCTAAATAATACCTTGTACGAAGTACTTCGTACCTCTTCGCACTTTGTACTTTGTACACAGCCCACCTCTCAGGCTGTATACTAGTTACTTCGTACTTTATGCATTTCCATCAATCAATCCCGCCCCCAAAATCTACCAGACTCGTCCTTGGTACACCCACCTCGAACACTTCACCCACCAGAGCTGTCAACCATCACCAAACTCGCAAATGCGTCGTCGATAAACGCCGGCCCTTATTATAGCCATCATAGACCGAACTGCATTACCAAGAAAACATTGTGTTTTCCTCACTGTGCTTTGTTTTCCTGACCGAGAACTCCTACGCTTTATTTTTATACGCCGATTCCAGCATCGTCTCAGCTCTCGCCACGTTCCAGCCACACAACCATCTCGCACGCCCCATTTTCCATCCTCCATCCTCCATCATCTCGAACGACCTTCCGGCGATGCAATTCCGGAGTACCTCTGCTGCTTGATGCTGCGAATCGCTAGTTGAATCCTACACCTTACGGTTCCTTCGTTATTTCTCCGCGATTTCGAGAAACGACCTGTAACGCCGTGGTCATGGCCTCAGACCAGGGTCCTGTCGTGACAGAAGCTTCGCTTCAGCCGTCGCAACCACCACCCGCGACGGCGACGGCGCCGGCTCCTCAATCATCAATCACCGATGTGCCTGAGCCCGGTGCGAATGCCAATCCGCTCAAGCGATCTCGAGATGACACGCTACCCTCTCCCACGCCAGCTGTGGAGGAGCCTTCGTACAAGACGGCTCGATTTACGCTGCGATCGACGTCGCCAATCCAACTAACTGCGGCAGCGGCCGCCTTCGAGGCTGAGCGCCGTCGTAGAGAAGAAGACCTAGGGCATGACCAGACCAGTGCCATCGATCCTTCCGTTCACTCCGCCATTGAAAAGTTGGTACAGAACGTGGGAATCTTGAGGCAAGGCGCTACTCAGCCTTCTGTACCTGCGGCACCGACAGCAGTGATGGACCCGACGGCAAAACTAGATACAGAACCCATCACCGTGTTAGAACAGCCTCCGGCAGCCTCCGAACTCCCTACGTCGACCTTGAATTCTACCTCGCTGGCCGCCGCCGCCGCCAGTATCCTCGACGCGACCCAGGCTGGCGAAACAAGCATTGCCGACGCCCAAGTCACTGAAAGTCCAACGCCGATGGACATAGACCCGAAACTCGAGGAGGCTCACGTAGCCCAACAAGAAAATAGGGCGCCTCCTACCTCACTATCGTACCCCGGACCCCAGCCTACACCGACCCCTATGCCGGCATCGCTCTCCAGAACTTTGAGCTACCCTCTAACGACCGCATCCGACCAAGGCTCCCCGACCTCTCCAGAGACGGGAACGAAGAGACACAAATGCCCGTTCTGTGACACTGTGTTTACTAGGCACCACAATCTCAAGAGCCATTTGTTGACTCACAGCCAAGAAAAGCCGTACGAATGCGAGAAGTGCAAGATGCGGTTCCGGCGACTCCACGACCTAAAGCGGCACTCCAAACTCCATACGGGCGAGAAGCCACATGTCTGCCCCAAGTGTGACAGGAAGTTTGCCAGAGGCGACGCTCTGGCGCGACACAGCAAAGGCGTGGGAGGATGCGCTGGACGGCGGTCGAGTATGGGGAGCTTTGCCGAGGATGACATGGCCAACTCGAGCCTAGTGGACGGTGATGTGTCGCAGCTTAGTGTTTACACAAGATACGCAACCGAGGCGGCTGCGATCGAAGAAGCTAGAAGACGACAGAGCCTCCCGGTCCCCAAGGCGCCACAAGCTACTGTTGCGGCCCACACGAGCCCCGAGGCTGCTATTATGCATCTACGCGATTATCAGCCAGGCCCGCAACGCGCTAGCAGTGGTCTCTTTGCTCCAGCGTCTGAACGCAATAGTGTAAGTACCGTGACTTTCCTTCGCTTGTTAGACAGCATGGCATGGGCAATGGCCGTACCCCTGCCACTAGCAACCTCATCGCTGCCAGTGAGTGCTGGTAACGGCTCCGTCTCCTCCTCGATGGGAGTGACGGAGAGTCCCGGGTCGCCGAGCTCAGCTGTTCCTGCTCTTCGCGCGCAAGATTTATAGTCTACTTCCCACCAGTCGCGGTCATCAAACCTAACTCATCAGTCTCCGCAGCCGCTGCAGCAACCACCACCGCAGTCTTACGTCCAGCACGAATCCGACCGCCGCACACCGCCGATTGCGACGACTTCCACGGGCGCGATTGCGAAAGCCAACAGCACCCCCGATGGCAGGTATGTTACGAGTCAGAACGGGCCAGGGACGCCGCAGTCGGGATCAGCCCGCGCAAGTAACGGAACGCAAGCTATCGAAAATGCCAACATGTTTGCCGGGGATGTGTATGGCCTCTGGACCTACATCCAGAGTCTGGAGGAGAGAATTTCTCAGATGGAGAAGACGGATCACGAGAAGCAGGTACAGATCACAACACTCACCAACGATGTTGCTGAGCTCCGAAGAGAACTAGAGGCGAGGCATACGGCGGATCCTGTTGTGGAGAAGCAACAAATAGGAGCAGCAGGCGCCGACGCGAGATCCATTCCCATCTAAACTGGGGGGAAAAGAACGAAACCTTTAGAAAAGGTGAATCTGGATCGGCTGGATGGCTTCCACAAAAGTCATAAAAGGGGAGAGGGGGCATTTCACACATGAATGAGGGCGGAATTGGCGTTTTAGGACTAAAGGCAAGCAAGTGTGCTTTCTTCTGTGTTAACAGTTTGCCAGCTTTATGATGGGGGGTTAAGGGAAAACAAAAAAAGGAATGAGTATTTTGACTCGTCATGGCGAGACCGTGTACGAAACGTTTGGGGGTTGGTTGTAGGTTGGCTCGGGTTACGGATATTACAGCAAGCTTTCATTTCTTTCTTTTCTCCTCTTTGACCATTGCAAGGAACTCTGGGAGCGAAATGTCCGAAGGTTTCGCCTTCTTTCTTTCTACCTTTTTCTGCCGTGCCTATTTCGTTTCGCGTCGTTCTTCCTTCCTGTGTATTATTATGTATATATCTATCTGGATCTACGGTCGTTCCTGTACTTAACTGATCTCATGGATGGGCTCCCCCTCTGGGAAAGGAAGAACTGAGTACCAAAATACGGAGACTTATTTTAAGAACCACCATGAAGCATCGGCGATGCCCTTTCCCCTCCTAAGCTGAGAGACAGGTGAACCGCGAGCGCTATGAATATGGCCGGACTCTAAACCACGACACTCGCTTAGAGTTCGACGGTTGATATAATCAAGGGGCGCCAAGGCCTGGTTAAGATCTGGTAGGCCGAGCTGAGGTTGAATCCATCAGCCAAGCAATTGTCCTTCGTAGGGTACTGTCTTAGTACTGGGGTTCTCCAGAGTCTAGTGTACCGTCCGCTTCTTTAATGGTTTAGAGTCCTTCATCCCCGCTGAGCCGGTCGTGAGCAATTCGTTCCTCGGGATCGAGCAGTTGAGATGTTGCACAAGCCGACGGACGTAACCGGGTGGTCTGCGACAGATACGGGACATTTCAGATCCCGACCGGGCTGTCGGGTGTAAAGAAGTGGCGAGAGTCCATGAGAAAAGGAAGGACGCAATCGATTCGGACCCGGACTTGCCGGCTCCGTGCATTAACATTGATCAAATTGGTCCCTGCCTGGGAGATTCAGTGTTGTGGGCCGAGGCTTAATCTCAGCGAGTAGGCGTCTGCGTTAGTGGGCTCCCAAGCCACCAAGGTTCTAAATTTGTAGTCTGACCTCACTAAAGACTTCATCGAATCTTGGCGTAAAACGCAGCGTCATCTTGACCGAGCACTGAAAGAGCCCGTTTTCGCTTTTGATAGTGCCCGACCTAATTGGGACGATTTGATGGGGCGAGGCCAAGTCCGATTCGACTTCGCGGCCTCCGTCTCCTTCCTCCAACAACCTCGGTGTCTCCAACTCCTACACTCTTGATCCCCATGGACTCATCATCTATTTGATCTCGTCCAGCTCCGTCCATCCAGTTATGGGGACTTCCTAGCTCTCAACGAGCCGCACATTTCTATTTGTCTTTTTGATACAAGATTTCACCATCCTCTTTATAAAGTCGGGATGGTACATCTTATGGTTGTAAGATAGCACTTGGCTCTGCGAACCCCTGCTCGCGAATCCTCGAAATACCGTCACTTCCATCATTGCTTCCCCCTTGAATTACCCTTCTCCGCTCGCCCTTCTTCCCGCCTCGCACGAAGTTTATCGAAGGCTGTTCAGTACTATGCCTACGCTCGCCAGTGCCATGGACGACAAAACCCCGAACCGAAAAGGTACTGATCAACGGATTAAATCCTCCTCTTGTCCCTCCCGCACATTCGGCATGACCCGGGGATGACGGGGATCTGGTAATACGGATGCGACGACGACAACTGCGTCATCTGACCATGACCAGCCAGGCAACCCGCAAACCGCATCGCTAAGCTGTGTAGTGCAGCAAGCTGTCCTTTCTTCTGTATCCCTTGAATGGGAAGAGCGACATAGAAATGCTCACGAAATAGATACTCGATGCTAACTCTTGAATGATCGCAGCGTCAGCCACGGATTTCTTATCCCCGCCATCCGACGACGTCTCCACCTGGTCGATGGAACAAGACGAAATTCTCGAGGCCGACACGGCCACGACAGCTACTGACGTTTCGAGGTCGCGCGACACGAGCTATGCCACTTCCGAGACCACCGAGACCACCATCGATGCCAACGACGAAAGACAAACCGACCTGATGAAGATGAGCCGCAAAGAGATCGACGAGGGCTACTACCCTCCCCTGGATGGCGCAAAGGATCAGAACAACGACAGGAACGGCTGGTCCCGTGGGGGCATCAGATTCGCGCCCTTGCGGGTGCCGCTCGTGAGAAGACTGCAGACCCTGGCGGTGCTGTTCCACTGTACCTCCATCGTCTTCTTCCCCGCTCTCTTCTTCTTCCTTTGCGCCATGCCGCTCCTATGGCCTCTTGTAATTCCGTACCTTATTCACCTCTCCATCTCGACGGCTGCGTCGGACGGAAATCTCAAATATCGATCCGAACATCTTAGGTCCTTACCTATGTGGAGGCTCTTTGCCGGCTACTTCTCCATCAAGCTACACAAGACGCACGAGCTGCCGGCGGACAGGAAGTACATCTTCGGCTATCACCCGCACGGGATCATCTCTCACGGCGCGTGGGCTGCCTTCACCACGAACGTGCTGGGTTTCGGCGAGAAGTTCCCAGGAATCACCAACACGCTGGTCACCTTGGAGTCGAATTTTAGAATCCCCATGTATCGTGACTGGCTTTTGGCCATGGGCCTCCGCTCCGTATCGAAGGAGTCCATCTGGAACCTCCTCGCGCGTGGCGGATCCGACGGCCAAGGAACCGGGCGCGCCGTCACCATCGTCATCGGAGGTGCTCGTGAATCCCTCGAGGCCGAACCGGGCACGCTGCGGCTGATCCTCAAGGCGCGCAAGGGCTTCGTCAAAATGGCTCTCCGAACCGGTGCCGACCTCGTCCCCGTGCTCGCGTTCGGCGAGAATGCGCTCTACGACCAACTTAGTCCCAGGACGCACCCCATGGTCCACAAGTTCCAGATGTTCTGCCTCAAGGTCTTCAAGTTCACGTTACCGGCGCTGCATGGCCGCGGCGTTCTCAACTACGATATTGGTCTGATGCCTTACCGTCGCCCCGTGAATGTCGTCGTCGGAAGGCCGATCCCCGTCAAGAAGTCGGCGACGCCGGACCAGGCGGAGATCGACAGGATACATGGCTTGTATGTGGCTGAGCTGCAGAGGATTTGGGAGGCGTATAAGGATGACTTCGCCCGTGACCGGGAGGCGGAGCTGGAGATTATTGGGTAATATTCTTTCCCCTTCTTCTTGTCTTTGACTTGTAGCTTTTCTGCTTTCTCTATCTTTTTGTCATTTCCTTTGTCGTGGGACTTGCGAGGGACGGATGCATTAACTCTACAACACGGCTGGGGAATGGGAATATTATGTGCCCCGAGGCACTCGAAGGCCGAGTCTGTTTACGAGGACCGAGAGGATAAATTCGGCCTGGAAAGGGATATATCATTTTTTTTTTGTTGGAATTGGAAATGGAAGCGCTTGACTCGGTGGATGGAAGCGACATTATCAGCGTGTTCGAGTTAGCATTAGCATCAATAGGTTCAGGGCTTCTGTCTGTATCAACCAGTGAAATATCATACAGTTCTTTTTCTATGACTTTAGGGTCCCTGAATCTTCTTCCCACTAGATGCTGTTGGTTTCAGCTTTGGCCTTGTGGTTCAATGGCTTTCAGGGCTTGGGTGCTTCGGCGGGCGCCCTTCTAGAGACAATGGCACATCATATCAGCTGACCCCGCGTAAATTGGTAAATTGGTAAATTGGCGGGCGCGACTCGCGTAAGTTTGTCCTGCAAAGCGCAAGGTTTCTGAACATGTTCCAGCTTCATCTACTTTCTCGCCCCCAACTCTTATCAACGTTCGGAAATCAGCCTTCTTGTACACTCCAGTTGTGTTTTCTATCAGGATTCCAATTGAGGAGGGTATACAAAAACCAATTGCATCGTCACTTGAGTCCAACTCGTACGCCATTTTGTTCCCATACATCTCCAAGGATGTGCCCAACTACCCGCAAAAGGGTCGTCACTCGACAGGACAACAAAGCTACGAACAAGTCCACAGCGAAGGGTGCGACTGCCTCCAAGCGCAAAGTCGAAGACTCCGAAGAAGAAGAGTACGAGAGCGACGAGTACGGCAACGGATCGAGTGAAGAGGAGGATAACAAGACGACTAAGAGGCGCAAGGTTGCTGCTAAGCCTGCTGCAACAGCAACGAAGACTAAGGCTAAGAGAGCCCTGAAGAAGAAGAATGGGGAAGATAACACGCCTCTTGCGGCGAGGACGGCGGTGACGTCGTTGAAGAAGGCGATGTATATCGGTGCGCATGTTAGTGCGGCGGGTGGTTAGTCTTTTTTTTTTTTTCTTTTTCCTTCTCTTCTTATTCCTTCTTCCCCCCATTGAGGCTTCTCTGACGCTGAGCATCTCGGTCTAACCTACTTTCTTTCTTCATTTTTACTAGGCGTACAAAACTCGATCCAAAATGCCCTCCACATCGGCGCCAACGCCTTTGCCCTCTTCCTCAAATCCCAACGAAAATGGAACAACCCGCCCCTCGCCGCCGACGTCGCCAAGCAATACCGCCAACTCGCATCCTCCAACTCCTACGACTCGACGCTACACGTCCTCCCGCACGGGAGCTACCTCGTCAACCTCGCGCAGACGGACGCTGACAAGGCGGCCCAGGCATACACGAGCTTCGTCGACGACCTGAAGCGCTGCGACGAGCTCGGCATCCGCCTGTACAATTTCCACCCGGGGAACTGCCTCGGCGGGGATAAGGCCGAGGCGTGTGCGCGCATTGCGGAGAGGTTGAATAAGGCGCATGCGGAGACGAAGCAGGTCGTTACCGTGCTGGAGAATATGGCTGGTGGTGGGAACGTAGTTGGGGGGCGGTTCGAGGAGTTGAGGGATATCATCGAGGGTGTGAAGGATAAGAAGAGGGTGGCTGTTTGCTTGGATACGTGTCATGCTTTTGCGGCTGGGTATGACTTGAGGACGCCGGAGGCTTATAAGAAGACGATGGAGGAGTTTGATGAGGTTGTTGGCCTGAAGTATCTCAAGGCTTTTCACAGTACGTTCATATTCTCACCCTTCTCCCACCATCCATTACACCAGAGCTCAACTAAACATACTACCAACTAGTCAATGACAGCAAAGCCCCGCTCGGCTCCAACCGCGACCTCCACGCCAACATAGGCACCGGCTTCCTCGGCCTCGGCGCCTTCCACAACCTCGTCAACGACGAAACCTTCGCCGGCACGCCCATGATCCTCGAAACCCCGATCGAGCGCAAGGGCCCCGACGGCAAGACGTTCGAGGACAAGCAGGTGTGGGCCGACGAGATCAAGCTGCTGGAGTGGCTCGTGGGCGCCGATCGGGAGTCGGAGGAGTTTAAGGAGAAAGAGGCGAAGCTTTGGAAGCAGGGGGAGGGGGAGAGGGCGAAGTTGCAGGATCAGGTGGATAGGAAGGCGGCGAAGGATGCGAAGAAGGGGGTGAAGAAGGGGAAGGGGAGGGGGAGGAAGAAGGTGAAGGAGGAGACGGATGATGATGAGAGTGAGTAGCGGGTGAAGATGATAATGAATGTAAGATTGCTTCTGTAATATGATCTCGGAGGATGTGGTGGATGATGTTGTTGGCCTAATTTGTCTACGAGGAGCTGGCTCTTCGACGGAATTGGAGGTCAGATTCCCGATATCGATATAATAAAGTGGTATAAAGCGCTGAATTCATTCTGAACATTTCCTGTTGCCCTGATAACCCATCGTAAACCCTCGGCCTAAAGTGTATTCGAACAGCATCAATCCATATTAAGTATGCATAATAGGTATAAAAATGAGACAAAAGAAATCATACGAGCAAAAGAAAAGGCACGAATAATCGCCCATCAACCTCAAAACTCCACATCACTCATCACGATAACAGCAAAAACGAAAATATCTTCCCCCTTCTCACTTCCTCGACTTAGCATAAGCCTCGACCTTCCCAACCAAAGCCTTCAACCCCACGCCCCTCTCACAATTTCCAACAAGCCACCTCTCCATATCCGTCCTAACGCCCCTCATCCCCTTCAAAAGCGGCATCCTCGCACCATCCTCGCCGCCCGCATGACTCGCCGGGTTCAGCAGCATATCGAAACACCGATTCCACAGCTCGACCTGCCAATACCTTTTGAGCGACTCGCGGATCTTATACTTCCGCGCGGTCCCCAGGCCGCCCGCGTCGGCGCGCATTGTCTCGATGTAACGCCCGAAGAGCAGGCAGTGCACGATGTTGGCGAGGCCGTGGTAGTCGATCTGCCAGGTCCAGGGGCGGCCCTCGCGCATCTCGGCGCAGTCTTGGGCCGTGGTCTTCCAGTCGGCGATGAAGCTGACGGAGGGGGTGAAGGCGCGCATGTCGATGCCACGGCCGAAGTCGATGAGGGTTATGCCGCGGGCGGACCAGCCTTGGCTTCCGTCGGGGCGGTAGTCGCTTGAGAGAGGGGGCGGTGGAGTCGATGGGGATGAGGGGGATGAGGAGGAGGAGGATGTGGTGAGTGTGGTGGTGTCGAGGCGGAGGAGGCAGTTGTCGGGTTTGAGGTCGCCGTGGAGGACGCTCTTCCCGTGGAGGGCCTCGACGGTGCGGAGGAGCTCTATGGTGAAGAACATGGCTAGTTGCTCGTCCATGACCCCCGAGGGCTCTGTCCTGAAGTAGTTGACAATGTCCAGGAGCGTGCCATGCGGGTGGTAGGGCAGGACGAGGAAGCCCTCGTCTTGGAAGAGGTGCATCTCGTGCGCGTATGTCAACGACGCCGCAGCACGATCCTGCACACCGAGTCTCGTGTGCGCAAGACGCGTCATGTAAAACTCCCATGCTGATGGGGGCATTTCCATCTTAAGGGCCTCTTGTGACTCGCGGTGGCTAAGGGCAAATGCGCCCTTGCCCATCTCAACGTGTCCATCGGCTCCTTCTTCTCCACCTTCTCCTTCATTAGGGGCTGAGTTCTCGACAAGGTAGACAGGCGCAAAGGCCCCGGCACCCAACTCTTTCTTTATGGTATATTCCGATTTGATATCAGGCAGATGAATGACGGGACCGCTCACCGGGGTCGTCTTTTCACCGCTATTCTTGTTGGCCTTGGCCATAGTCCTGGCAAATCTCCGGATCTCGCTTCCCTTTTCGTACTTGCCATTCTGGTGATCGTGGAAGCCAGCATACGAGCTCAGTGGCGGCTGGATATTAGCCAGAATCTCCAGACGGATGCTGTCGTCGACGGGGTTGCATTGAGGATCCTTGATGATGGGGCCCTTGCGAGGCGCGGCTTTCTCCGTCTTGACCTTGGCCGCCGCGGCTGCGAGATGCTGCTTCAGAGACGACGCCGGAGGAGTCTTTGAGGGGGTGGAGTGGTTCTCGTCAAGATCAATCAAAGGGCTGCTAAAGTCGCTTTCGCCGGAGGAGTCCAGGGCGTCGTCGAGGGCTCCAACCTCGTTGCGTCGGCAAGGCGTCTTGCAGTGCTCGTCGCGCGATGGAATATCCAAGGACGACTCTGTCCTCTCGGTTATGGGGGTCATGAACGGGAGACGATTATTAGCCACCTCCGCCGGATCCCTATAGGGCCGAGTGCGAGGCTCATAATCCTCCGGTGGGATTGGGATGAAAGTCGTCCGCGTCGCTATGGGAGGAGAATGGTCTTCAACTGGTGTCACTAAACCGTCTCCTAGCTCCTCCTCTTCCTCTTCGTCTTCCACATCCTCACCGGTCCGTTCCGATATTGGTCCCGAAGGATCGGGATCACTAGTATCGATGAGGTCGGAAACATCGTCGTCTTCCTCATTGGCGTGCTCGCCTGTGAGGTCTTCGTCAAGATTGGGAATGTGCCTTCTAGTAGAAAAGTCGGACCACTCGCTGACACTCTTCACATCCGACGTCTCATCACCCGTTGATGCGTCGACGTCACCAGTGACATCTGTAGTCACATCCTCGGTGACATCGCCTGTAATATAACCCGCCTCAGTAAACTCATCCCCTATGTGTCTCGTCGTGCCAGTACTCTCAGCACCACTGGTATAGTCGCCATCAGTCTCGTAATCGTCGTCACTATCTCCAGCCTCACTCTCCGGCTTATTCGGTAGAGGCTGGTTGAATATGTCGTAAATGTCGTCCGTCGCCGCTTTCGTGTGAAGCGTCATAGTTGGCTCGGCCGCCGCCCTCTTTTTGAGCTTCGGCCTCGACGGCGAATCCAACTTTGCCTTGACTGCAAATTGCTGTTAGTCCCATCGACGCCTTGTGTCTAGCCCTCCCCTCCGCTAACTTACTTATTTGCGTCTCATTGACCTCCATCACTTTGATCTTCTTAGCCTTGCTGCCTCGGGGCTTCTCCATGACAGCGCCATTTTCATCATACACCCCAACATCCCTATGAATCACCAGCTTCTCGACGCCTCTGCTAATCGTATCAACACGAGACGCATGGCCCCCGAAGACGTGAGGAGAATTTTCATCATCAAACAACACATTCTCATCCATCACCGGTTCATCCTCCCAAGACTGGTCCAGCCAGCCCTTGTTCATAGCCCAGATCTCCTCAAAACTAAGCTCCGTACCCGCCTCGTTGGGGGTGGGATAGAGCGTCGCGAGGTCGACAAAGATGCGTTCCTTCTTTCCCGTGTTGGGGTTCATGGTCACTTGGTATTCGCTTGACAGAACAACAAAGTGTGATATTTGTGAAAGCAAAGACTACAATACACAGTAAAAACAGAAGCCGTAGAAACATCTCGTCATTAGTCCTATGATCATCAACATATGGGCGGGTGCAAAGGGGGGAGGTGAGGGGGTTGTGGGGTAAGAGGTCATATCATACCTTATCCTTGAACACTTCCAATTTTGGTCCCCTCTTCTTGCTGCCGCCGGCCTTGAGCGTCTCACCCGCCCACGGCTTTGGTTCCATTGTATTCTCCTTCCTCCTCTCCGCCAACGATCCAATGCTCTCCCAACCCTTGGAGCCGGCGCCGCGGGACGATAACGCAGCGGGCGCTGCGTCCGCATCTGAGAAGACAGCAAGCTTAGCCCTCCCTGGCCTCGCCGATGTGCCAAGCCCGGGATTTGGTCTAGGGGCCTGGGGATCTAGCGGCCTCGACGCCGACGAGAACGGGTCTACTTTGGCCGCGAGGGCAGGTCGAACGGCGGGAAGAGCAGGAGAAGACGGAGCATCGTCAGCGCTGGGCGTTTGCGCGCGTCTCTCCTCAAACTCCTTGAACTTGCGCAGCAGCCTCTGCACGGGACGCGCTTCTCTCTCGATGCCCATCTTATACACTTCCTCGGCCTGGTTCCATCGCCCGGCCGCTTCGAGCCACCCAGCGTACGCTTCGTAGTATGACGCGAGGGTCTCAGCTATCGCGTGACGGGAGAGGTACATGAAAGTCTCCCTGGGTGCGTCGGAGAAGAGCTGAATGTAGAGAAGCCACAACCTCAGATACCGGGGGTCGTTCTTGTATTGTGGCGAGTTGACAAAAGCCTTAGTGGCGCGCTCTAGGAGCGTGTGGAGCTGCGACTGCGGCGTCGCCTGCGCGGAAGGGAATGCGTCGACCGTCCATCGTACGTATCGGTCGAACACGTCGAGCGGGTCGTCCGCCTCGGCTAGGTTGGCGATTTCTTCTTCGTACTCTGCGCGGATGCGATCGTGGATGGTTCTCTGGTCCGAGGGCGTCGGTATTTTCTGGAGGGGCGAAGGGGAAAACAATTCGGCCAGCTTCTTGGCGGACCTCCCGCTGGGGAGAGCCTGGATGTTCTCCTTCTGGCCCTCGATCACATCGAAATTGATCAAGTCTTCTGAGGCAGCCATGGCAATGAATAAGTCTGGCTCCTGTGCCTCGGGTATCTAGAAAGGAGGTAAGAATGAGGGCTGTTGGTGTTGGTGCATGAAGTCTTTGGGCCTCAACTCTCGAGGGGGCGATACCAATAGTTTTGTTGGTGTTATCCCGGTTTAATGTTGCTTTTGTTCCCGTTGTCGTGACAACGCATAAGAGAGAGACTACACGAACTATTGGCTGGGTTGGATTGACCCTGTCGACACACGTGATTTAATATGGCAATTAGAGATATCGTCGGCCAATTAATTCTTCATTGTGTTAATTGGGACTTCTTGCAAGCAGTGTACACAAGTAGTTGGTTACTTGTCAATTCTGCCCGAGATATTCCCGTGGCTTCACTCACTCCCATCCTCACCTGGACTCGTTGATATCATTACAGAGAGCATAGTCAGTCTATTTAACTTTCGCCCTTCCCGAAACGAACCTGTCCAAGGTGTCCCGACGCCTTTCCCAATAATAAATCGGGCTTAAACATTTTCCCCAATTCGTGGGGTTTTTCATTCGTTATTTTCTTTTTTTTATTTTTCAAACGACGAAATGCAGTCGTCTTTTGGTCGTTCTCATAGATAGCCCCCGGCCTTTAGCGGCGGACAGCTTACAAGTTGACAGAGTTGCGGAAGTTCTTTCCGGCGTAGACGGCGCTGTCGCCGAGCTCCTCCTCGATTCGGAGGAGCTGGTTGAGCTTGGCGAGACGCTCAGATCGGCAGGGAGCACCGGTCTTGATCTCGCCAGCTCGGATACCGACGACGATATCGGCAATGGTGACGTCCTCGGTCTCGCCAGATCGGTGGGAGACCATGACGCCCCAGCCGTCGGCGTAGGAGTCCTTGGCAGCCTGGATGGACTCGGTGAGAGTACCGATCTGGTTGACCTTGAGGAGAAGGCCGTTGGAGGCCTTGAGCTCGATGGCCTTCTTGATGCGGAGAGGGTTGGTGACGGTCAAGTCATCAGCGACGATCTGGAGATCGGTGGTCTTGTAGAAGTAGCTCCAGGCCTCCCAGTCGTCCTCGGCGAAGGGGTCCTCAATGCTGACGATGGGGTACTTCTTGCTGAGGTCAGTGTAGAGCTGGGCGAGCTGCTCATATGTGAGCCACTTGGAGGGATCGCTCTCGGGGTTCTTGAAGTCGAGATCGTACTTCTTCTCCTCGGGCTTGTAGAACTCGGACGAGGCAACGTCCATGGCGATCTTGATCTGGCCGGTGTAGCCAGCCTGCGCGATGGCCTCGGAGATGAGGTCGAGGGCCTCCTCGGCGGTCTGGATATCGGGAGCAACACCACCCTCGTCACCGACGTTGCCAGCAGACTGGCCGTACTTCTTCTTGGCGAGGCTCTTGAGAGCGTGGTAGACCTCGGAGCCCTGGCGCATGGCCTCGGAGAAGGTGGGAGCCTCACTTTACATAGGTATCAGCATGTGGGTTGGGTTGAATTGGCGACACTGCCACTCATGGCAAACAGGGGAAGCTTACTCAGGAACAATCATGAACTCTTGCATGGCGAGACGGCCACCGGCGTGCGAACTAAGGCGGGAGAGTTAGTCAGGCGGTAGATGGATAACGGCATGAATCAATCCTGCTTACCCTCCGTTGAGGACGTTCATGAAGGGGACGGGGAGAACGTAAGGCTTCTTGGTTCCGGCAAGGTCGGAGACGTGGACGTAGAGAGGAACGCCCTATATCGCTGTTAGCTCGAATTGACTCAAGGAGCTTGTCGCAGGTGTGTTCGGGTTGAATTCAACCCGGGGCTCCCTAAAACCTACCTTCTCAGCAGCACCAGCCTTGGCAACAGCCAAGCTGACACCGAGGATGGCGTTGGCACCGAGCTTGGTCTTGTTGGGGGTGCCATCAAGGTTGATGAGGAACTCGTCAATCTTGGACTGGTCCTTGACATCGATGCCCTCCTTGATCAGAGCAGGGCCGATGACGGTGTTGACGTTCTCGACGGCCTTGGTGACACCCTTGCCAAGCCACTTGGACTTGTCGCCATCGCGAAGCTCGCAGGCCTCGTGCTGACCTATTCAGGTTGCAAGGTTGACTGTCAGTTTTGAGAACAGGCGAAGTAAGTTATTTCGGAAGATCGACGCACCAGTGGAAGCTCCAGAGGGAACAATGGCGCGGTGGAGACCCTTCTCGGTGACGACGTCGACCTCGACGGTGGGGTTACCGCGAGAGTCGTAGACAGAGCGGGCGTGGATCTTGATGATGGCCATTTTGGGTGGTGGGACTGGATTCTACTGTGAAAATAAGGAGTAAGCGTGAATGTCCAGTGAAGCTTCAAGAAAAAAAATATTGAAGCTTTGGTTGTGATGAGTTTGGAGGTGGGAAGCTTCAAAAGAAGGTGGGGAGAGAAGAAGGTGGAAGCTTTAAGTTTGGATGGCGGGGTGAAGGAGGGGCAGGGTTTTGTTTAGGGGGGAAGAAAAAAGGGTGGAATTGATCAGGGTGGCTCAATTCTCGTTGCATGGGAGATCGATATGACGAGAGGAAATCACTCATGACAGTGCCCAATCAAGCTCTTGAGATTATTGCCTCAACAGACTCGGATGGAGAAGCTCGTCTTTCCACTGAGACAGCACGAGTTCCTTGGTCGAACCGAAAAAGGTGATGGTGGGGGAAATTGGCGAAGCAAATCGAACCTTGGGCGGGGTAGCAACAGCAGAGCAGACCAGAGCAGAGCAGGAACAAGCACCAGCGACCACAGCAACGAGCACAGCAACGAGCACAGCAACCAGCAACAGGAGAAGCCAACAGGAGAAGCCAACACGAGCAACTGAGATGTATAGCCCAGGCAGCTCGCCAGGGGCGCTAGGGTTGGAGCTAGCGGGCCATCAAGGGAGCTCGAAACAGGAGGGAGACGGGACGGAAGACTTGAGAAAATGCTTGAAAATATGAAGCATAGCAAGCCACGTACGTACCTGGGTATCTAGGATAGAGATGGAAATGAAGCTTTTGGAGAAGAAGATTGACCTTTTGGGGATGCAATTGGGAGATGAAAAGAGAGGAAGAAGGGAGAAGAAGGGAGAGATGCATACAATTGGAGTAGAAGTAGGTTGATGGGCCGACTATGCGTGTTGCTGTAGCCTGTGCTCGGTGGTCTCTGGACTCTCTGATCTCGGTCTCTAGGCTCAGGTCTGGACTCCGGCGTGGCATCCCGTATCCAGATCCAGTAATCGTTTGTTGTTGGATCAGGTCTATCTCGTTTCAATGCTTCGCAAATACGTCGCACGTATCAAGCTCTACGATACATGCGCGTAGTCTCAATTACAGACACATACGAAGTACCATACGTAATGGCAATGACATTCACTGCGAAGGAGATCAATTCAATCATACTCTACACTACAATGACGCGCCATTACATCCCAGCTGCTGGCCCGCCCTGTCCGTCTGCTCTCGTCGCAGCGTCCATGGTGGGGTTATTTCGCACAGGAATCGCCTGCGAATCGCCTGGTACAAATTAGAATCTGGCGCCGTATCTCGGCGCATGTAGCGGGGGAAACGGAACGTGCAGGGTTCATTCGACGAATTATCGTGCCTGATCCCAGCAGAAGTCTGCCCGTCCGCTTCATACATCATGCAACTAATAAACACATGCGTCAGATAGGGGACGACTTCTTCCTCCTTCGGTCGTGTCGTATTTCGCAAAGGTACTCTCTTACGATAGGGCACTAATGGATCCTGGGTTCTCGCCAATGTTGGTTGCTTCGCCTTTGAAAAAACTCCTGCGACTTCTTGTTTGAGCCACCCAAATTGGACCCATGTCATAATATTCAACTTCTAATGGTTCATGTCAATGTAAGTTTAGCCGTCCCTTAATATTAGCTACATAGAGCCACCCACGTTCGCGATTCACGCACGTAATGCCCGACATCCCCAAATCTCGGGAACATGGTCCGCTCAATTGGTACAGGGACCCTTGATAGTGCCCCGGCTGTCATCACATGTCGTAACTCATAACCTGCAAACCAAAGACTCTATACTCCAAGTAGTACGAAGTAGCGCTGATGCCAACTCGGATTCGGGCGACCTCAAAAGGCAATCATGCTTGATGGTGGGGGGTGGGCAGTGGGTCCAAGGCACCACCTACACTACTTTCGCAGTCCTTCCAAGAGAGGTGGTCGTCGTCAAGCCTCAAATGTTCCCGAATTCTCCAGGAAAGCCGCGGTTAGCCTTCGGGAACAAAGAAGAAGAAAAAAAAAAGAATTCTCGTCTCTATTCGTCGGATAATGGTATTATTGGAATGTGGGCTTTGCGCTCTCGGCTCTGCTCCCTCTTTATTCGTTGCCTTTTGAACATTTCCGCCACAGTCGGCTGCGATTTCGTCGATTTCGTCTCTCCTTTAATGCGAGGTGGTTCCGGTGGCGCCCGCGCTGCAGCTTTCGTCCCGAACGAGTGCATAAGCTCGCGGAATTCATTCGACACCTCGTCACTATTCTCTTGTTCGTCGCCGCCACAGACCTTGACCATCCCGACTCCGTTCTTGTCTAATAGCCGGCTCCCGTTGATGTCCACGGCGTCCGGCGTATCTGTAAGGTCGATCACTTCGTAGTCGCTATCGTCCGAATCGATAGTGATAACCTCCGTTTCTTTGCTTTGTTGAATCTTGGCGCTGCTTTCTAATCGTGCCAACGCCGCCGCCGCTCGGAGTTCCCGCCCTCGTTGGCTTTGCGCGACTCTCGGCTTGGCCTTGCTTCGTTTTCCGTTTTCGAGCTTTACTCTTGCATCATCGTCTCCACTTCCTAGTGTTACGCCGTTCGCTCCGAACTTTTTGAGAATGCGTTTTTCTTTCCTTTCCTTCCACGTGAGCGTGGTCGCGGCAGCTCTCCTCTTCCGGCCCCTGCTTCTTGTCTGGAATGTTCCGCCACAAATGTGTTCTGGAAGATCTTCGCCCGTGAGAATTGTGGGCCTGTCAAATTGCCCGCTGCTGAGCTGTTGGCCTCTTCCCCAGAGTCCGTCGCCTACGTAGCCTTTGGACCAAAGCCCTTCCATATCCCGGGCGTACTGGTTACGTACTGCCCAGAATGCTCTAGAATGGTTCATCTGCTTGCAATGTGCGAGCCTAACAGAGAGAAAGGTAAAGGAAAAAAAAATTATTAGCTAGTGAACCCCTTAAGCGGAAAAGAGAACCAGGGGACCAACTCACTCATGCATCATGACCATCTGAACATAGTTGAACGGTAGCCATTTTCCCGTTCTTGTGCACTTCAGGACGAGCTGTATGACCTCTCCCGCATTGAAATTTCGCCCAACGAATTCCCGATTAGGCTCGTATTCCTCAAGCGACCGTACATTAATGTAGTTCTTCTTCATGATCGGAACTAGTCACCGGTCAACAACTGGCTTCATGGGAAAGCAGGCCGCTGAGATGTGCTTACCACACTGAGCCGCTATGCGCTCCAAAAAATCTAACGCTATTGCCTCATCCCTTCCCGGAAGCGGTTTGATAAAGTCGATGTGCGGGTTAGGCGGCGCCTTCTTGACATTTAGTCGTTGGAATCCAAGTGACATGTTTGTCTGCCCTGTCGTCGGGCTGGGTCTATTGTCGCCGAACTTTTGGTGGGAAGTGGAATGAGGGACCCAAGGCTAGTTCTGGGATGTTGCTAGGAATAGCGCCCTTGGAGGAGACCTGAAAAGCCCAAAACCTTGGATGAGACGTTGATGAATCCGATGAGGCGAAGTCCGCGCCGGCGTTAAATGGTGGAGGGGTTAAGTCTCGCGAGATCACGTGATGCCGCGTTTCCCCTCGACTCGGAACAACTGGAGGAACAAGAAATCTCACGAAGTAGCGAGGTCTATCTTCTCGTACTAAATGGGGTAAGAAGTGAAAGATCTCATGCAAGCCAGGCAAGACTTTGTGTATCTTCCCGGGATAATTTGTAGTCCTTTCCATCCCACAATCCGTGGATTCTTCACGGGGTTGCGGGAACAAAGAATGTCGACGAGGAAAGTCATCTCGAGATCTCACAGTTGAATACTAGGAGCTGCTCAACAAAGACCATTTTTCTCGACTAAGTCCGTTTCTCATGGGTATCATAAGTAATACATCAGTAATTGCAAACGCCACCGACCCTGCCCTTCAAATCCCATATCTCGTCACGCACTCCTCGCGATGCAGATCAAGACAATCCAAGGCGCAAACCCTCGTCCCACACTTAGCGCACCTCACCTTCCCCCAATACCCACACACCGAGCAAAATATCCTCGCCGGATACCTAGCATCCTCCTCCGTCAGCCCCGCCCTCGCCTGCTTATAAGTCAGCGGCGGCACCGCCAGCAGCGCCCTAAGCTCTGCGTCCGAAGGCGTCTCCGGTACCCGAGCCGCAAGCAACGACTCGGCATCTCGCACGCCGTTTATTTGGAGCTGTTGTGGCTTCGCAGGTTCTTCTTTCTTGCCGTCGCCTTCGACCATTTCTACGTCTTCCGGAGTCGGAGTCGGACTCGCTAGTGGTGTGAGCACGGGAGGCAGAGACTCCGTCATGATGATGTCTGGTTGTGGTTTCGGTGTTCCCTTCGCAGAAGAGGAGGTCGACTTCGGCTGGGCCGCCGATTTCCGGCGTGAGCTTGAGGATTTAGACGGTTGTTCCCTGACAGTCGCGAACAGGTTCGATGAAGGGTTATTCTCCGCCAAGGCCTGCATCGCTTCGAAATCGTCTAGATGGTTCGCAAACGTCTTCATACTCTGTAATATCTTTCGTACATTCGGTGTAGATTTTCCTTGTCCAGCTGAAATAAAACCATTTGATTAGTTTTTCAAGAAGAAACGAAGAAGAAAAACAGAAGAAAGCAAAAAAGACCGGAGAAGAGATGGCCTCTTGCAAACTAGGAACGAGTCGCAGACTTACCCCTTCCCTTCGCTGGCACAGGAATGACAACATCCCTACTCCCCTCCTTATCCAACGCCTCAAGCTCCTTCCTCACCCTCGCTTCCTCCCTCGCGGTCTGGTCTGAGAAACTTAATCCTTGGCCCCGCGCCGCTGCGCGCTTTCGCCCCGTTGGTTGCAGTGCGGCCGTCGGGTTTGTTGCAAGGTCTGGAACGTAGGCCCACCCAGGCGCGGCGGTGGTCCTGGAGCTGGCGATTTCGATGACGCCGAAATTGTCCATGGCGTCAAGAAGGTGGCTGGTAGGAGAAGGAAAAGTAGGCCATGAAATATCGCTGGGGGGAGATGTAGTTCCGGATTTTTGGTGGAAGGGAAGCTTTGATGGACAAGTTCTTCAGTGTGACAATTATAGAGTTTACGGTGGATAGATGCAGGCCCCACACTGTGTAGTTCCACATCTACGGAATTTTGGGAAGCGTCAAATCAATCTCAAATTGTAATACAAGCAAGCCTACGACCAAACCAGACATCACCAATATTAAGGTAGACTTGAGAGGTGCGACAAAAGTTCAGTGTGAAATCATAAAGACATCATGCCATTCATGGCTACCTAACGAAATGCGTGTAGAAACCCCCTTTGGAAATTAGAAGGAAACCGGCAAAAAAAAACAAACAAACCCAAGGCCCCTGTTTTGATACAAGCATGAATCCCCTTGATAAACCCATGCTAAATTTTAAAAGGATTTGAGAGAGAAGGAAAAGACATCAACATTTAGTTTCTTACAGCTCATCGTGACCGGCCTTCTCCTCATCGGTCTTGGCCTCGGGCTCCTCCTTAGCCTCATCAGCCTTCTTCTCGTCGGCCTTCTCCTCCGCGGGAGTCTCCTTCTCAGCGGAGACGTCGGCCTTGTACTTGCCGTTCTCCTTGATGAACTTAATCAGGTCCTCAACGGTGCGAGAGCCGCTGTAAGTGACGGGAGAATCCTTAGCACCAGCGGGGTAGAGCTTGATGGTAGGGAAGCCCTGAATCTCATCAGGGACGTCGTTGGCAGTGGCGTCAACCTTGGCGATGACGACCTTGTCCTTGAACTCAGAGTTGGCGTAGAGTCCGCCAAGCTCCTCATACTTGGGCGCGAGAGCCTTGCAGTGTCCGCACCAGGGGGCGTAGAACTCAATTAGGACGTCCTTGGTATCATCGAGAACAATCTGCTCGTACGACTTGGCGACAACGACGGTAACGGGCTCGTCGTTGGTCTCGGGAATGGGCTCAGACTTGATGCTGGGCTCAAGCTTGCCCTCGGCGAAGTCAGCAACGAAGGCAGCGATAGAGTCGTGGGTAATCTCCTTGTCCTGGTCGAAGGGGAACTTCTGATTCTTAGTCGTCTCCTGGATGGCGAACGAAGGGAACTTGTCGGTCTTGAGGTTCAGGTTGCCAGCGTGAGCACCGAAAGCCTTTGCATCAATAGTGGCAAAGTTGATGACGCCACGGTACTTCTTGGCGACGGGCTTGAGAGCCTCGCCAAGCTCCTCACGCTCCTGAGCGGTCTCCGCGAAGATGTAGGCGAGAGGGATACCAGCGGCCATGTAGCCGGCGTAGGTCTCAGGGCCAACCTCGCCAACGAGGGGAGTAGCGCCGGTCTTGGCGAACTTCTCGATCGCCTCAGCGTCGAACTTATCACCGGTGTAGGTTGTGACACCCTCATCGAACTGCTTGTAAAGGACGATGGCGGGAGGAACAACACCCTCCTGCTCGGCGAGGGCAGCGTCGTTGCTGGCACCGAAGACGTAGGTATCGCGGAGCTTCTCAGCAACACCACTGTAGACCTCGGCGGAAGTCTTGTCATCGGCGGCATAGTAACCAACAAGGACGACCTTGTCGGCGGTCTTGAATTCCTCGAGGTTCTCCTTGGTGACGGAGGAAACAGCAGGCATAGACTGCTTAATCATGTAGGAGGTGATACTATGAGGGGGAAGAGCGCAACAAATATTAGCTGTCTGTCGCAGATGGGGACTTCGGCGGAGGTATTGATAAAAACTTACGAAGCAGCCTTGCGCTGACCACCGTAGGGAGTAATGCTGTCAGGACCACGGAAGACCTTGAGGGTGGGGTAGCCCTCAACACCATGCTTGGAGCAGAGCTCGGAATGCTCAGTGCAGTCAACCTTGACGAGCTTGATGCCCTTCTCCTTGAGGGAGGTGGCGGCCTCCTCGTACTCGGGGGCGAGGGCCTTGCAGTGTCCACACCAGGGAGCGTAGACTGTTATTCATGAGGAAGAAAGTCAGTCAGTGTTTGGCAACCTCAGTAGCACAAGCCAATTGTCATGGAATGGAGGGGCATGCGATAGCAAGCGAGGGATCCCCGAGGATGAAGCTACTCACACTCGGCTAGAACAAGCTCGTTGGCCTTGATAAACTCATCAAAGGTCTCGCCAGTAAGGGCAGTCACATCAGACTCCTCAGCAGCGACAAGGGCCACCGTCGTGGCGAGGACACCGAAAAACTGCTTAAGATGCATCTTGATCTAAAGAAAGGGGGTATGAACGCAAAAGGGGTATCAAAGGGGACGGGGGAAACACTTTCTGAGATGGGGGAAAATAGAAAGTCAAACAATTGAAGAATGGGGTGAAAAGGATAAGCTTTGTGAGGTTACAAGAGGAAGAGAGGGAGATGCTTTTAGGAAGGGTTGGTATTTATTTTTCCAGCTGATGGTTGGGGATCGATGATTGACCTGGAGCAACAAGAGGCAGAGTGGATCTGGAGCTAGCAATTGAACAGGTGTCCCCTTCCCTGGGCTGTACCTTCTCCAACATCCCTTTCCCCATGCGGAATGCAGAGCTTGGAAGTAGCTTGTACTTGTACTCATACTCGTACTGTGGCATGCTGCTGCCAGGAAGCCACTGGTTGACGGCTTTGCCTTGTACCCTTCTGGGACTCGAGGGAGCAAGCCTTGGAGAAGGCTTAATTGCTGGACTGATGTCAACATGGGATAATGCTCTATCGATGTATACCGATGTCCCTCGGTCTGTCCGTCTCCGCCATTGATCGAAGCAAACCACACAGTGTTTCTGGTGATTGATTCAACAACTGCCAGGCTACAAAGGAAGTATTGGTCAATTGGGATTTGACCAAATTGGCGCCAACCCAAGGATTCTGCCAACATTGATTCATTCATTGAGCTCTCTAATCCTGCACTTGAGCCACCAAGTCTGCCAACCAAAGACATTGATCAACCAATTCCAGCCCGAGTCAGCCGGCCACCGCAATACAATATTTAGGAGGCGACCGTGGCCTTTCCACTGGAACATGGCCCGAATTAATAATTGCATCGCCTGGGGGCTGGCACACCCGTCTTACCCTCTTACAGAGTACAATGTAGCCTTACAGGTACAAAGACGGACCCACCCGCCCGCCTCGAGTCTCCAAAAATACACTCGTACAGCAAGGTACACAGTATTCTGTACTGGGGATCTTCCATCGCCTCAATGACGATCCCCTCGAGGCATTGCTCATTTGATTGCTGCTTCCTCTAGTTGATGCGTTTTGAGTTTTCAATGCGCTTCATAAACCGGCCAAGCTCAATGGCTTTGAAGCATTCGTATTTATATGTGAGTAACGGTGCGAATTCTGTCATGTCGAGGAGGCCACGAGCTTCAAAGTCTGTGCATTCCGAGCCAGACTTCACGACAAATGTGTGTACTTCGAACTGCATCGCCTGACGGATCCATCCCCCTGGCGCTTGGCGGCTGTGCCGTAGTGGTGGGCCCAGATGGCAGATAATCATCACTGCACCAGGAAGAGGATACGTGGAACTGCGGAAGCACACTCTAGAAAATCACACACAAGGATATTATTGTTCGTCCGACAATGTAAATCCACCTATGAGACGTATCCGACGGAGTTGTAGCCGAATACCCCAGATATTTGCCTCGAGCAAACCAAGCTCCGTCATCAATGTGAAGGAAATTAGGACTTGGAACTGGCGGCACAGAGGGGTGATCTCTTAATGTAGATTATTATGGAGTATCCTGCGCAAGTGCCAGGTGGACCAAGTACGGCGGGCCGGTGATAAGACCAAGCCTGGGGCCCTGTCAGTTGAGCTACACAAGACAACGGTATTCTTTGGATGAAGGAAATCCCCCGCCGCCGTGGCCGCCGATTTCGCTCTCACGAGCCCCCTCCGATGCCAAAATCGCTCGAGAACGGGGAGATGCGCCTGTCACTACGGAAAGGGCAGTTCGCGATCCAATCCTGAACCATGAAGACGGCCACCCGAGTGGGGGCGTACAGTAGCGGGCCCAAGTCGTATCTCGACTAACCGCATTCGCTAAAGCTGTACAATCTAGGGAAAGAGAACCACTGGCCCAGACGACCATCGACGAAACCATCACGAGATGAAAACTGTCCAAGAGTATTCCAGAAATGATGCCTACAAATCTATTGCTGGAGAAGGGTGTTAGAGATGTTCTCCAAACGAAGAGTCAAGACAAGTTGCACATCAAAAGAAGCCCCTGAAATCGAGGGCGCAAGTCGAGAAGACCGTACATAGTATTTAGTCTCCTATATCATTACACTTTCCTACGGATCACACCCATGCCATCCGTATATATCCCTCCCAGACCGCCTTTCGTATCTCCGCCCAGATGAACTCCATTGACCCTTATTTCGACCTCTTCTCCAGTTGATCAACTTTTTCCTCCAACGCCTGCAAATAAGCACCGACTCGCTGAACCGACGCTTGAAGAGCCTATTGTGACGAAAAGACAAACACGAAAAGAAAACAGTTAGCACTCCATGCGCCTCATTTTTCTGTCTTCCAAAAAAAGTTGAGCGAAAGAAGCGGCCAAATGTAAGGATCCAAGTAGGCGGTCCATAAACGGCCAAAAGGGGGGAATGAGGAGGGATAGATATCCTAATGTGAGTAAGAAGGGAAATAATGCGTGTAAAGAAAAGAAAAGAAAAAAAGATAAAAACCGTGGCCCGTCTTTATGCAAATCTAGTCCCATGTATCTTGTTCTAGATGAAGAAGATGCGGAAATAAAATGAGGAAGCAATTAAATGTATGCAAAAAAGGGGCCGCTTCCGGATGAGGGGGGTATTATAAACGTGTATTTTGGCAACGAGAAAAGGGGGAATGTCGTTATCTTAGATGGCCAAACGCACGTAAAGGTCCTCGAGGAGGAGATCGTTCGCAGTCTTGAATTCCTGGCGCACGTAGCTATAGGCGGCGAAGCCGGCAATCGTGGTGCCAGCAAAGAAACCGAGTATTCTAGAGGAAAAGGCATGAAACCACTGGTTAGTTCAAGCTGCCCACACGGTGAGAAGAGAGGCGGAGAGCCTCCCTTCCAAAAATGAGCGCAGTAAGAGGGAAGCTTACCCTGAGCGGAATGCGCCAACAGGCTTGCTGGCCGGAAGCGCAGCGGCGACCGAAGAGAGCCTGGAAGACGTCTGGAAGCCGCGGGCGGTGAAGCCAGCGCGAAGGGCACGGCTGGCGGCGAGTATCCTTGGATTCATTGTGTCTAGTGGGTTTTGGTTTCGTTCCTGGGAGGGGGATTTCCTGGCAGATTGGGGGGATGGGACGGGCCTTGGGTAGGGAAAGAAAAGAAGAAGGGGAAAGGGGGAAACAAGAGACAGATAAATTAACCAGGATATTTAACGGCACGACCTCGACGCTGGTAGACACAGACGCACACACTTTGACACAGACACACACACACTCTCTCTGAGCGCAGGGTACAGGAGCCAGACGCGGGATGGTTTGATGCCCGTGTTCGCAATATGTCGTCGGATTTCGGACGTGGTCTTCCCGGTGGTCTGATTGGCCCAATGGCAACTGCCGTTCGATATTTTTTGAAAAATTTCCCACGATTCTGCACTTTCCCACACAAGCGCCACAGTAACGCCACCGCCCTTTCCTCGCCTGGGTCGTTCTCCGTCTTCCGACTCCTGCAAGTCAGGATATCCTTTTTCTCACCGCCATTAATAGGGGCCATCCATTGGGTCATCAAAGTCGAGGAGAATACGAGTCACACAGCCCAACTTGCCTCAGACACGCCCCGTTCCTGAACTCTGACACGTGCTGCAGCATTTTTAGCTCGTGGTGTGTCGATTTGCGACCAGGCTAAGCGGGCACTAACGTAGCGGGTTTTCGTTGATGGGGGTCCATCGCTTCATATTCTAGATTAGTTCAGATGGCTATTGATAATGGAGTGATGATATTCTTCGAACCCCCCCTTTTCTCTTGGAGCCTGATCTTCTCATACGTACTCCGTATGCAAGTTTACCTAGACTAGTGCAGGCATCAGGTGCTGCTCGTCATCCTCGAGAATGTCGTCACCAAGCGGAGCCTTAATGTACGTCAGATATTATGGCCCTCCTCCTATCACCTCCTTCTATGACCACCTCCCTCCCCACGTTCAGTCAAAGACACCACCTCAGTAATACCAGCAGCTTCCTGCTCCTCCTCCAATGCCGTAATCTCCTCGCGGCAGTCCCACCACTTCTCTTCGCTGAGCTCAAAGGCCTTAGTCTTGAGTTCCTTGACCGAGAGTGTTTCTGGCTGCTGGCCCTTTGCTCTAAGGCTTCCGATGAGGACTTCTTGCCATTCGTTAGTCGTTCGGGCGAAGAATTCGCGGCGCGATTCGAAAGGCTATTATTGAACTTGTTAGCGATTCTCGCAGGATGAACCAGTAGCAGTTAGAATCATAGTAGGCAAAACCGTTAAAGACGTACTCGAGGATGTGGCAGACCGTCATCGACTGTGGTGTTAGTTTCGGCCTCGTCCCAGTCTGTAGATTCCGTGCCAGCAACAGATTGGGTGTCTGCAGTTGAGCCACTCTCCGACTCTTGCTGCTTCTTCTTGCGTTTGCTAGGCGTAAAGAGAGGAGTGGCTGGCTCATCGCCCATCTCCACGTCTCCCTCTTCATCTTCCTCATCCTCCTCATCATCATCCTCATCTTCGTCCTCTTCTTCGTCCTCGGATTCCTATGCAAAATTAGATTAGCACGATGTTCGTGCTGTTCGCGCTTTTCCTTGGGGTGACTCACAACCCAGTCTTCATGCTCAATCGCGAAGATTTGTTTGCAGCCAGACAATTTTACCAAGTCAATCGTATAGAGATCATCAAAGGTAAACTCGCGGTCTCCCTTCTCAAAAGTTCCGCCGTAGATATAAAGAACGTCTTCCTGCACCGCAAGCTGCGCATTGAACCGAGGATGAGGCGGTTCCATCAACACGGGCATCTCCTTCACAGGTGCGTCGTCGTCAACCTTCGCTTCCGGCTTCATATCAAGCTCCATAGAGTCCAGATCCTCTAGGGACTTGCCCGTCTCCAGTGCCGCCAGCTGCCTCAGGAGCTCTTCCTCATTTGCCTGCGCTCGGCCCCTGCGACCAACGCGCTGCTCAGAGACGGTCGCCTTCTTCTGTGCTCGTGGCTTACGAAGCGTCAAGGGGAAGAACCGGTTACGCTCAATGTTCCAGGCGTACAGGGCGTTGAAGAACTCGCTGTCGATATCCTCTTCGCTCATCTCGACATCGTGCACGCCGCCAAACATGATTCCACGACCCTTGTGGAAGGCCATGGTGGCTCCGGCTCTCACTGGATTAGGCGCATTAGCAGGCCGCTTGCGCCTCTCCCACCGAACGACAGGGGGGGTTTTGGCGGGGCTGTTCTCCGGCGGGGGAGACATTCGCAAGAAGAAGCAATCCTGGTGCACCATAGGCTTCACAATATTCCTCTGTCCTTTAGCAGAACCCTTTGCTTGCTTATTCGCCGCAACGGTAGTCTTGACTCTCGAGTATCCGCCGTACAACACTGCGCCCTGATCATGAGGTAGGAGCGTGAAAGACGACCGAGCATCAGGCTTCAGTTGCGCGGGCGGCAAGACAGGGGCATACCAGACAAAATGCTGCGTGTCGAAGATCCAGAGATCGGCGAGGTACTTCGTCTGGTTCGAAGTATCCTGGAAGCCGCCAAAGAGGATGATGTACTGCTTCCAGTATGTCATCCGGTGGCCGCTCCTTGCTGGCGGCGAGCTTCCCTTGACCTCGATGCGGGTCCATTCCCGCGTCGCAGGCTCCAGGCGCCAAAAGTCGGAGTAGTGGTGGAAGGTGCCCTGTTTCGGCGAGGAGAACTCCCCACCGAATAGGTAGACGTGGTTGGGGTTCCCTGCACGGCACCACGCATGACCGGATCGTGGTAGGGGCGCATTCGGCGATGTAACACAACGCCACTCGTCTTTCGCTATATTGTAGATATGCAGGTCGTTGAAGAACTCGGCTCTCGTGCCGTTAAAGTATTCGCCGCCAAAGAGGAGAAGGTTGTTCGAATCGCAGGGTGAAGCGAGGAGCGTGCTGTGGGCGCGGGGCTTCGGAGGTCCCTCTTGGACCGACTCGGTGATCTTGAGGAACTGCTCCTGCTGCCGCTTATACTCCTCCAAGATCTCGTCGAGATCTACATCCTCAGCGTCGTCGCCGTCTATCTTTGCTGCCTTCGTCTTGGCCTTTTTATCGGCCTTCGCCGCCTGCTTTTGCTTCTTCTCGGCCTATAGCTCGGTGCCCCGTCGTATTAGAAATGGTTGATTCCTGGAAAAAGAAGTATTGGTGAAAAAGGAGAATGGTTATAGACCAGGTGTCCTCTATTTTACCGTTCTAGCCTTCTTGGCTTCTTTTGAGTCCCCGCCCTTGGCCTTCTTTGCCTTGGCCATTGTGGTAAGAGATATTCGAAGATGGTAGGCAAGTCTCGTGAGGTGCGGGATCGTGTCTTGGGGTCGGCTTAGTTGTATGTTCTGCAGCTTATCGTGCAGGAGACTATCTGTACTGTAGGGACCACTAAGGTCAGTCAGGGGTAATCTAGAAAAATAGAGAAACAAAGCGACGAATATACTTTCAGCAAGAAGGTTTGCTCGAGTCTCGTCGTCTAAGTCCTGAGAGTTTAGTGTCCGTAAAAATTGCCCCGCCTAGAAGTTGTGTGCATTGGGATCGCGGGGTATTCTTGCGTTTAAAAACCACTATTCGCACTGTACTTCTCGTTGCCCCCCAAACCCAAAAGACATCCCTTGATGTTCATCGAACATTGTCGGGGCTACGTATTACTGGCAAGGAAAAGCTACAAAATTCTAATAAAGTGAAAAATAAAATAATCAATTCCATATGCTCGCCTCTAATGCAAAGTGGGTATTAACTCCGGTTCCAAACTATGCGCCCCTTTTGTGTAAATGAAACAACCGATCGTGACATGGCAACATGCTGAAATCTCAATCTTGATCCTCGTCTACTTCGCTGTCAGTAGCAGTTTCCTCGTCGATAAGGTCCGCATCCATGCCATCCATATCCTCATCACTATCATCGCTATCGTATTCGTCCTCCTCGTCCGCGTTGAGTCCGCGGATGGGCGACCAGGAAAGGTAATCTCCCTCAAGCCACTGCTTGCTGTTGGGAAGTTGGTACGGGTCGAAGGGGAAAAAGGGATCGAGCTGAAGCGCATGGTCATCGCGGACCGACTCGGTTCCAATGTCGCGAAGTCTGCCGCCGGAGCTGTAGGAGCTTTTGATAAACTGCGACAACCTCACGCGCTTGTTGATCTCCAGCACCGGGTAGATATAAATCAGGCCGAGCTTATGTGCGAGCTTCGCAAACTCCTCCACAATGCCTGGCGAGCACACCTTGAGGGGGTTGAGCTTGCTGTGGGTGTTGTTCTTCAAGATCCGCCGTGTGTTTTCGCCCCAGTCAAGGTCTTGTCCGATGTAGGAGAGAGGGTCTTCAACATCAATGTGCTCAGGAGCTGAAACCACCAAATCCTTCCATCGGAAACAGAAGATGTAAAAAGTGGCTTGGCACAGGGAGTAATATGAATAGTACTTTTCAATGTTTGGGCCCTGGCAGTTCGTCTCGTAAGCGACTCGTCGACGCTCGAGCGTCTGGAGGAGACGTCGGAACACGCCCTGGACAAGGTATGGTTGGATGTGCGCCCCCCTAGCCAGGAAACTAGCCAGGTATGAGACCGCATAGTCACCCAACACTGACGGCGCGCTCTTGAATGCAGCCTTCTCACATGTCTCAATAAACTGGCAGGTAAGCTTCTCGGACCTCTGCGCGAAGTGGAACAAGAGAAACTGAGTATGTCTCGACTTGCGCATCTGAAGAAGGATGTTGGTAAATTGCGAAAGGAGGACCTTGCATTGTGTTGTGGCAGTGTCAGAATCAGGGTCGGCGAAGTAAGGTGCATGGAACTTGAAGAGCGTTTCCATGACGACGTCGAGAATCTCGATGTGGTTCTTGACTGTCTTGATCCGATGAAGTTCTTTGTGCTCGTCATCGTCATCGTCGTCACTCTCGTCGCTTTCATCACCAGAATCATCGGCTTCTAAAGCCTTAGTTTTGCCCTCGGCCAAAGCCCGATGAACAGCCGTGACAAGGCCGTCATCAAAATCATCCAAATCTGCCTGCATATTCACGTCCACATGCACGAGCTGCTCGACGATCAAGTTGAGAAGGCTGGTTCCAACGTCAGGGGCGTACTCTCGGATTCTGAGGAGATGGCTGACGTATGCGGCGTGAGTTCGCTTGTAGTCGTCCGATACGGGGTATTTGGCCTTGGCCAGGTCGTAGATGCTTCTCATGGCGGCCGGAGAGATGCGGAGAAGACGTCGAAGCGCCGCATGCAGTCTGTCTTCGACGGCAAATCTCGACACGTCGGGGTATCCTGGGACAGCCCATCTCGACTTCCTCGTCTCTAAGAAGCAATCGAAAATTATGCCTAGGGACTCGGAGAGATAGGATCCAATGCTGGCGAGAGCAGCGAGGAACTCTATATATGCCTGGACGAATCGGTCATCGCGGCCAACCCAAACGCAGTTGAGTACAGCCTGCACCAAGTCTCGGAACGGTCGTTCCTTCAATGTGGGAGCACACGAGGCGAGTGCGAGAACATATTGTGTCAATTCATGCGGCCTCATAGGCGGTTCGTCATCGTCATCAAATTGGTCGTTGCCGCGTCGGGTCTCGACGGCAAAGTGTCGCTTTAGAAGGAGGTATTCCTCGTCCTCACCGCGTCGGTGTTGATCGAGAGTTCGTCGAACTTCGGCTCGAACATCAGCCAAGGAGCGGCCACCGACTTCGTGGACTATAGGGCTAGAATCGCTAAAGAGGACCTTGCGGCGCTTGGCAGGGGTTTCGGGTTGTAAGCTGCCACCCTCCATGTCGAAAACATCGGGCTTTCGTTTGGCATTAACACCGGGGCGACGAAGTATCGACTTGGACGGCGTATCGGGAGAGAGAAGCGAACCGGCTCTCACAGCCGAGATTGAGGTTGGCATCGGATGTTTGAAGTTTTGAAGGTCCTCAAAGCGGCGGGGGCGTGGGTGGTAGCAGTTTCGTTTCTTCCCCCTGCTGGTTGCCTGGAGGGGGCGGAAGGCTGATAAAGGGGTGTGAGAATCACGGGATTCTACTCGACTCGAAATACGGAATATCAACTAAGGAACCTTGATTGGGCATAATAAGGACAAAGAAGGCGGTCTGTCTATGAGAGGGTAAGGGTAAACCAGAGTTCTCGGTGTGAGCTTCCACTCCTCGAGGCTGTGAGGGAACCAGGTTTGGGAAATTTTTTGGGGTTTGTGAAAATTGGCGGAGCTTATCACAAAGCCCAAGAAATTGATAAGAAAGCCGGTGACAATGATGTGTGTAGGCAAACGAAGGGCACGTGATGTGCATGCACCTGAATTTGCTGGATTTGACCTGTTCAGTTACTGTGACGTCGGAGAATTAGCCTTGCCCCACTCAAGAACAATCGCCTTAGTAAGCACCAGTATTCGATGAGAGCATGATGACGCTCTCCAAATCCATGGCCGAATCAATGTCGAAGGTGTCAAGTTTCTAAGTTGTTGGCATATTGCCAAATCTTCAGATAATCGATAATGGGCACTATGGGAGGTTAAAGACTTTATTTTTATCACAGTACGGACTGAAGACAATATACGTAAATACTCTGACGGCGAGGCCTCATCGAACCCGGCATATTTGACGTCTCACATTTTATAGTGTTAGGGTCGCAGAACCGAGCTGGAACAGAGCTCTCACAGCTCTATTTTCATGTCCATTAGTGCGCCTCCTTAGCCCGTTAACCCTTCCATTCCTATATCACAAAAAGGAGTCTCCACAAAGATGAATGGCATGAAACCTCCAGGACACTTGATTTAAACTCGAGAACTCCATGACACTTCTGACCAACTGCTCCGTCCCGCCGACCTCCGAGCACACCTTCTCCTTGGCTCACAAATATCCACATAGCACATATGAGAACTTATATACACCAGACTTATCATCGGGTATCGTGTGTATAGTCGTCTGCTGTTTGCAGACAGAAGTATGGGTTGGCGATCAACCTTCTCAGTACGGCCCTTCGGTACCGGCTCCGTTGTGTCCAGGCTGTGCGCCGTACAAGAATCCAGCATCCGCTCCTTCGCCCTGCTGGCCAGCTAGCAGAGCGTTCGGGTCCCCTTGGTAACCCGAAGCGCTTCCACCTTGGCCTGAGGCACTGGCACCGTAGCCTTGGCTGTTGGGTCGTTGCTGGTTATCGGTTCGGTTGGACTGTGATTGCTGAATTGTTTACAAGTTAGTGATGACGTACCCACAGCACGTTGAGTGTACGGTCCATCACAAGCTCAGGCCTTAGGGGAGGGTCTGTAAGACGTGTCCTAGGGGGAAATACAGTGAAACTTACATCGCGATACTTTGCGAGATAGATCTTGAGCGCCTCGGCGTAGTTTTCAAATCCGAGGGATGTCATAGCGAATAGGATATCTTCACCGTTGACAGTTTTCCGCTTTTCTTGATGGCATTTCTCGGAGGCTGCATCCTTGTTAGCGACCTCCTCTTCAACTGAACGCATTGAATCTTCCAAAAAGAGATATTGGCGGGTTCTTCCCATTGTCCATGACATGGTGCGATGGAAGCGAAACAGAAAAAGGGTCGGAAACCACATACCTTCGCTGGTGATGAAAGAGATGAACTCGCTCACGCACTCTTGCATGCACTCCTTAGCCTCCTTTGCAATCTTAGCATTGTCGGGGAGGGCATTCTTCATGATACGAGCCACTGGAGCAAAATTGCGTATGTTAGCATCAAACCCATCGTCGGTTTTCTCCGTCTTCGAAACGCGAAGCGCTTCCGGCGTCTTGGACGACGAATCGTCGGACATGAGCCCGTAGGTGGGGATAAGGTTGCGCGCCTGTGTTGATAAAAAGCAGCCAGTGAAGCACTAGCTTCTCTCAACGGCAGTAGGATCAAAGGTAGGGACAGGCCCCCATAGGAGGAATAGGAGGAAGGGAAGAGCATTCCTCGCAAATCAAACGCCGAGAGCCAAAACATTAGAGATAACGTACCATTGGCTATGGGTAGCCATCTGTCCTGCTCCTTTACCTCGAACTCGTACGTGAGTCCAGCACTCTGTGGGTCCTGAGTTTCGTTCATTTGTTCTTCCCCGTCGGGTGACTGTACGCCTTGATCGACATCCTTGGGAGCAGATTGGGGGGAGTCCGACATATTTGGCTACCTGCAGCGGCTGCCGGCGTTCTTGTAAATGCTTGGACTACCCGGCTTACACGAGCTCGTTTCCGAACAAGAAGATGACTTGTCCCTTGCCCCCTGACACGTTGCAGATTCGTAGGGTTCCAAAAGGCTAGGCTGCTCTAGATGCAAGAGATGCGTCAGTCCTTGCGTTCTTGCTTCAATCATGCCTACTCAACCCATTCCCAGTCCTTCCAGCTAGGCCGCCGTCACCCCGCGCCCCAACTGGCCAAGAGGTGTGGATCCTCGTTCCAGCCCAGAGCTACGGGCAAAAAGTGTATCTGGAAAAATTCCAACTAGGGCCATAGGTGGGGTGGCTTTAAAGACGAGGTTGAATTATTTTCTCGCCACGCAAAAACGGACATCTAGAAGCCAAGGTGTTGCACGGTTGGACAGCTCACCGTCAAAGACAAGGGTGTGGGTACGAGGATTGCGCTGCCAGGAGTCGCCTTACCACGGGCTGATATGATAGAAGGATTACGCCAGTACGGCTGCGCCCGAGTTATTGGGCTAGAGGATCTGGGTCGAGAGCGGATGATCGCTTCGGATTGGGCTCGTTGAAAGCCTGTGGTGGAAGTAGAGCCGTCGGTAGCTAAGGCGATAGGTACGACACTTCTTCGATATGGCCACGGTACGGTGCCCCGAGCAATTGTCTGGCTCAGGATTGTCCCTACTCGGTAGGTAGATTTCGGGCCTCAAAGCAGGGTGAAAGGCGCTGGGGCAGAGGCAACAGAGACACTAGGGTCTGGTCGAGGGACGGAGAGAGAGGTGGGGTGGTAGGCGATGCGCACAGTGGTTAGTTACACTAGTAACGGCGTCGGAGGCAATCGCAAACAACCTGACGGCGTGCGTCCTAATCGAAGCTGCAGAGTCGCGTCAGAAAACACTCATGCGACAAATGGGCAGTGTGCATTTGGGCTGCGAAGACGTCTCGCATCGACGAGGTGGGAGTGGGAGGGGGGGTAGAGACTCGTCGTTGGGCCCTTGGTTTCGGGTCGCACTCACAATAGCGTGGGTGTCTGAGTTGTCGTTCGTTCGGTTGTCGTGTTCAATAATGCGCGCGTTGTAAAGGCTAATGCATACACCGATCTCTAGCAATGGATGGCTGCAAGAACGTGGGGTTTGTGCAGGAAGGAAAAGTCGATGAATGAGCAAAGGTTCGGCGGTCAAGACTTGAGATTTGAAAATGCGCAGTCGCGGGTCAACAATTAAGAACATAGGGACGGGACCTACCAAGCATTTTGGCATTTTCCTCCAGTGCATTTTACAAGGACAACCAGCTCCAGTAAATAACGCTCCAGGTGTTACCAACCCCGCTGCGATTGCCACGCTTGGGAGAACAATCAAAGTCACTCGGGTCTCAGCTCTTTATCGATAAAAAGTACCGGTACAAGATTTACGTGAGGATTCCCTCACAATTCCAAGTTCATCAGCTGACAGGAGGGGATGGGCAAGACGCCAAGGTACGCCAAAGATACATTAACCTGCCACCCTCCTTGGCGCCGGCCCTCCAATTCTCGCATCCTCATCCCTCGATTGTTTTGATTCCGCGGCTGGCATGGTGGGCTTCGATCATTGCCTCTCAGTAACGACAATCTCGGATGGATCCAAGCTCGCCAGTGAACCCTGCTAGTCGCAATCGCAATCTCCTACTTCGTACGAAGTAGAGGGAGCCGTAAGTGGGCTGCGACCACCCGCCTTCGCAATTACACAACCTTATTTGGCGTAGGTCTCGGGGGATGATTGACGCCCTGCAGGGCAGGAGCACGGTCGGTGGAGCGTGAGCGAGCGCCGAGTGTGCTGCATCAAATCTTGCCCAGGCATGAAGTTGCTAGAGCTGTCGGACTGAATCACCTGAAGATTCCGTTCCTTCACATCGGGTCCTAATTCTAGACATGTGATTGCGTCTCATAACCATGGGCTTTGTCGAGGCGGCGTAGCTGTGTGCTTCTCCTTTCTCTCGAGTACGAGGAGAGGATTAATGATGATGGCACTGAAGAAATGGAAGGGGCGAATGTAAGATGAGGTTGGGACATGGACATCACCAGTCGGGTCTCATTACCAGGATTCGACTTGTGCTCGTCAGACCTAACTGACAACACGAGAGCAAGCTCTCAAAACGTTCCTGGCGTCCACCTACCACGGGCCTCCATCGTTGGGGCTTACCCGCCCAAACGGATGGGCTTAGAAAAGGTGGGCGATTCTACGCATTGATTTGACAATGGCAGCCATCGGGCAATATAAGCTCTCTTCACCTTGCACCACCCTTCTTCCTACTTAGGATAGTCCATCCAACGGGAGAAATTCTGTAGACGCATTCCCATTTGCCTGGGGTTGGGTACCTGGCCGAATCTGGCCAACTCGCATTCTCTTTCTGGCGGTGCTCCAAGGAGGGCTCGTTGTCGTTCTTGCCGATGGGCGAAGTGGTATTCTTGGATCCACTCCGGTTCTACATCTTCCTCACTTGATTTCCCCCCACCTCAACATGGAAACCGCCCTGCACACAAAGTCAAAAGTGCAAGCGAGCTAGCGTGGCGGAGTGCCAGAGTCTATAAATTTGACCAGCGCATCACGGGAATAAGGCCCTGTTTGTAATTGCAGATCCCGCTGGCCATGGCCGGGGCGTGCGAAAATGGAGGGTTGTCTATGAGTTGTCTGTCTCGGAAACTCATCTGTACCTCATACCTACTCCATGTGCACAACCGGCAGCTGCTAACATTTAATTGATCGACCATGTACATTGCTTGCCTGTGAGAGCTTGGTACCTACATTCAACATATGTACAGATTTCCGGGGATTGCTGGTGATAATCTAGAACTGATAGGGGATAGGTACCCAATGGGGTCGGAAAGATGGTTGGGCAGTGAGATTTCTATCAAGGTTGCATCATGTGCCCCAGAGCTCCTACACCACAGAACACGAGGTATTGAGTTGTCAGGAATCCAATGCATATCCCAGCATGGGCAATGCGAAACCACTTCATATAGGAAAGGAAACCGGTTGGCGCGGCAGTTCTGATTTCTCCAAGGAGAAACGGTCGTCCTTTCCGGTGCACATCCATTGCTGCTTTCTAGGTGAGGAGGGATCTCGACGCAGTAACAGCAGGCGGACTTATGGCGATGGATTCAAAGACAGAACCTGATCTTTTTTGACTTCTTCTAAATTTTTCATGCTGTTTGTACTACTTGGATATTGTTCTTCTTCTGTAGCGGGAAGTTAGCGTCTCTTCTGCCTATGCATATGGCCTGGAGAGGGAAGGGGGGACCGGCACATCGACTGACCTTCCATTTCTCGAGCTCGCCTTCCTTTGCCTTGTACGTCTTCACCAAGTCTTCGAGGACCTTCTTTAGTCCCTCCGCATTGGTTTTAAGTAAAGGGATGACATCCTCAACTGTCTTCTCAACCAGCACCCCGTTAATCAGCCGGAAGCACTTTCTCTGTCCATCCAGAGGTGTCAAGGTATCCAAGACAAGCCTATTTGTGAGAGCTAGGTTAGAATATGTCCACAAGGCATCCGTACTAGCTCATATCACATGAGTCTGCCTCGTTCGCGGCCCGGTTTGGGAGCAAGAGGGAGCCGGGACTTCTGAAGCCTAGCCCCGCGTTGGTGATTCGGGAACAAGAAAGCCCGAAAAAAATATGAAAACAAAAATAAACCGATAACAGAAAGGAGACCCTTCGACGTACTTGTGCTCTTCTGACTCTTGCTCAATTTCTCCAATCTTCTGTGCTATTTGTTGGAGACTGTTCTTGTAGTTGTTGTACTGGCTTTGAAGATCTGTGCCTCTCGTCAGTAGCTGCCTGATAGGCGGGGTATAGAATGTGTGTGGACGACCTGCCTTGCTGCTTCTTGGCCGACACTGTTTGCGATGACATTTCGACGGTGTTCTTGTGTCAACTCCGATCCTCGAAGTGTGATGAACCTGAGGAGAATGTCGAGGATTTTGGATGTTGACTGGGGCGTTGATATCAGTAGCCTGGAAGCACAAATGGTCGCCGAATGTTGGCCACAGTGCGGGATCTGTTAATTCAGCACGGCGTCCCGACGAACCGGAACATTGAACTTTTTCCAAAAGTGGGAGCACATGAAATCTAGAAATCACCCCATCCAATTGTCTCGCCTCCGTTGTCACTCACTCCTTTCAACCTTTTCCATTTAAACATCCTCTACGAACCACCACAAAAAAGAACGCCGCTCGCTTCCACGACAAACATACAGTCAACCGCACTTCCAAAATGCATTCTCACCTCGACAAGCCCGAGAATTTGCGTAAGTGACTAACAATCTTGTCTCCCGCCCTCTTCGCCCTTTGATGCGCGCTAATATTGACTCGCCACCCAGCCTGCATCGAGGTCATCAACGCCCTCGAGGAATGCCATGCGCGGGGCTTCCTCTACAAATCGGTTGGAATGTGCAACGATGCCAAGACGAAAGTAAATGAGTGCCTCTGGATCCAGCGACAAAAGCGAGCGGCGAACAACCGAGCGATAGCGCGAGCGAGGCGCGACAAGATCAAGCAGGCAGAACAAGAGTTGGGACTCTAAGCTTGTTCGAATTCGATTGAAAAAGCTGCGAGCGTGACGACAATACGGCGGCGTCATGTCGGCGTTCCTCACTTCCCTCATTATCCGTCTTGGCAGCACTTGCGCGGAGTCCTACGTTGGATTTACTCAAGGGAGATGGCACGAATACTTGCATTGATAGGGCGTTTGGTTGGATAAGGGCTAATACCCACGAAACAAAAAAGAGAAGATATATATTGCAGACGGATGGAGAGTGATATCTGTATCAACTTATTGTACATCAGGACCCCATATTTTATAGACGCTACATGGAACTTCTCCTCTCAGAGATCTCTTCATCACATATGCCACACGTCGGAGTCGAAGATCGTTCAGGCACGCTGGTACAGGGCTCGGCCGAAAGTCACCATACCGAATGTCGCAATAACACTCAGGATGACGGGAACGGGCTTGCGAAGCCTAATAGCACGGGGGATGGCCGACCCTCCGAGGACCACGGACGCCAACAGGCTCAGCTCAAGGCCGTATGGCTGGCGGCTGTGGATACGGTAGCCACCAAGTCCGTCTGATTTGCGGCGAATGGTTAGGATTTGACGCAATTTTGCGAGCAAAGAGACCGTGGATGGGTGAGCGAAACGTACAGAGAAGGCCGACGCTACAGCCTGCGACAATGGAAGGGACCGATCCTGTCCTTGCGAAGCCGGCGATTCCGCCAGAGGCAGTCAAAGCCGCCAGTATGAAGGAGGTGCTGTCAAGACCGTTGCTCGCCTGCCGTTGAGGAATTGGCATTTAGAATCTGCTTATATGAACGTATCCGCATGTTTCGCTTACCATCGTATCTTGAATATCTATATTTCGTGGTTCTAAACTTCCAATTACAATTGGAGTGGGGAAACTCTCGTTGTCTCGGGCTTGGAGGGTCGGTTTTTATTGATGCTATTCATGCCGATGACGCTCGGAGCTTATTACCCCAGATTCATCCACGCTGACAAATTGAACGCACTGCTGCAACACGTTCCTTGAAACTCACTGCTCCAGAGTCCAGACCCAAGTTCAATAGCTTCAGCCACGTAACGCCACGTTTCGTACCTCCAAAACTGAGGCTTGAAGCTGTCGTGTCAATTGACGACCACCTGCAAGGCTACTTGACCGAAGTAATCTACACGTACCCCGAACTCCATCCCCTTCTCGATCCCGCACCGTTGCATCAACTATTCACCTTTCGTCAACCGCAACCATGGCGCCCAAGACGAAAAAAGAATCCACCCCCGCGCCCTCGGGTGCTCCCTCCAGCTCGACGTCCAACGACTCCTGGATTGCCACCACTGTTGTCTCGCACTACATTAAGAATACGTCGCAACAGACGAAGCTTATCGATGCGTTTATGGCGTACCTTGTGGTTGTCGGAGGCATTCAGTTCCTCTACTGTGTCCTCGCCGGAAATTACGTATGTAGACGTTTAGCGTCACTTTTGACCTTGGAAGCTAGAGTGGGAGAGATGCTAACCCCCCAGAACAGCCCTTTAATTCATTCCTCTCCGGATTCTCTGCTACCGTTGGCCAATTCGTCCTTACAGGTGATTCCTCTATGCTCCCGAGCCTTGGCTGTGGATCATTTCCACTAACTTGTTCAACTAGCATCTCTCCGATCTCAAACGAATGCCTCCAATGGCAAGAAGTCCACCACAGTTTCGCCTGAACGGTTAGCCTACCCCTTCATTGCTCTCCATGTTTTTACTACCTGTTCTTCCCTGGTCTTTGGTCACTGACTATCTTGTCTTTTAATAGTGCCTTTGCCGATTACATCTTCTGCAGTCTAATCCTTCACTTCTTTGCTGTTAACTACATGAATTAAGTGAAGGAGAGATGATAAGGGACGGTTATATGGAACCTGCGCAGTGCTTTCACGTTTTCTTTTTCTTAACTTCATCAACGGAATGGAATGGAATGGGTTGTCATTGTGTATAAAATTGGGAGTGTTTAGAACTGAATTGAAAACAAAAGTTCACATTAGCATCATAACCACAGTGCTTCGTATTCTTGCATATCCTTTTTCTGTATCTAAAACAAGTTTACCAGACACCCATCCTAAAACCTCCGTACCTAAGATGCGTTTCCTGGCTCCGGACTGGCAGACTCTCGTTTCGCATCTGCCCGCGGGGGCCCCCCTTTTGGAGGCGGAGGAAGACTAGCAAGCGGTGTTGATCGACCACTTGGCCGATCCAACTCCCTGCTCTTCTGCTCCTCCTCCCTGAGATAATCATCCATTAACTTGGTCGGGTCACGATGATGCCTCTCCTTCTTCTTGCCCCTCGGTGGGGCACCAGAGGGCGGGGCGCTAGTAATATCCGCTGGAACAAGGAAGTTGCCGCCCGTGGGTGGAGGTCCGAGGGGAGGAGCAGCAGCAGCAGCAGCAGAAGCTATGGCGGGAACGAAGAGCCCATCACCACCTGACGCCTTATCGCCGTCGAACATGGTCTCCCCAGGTGCCGAAACAGGCTCGCTTAGCGGCGCCGGTAACCTGTGTAGGGCCCCGTATCCGAGAACACATCCCAGCGCGCCCTCACCACCCCAATCCCTGCTGGGTTGAATCGTGACTTCTCTCGTGACGTCGTATTCGTTGTTGTATACGTATAGGCGCAGCGGCCTGGCGATGTGGTCTTCGACTAGTTCGCTGAGGCCGCTCTCACCGTGTAGTATGCCTTCGGGGCTGCCGAGGATGTAGTCGCTGTAGGGTAGGAGACCGGCCTGGTCTGCGGGTGAGTTCCCCGCGACGTCGAGAACGTGCCATATATTGGCGGCGACGGAGAGGGGCGTCCACTGGAGGGAGAGGCCGAGGGATGCAGTGTCGTGAGGGACGGGAATGTGCAGCTCTCGTGTTCTTTGGCCCTGTTGATCAAAAACGAGACACGGAGCGCCACCGTCAGCTACAGTGCTCAAAGAAGTTGCTCGCCGTGGGTTCAAGCTCGAGAAGGGCCGGGGTTCTACTGACCTTGGCGTTCCAAAGCCCAAGGGTAACGGTTCCGCCTGCGCAGTTCCGCACCTCCTGGGAGAAAAGGTGTGGGCTCGGATTATCGAGGGGCCGTCCGTTGATGCCAACTACGAAATCGTACCAAGGCTCGATCGCCAGTTCGAGGTTTGTATTGCGCAGGACCTGGAATCCGTAGTCGCCTGCTCGACTGTGCTGGCTCGCAGGCGCATCGCCATCGAGCCGGGAGATGAAACGATTTAGGGCGTTGAACATAGTTCGAGGATGGGGGATGCGAGGGGGACGCTCGGGATGAGGAGGAGAGGGTATTCGGAGTATCAATGGCGAGTGAAAGACATGTGGGAGACGGAGTGGATAAGATTTAGCACGTCGTAGTTGGTTGGGCCAAGATTGGTTGAAATCATTAGATCGAAGGGTGGTGTGGGAGGGTGTTCAGTAACTTCAATGTTCAGTGCAAGCTGTCATTAGCTTTCAGCCTTGCAGCAGAGGCCGTGGGCAGACCTGGTGTGGCCTAAGCTCCGATAAGACCCAATAACGCCCTAATGGCACTGCCGAATTTTAGTGGGGTGCCACCATCACACGCTAGAAATTCTTGTTCGATCTCACAGCTTAACTCTTGTCTAAGCTCTTCCCACTACCCAGTTTTGCCCTTGCCCAGGTCAAATCAGTTCGGTGCCACATTTAGATTCTGATGTTCACGTATGAGAATGGAAATGTCTCGTTGAACCCGCATCTCCCCAACTTGAGTACCGGTCCCCGTGTCCTACCATGGGAGACAACCAATCCTCCAACGACCAACGCAAGGATCTAGAGAAGTACACGATGATACCTGCCACCGAGCTCCCCTTGACGGAGAACTGCATTCATTATGAGCAGAAGCAAGAGGTCCCCTGGGATCTACTAAAGTAAGCTTTGCGATATGGCAATGCATGCATAAATATATCGAGATTTTATAGAGAACTAACATTGTGTCTCTGCAGATACTGGTCTCAACGGTACACCCTCTTCGAAGCTTACGACAGCGGCATCTACCTCACAGACGATGCTTGGTTTGGCGTCACCCCCGAACCAGTTGCGCAGTGCGTTTCCTGCCCCTTTCCCGGCCCTTCCCCCGTCCGTTTACTTCTCCGGCCTCTTAACAAAGTCTCGTTGGGACTAACAAGCTCCACGAAATACAGACAAATCGCCTACGAAGTCGCCCGCGTCTCCCCGTCAAAGACGACCATCATAGACCTCTTCGCCGGAGTAGGAGGCAACGCCATCCAATTCGCCCTCTCCGAACGCTGGGACCGCGTCATCGCCGTCGAGCGAGACGGAGACACCCTCGCCTGCGCGCAGAACAACGCCAAGATCTACGAAATCACAAACGAGATCACCTGGGTCCACGCCGACAGCTTCGAGTACCTCAAACTAGCCCTGGAGCAGCCCAACAAGCTCCACGAAACGTTGCGCATCGACCCGGCTGCGACCGTTCTGTTCGCTTCGCCACCTTGGGGTGGTCCGGGGTATAGGACTGACGACATATTTAATCTTCACGAGATGGAACCGTATAACCTCAAGCGGCTGCATGAAGCATACAAGTCCCTCGACTATGCGCTTTACCTCCCTCGGACAAGTGACCTACGCCAGATTGCGAGATTGGTCCCTGACGGCAAGAAAATCGAAGTAGTACAGTACTGCATAGAAGGCGCAAGTAAAGCGTTGATAGCCTGGATCCCGGCAGAAGGATCCCCACATGAGACTTTTTATTACTACGACGAGTAAAGGCGGCTTGCGCCGCCAACTAAAGGGCCTTTACAATGGTCTTTTCGTCAAACAAATCCTTCAGTAACCCTTTTACACAGCGCTCCCGATCCAGCGCTCCCATGGCGTACGTCGTCTCAAACGCAAAGATGCTTAACTGCCCAAAGAACGGCCGGAGCACCTTGGCTACCAATTCATCTTTCCTCTCGAGACTCACATCATCATTAATGCCCCCAGCGCCCAGCAGTGGTCTCCGTTGGTGGCTGCTCGTGGCCACCTGTGCCGCCGCTGATTCTGTATGGAGCCCCGAGCTGAAGGAGGCCGACGAGCCCAGCTCTTCCGAGAGTTCGTCTACAAGGGCGACGGGCTGGTAGTTCTCCGACCGGTATACCGCGTCAATAGTATCCGTAACGAATAACCATTCATGGAGTTGGAAGTCATCTGGAGCGACGCAGATGAGGAGATCCAAGAGTTTGCAGGCCTGTAGGATGGACGCGTTCATGTACGTCTCAGAGGCGGTACTATGGTCGGGCGCGACCACGGAGGAGATGGCGGCGTGGAGTTCCGCATTGATCACAGGCCACAACATTGCCAAGTGTATCGCGCCCGTCTTAAGAACAAGCGCCCTGACGACCATGTAGATCTCTGCGCGAGTGGTAGATGAGGGGGAGGACGTGGCAGTTGCGCCGAGGAGCTCAGTAAGCTTATCCGAGATGGCTGTCAAGTCGGAGACAAAGGCGTCTTCAGCGGACGCCAGGATAAGGGTGGCGATACGTCGAAGATTTAGTTGTGTTTTTCGATCCGCTTCTAGCCTAGCAGAGGTAGCTCCGACACCAAATACAATGCCCGCCGTCGTCGGGGGGCTGATTCGGCCGATGATTTCGGGTACCCTTTCTTTGTCGCCAACGACCCATTGTTTAAGCAAGGGCAGCCAATCGCTCTGGACGAGTTGCAGGTCCGAGGCAAAGAATTTCGGATCATTAAAGGCGTCGCCGATGTCCTTTCGTGACGTCTTTTGATTGTTTGGTAACCGAGAGAGCTCGTGTAGAAGGTCTAATGTGCTCTTGGATACGGTGTCTGGGAAGCCTCTGGACCGTATAGTCGGCCCGATGACATGTGTTGATATAGTAGTAGCTGCCGAGAGAACCCTGTCTGATTCAACAAGAATCTTGGGTAGGTTTGGGACGATGGTGGAGAGGGTGCCAACGACATCATCCGCCCTGTCTGCGGGTGTCTTGTGAGCGGACACGTCGCCCTTGGGTTTCTCCGATAGGCTGCCCAAGGATGGCTCAGTGAACGTGATGGGACGGGTGGTAAAGAGAGCTGTTAGCAGCTTGAGGAAGAGATCCTGGAATCTGTTAGTAAAATGCAATTCTTTATCTCCAAGAGATACGAAGCGCTTACCCCTAGTTCTCTGCGCATTTTCCGCTGCTCTCCAAAATTAGTATTGTCAACCTTCTCGCCAAGGATTGCCGCAAACTCTAGCAGAGATGGGAGTGTCTGGCGATGCGGGAACGGGTTCGCGAGCAGATCCTTCAGGAACGTTATGCAATCAGTCCAGATCTCGTCCATAGCATCATCATCTAGTGACCGAGTGTAGTCGACCAGGAAGATGACGAGGTCAGTATCCTGAAGGTCAATGGTCAACGTCGACATCCTAGCCGGCTCCAGAGCGGATGGGTTGGTGCGGCTGTAAATGGCGTTAAAGATGGCCGGTATGGTATTTTTTGGTCGAGATACATCAAGAGCTGCAAATATCTTGAAAACCTCGGCAGCTTGCGACTTTGCTTCGTTGTACGACTTGCACCATATATCTACCAGAGTTTCTAGGCACTCGAGGGTCTCAGCAGCGAATAGGTGCTCTAGCAGACGGCGGGCCCTATTTCTCATTCGCAGCGAGGTGTAGTTGAACGACGCTACAGAAGAAGGATCTAATAGCCTCGCCTCGTCGCCCTGACCCCAGTGCCATATCGTGAAGCACATCCTGATCGCATCCTGGAAGGCAAGGTGAACAGTGAGGCGGTCATTCGCGGTTGCGCTCCGGGACTGATGGCTATCTGATGCAAACACTCCGGAGACCATGTTGCCGAAAAACCCTTGTTGCTGGTCTGGTGTCTTCACAGCCTGAGTTCTCGCTTCTTCGATGAGGAGACGAGCATGCGCGCTTGCGAGAACTTCTTCGAGACCATTGAGGAGTGAAATCAGTGTTGATTCGGGTCCACTAGACTCAGGTCTAGCCGAGCTCTGGCCTTCTCGGAACGTTGCCTGCAGGGCTCGGAAACTGCCATCAATCTGGCCGCATAAAGTCTCGACCAGAGGAATCAGTATCTGGAAAATGGCATCCGAGTACATGGAGAGGCATTCTGTAAGGAAGCCAACCCAGCTTTCTAGGACTGGTTGGCTGTTGGGCGAACTCAATCCTGCCTGAAGGCATCTGAGAAGAGATGGGGGTGGAGGCTTCGTCCGCGGCAGTTGTTCGGTTACGACGGGCAAGGGAACGCGCTTGTTCGGATCAAGAACGGTAGGGCGTTTCTCCGAGGTAGGGGAGGTAGGCTGGTCCGGCAGAGGCCCTGCTTGCAGCTTGAGTGATGCGTACACGACGTCCAGGAGGAGGATCTGAATGTATGGGTCGTGGTCGTTGAGGGAATGGATCAAGCGATCAATAAGCACTTCCTCCAGATGAGGAAGAGAGAGGCGAGAGGCGTAGGGATTAAGGAGTATCTGGTGAAGCACCGTCAAAGCTATCCGGGTGAGCTGGGAGGTCTGAACGGCAAGGGAGGCATTTTCTGGCCCGGCTCTGAGGGCGATGCATCTCATGCAAACTTGAGCTAGGAGGCCCTGCATTGGTACCTCGCCATCTGCTCCGGCTGCCTTTTGCGTTAGCGTTGATGGCGACAAGAAAAGGCATTTGGGAGTAACTCAACTCATTTTCTGGACCTCTGGACGGCCCGAGTCATCGGGCACGGCCATTGTGTCTAGAATTGACCAAACGTTGTCCGGGGCCCATCTTAGCACATTCGAAACTGTGCGGAGATAGTACAAACAGACGTCGAGATCATCGTCCTCTGTCACGCGGACAAAGCTAGACATTGGGTCGTCGGACACGAGTCTATGTATCTGCAAGAAAGGGAGATCTATAAACTTGGATATGAAAACAAGGAATAAACTACGCCGATCAGTTTATGCCTTTTTCTACACGAACATTGGCAGTTTGAGCTTTGGCTTACCGTTCAATCCCCACCATGGAATTAAGCCAGGCCTTGGCGGCCATGAAGAGTTGCGTTCGTTCATCGAGGAGGGCATCAAGCATGAGGAATAGTGGTTGTGTTAGCATTACGTCGTAGTGGTCAAGTCCTGCAAGTCGTGGCATCGCATGAAGTTTATGATCCGTGATTGGGGTCTTCGAACCCCTCCTCTCCATGTGTGACGGGCTATCTTGTAGAGTATGCGACCAGAGGACGCTGAAGCTCCTTCCCGGCTCAGACGGCCGGATAGCAAAGGTTCCCCCGATGTCTTTCTCTATCATAAGCCCTGAAATGGCAGCCTCGATATCGCGGTTCTGGGGTGTTAGGGCCGTTTGTAGCTGCCAGAGGCAACGAACTGTTTCGACGTGGTACTTAGGCTCAGATGCGGAAAGGTAGACCCAGGCGTGGCGGACAAGGGGTACAACGAGCTCAGAGAGTCGAGGCGTTGAGATACGGTCGGATGAGTAGAGGTGGGTAGAAAGCGCCAGTATCGAAGAGAATGCGGTGAAGGGGAGGGGGGCCGGCTTGTCGAGGCCCTTGCGGATCGATGCTAGTATCACGTCGACGTCCCACTCGTACTCCTCTGGAACTTTGAGGAGCAGTAAGATCAGAACGCGAACCCTAACGGTCAGGTCGTGAGACTCTTCGGGCAGAGAAAGTGCTTCGCAGCTGAGCTGGCATGACTTCTGCAGTAGGAGCTCGGCCACTTCTGCTCCATGGAGAGGAGGTGGGGAGCTATCAACCGCCCCTTGCTCTTCCACATAGAAGGCGCTAATCTTCTTAAGGATCTCCGTATCAGGTAGGGAGGCCAGCGCCTCTGGCTGGGTTTTTCTACCTGCCTGTCTGCCCGGACCATAAGGGAATGCTCGCCGAGGAACAAGGTCAAGGAGAGAGGCAGAAACATGCAGTGCCGTTTCAAAGAGTTGGTCAGATTGGCTATCACGCAACTCCCCGCGGTCCTTTGCATTGATCAACATGCACAGAATTGACAGGACTGTCAGAGGGGCATGGATCGTTACCATCTCCTCCTCCCTGACGTTGAAGCTGGATATAATGAAGTTGACCAAGTTTAGCTTGTCGATCCGCAGAGCGGTTGTCGCATTACCCGGCCCGATGGCTTCGGTGAGCAACCTCAGAATCTCACCGTATATAAGGCCACTCTCTACTCCATCGAAGAACACACTAGCGCTTCGTAGCACTTCATGGAAATCCGCTTTAGATACAGCTTGGGATTTGTAGCTGCGGACGCTATCGACAATCGGCAGGAAGACTTCTGGTACTACAAGGCCGCCGATCTCCCATCTATCCATAAGGGAAAGGCAGATGCGATAAGGACGCGCACGCTCCGCAGGTGTCTGCGTCTGGCTCGTGTTGATCATGGTAAGGAGTGCTTGAGTTAAAGGCTGAAGACCATATTCTTCGAAATAGCTAGTTTTTGATGTAAGGTATTGATTGTCAGCAGACGGGGACTCTATCGTCGCTTCGGCATCTCCGTGCTGAGGCTCTGGCCCCAAGAGCCATGCCCAAAGTCGCCTGTTCAAGCTCATATCTCGACGAGTAACTACACCAGCGGCTGCACGAAGGAGTAGTTGTAAGTCTGCGGGTTTCGCCTTTGACTGAAGCACATCGGAGTAGAGGGGAAGGTGGGTCACGAGCAGATCTAGGTAGCCCCGCTGAATAAGAAGCTGCTCGTCACCGAGGCCGGCCGCAAAGCACCGGATGAGAAGGCCCGGTTCCGGCGACGTCACTATTCTTGCAAGTTGTTTGGAAGTGTCTGATTCGGCCTTATTCTTGGCTTCGGTCCCTATTTCTTCCGCTAATTTTGGCAAGTTCCTCGTCAAGTACGCCAGCGCCCCTAATCTCCGGGTTTGCCCAGTTATAGACGCTAGGAAGAAACATTGCCAGAAGAAAGCATCGCCCGTGGAGTGCGAACTCGATATATCCTCGCTTCCAGGTGGCCGGATCGCCGATTTGAAACTATCCATAAGCTTCAACGTCCGGTCGAACTCCTCGCTGGTCTCTTCTTCGAGTCCTGGGAGAAGCGCAAGGACAATAGACTTCATAGCCGGCCGCAGTGATTTCGGATGGAGGCCGAGGAAGTACGTCTCGAGGAGGTCGAGGTATGGCGCCCTGACGGATAGGGATGCAAAGGAGAGAGTTGTGGCCAAGCCGGGGAGGTAGAGAGGAAGATCTTGCGACAGCCCGTCTTGCCCGATGACGGAGAAGATGTGATTATATACTTCGAGAGACTTTTGGTGGACGCCGGAGGGAAGTGACGGGTTTAGACATTGCGCCAGGCGCTTTGCGACCAATGCTTTTGAGGGGATCGCGTTCACGGATGATGGGCGAGACTGCAAGGCCTAAATTGAAGAGTATGCGGTTAGCTAGCGGTCGAGCTAAACCGCGAATGAAGCACGCAAACCAACTGCGAACCTTAAGGAGACGGTTTAGAAAGGATATATAGTCGGCCCACTCCTGCAGGGTGGTCTCGAAGAGGGACAGGGCCCTCTCCACGGCGGAAGCATATTTGCGGTAGTGCTTGTCTTTCTTCGCAGGGGTGTCGTCTAGTTTGTCGTTAGCAAATGAGCCTGGCGAGGGGAGAACCTTGAAGCTTTAGACATACCTGCCCCTAGCTGGTTCCTCCATTGTCGTGGAATGGGAGAGTCGCGACCGGAGCTTTCGGGGGAGACGGATCGCCTGCCATCAAGCGCCATGGTTTAAGAGTTCGTGTAGGGAGTGCGGACTGAATGGCATGTGGGCGCTTTGGTTCTTGTGTGTCTGCTCAGTCAAGCTGGGGGCTCATTGCGACGTCGGAACGAGCTTCCAAACAGCGGAAATGTGGTATTCGAGGATCGTTTCGCCTTCTTCTATATGCGAGTGTGGTGGGGAGGACGAGGCTACACGAAGCTTTTGGAGAGGTCGTGTTTCAATATGTGGCCTGTTAGACGAACGTTGTATTGCATTGATGCGCTGCCTTAGTTGGGGTAAGCTTCGATGGCTTCACTGCTTTTAGTGGAAGCTGGTGCCTTGGACCAGCCCCGCCTGCGTCATCGATCAATCGGTTGATTTGGTTCGTCGTTTCGCCAATGCAATTATCCCGTGCACTATAATAAGGCACCAAATTGCTTGTACAAGTACGAGTACCAACCAGTGCGTGCACTCTCCACTTCAGAATCTCGGACACTATCTCAGGCTCGGGACGACATCAACCATTTGATACCGCCGACGATGCCCCTCCAGCACACCCCAAGCAACGTTATACACACCAAGCTCGAGGCGAATTAACGAACACCACCTCTCGGAAGCTGTGCTGAAATGACAAGCAGCTTAGACACATCGTTAGCATGGGTCAGGACGACACGAGCTCGTCCAGGGTGAGCCTGGAGGACGAGCAGCCTCCTCCACTACCACCCCGCCCTCTCCTTCGACCCGACGGCCATGTCCGATCCCGATCAAAAGACGTAAAGACGAACCTCCAGGCGGAGCCGACTACGGCGATTTCGTCAGTCGATATCCAGACCCTCTCTTTCCCCGACGGATCTCGAGGCACCTTTTCTACACCTGGGACTCGGGCTGTGTCAACGCCTGCCCGTAGCACCAGCAGCGGCCGTGTGACACCGGCTCTCAGCCAGGCGGGTGGAGAAATTGACGACGGCGCGAGCGTCATGAGCTTCGCGCCAACGATGCGGCCGTCTGGCGACATTGCAAGCCTGCTTGTCGGGGAGTTTAACAGGAAAAGCCCGGCATGGAACCTCCTTCGCTCCCAGTCCGCCTTAATTGCGCCCTTTGAAACAACCAGAACAGATACGACCGGTTCCATTTCGAATTTCGAACAGGAGTTCGATACGATCCCGGAAGCGGACGAGAAAGGTCTGAATGACGATGACAGGCTGCGACTTTGGAAATCGAAGCTCAAACACTACATGATATTATCTTCTGCTGGGAAGCCGATTTACAGCCGGCATGGAGACCTATCTTTGATCAACGCATCTATGGGTGTCGTGCAAACCATAATATCTTTCTACGAAGGGTCCAAGAACCCTTTATTCGGGTTTACAGCTGGAGATACTCGGTTTGTCATTCTGACGGAAGGCCCGCTCTATTTCGTTGCCATTAGTAGGCTTAGAGAGAGTGACGCCCAGCTCAGAAGCCAGCTCGAGGCCCTTTATATGCAGATCCTATCAACCCTCACTCTTCCGACACTTAAAAACATATTCATCAACCGACCCTCAACTGACCTTCGGAAACCCCTCGAAGGAACCGAGCCTTTACTCTCATCGCTTGCCGACAGTTTCACGAAGGGATCTCCGTCTGCCTTGCTCAGTGCCCTCGAGTGCTTAAAACTTCGGAAATCGCAACGGAATGCAATCACCAACATGTTTCTCAAAGTCCGTGCCGAGAAATTGCTATATGGTTTGATTGTTGCTGGCGGGAAACTTGTCAGCGTAATTCGACCCCGGCGGCACTCGTTGCATCCCAGTGACATGCAGCTCATCTTTAACATGCTGTTCGAGTGTGACAATATCAGGGCCGGGGGTGGTGAAAACTGGATACCGCTCTGCCTTCCCGCCTTCAACAATCGCGGCTACCTGTACATGTATGTCAGCTTCTTCGATGGCGTTACTCCTGAGGAGGCCACCACGCGACCCCGCTCTGCAGAAACAGAAAGCCAATCGCCGGATGAAGAGATTGCCATCATCCTCATCAGCCCCGATAAAGAGAGCTTCTTCGAGCTGAAGGAGATGAGACATCGGGTAGCTCAGCAGTTGACGAAGAGCGGCAGCCTCGCCATCATTCAAGCCGCTGCTCGGTTCGGCCGGCCGAAAGTGGCGGACGTGGCTCCCGGCAGCCAGATCAGTCATTATCTGTACAAATCTAGAGCCAATGTCCAGTTTACAATGGCGTCGCTCGACCCTGTTTTCAGCGACCTCATTTCCCGGCGACGACTGATGACGCTATATCACGAGCTCCATGCGTCCATCCACGCCAAACACTCTCATCTCAGAGTCCTGCATCATGTCAGCGAGGATGCCTCAGCGCTAGCCTGGATAACGCCCGTGTTCGAACTATATTGCGTAGCTGGACCGGCGATATCGAGAGGCATAATTACGCAGGGCGCGAATAAGATCACTCAGTGGGCTAAGCGGGAGGAAGAACGATTGTTCATTATAGGCGGCGGCGTATTCTGATACCCCAACCACAAGTCATTAACATTAAAGCCATGCTATTCCCACACCTTTGTACCCGGTTGCCTACGATGTCCGTGATATTCACAACAATGTTACAAACGCCATCAACGCCGAATCCACATGAACCCTGGCCATCAACCTTCTCTTGTACATAAAACACATGCCTTCAGCATGCGGGGATAAACTTCCACCACGCTTCGGTGATGAGTCTTGCTCTCCGGTTGTTACTCCTAGGCTCGGGTGTGTCGATCGGCTCCTCACCATCCGGATATGGCCCCTGCAGCGAATGCCTACTCTCTCGAAGGCCGGGTTCTTCTTTCGAATTGCCAGGTTTCGCGGTACCCCGTCGCAGCTTTCTTAATGGGTATTGTGCCCATTCCTTAAACTTTTTCCCGCCTGTTGGAGATCTCCAACCCATCCAGGACAAAGCGAAAATAATCGAGGTTGGACTCCTCGTAGGGCTGTCCACGCCGTCATATGCGCTGAGAGATGGGCGTGAGTGTGATGGGCTCGAATTTGCCGTATCACTGGAAATATGTAGACCGATCAAGACCTCCGAGAAGGGGGCGTCAAAATCTTCTTGAAACCTGCTGTTTCCGGGCGGGGTGAGGACGGGCAAGAGAACGGTGGTGTCCACTTTGAGGGGCGGAGGCCGCCGCTTTGATTCTGCGCGAGGGAGCATGCTGTAAACTGCGACAGGGCGGCTATCTGCAGCTCTCTGTCCGGTTTCTCCACGGGATTTATATGGCAGGCATCGAGATTAAAGGCACAAAACAAGCGGCGAGGCTATCTGAGTTCCATTGGGAGAAAGGGCAGGTTCTCGATAGTGTTGGATCTCTTGAATAAGTGGAACGAAGAGTGGGCACGATTTCTATAAGGTGCAGGAGGGGTCATTTCGAATCTTGTGAGCTGGACGCAGCGCAAGGGGGTCGCTTCTACATTTTAAAGGTGATATAAGTGGCCCCGGGCCCTTCCAGTAGTGCGGGCGTCCATATTAGTCTTCCATCAGACGATCTCGAGTAGTCTCCAAGTACGAGCGAAACTAGAAGCGCCATGTTCAGAGTCATGGCGCTACCGAGTACCTGAAGAAGAAAGAATAGCTTCACTACATTATGCCCACCTGCCCGCATGGTCGAGCGAGCGCTTCTTCCGTCCTAGGACGTAGTGGGCGCCTTTCCCCGTTTGTCTATATTGGTGGGGTGAAATTGTGTCAGTGTATGTGACGCCATCGTTCTGGTGGATGGAAGTCAGGTGAAGCCTTTCCTCTTCCTGCATGTTCGGGTCTGTGCCCGGATCGCAGGCTATTTCTGATAGGCCACAAGCGCTTGAGCGGAGTGGATGGGGAATAAAAAGGTTGGTGACGGGATGATTTAGTCTAGCGTCGACTCTGGACTCGGGCGACCACGTCTTTTCCGGTGTTAGCGCGGGATCTGGGTGGTGATGTGACCATCATTGTGTCCAGCTGGGCGGGTTTGAGCTGAATCCCCGAGCTGTGTCCTGCCAGTATCCAGGGATTCGGCAATGCAAAGAATCATACATCATTCACCAGCCACCAATGAGATGTTAGGGAGAACCAAAGGATGGGATTGGGACAGCTGCTCGCTAACTGGAGAAGACGGTCAATATATCTCGCCAGAGTGCGGGTATCACGACAGCACCATCAAATGCACTTTCAACGTTGGTTTTCAATGTCAGGCACCGCAGCGAGAAATGCAACTAGCGTCAACTGAATGCTAACCTCCAAGGATTTCTGCGAAGTATATCAATGGCTATCACTCTATTAGAAACCTTCGAGTTAGAAAAGTTAAAACGACGATCCCAAGATGGTAACACCTGAGCCTCCCTTCCGATTCGAAGCTGTCAAGATACCACACTCTGCCATACTATCGCGTCTATCGAGTATCAGCTCTTCCAATAGTAAGAGATGAGAGTCCCATCCTTGATCGCGGAATCGGAAGAGCCCCGAAGGGGTTCCTTCATCGGCCGTAGGATATTGTGATGGCGAGCATGGAGTATGGGCGACAAAACCAATTAGAAGACTGATGCCATCACACATGCAACGCACTCGAGTCCCTCAAAGCTTACACAAGAGCGTCTGAGTTGGACGGTCCGAGGGTGATGTTGTCATCGTTTCGTCTCCCAACCGTACAAGGCAGAGATTCACGATGGCCGGCTGGAGAATATAAGCAACTCTCATATGCGGAGGGAACTCGTCGTTGAGAGCAAGTATCCGACGCGTTTCCTCGAATGGGGCTCGAATCTGTTTTCCGATGGCCCATATCAGTCGTGGTCTCTGGTCTGTTGAGTGTCCCCTGCTCGACTCATCCAAGTAGCCCCTTCTCAAGAGAAAAGAGGAAAGAGAAAAGAGAAAAGAGACCTTTGAGAGAGGAAAGCTACAATCATCATCCCATGTTTCTGCCCTTCCTACCTTCCTCCCTTCCTCAAGTATGGCTTCAAAAATTCTAGGTTGGCTCCTTTTGACTAATCTTCATCTCATTCTTTGATCTTCTGTGCGTTTTCCCTTCTTCTTCCTCTTCCACACTCGTCAGTCCAGACCATCATCGACTACGACCATCACCTCTGCCAAGTTGGCATCCTTTTCTTATCAATTTTTTTTCCACCATTACCATCATTTCTATCCACTCTCTTTATCAAAATCCAACCATTTCACCAAAGAAGCAGACGTGCTGTCCATTTAAGTGCTGTATAGCATCATCGTTGTGAAAGCCCTGCCTCTTCTATCTTCTAGCCTTGGCAGCTTTTCTACTCAACCTTATCATCACATTCTCTTTTCAAGGCTTGATAGTTCTAGCCCATCATTATACCTTTAGCCATTCCTTATGATGATTGGCATATCTTTCAACAGAAATTCTATCTGATATACGAAACACATCGCCAAGATGAATGCTCACCTGGGATCAGGAGGGCTAACCCAGGGACGGCAGTCACGTAAGTCTAGAGCAGCCTTGTCTCCTCACTCTTCTAACCAGACTTTAGTGAACCAAAACCAGCAATCACTTGAGTCTGATGGTGCAGCTGACCATACATTTATCTCTTCCTCCTCCTCGTCGGAAGGCGTTGTGATGAACCAGAGCATTGAGCTCGGGGGTGGCTTGGGGGAGGCAGTGGCTACTTCCAGCAGTCAGGACCTTTTCGGACACCATCTTCATGTCCCCTCCCTAAACATTGACTTTCCTGGCCAGAATCTAATGAACAATGACCAAGTAAACCAGCAGCATCTTCAAGGTGGCCAGAACCATCGAGGTGGCCAGAGAGCATACCAAGGCCATGAGTACTACTACAATACAAGGGCTCTTTATCCCACAGTCTCACCTAGGCCCCGACTCCAGGTAAACTCGGTTCCCTTAAACCTCTATTTCGCACCCATACTAACGGCGTTGGTAGCTTGAGTCACTCGGGAACTCGTCAACGGCGACGCAGCATTCCAACGCAACCTCGTCGACATCCCAGCAACCTCGTACTGCCATGGTTGCGGGACAGCAGCGCCGCCCATTCGGAGTCGCCGGCAGAATCGGACTACCGGTTCTTGTAGATGGCAGACCTGCCCAAGATTCCGCAGGCCCTAGCCAGCTTCCGGCAGTAGAGGCCCACGATCTAAACCTTCAATCTGAGCAAGGTGGGCAATGCCTTCGTAGAAAGTTGGACTCTATACTAACCTGTCAGGTTTTGTTCCACCCGGTGTCAATCGGGGAGGCCTCCGCAGCTTTCGTGACCTTCCCCGACCCAGCTGTCTTGGCCGTGCTCGATCTCCGCGACGTAGGTGACGCCTTCCGATGAAAAAGAGACACTAAGCTAATAAGTCAGGCCGAGCTACGTATGCCCCCAGTCGGGGTGGCCTACACAACTCTCGCCTCCCTCGCCGTTCCAACTCTCCCGGCGGTGCCCAATCTCAGCAAGGTGGATGGCGTCTTCCTAGAAATCAGATTCTATGCTCTATGCTAACATCCTTGGATTCAGGTCCAGTCTCGGGTGGCTCAAATTTGCGAGGCATCAGCGGCCGCAGCCAGGCCAGCCGGGTCCATCGTGCTGGTGGCCGAGTCGCTAAGCCTACTGCGCGTTCGACGAGGGTCGATTCTCGTGGAAGCCCCATTCGGCAGGACGAGGTAAATCAGGCACATAACCGGGAGTCTGCAACTCTGGGCGGCCGTCAACCAGTCTACTCTCACCCGTTGGGCCCGCCTCAGTGGAACTGGGGTCTTGCGCTCACCAATGCTGGTAAGGAGAATGTCGCTCCTGGAGAGGGAGAAGCTGGTAGCCACCAGTCCATGGGCCCTAGCAACGGCAATTCGCAACATGGCGGTCGGAGCGTGCTGCAGGTCGAGCAGACAGCGACTCAGTGTCCTGACTCGCAGTCAGAGGGAGAGGTCGACGGCCGCGAGAGTCTAGACAGCCAGACCTCCTCACGCATCGTAAACCTGAGTGAAGATGAGAGTTCTGTCGTTAGACGATCAGCAGAAGCTCGAATCCTTTCCCCCGGCCCATTTTCTGCTTTGGGTGTAGAGGGAGGGATCGCCGGCGGCGAGAGTCTAGACAGCCAGACCTCCTCGCGCATCGTCAACCTGAGCGACGGAGAGAGTTCTGTCATTGAACGATCAGCAGAAACCCAGATCCTTTCCCCCAGTCCACTTTCTGCCATGCGTGCAGCGCAGTTGGCCAACATTGCCGGAATGGTCGATCAAGCTAAGCTAGGAACGCCGGGGCAGACTCAGCAGCCTGAAGACAACGCGCCCGAGATTCAACATGAGCAGCAGACTCTCGGAGCTGCCGAGAGCAGGGCTATCGGCTCAACAGATGCTGGCTCCAGCAGAACCAGTATCGGATCACCACTAGCTGGTATTTCAGGTGAAAAGCATGAGGAACTCGCTGACGATAAGTCAGACAACGACGGAACTCGGGAGGGCAACAGCACAGTGATCCATCACCCGCAGCCAATGCCACACGTGAATGCTTCGGCTTCTGGCGGACAGCGCGGCCCCGACAACGGACTCCAAGTGACCCAGTCAGCCGAGGTCCCCCAGATTGACTCGCCCGAGGAGGTTTCGACTATTAAGTCGCGCCTCAAGAAACGTTTCCTTCGCTTCAAGAACAAAGTCCGAGGCATTCGTCTTCTGCCTAAGAAGTCGTGAAGGGTCGACAGAACGAAAGCGCTGAGCTAAAGCTGTTCTAGGTCTATATCAATGAATGGCGGAGATGGGCATTTACTTACCCACGACGAACGAGTGAGATTGATGAACGTATATTGTATTGTTCGCAAAGCATGTCTGGCCATCATGAACGGCAGAGGGAGGGGATGGTTTTTTTTCCTTTTTCGGTTTTTTGGGGGTCAAGTACGCCGGTATACTCCAGCCTTATAGAATCCTGCGAGGGCGGATATGCATTGACGGCCTGATCAAGTGTATATGAGGCACAAGGCGCAAAATGGACATGGCTCGACTTTGTTACACGTACTTCATAGAACCTTTTTTGCAGCGAAGATAAAATGAGAAAGGCTTTCGAACTCATCGCCCGGGTTGTACGAGTGATAGTTATTTGCGTTTCCTGGGACTCTCCCCCATATTATCGTAATCACTGTTGACAGAATCTCGCTGGAGGAGATCCATGGATGCCGATGGGCTGTGGAGGATATTTACTGGGCTTCCAGTCAACAGTCCATGATACAAGCGCGACAGAGGCGCTTGGGAAAATATACATCCAGGCTTGCCCGTTTTGTATGATGATGTTTGTGCTTCTCGTCTCTACTGCATCACGGATGGTTTTTGAGTTAAAAAGGTAATGTTGAGAATTTGGGTTGGTATTAAATCAGTTTCAAACGAGGAAGATGTTGATCTCGTCAATATATAAAGGAGAAAGGTAGATAAATACAGCAACTCGAAATCAGGAAGATGACCAGGTTGGGTATACTGGAAATCTCTGGCACAAAACAATCATAAAAAAACGCACATGTCGTCGTTCCTCCGTCCTTGGCATTGACACCCTCCCCGGACGCCGCCTCGTTCTAGGCAGGGAACTCCATTCCCGGCCTCGTGAACTGCTCACCCTGGGGCCACTCTCCCAAAAAGGCCGGGTCACCACCGATCCGCACATAGACGCCCACGGCGGGGATGCCACCATCAAGGACGAAGAACTGATACCAACCGGGAGGGCAGACGTAGGCGTTAGGAGGCGCCACGACGGTGCAGCTCGTACCGCTGCACGAGACCTGGGGGAAGATGGTCCTTGAACCCATCGAGTTGCCGTGCGTGCTAGAAACTGATCCGAGAAGCGAGACCTCGATGGCGCCATTCTGCGCTGCCGACCCGAGCGTGAAGGTGACGGTCTCGCCGTACGCCCAGTCAATATCCGCGAGGGTGAACGTCGGGCGAGGAAGCCCCTTGTGGAGGTAGGGCGGCACGAAGACCTCGACGCGATACTCCTGGTTGTGAACGCCATCCTGCGGGTCCGAGCCCGAGACGAGCACGCGGCCATCGAGGAGCGTGATGGACTCGGAGTGGTAGAGGCGCGGGACGGTAGTGTTGGCCATGACCGTGATGCGCTTGCCAACGGGCTTCTTGGGGTCGTACAGGAGCGCGTTGAGGTTAGGGTCCGTGGCGAGACCGAAGCCGGCGACTCCGTGCTTGGCGCCGTTCATGATCATGTATGTGCCGTCGGGCAAGGGGGCCATGCAGGGCATGACGCGGGGGGAAGGCATGCGCTCGAGGATCCATTCGGGCTCTGCGGCGTCGGGTTCGATTGAGACGCAGTTGTCCAGCGCGTTGGAAACACCCTCCGTGGAGCCGCCGCAGATTAGGACGCCGAGGTTGTCGGTGTATGGGGCGTGCTGGGGGAGGAGGACCGCGGTACCTTCAAGGGGGTAGGTGCGGCCGCCGTACCTGTCGTTGATGGCGGCGGGGATGTCGGGGAGTGTTCGAATAGTTGCGAACGTATTCTCGTCGAGGATCCGCGCCTCGTTCCAGTAAGAAACGAAGATGCCTCCGCTAGGAAGTACGAAGAGGAACGGGTAAAGATTGTTCGGGTCGGTTCGCTCGAGCCAGTCCATGTAGAGGGGAGGGGTGCCAGTATATGGCAAGATCTCAAGCGTCGGGACAGCCGCGCCGTTCGAACCTTCCTCACCACCAACGATGAGGATAGAACCGTTCGCCATGGTCATGGCTGTCGGGTACCATCGTCCATCTTGAAGCTTCAGCACATCGACGTCCTCTTCCCAGTCATTCGGGCCCTGGACACGAGGCGAGCCGTCGGGAATGTAGAGTCGGACGCCCTCGGTAGACTCGCCCGACCATCCGCCAACATTGAGCTGGCGACCAGCAACGTCTGGTAGGATAACACCGGCGGAGCAGAAGATATCCGTCCTGACGTGCATTTCCTTCCACGCAAGCGCAAAGTTATCAATGGCCGCTAAATCGAGCTCGTAAGCACCCGTGGAGTTCGGCGGGCCGGTTCCAGCTTTCTCTAGGAACGTGACCTTGCCAGTGATGGACTGCATAGTCAGGAGAGGAATAACGACACCTCCGATGAGGAACTCATAGGTTCCAGCTTCGTCGGGGGTCTGCGGGTAGCTGAATTCGTAGAGCGGGTCGCCGCTCCAGAAGTAGGTTGTGATGCGAGAACCGCCACCGCAGATATGCTTAGGATTGCCAGCGCAGACGATGTTGCACTCGCTGTCATCAACAAAAGATGAGCCACTGTCATAGAAATCTCGAGGATCGCCGCAATAGCATTCCTCGCCGTACTCGAGGCCGCCGGCCATGTACCCGAACTCGGCGCACTTGTCCAAGCACTGATTGGCGTCGAGCGTACCGGGGAAGTAGAGCTGCCAGGGGAACGTCCTCTGGTTATTCAGGTTGTCGACGGCGCACCCGACGTATTCCCAGGTGCCGTTCAAGCCCGTCGTCTGGGGTGCAGGAGGGCCAAGTGACTCCAGATCGGCATTCGAGTAGATCGTCATCCTCATAGGTCCGCCACACATTTGACTGGAATCTCCATCACAGGGTGTGTTGCAGGTGGCTTGGTCGGTAGCAAGAACGCCACCGTTGCCAATATAATTGCCACAGAAGCACTGCCTGTGGTACTCAGCTCCGGCAACGGCGTAACCGAGACCAACGCAAGTAGCGACGCAGGACTGAAGTGTCATGTTCGGATCATCGGGGGCCTGGTATTGAAGGATACGGCCATTGGCACCGTCCACCCAGCATCCTCGATCCTCCCAGCCTTCTGGGAACCCGGTCGGTACAGGAACAGAAGAGGTAGTCGTCGAGGACAGAGTAGTTTGAGTTCCCGAGGGAATGGAAGTGCCATTGCGTGCGTAGACTGACAGGCGATTGCCAGCTCCGCAGTATTGCGAAGAGTCACCGAGGCACAGCATGTTGCAGTCAGTGATGGGGGCTGCTACAGAGCCAGTGCTGAACGAGTTCCCACAGAAGCACTCTTGGGCGTACTCGAGACCGAAAAAATCATAGCTGGAACAGAAGGTTGCGCAAGTCTCCACGGTCATGGAACTCCCTCCTAGGAAAGCACCGGTCAGGGCACGCACTCCGGTCCCTTCGGTCATGCATTGATAAAAGGAGAAGTCCCCCACCGCAGGGAGGTGGCTAGGTGTAGCGACCGGCATATCTGAAGTGGTGGCTGACGACGCCTCGACACTAACATCGAACAAAGATATATTAGATCACTTGGAACTGAGACTAAAAGCAAGTTACGACGGGGAAGGATCTGCGGCATCTTGGATCGTAGAAGCTGGGGAATGGATCGGCGTGCAAGGGAGGGAGATCTAATTTATATGGAGACGAAAAGGGATGATGTGGAGGAAAGGACGGAATGTATCCGGGTCACAGGAAGGGTTCCGAAAAGGTAGTGACGGCCTTGGAAAGGGGCTTGGCAGAAAAGAGAGAATGAAGATACTCACGAGACTGTGCCCGTCGGGAGCGGACCGTTTGAGCTATACACGTTCAATCGATTGGGTCCGCCACAGAATTCGAGCGGAAGTCCTGTACACACCATATTGCAGCCATCGGCCGCAGGTGCTCCACCGTTCTGGATACTATTTCCGCAGACTATTGTTGTTTTTGAGAGTCAGTCGATCAGCCCACCTGCAAAGTGGAAGTCTTAGAACGAGGTTTGGTGGGAGGACTCACAGCATTCGCCGCCATACTCAAGACCTGCCAAGGTAAAGCCTGCGGTCTGACATGCCTGCGTGCATAAAGCAACAGTCATAGAATTGTACGGAATAGAGCCGACGCCGTGAGTGAGCGCTCGGCCGGTAGTTCCCTCTCTACCCGTGAGAGGGCGTGTAAGTATCAAGACAAGAAAAGGCTGGATGCCACGTTGGGCCCCTCTAGTTGGTCTCAGGAGCGACTCGGTACTTACGAATAGCATCCAATCGACTCAAAACCGTTTACCCCCGGGTTCGTCTCGGGGCTCTGGATTGTGGGATTGTGAAAGACGGTTAATCTATCGCCTCCACCACATGGCTGGGAAGCGTCACCGCCGCATGGGGTGTTGCAATCCGTTGCGGGGGCTTCCGTGGAAGTGGAGGGCAGGGAGTTGCCACAATCTGAGGAGCGAGTCAGTCGGTGGGGAAGGTTGGGCGTGGCCCACTAAGAAGAGAGAGGAGGCCGGGTTCGACAAGGTCTAGATCGAAGGGAATCCGGATAGACATACAGCATTCGGTGTACCATTGGGTTCCGGCGTAAGCGAAGCCCTGGGACTCACAGTAGGCAGCGCATGCCTCGTTCGTCATCTGAGGGTCTGCGGTGTTTGCGCCATTGAGAGCTCGTCCGGGAATTTCCCTAAGAGATCGCGGAGTGATTAGAACAGACTCTCTTCCCCGCGTCCGAAATTTTCGTATTTCAATGTCATCTCAGTGGCGTACCGGGAGCAGCCTTGGTAAACCCATCCTCCTGGAATTGTAGCCGGGGGCGTTAGGTCCCGGCCTTGGATAGATGCCCCAACGAGAGTGAGGGACGTGGTAAAAACGAGCGAAACGACGGCCTGAAAGTTGCTCATCCTGACGATCATTCCTTGGCAAACAAGGCCAGAGGGCCAAGAAGCAAAAAGCAACGAGTGGAGAGAGAGTTACAATCGTCTAGGCGTAAGGAAGGAATGGCCATGCATGGCATCAAGCGATGGGGACAGAGGCGGCTACATATATATCCGGATGGACTTGTAAGTGAAGTGAAAGACCTGCAAGACCCTTAGCCTCACACCCTGGCCCCTAGGGCGAGGGCCCATAGGCTGGCACTACCGGGTCCCATGTGTGATATCATGGAAACAGGACGAAATTGGGACCTGTGGGTGGCGGGTCTACGAAGTGTGAAGGGAGGGAAGAGGGGGTGGGACAGAGAAGAATAATCCACCACAACCGTCCAGCCAAGCATACTATCCCATACTTACTGACTGGAGGCCGACGAGAAGGACACGGACAGAAGCGCCCGAATCATCAAATGCCTGATCCAGGGATATGGGCAATCAACGGCCTCGACCAGCGTTCGATCCATGTTTCTTCTCGTATCTTGAACATGCATAGACGACAGTTTCTTGGTATTGTCAATGAGATACGTGTAGAAAGCAGGCATCCCATGCGGTGGCTGCCAATGGCAAGGCCCCGTAACCCAAAGAGCAGCGTTCATTCGCCGCCTCCCGAAAGCCACGCTGCATTACCCCCATTGCCATGGCCAATTTCCCCGTAGTTAGGCGTTCGGTGTTCGCTCCGTGGAGTTCCCTTTTCCTTATTGGGCAACACAGCTGCCTACGGACAGGCTTTTCAGCCCAGCGCCGAGAGAACCAGAGTCTAGCCCGCGCGTGTGTGGAACCTCACTTGCTGGTTGACTGCCCTGAAGAATGCACCAAGTCAGGGGCATGAGCAGGGAATGCATGTCCAGTCCAAGAACGTCTAGGTCGCAGAAGAGGCCGAGCCGAGCAGTGCATAGTCGACTCCGGCGTACAAAGGTACGCGTCTACCCTCGTACGATAGCGTTGACCAATTCCTAGTCCTGCAGGTTCCTGCGTGTGTGCGGAGCGAGATAAAAACAACTTTGGATGGAAAAAGGGTCTGTGATTGGCGAATTAACTTGCCCAGAAGTGCAGAAATGCGGTGGTCGAGCGCCGTTCTTAAAAACTCCTATCAGCTCAAGCGCCACCAGCCAGAAAGGGCTAATTATGTGCAGTTTTGGTGTGTGCTGCTGCGCAAGATCCTCCACCTGCAAGCAGGCAATAATATCGTATTCCCACATTACGAAGAAGGAGCGAAGAACTATCTTGTACTTCGTAGACAGACTCCATACTTCGTAGGCGTCGAATGTGGCCAGGAAAAGTAATCATGGATGGAAAGCTCGTTCGCGCCCCCATCCAGATCTCCTTGTCCGACGCAATACTGCACAGAGTCGCCAAACGGGCCGAGATTTCCATATCTAGCATCACTTTCCCAAACCACTTCTTGATGGTTACATATCCGGCAACAGTCTCTCATGGCGGGTCTGGCTAGGTAGGGAGAAGTTGAACTGAATCGAGGAAGTCAGTGCCCCAATAATTTACCGCAAAACTTGGTTATGTTGGGGTTCGGCCGGGGAGTATTCTCAAAACAGGAGAGGTGATGGTCTGTTTCGCTCCTTTGCGCATAGTGTATGTACATATAATGGTCAAGGATCATGAGCTGGCGATGTCACGAAGGCAGGGCTTTATTTTCGGTATCTTCCGCCACCAGGAAGGATGGCCTGCCCCAATGCTTCCGTGCCGAGTGCTACGACGAAGTAAGCCTAAAGCCAAAAATCCGAACCCTAGTCCGGCGTTATCAATAATACTTGTCGGCTGTTCCAAGAAAGTCCCCGAAAGAGAGGTGATAGTGGTTGGCCTAGGATGTGGAGATTGCTTGATGGCATTGGCCCTCCAGGTTGCATTTGATGGCTCCAGAAAGTATGAAGTATGAAGGAAGAGTCCAGATGCCATGCAGCCAGCCAGGCTCAGACCGAGGTATTCCTACCCCAGAATTACTTGTCCACGAGGACCAGGCTTGACTCGTGAGCAGGCGAACGGGAAATCAAATCATAGAGGCTTTCGATTTGACGTTGAGTTGACTTGATAGTTAACACCCCAAAATTTTCGTGAAGAACGTGGTGCACTTGTTGGCGAGATTGGCCAAGGATTGGAGGAGCTCCCTATCTGGTAACGATCACAGACTTGGTAGCTGCAAGCATTTCCAGGAACAGGAAAGGGAACCTTGGCTCGGATTCTGTGCCCGAGGTTATCGACAAGGTTCCAAGATAGAAGATGCATCTTGCATCTCAATATAGATAGTAGTGTCTCCTTGGCGGCGGTACACGTTTGCTAATTTTATCCTCGTAGATAAACCACAATCCAACATCTACTTCGTACCTCATTTGAGTTCTTTGATCAACTCAACTTTTCCATTCTCAGGGCCTACTTAATATCCAACAGGCACACGATAACCCGGATTAGGCGTCTCATGCTACACAATATCTCGGATCATACTTGTACTGGTACACTAATACGACTTGAATAAGTTTTGAAGGCTAGCCTGCCTACAGCGCGGGCGCTCCCGCGGTGTCATGGTGTCATCGGACAGGCTTAGATACTGTAGGTGTTCTACGGAGTATGCCTATGAAGTACTTGCATTTTATCAACAGAATACGAAGTGCAACCCAACGTGAATACGCTACTTGTCGACTCGCCGAGAGGGGCGGTCTGCAGTTATGCATGACCAAACGACGGTGGGACTGAGTAAGTAATAATTACCTGTACATTGCTGTTGGAGCTGCTTGAACATGCGTGGCTTTCCAATATTGTGCTGCGAGTTCATGTACGAAGTAGTGCTGCGAGTAGTGGGAAGCCCAGGTCTCGTCCCCATGAGCGAGGCCATTTATTAATAAGTCGAACCGTGTTGGTAAGGCGAGTCTCTGTCAAGGTCCAAGGAAGAATTTTTGTTTGAGGATATCCCGTCCACCTTGGCCGACGTCCGTATCCTCAGAGGCTCATTTCCACATATTGGCACCGGTGATACGCAAGGTCTTGAGATGATAAGTTGACAGGGGAGTGAACCAACATTGAGCTTGGGCTGCGTCGTTCTTTGACAGTGGGGCAGAAAACTGCAACGTTCAAATCTGCATCTCCGTCCTCAGCTCGCCCAAAAGTCCGGCTTTTCCTGTCCTGGCCAAGACTGCCAAGCTCTCGTATTGAGGGAGGTAGCAGCGAGGAACAAGGGGACCCGAAAAGAAGAGGAGGAAAAAGAGGGAGCGGGAAAAGGAATTCATGTCCTTCCTGGATTATTTATGGCATCTCATAATTGGCCTTCGAGAATGAAGCAGAGCAACGAAAGAAGGGGAAAAAAAAAAAAAGCAACAATTGAGGTTGGCATGAACAATCACGTGGTTTGCCACACGATCTTGTCGAAGACGAAGTCTGATTGAGCACAGGATTCCAGCATTGGACTTGGTGGGCTTTGAGCCCTGGGATTAATACACAGGTCCTTTGCAAAAAATCATCACGACTCCATAGGAAGGAGGCATCCATCGCATTTTAATGAAGCTCACACAAACAGATCTTGTAGCATGGCATTGGGAGATGTATTACCATGTGAAGTCGTGGGGGGATGATATACCTTGGCGCGTTGATTGGCAGACGAAGCCTCGCTTGCTTTAATCTTCACGTCCACCTCTGGAAGATCAACCAGAAAGTTAAGTCGAGTTCTCTCGTAATATGATTCTCGTCTCTCGATTTCGAATTTCATCAAGACGGTGGGCGCACTACCTGGAAGGCCCCATGTACCTTCGTACTGTCCAGCTAGATTACGGAGGGGGGTTATTTTCAATCCTCCTCAAAATAAACAATGAAGCCTCGAACTCCTGAATACCCTTAAAAAGTGGGGGGCGTCGGGAAGAGCCCCGGACCGGGAGTGATCAATCAAGTGGATTCCGGAGAAGGACCGCCGATTTTCTGGAACTGGAGTGGCAAATTTACGGGGGTTGACCGGGTTGACCGGGATGACCCAGCTGCCTGGCTGGTGGAATTTAGGGCTCCAAGTCGGACCCGGAAGTCTACTCGGCCGGAAGCGAACCGCATAAAAACAAGGCGAAATTCGAGAGCAGAAGACCTATAGTCATGCTCGAATATCCTGCTCCTTTCGCTGGCATTAATCGTATTGAATGGAGTTGCGTCTTGAAGTCTGCGAAGTAGTCCTCTCTCCGACTTTATCTTCTAAGATGCTGGGGAGAGAAACACTGCCACGACAGCGTTCCGTCGTTGCAGGGGCAGTGAAGAACGGAAAAAAAAAGAAAAAATCATCCATGCATTGTTCTCAATCCTATGACTCAAAGTCGGTATATTTTTTTTCTCTAGTTCGTATTTCAAGAGTGATTAGGCATAGCCGAACAGCTTTCAATTGGGGGCGATGTTGACCATCACTATGACTCATCTCGCAACGCCTTCTGTTACAGACTCACTTAGAAAGCATCAACGAAGGCAGCTCTTGATGGCAAAGTAAGATGGTGGATCAAATAGCGGGAAGTTGATCGGGTAATATCGCCGCCTGGTTTCTCGATCCCCCTCGTACCTTGTCGAATCTTCTGACACAATCATTTTCCCTCGCTTCATCTCGAGATGCTGATAGCATTTCAATCTGTGATACCACCCATCAGTCAATACCAGTGATGTTTTTGTTAGGGATCAATGTTATGGCGAGCCTCTAGTGTTGAGTAAGTAGTATTATTATTGTTACCATCGGCCTCAGCCGAGAACGATCAATTGATGATAGAATTGATCCATTGTGCGATGCAGGATCTTAAACCCCAGAAAATACGCCCGCGCTCTTTTCCCCTTGCCCTGAAACGGACTAGCCATGGTCTGAAGCTTTGCCGAGATGCCATCTATAGAGTCGGTGTCAATGATGTGATTAAAATGAAAGACTCGGATAGATCTGCAGTTGTGGTCAAGGTCTAAGTCCAAAGCCGAATGCTGCCTAAAAATATCGATCCATCCATTCCATTGATCCATTGTCAAACCCTGAGGCAGGGTCATGTTCAGTGCGTCATAAGACAATTTTAGGGCATTTGCCATTGTAACCAGGGCTTGAACGGGCTTCCCCAGGCACATCAATCCAGATGTACTCATGTACCCAATTGCTCATAATGAGCTTGCATCGTTTAGCTTGAGCCTGCCTGATCTGAGCCTCCACCAGCGCCTCAGATTATAAATGACATTTTAATTGTCGCCTTTGCCGCCACACGTTCCAACGACATCAACACAACTTCTGCTGTTGACCCTCACAGTTCTGGCATCAAAGTTGTTTTTAAGCCCTCTATTTCCAACTCACAATAGTCCATTGCCGTTCTGTGAGTTGTACATTCATACCCGCCAGCCCATCGTTGAAAACGCCACTGAGCGACAACCCATCACCACATTCCCCCAAACCACAAACGAAAAATTTATATATTCATCATTGCGCCAGATCGACAGCCCATCAAGCCAAGTATCACCACAGCCATGGTCGAGGGCGACCCTCAACCAGCCCCACGTTCTCATCAGCCTACAGGCGGAGGAACCCAATCCTCACAAAGCCGTGGCAATTCCAGGTCAGAGCATCCTCGACGCGGTCGCCCACATAGGAGAGGAGGACGCGGAGCCGCCACCCAGACCACCACAGCCTCATCGACTCAGTCGGGAGATGGCCAACATGGCCAAAGCCGGAATCCAGAGCAACCTCAACCTCCGTCCTCGACTAGAGGCGGCGGTGGTCAGAGAGGAGGAAGAGGAGGACGAGGTAGAGGTAGACGACGACCCACAGGACCGGGAACCTTTCGTGGTGGAGCGTCCATCCCCGGCACGAGGAGGACCTTCGGTGGCCACTTGACTGGAGATGCAGTCGATTCTTCCTCTGCCAGTAGCATCACTGGTGACCTCAATGCCGCAGCCCTAGAGTTTGTGCCTGGTCGACCAGGAAACGCCCACCAGACGTGAGTTTTAAGTTTCTGCTTGATTTTTCCTTACCTTTTGTGCTCACGTAATTTACAGTCGCCCGAGACAAACACCGAGGCCAGCGTCTAGGCCGAAGCAACCAGAAGGTCCTCTCGCTCCAAAGAGTGAAGCGCCTGATCTTCCAACCCGCATTCATGAAGACATCGCCAATCTTCAGTATGAATGTGTTATCTGCACCAGTGAGGTCATCAAGGAGTCTCAAGTATGGTCTTGCAATATATGCTGGACTGTAGTGCACTTGCCTTGTGTTAAGAAATGGCATGCCAATGAGACAAAGAAGGATGAGGAGAATCATTCTTTGTGGAGGTGTCCAGGATGCAACTCCCCACTGCACGATCCGCCTGGTCCTTATCACTGCTGGTGTGGAAAGGAGTTCTACCCCAAGCCTATCGCAGGCTTGCCCCCTCATTCTTGTGGCCAAACCTGCTCCAAGGCTCGTGCAACTTGCCCTCACCCTTGCCCACTTGAGTGCCATGCGGGCCCCTGTCCGCCCTGCGACTTGATGGGCCCCAGCCAGCCCTGTTTTTGCGGTAAACAGTCTATCACCAGACGATGCCGGGAAACAGATTATGTCAACGGTTGGAGCTGCAATGGGCCCTGTGGTGACCTTCTCCCCTGCGGTGAGCATGTGTGCACTAGGACGTGCCATGCGGGACTATGCGGGGCATGCGAGGTCCCTGTGCTCTCGAGATGCTACTGCGGCAAGTCTGTGAAGGAGATCCCCTGTGAAGAACGTGGGGATATCGAAGAGTCACTCAACTACGGCCAGGTACCAACCGAGGGACCTGATGAGGTAGCCGTGCCGAAGGATTCGTTCTTCTCCGGCTGCTTCCAGTGTGATCAAACCTGCAGTCGAGCGTACGACTGTGGAAAACATCGGTGCGACAAGCCGTGTCACCCTCAAGACCAATCCCCCTCTCACTGTCCCCGGTCCCCAGACATTGTCACCCACTGCTTCTGCGGTAAGACTCCATTGGATGAATTACTGGAGATCCCGAGACAGTCCTGCGAGGATGAAATCCCCCATTGCGCCAAGGAATGCGGTCGTCTTCTCGACTGCGGTCACCGGTGCAAGAACACATGCCACACAGGCCAGTGTGGACCATGTCTCGAGGTTGTCGATGTTCCATGCCGTTGCGGCCGCACTTCGACTCAAATGAAATGTGCGAAGGCATCTTCGGAACCCGCCCCCGAGTGTTCCAGGCCTTGTCAGGCCCAGCTGTCCTGTGGTAGGCATCAATGTCAAGAGCGTTGCTGCCCCGGAGACAGGAAGGCCAGAGACCGACAAGCGGCCCGGCGGAAGCACAAGCTTACTGTGGCTGAAGAAGACATTGAAGATGAACACATTTGTACTCGGACGTGCGGTCGCAAGCTCAAATGCGGGACCCACAATTGCCAGCAATTGTGCCACAAGGGTCCTTGCCCTAGCTGCCTTGAGGCCGTCTTTGAGGAGATTAGCTGCGCCTGCGGACGCACCGTTTTGCTACCTCCCCAACCTTGTGGAACGAAACCCCCGGAATGTCGGTATGACTGTAGGAAGTCTCCGCCTTGCGGGCATCCCCAAGTTCAACATCAGTGTCATCCACCCGATACCCCGTGCCCCAAATGTCCGTTCCTTGTCGAGAAGCCATGCATCTGCGGCAAGCAGATGTTGAAGAATCAACCTTGCTGGTTCGAGGACGCTCGATGTGGTCGCCCGTGTGGCAAGAAGCTCAAGTGCGGGTAAGTATACATCATCTCCCCAGACTTGTTTTTCCTTTCCGCGTTCAGGATATAAGCTAACTAGGTCTTCAGAGCTCACACATGCCGCAAAACTTGCCACCGTGAAGGGCAATGCGAAGATGTCGATATTCCCGGATCCCACTGCGCCCAGCCCTGTGGGAAGATTCGCAAATCGTGCGACCATCCGTGCCAGGATACCTGCCATTCGCCTTTCGGTTAGTTCTCCCTCCTCCCCCTTTCCCCCCATTCTCTAATAATGTTTCTTTACTAATGTGGAATATAGCATGCAAAGAGGTGAAGCCCTGCACGGCCAAAATCTCGATTACATGTGACTGCCGCCGGCGGAAGCAGGAAGGGAAGTGCGGCGCTTCCAGCTCTAACCCGTGGCCAGTACCTCGCAGACTCCCTTGCGACGACGAGTGTGCTCGATTAAAGCGAAATGCAGCGCTCGCCGAAGCTCTTAGGATTTCTCCGGAGCACGGCGATAGCCATATCCCTTACTCAGATACGACACTTGACCTGTACAAGGAGACCCCATCTTGGGCGGTCATGCAAGACAGAGAATTCAGAGCGTTCGCTGCGGATGAAACGAGGAAGGTTCATCGATTCAAGCCCATGGCTGCTAACCAGCGTGCGTTCCTGCACTCTCTCGCTGCCGACTACGGTCTTGACAGCGAGAGCCAGGATAGCCCACCCCACCGAAGTGTCGTCCTCTACAAGACACCTCGGTTCGTATCGGCGCCCCTGAAGAGTCTGTCGCAAGCCCTGAGCCTCCGGGCGAGCCAAGCCGTAGAAGCGTCGAGAGCCGCAGCTGCGGCGGCGGTGGAACTACTCGGCGAGCCGTTCAACGCCTTCGTGCTCGCCTCGCCAAAATTCGGACTCACGGTCGAGGACGTGGAGGAGGGTCTGAAGAACGACTTTGCTTTACAGCCGACCGTGGCTTTCGTGGTTGCTTTCCTTCCTTCGGACGAGGTAGTCATCCGTGGGGCATCTCGCAGCTTTGCCCACGCCGTTAGCGCGACGGCCCTCGAGAACATTCTTAAATCCATGAAGCCGGCCATTTCGAAGACTGTCACTTCCCAGGAGCTAGCCCAGTCGGTCGCACTTTGCCATGCCGATGCTTCCATGGACATTACCCGACGAGAGCGAGGCGCGAACTCGTCGGCAGGGGGGTGGAATACGGTTGTTAGCCGTTCCATGCAGAAGGCTGCAGCGGGTGGAGGACCTTCATCCTTGGTGCGAGAGGTACAGGAGGAGGAGCCCAAGCCGGGACGGGTCACGCTGGGCCTAAAGAAGAAGAAGAAGACACCGGAGCCGGAGCCGGAGCCTGTAGATGACTGGCTCGAGGCGGCGGAGAAGTTGGAGGACTGAATGTGAGAAAGGAGATGATTGTTTTTGAATGGAAAAGTTCATCACTCAGGGGCATTGTTGGAGTCGCGGTTGCATCGTGCGCTTGTTCATGTCTACGTTGGGATGTGGTGTCTTGTCTTTTAGATACATGGATGTTTTCTACGGCCTGGAAAAGCATCCTTGGGCATTTGCAGCGCAGGTTATAGACTAGCATTTAAAGGACGAGCTACTGATTTGATTCTTTCAAATCTTTCAACGCCGCGAGTGAATGTATGAGACATAAGGAGGACAAGTGTATACTCTGCCACCTCTACTAGACTTCAAACATCATCGACATCCTCCGCCCGCATATAGTAAGACCTACATCTCAGCTGAACCATCCCGTTTCATCAGCTCATCTCTCGCACCACCATCTATTGATGATGTTTGTAGACACCCCTCGGCACACACCATCCCGACGGAGTAGAAAAAGAAACCACCCACCCACCCTTGTCTCCCCCACGTGAGCCCTCTTTTCTTTTCCCAGGAATGTTCTCCACCACTGTATGGCGAGACAAAGAACAAACATATCGTCGACGCCGGCTCGATGTCCAAGCTAAGGATTGCTGAAAACCAGGGCGTCATAACACGTCCCCATCTTTGTTTCCTCGAGCTTTGTATCCCTTTCCTGCTTATTCTAGAGGAAAACACGGAAGCAGGATGTTTTAGAATCCATACAATATCATCCTCCTCCTCCCCCCCCGGTCCTGTTCGCATGATTCTAGCTCCTCCTCATTGGAAGGGAATATTACAACTGTCTCAAGTATAAACACTACTAGGACCAAAACCACGCACCACAGGCAAACCCAAACAAGCAAGCATGGGAAAAGAAAAGAAAATCACCGGCTATAATCTTATCAAACGCTAAAAGAAGGTGTCACCGAAAACACCCCAATAAGACAAGACCAAAAAGGGGGATTGACTAGAAAGGGAGGGGTGGTAATGTACATATGCTCGGCTCTTCTTGAGGAAGGGCGAGTTTTCTGTCGCTATCATGCAACGCTGTTTATACCACTGCACACCCTCTTGCAATCCAAATATTTGCTACGTCGTCTGCCATCAATATATGTAAGCTTTAATACTCTACCCAACTTGTACTATAGGTAGACATCTTCGTCCACCGTGACGGAAGTGGTATGGCGTTACTCAGGGTTATCCATGGACCATCCGGCGTCAGCAGTCTCATCAATGCGCGTCACGTCCTTTCCGGCAAGAAGATCAGAATCATAAGCCCATGGGCCGTAACATTAAGGGTATCTATTTCAGCTGTCTCGCTAGGGAAGTCGAGGGAAAAGGAAAGATAAAAAGAGTCCAAGGGGAGAAAAAAAAGAGAAAATCGAGTTCCGGTCGTCAACCTTCCAATTAGCACCAACCCCAAATACCATTTCATGTCTGAAGAACAGAGAAAGAAAGATGCCGCCGGAATACCGAGCCCCATCCAATGCAGTCCAAGAGAATGGAAACCCCAAAAATGCCAAAAAGGGAATCGTCCCCTTAGGGGGGGAACAAAGCAGGTTTGTTGAATAACAATGCGCCGATGCTCTTTACAAGCTCCTCTTTTCGTGCGCCGGATGCTCGCTGCACGCGTCATTGACGAAATCGGTTATCGCCTCGAAGTAGCCCTCCTCAAGGACACTAGTGTTGTGGTCTCCACCTGGGAGTGGTCTCCAGGTTTTCCATGGAGCCTTCGATAGCTCGTAAAGTTGGCGCATGTGAGCAGGACTAGAGTCACGAAGACGGTTCGGTTAGCGCGCCGATCATTATTCAACGAGGAAATCCCGAGTCTCGGATATGTCAGGTGGGGGTCATGGTGGTGTTCTGGTGGAAGGGAAAGAGGAACGAGTGGGGAGGTATGTCCTAGACATAAGCGCAGCACACCAACGCAAAGGCAGGCATGATGCGACAAGGCGATGTCGGATGCACGTAAACGCGACAAAGGTTTTTGACTTACGGTACGATCTCGTCCTGTAATCCACTGAGGAAGAGGATAGGCACCTTGTTGATGTGGGGGATCATAGTGTCGCTGGGCCAAACCTGGTGACAGAGTAGTGTTACGTACTTCGCCATTGGAATGACAGAAGGAATAAGCTTGCGCATAGACAAGAAGGTGTTCTCTAGCACGAGGCCGGCGATATCTCCCCTGTGCTGATTCTTGGCGACGAGCCTTATACCAACTGCGCCTCCCAAGCTTTGGCCGTAGATGACGAGTTTGTGGTCGCTGGTCTCGGCGCGGTTCCTCAGGTAGTCTAGAGCTGTTTGCGCATCGATATGCAGACCCGATTCGTCTGCCTCGCCGGTCGATAGGCCGTAGCCTCTGTACTCTAGCATGAAGACATTGCAGCCGATGTAGTTGATGATCATGCGGGCAATGGGAAGACGGTGGCCAATGTTGCCGGCATTGCCATGGAACATGAGCACTGTTATGTTGGAGTTGCGACCGCCACGGGACCCGCGGATGTAGAAGGCCGATAGTTTCTCTCCATCGTTGGTAGGGATGACTAGCTCTTCAAAGTCTGAAATGCCGAACTGGGAGGGTCGCGGAACTTCCACTCGAGCATTCGGGGGCATATGCGAGGGGTAGATCAAAGCTCTATTAAGGTGGGGAGCAAGCAAACTCTTAGCATCATCAATCGCAGGCACGAGTGAGTGTGGGTGGGGCGGGGAGGATGAGATGGAGGGGCGTGGGGGAGAAACTATCGTCACATGGGACGACAGTCTGCAAAGAGCCCACCAAGAGCCCACCGAGGGAAGAGGGGAAGAGGAGGGGGAAGAGGAAAGGAGGGAGATACCAACCTTTGCTTAAAGTACAATAAGCTTGTGAGCACAGCAGCAATGCCCTATATGGAGAGAAGTGGCGGTCAGTTTCAAATACAGCCCATTTCTCCAAGACATATGAGAGCTCGCACTAGGGTTCCGGAGCATTTCGCGGTACCTGTGAGAAGATGTTGCCTCCAGAGGAGCTTGGTTGAGAGTGGTGGTGGGAGCGGGAGGAAATCATCATGACCTCAAAGAAGATGAAGAAGAAAAGGGAAGCGAAAAGCAAAGAAAAGAGAGGCCCGCAAGTAGAATGAAGCGGTATGGACCGAGCTTGATGGTGGGTGCTTTTGCTTAATCAAAAAGACTGGCTGAACAGGTGGAACATACCGTGGACGCCAAGGCCGGTAGCCGCATGTATGTCGCAACAGTTGTGAGAACGGAAGCCGTCTGCTCCAAGTAGGAGTTACTGGAGGACGATGGCGGGGTGTTGTTGACGGGCATCGGAGAGGAGAAGGGAGGGAGGTCGGCCAACAGAGAGCGGGGCGGTTGCTGGACTAGGCTGAGGTATATATGCGGAGAGCAGAGGGACTGGAGACTGGAGGATAGGCAACCAAGAGAATGGTTTGAAATGGCGGATGCGGAGGCCGTCGCGGGCGATGGCGCGGAATCCGGGGTAGAGTTGTATTCGACGTGTATCAGAACGTTCTACAGACTTTCCGGGCTAACCTGATACCGGGCGTGAAAGAGAACGGGAGCGGGGAGACGAGAAAGAACAAAAAAGACAAAAGCACAGGTAGGGCTGGTTGCAGAGATGCAGAGGTGATGATTCGAACTTTGAAGCGATCACCGCAAGTGGCAGGGACAATGGAAGGGATGGAAGGCCGAGCGCCACCTTAGAGCCTCGCTGATTTCCGGGTAGCGAGCGGTGGACCCAGAAAAAGCGTGGGCGGGTATTTTATGAGGACAATGCGGCAAATAAGAGCTGCGTCAGTGGATCCAGACTTTGGAGGTGAGAAGAGGACAGACAGCGGTCCAGTGACTGCGTGTGGTGTGTGGTGGAGGAGAATTGCGTTGAGCTCGGTTTCGAAAGGGAGGAAAAGGCGCGGAGATCAAAGTGGATCAGGTGCATGAGCAAGACGCAGGATCCCGGAAACCCAGATTTCCACTTTGCAAGAAAGAGAGCGAGACATCAATTCATGAATTCATTGAATTTTGATCAATTGATTGATTTGTTGAAGAACGAATATTGCCGTTGTGTAGACTCAGATGGCACTAGAGTGCTTGCCTGGCGTGCTGGGCCCGACTGGACTGGACTGGACTGGACTGGAATGCACAATTATAGCGTTGAAAGCCACCGAGCCCACTGGTCCGGCCAGTGGAATTACGAAATCCAGCGCTTCAATATTGCCATCAATACTTCATACTTAGTACTTCGTAGTGTGTAACTGTCACTGAGCAGATCCCAACTGCCTCCAATTGTCGCTGGATCGCCTGGCGGTCTGGCAAAGTGAGGGGCTGGTGCATTTCATCTGAATGCCAAGTACTTTTTGGCAGATATCCGCGCAAGAGTGTACTTCGTGCCTTATCATTTCTTCTTCTGAAGTATTCCCTGCCTGCCTCATCCTCAACTCCCTTTCTTTCCCACATTCAATGCTGCCGCAAAAGGAAACAAACACATTCTCCACTAATATTGATCCATCCACCTCCCCCAAGACCCTTCTCTCCTCCAAAAGTGGGATGACGTACGACAAAGCTGGAGATTACTCGAGCCCTAAGCTGAGATTACCACACCCACTATTGATTAGCGCCCTACGCAGAACAAGCTGCACTAGCATGGTGCATGAGAATAGCGCCATCTGAGCGGACATCGTAATTTTGGGGCTTTAACAACAACTTTGCAGCTCCTTGATCCACCGTTATTGGTATTGTGATGGTCTACTACGAAGTACTTCATACCGAAATGTCCATTGAGCCATAGTCTCTTGATCGTCATGGAAGTTACTTCGTAGTAATACGGAGCACCATGCCCGTTATGTGTGTAGTATCCACGATCGATTCTGTTTGGTAATCAAGATGCATCGCGCTCTAGGGCTACACTCCATCTCGCCTCCCAACACGCGCAGAGGTGATGGAATTTGTCTGAACCTGCAGCATGCAGGACTAGCGTACATGGATTGAGTATCAGGTCTTCGGGGTCCAAACAAATGCACTACGAAGTAAGGAGGGCGCCCAAACGAGACTGATTGGACAGGCGGGCCCTCTGCTCAAGTTGAGAGACTGCTGGATCAGCACATGGGAGAGGTCCGGGAATGCATTTTAACCGACTGGAATTCAGCAGATGGGTGGTAAGAGGTGTCGACACGCAAGGCATATTACTGCAAGAACCTCGGAGAGTTCCAAAAGAACGTGATCTGGAGAAGATTGTTGGGCCACCTGAGACACACGAGCCCTTGGGTGCACCGCGGGGTCTAATACGGAGAATGCCTCGACAACCACTATATGTAGCATATGAGACTATGCTATCATTTGCTGATAGTGTTCCCATTAGCATCTCGCCACGACACGAGTAGAAATCCAAGGTCCAACGCGTAATAGTTTAGATTGAAGTTCGACTGGATAAGCCCAGTACCAACGAAGGAGGGCCCTGGGGAGAGTGTGCCGGAGGTGGCTCGGCTCCGTGACAAAAAGAGACATGAGGATTAACAGTTGCCGGGAGGCCGAGGATGATCTGGGAAAGGGGCAAATACCAGTTTAGAGGCGAGCTGCGGCACGACCAGAAATAAGTGAATAGACGAATAACCGTTAATTCATACAACTTTGCTAGTTTTCTCTCTTTGGCTCGAGTCTCGGATATGCTTATACTCGTGTGGCTTCTTCCTACGTGCGAGAGGACAAATTGAAGGGAAGATGAGCAGCCAACCTATACGAAGTAGGAAACAGGGACGAGTGACGGGAAGAATCACGGATGGGGGAAAGGGTCCGATCTGCGTGAGGTTTGATTTACATCTAGAAACCAGCTTCTTCTTCCATGCACGGAGTCTGGATATGGCAATATCTGGTCATATCCGCTCATTCATCCCAATCATAATGGGTCGTCGGTATCCTCGTTCGTCTCACCCGCTCCCAAGTTGAGCGATGCTGTGTGTCTTAATAAGGAACAACACCGGCCCCTTGCTCCACAACTATGTCAAGGAGCATTGGTTTATTGCCATGTGGGATGAATCAGCGCAAAGGGAGCGGGGCAACTTACAAGGTCGAATATCGGATTAAAGACATCAATTGATCATTGATGTTAATTGGGGGGGAGGGGGGCCATTTAATCTGGGTAGGAGAGGATCAAAGGTGACGGGAGGACGGGACGACTCAGGCATGCGCTTCTTCGGAACCCTTAATCAATACCCAACCAACTCGGAACCGGTTGTCCTCATGCTACGAAGCCGATGGGACTGAGAGAAAGGGACGAGTCCGGATCAATTGATGACTACGCCCAAGGAGATATCGACGTGACAATCACAAGCAGCGCCTGGCGTGGGTCGAGAACCCCACCCTGTTCCTCCTTGCTCCTCGTTAGGATCCTGATCTTAGTTCCATGCGGGCCCAGCATTATAGAACACTTCATCGGTACGGAAGCAAGAGCAAAAAAAAAAAAAAAAAAAAAAAAAAAAAAAAAGTAACGTTAAAAATTACGGAGGAGGAGGCTTGATGATTGAGGTTTGTTCTTCTCAAGCCAGTGGTGTTCGCTGGCTCCGCCCCTTCGCATAAGGCCAATGGTACAAGCAATTGTAGCCGCCCATCACTGGGTCCCTTCGAGCCAGGAAACGGTGGCGGGCTCGGAAAGCGTGAAAGAGATTTTCTTTCAGAACGTTAAAGGTGAAAATGAGAAGAGAATTCCATACTCAGTGTGCGACTTTACCTTTTGCCCCCTCCACGGAACTACTGGACTGGGAGCCATCGAATCATGTCCTTTGCCGGACGCACCACGTCAGCATGGCGATGCTGTTTCTGATACCGGCCGACCTGTCATATTGCCGTTGCAAAACTCGTGTGCGATTACTGTCGTCAGAGTTCATAGGACAGAGAAGGACCTACAAGCCCCGCTGGAGGACGAATTACAAACTGTATGCTAAAGGCTGGCGTAATAGTGCAGAGGAGGAGCAAACCTTTGAGATTCCACTGGCCAAGTAATTGCCTCTTCGGCGTCCCGCCTCAGTAACGATTTGATGTAAGTGTTGGGCAGCAATGCCGGCCAGCATGCCCGATCCCGCAGGAGGCTCCTCTACAACCAACGCCGAGAAATATAGCATGGAGCAGAGCTGTGTTTTCAGTGGCATTCAACAAATCTCCACGTTGAGATCCGGGTCTGTTCCCGAACCCTGGAACCTGCCCCGTAAGGAAAGTATTCGCCGCATCCGGACGTTGACGGTGATATCCTCAATACCACTGGTTCTTTGCTTGCGGGTTCCTGTTCTCCACATCCATCAAGAGTCTAGTGCAGGGCACTTGAATGCATGCTTCGGCTGGGCATTCTGTCTACGAAGCACCCTAATCGTAATTCAGTGCTCCGAATGGCGGAAATAGCTCGAGCAATTATAGACTCGTACGAAGGGAAAGTGCAGCCCCTATAACTTGGACAAGAAGGTGGAATGACGAGACCATTTGCTCAGTTGGAAGGCGCAAGGTGGTGTACGAAATACGTACTTGTAAGACCACCACAAGCAGAATGGTCCCGACAAGACATTGTTCCAATCACAGACCCCACCATTACATTCACCCCGGAGCACGTTCAGGCCACTTTCCTCGACGGCTCAGGTGACCCCGCCGACAGGCATTTGGCCCCAGAGGCTGATAACACCAGTTTAATCTGTCCAATAGAATCCGCGTATTGAGTAAGCCATGCGGCGTGAACCAATCCTGGCCCTTGATGTTTCCCCTGGCTACCCTATACGGACGGGGTGGTCGTACGAATCCCAGACGGGTTTCAGGAAATCCAACAGAGAAGAAAAAGAAAAAGGAAAAAAAGAAAGAACCCAAGGGACGAGACACTGTCCAAGGGAAAAAGAGCACTTGAGGCACAAACCGAGAGAAACACACCTGCATCACAGAGAGTGATTCCCTACGAAGTACAAACAATGCCCAACACTGACCAGTGAATGCGGTGACAAGACAGCAACACACAACAAGAAAGTGCAGTTGAAGTGCAGTGGGCAAGAAAAAAACAAGAGAGCAAGGCTAAAAAAACAAGACCTGCACTTTTCCAAAAATCCCAGCTCAGCTACCCACATAGTCTCTTCTCCTCCCTCACTTTTCCTTTTCTTTTTTCCTCATCTTGTTCCCCAGCCCCGAGACGAGACAAAGAAAAATTTGCGTCAGGACTTAGGAGCGAGCCCGAAACACACCAAGTTCAATACTTCACACCTCGTCGTATTATTTTTTCTTCGAGGCGGAACAAGCGAGGGTTACCGAGAATTAGTTTAGTCGCTTTCCCGCCCATCCATCGCTCGAGCATATATTTCTGCTCCATCAAATCCTCTCGTCCTTCCAGTCGCTAGTCGCCAGGTCCAAGCCGCCATCTGCTAATTTCTTTCTTCTTTGCCTTCTTTTTTTATCTGAAGCATCAGCGGTTGGACAAGCGACCTTGTTAAACGCCCATCCTTCTCCCTTTCCCACACACTTCCTTCCGGGCTGCATTCCGCACTGCTTATCACCAACAAGCAGGGGCGTCACTAGGATTTCAGCCCTCTTGAAACACATAGTCCGGCCCTCGGCGGCTCTACCAACCTACCAAGTACTTTCGCACCCCAAACGCGACCTTTACTCTAACAATCCCACATTGTTCTAAATTTGTCCGGAATCCAAGACACGACTCCTGCGGAATCCCTGTGGTTTGTCTATAGCTCTTGCACTGCCTCTCCACCACCGAATCCCCCCCTTCCTACCGCCTCGCGTACTTTACTGGTTCTATTCGTCGTTGGTTTGTTTCCAGCCCGGAATCTACGCGCATTTGGCCCCAAGTCTGCGTCTACCGATCCTGAACTGTCAGCCCACGAGCTTGCGCCTTGCCTCAAACGACCATCGCACGAAAACGGAAGAGATAGCTCAAGGATCGTCTTACTGGCTGCCACCCGTGACAGCCAAGCGTCAATTATAGAACAGACGGAATAGCAAGTAATCAAGGAGACGGGAGACATTCTTCCCTTTCCTCAGCTCCTGCTCCCGAATCAAGCTCTCCCCTCCAAAACGCCACGCCCTGCTCAACGAATCCCCAAAATACCTAAATCGGAAGGCGAGCTAAACTACCAGAAATACCGGCATCATGGTGTCGTTTTCCTGCGAGGTGAGTAGGCTAAGCTCCGATGTCTCCTTCTAGTTCGAGTCGACCCCCATAATAGCATCAAGGAACAGTCTTCCCTTTGGCTATTATCCTCCTTCTGCTCCGATTAGCGTATTTGGATAGCCCCCCAATCCTCCCGTCCCCAATTGATGGACACACCTATCACGCACACCACCTTGTCCCAACTCCCATACACAGCTTGCGTCAGGGAACATGCCCCTCCCCTCTCCCCCCCAAGTCCCCCCCAGTCCCCATTGTCCCCATCTCCCGTTTCCCTGTTCGCCTCGCACACGCGCTCTTCCTCGCACACCCCCCTCCCCACTCCACCATTACACCACTCCCTTCCCTTCGATCATCACTCATGGTCCGTCACCTGTCTCGTCCTGCTCCCTGTCCGTCTGCCGCACCCAATTTCCCAATCTCGATATATCCTACGCCACCCCCCTTCTCTTTCAAATTCATATTTGTATATTAGTGTTTCTGTTTACCTTCTCCGCAACTTGCTGCGATCACCAAGACTAACATTTCGCGTTACTTCTATTCCGGCTTGCCAGTCCTGCGGTGATGTTTTGACCAAGAAGAAACTTGACCAACATCGAAACCGTTGTCACGGCGCGACTTATACCTGCATCGATTGTATGGTATACTTTCCCGGCACCACCTATCGCTCCCATACCGTACGTCAATTGTCCTCCGCAATGCGCGCTCCATCACCTTGCGCCTTCACTATCATACGCGCGCATTGTTTCCACAGTGTCTAGGCCATTTGCGACGCGATGCTAATAACCTCCATTGTCACAGAGTTGTATTAGCGAAGAGCAGAAATACCAAGGTGCCCTCTACAAAAACAAGAAGACCAAGACTGCACCCCCTCCCCCTCCCGCGGCCGAGCCTGTCGAGTTCACCGAAGCCCACAACCAGCCCAACATGAGCCACAAGCCGTATGTCGAAGACGTTCCAGACGATGTGTCCGAGGATTACGGCGACTACGAAGACAACAGCGACGACGACCATAAGTCTCCGGTCGAGCTCCTACCCGAGGCCCCCACTCCACCCCCAGTGCCCGAGGTTGTGAACGTCTTCGACTTTCTCGTCGCCAGCAACACTCCTAATGCGTCCACGGTAAACCTTGCCCATGCCGGGGCTTACAACGAGGAAACCCAACTAGTGCGGTACGACTACGACGCCAATGGCTACGGCGATGGTAATGCATGCACGTTCGAGGGCGACGAGCTCATCCAGTACGGCACAGGCCCAGTACCCACTTCCTATCAGACACCCGCTCCGAAGGTCTCACGAAAGAAGAGCAAGGAGGGGACCGATGTTAAGACCGACAAGAAACGCAAGCGATTGCATATCGAGACCGATCAGGTAATGACCGATGCACCACCTGTTCTCCACTCCGACCTCACAGGTGGCATGAACCGACTCATGAGGCCGGTTTTCCCCCCATCACCGGATTACTCGGGTGGCGACGCTGGCCCGCTCAGCCCGATCAAGAAGTCGAAGCACTCGAAGCATTCCAAAGGAAGCCGCCAGGATAACGCCTCCATTGGCAATAATCTGCTTGCTTTGATGGCTACAGGACCTAAGACGAAGACGAAGAAGAAGAAGGCGTCCAAAAAGACTCGCGCACGCACGGAAAAGGCCGCCAAGCTGCTTGAGTACCGGCCGAACTCTCGCGACAGCAAGGGAGAGGCGGGAAATGAAGGCCAGATGGTGGTTTTCAAGCCTCGCGCCGAGCTGTTCCTCAGCTTCATCACCAAGGGACCCGAGAGCGAGCGTGGTTGCAGCGTCAACAAGGTGCTGAAGCGTTACCACCGGGAGAGGGCCAGCACGGGCGAGAGCCTGCCGAAACCTGCAGTGGAGAAGGAACTCTGGCGATGCCTCCGGATGCGACGAAATGAGAGGGGTGAGATTGTACTCTTCGCCATCGAGTGAGGGAGACGGTTGAATCGACCAAAACGAATAAAGCAAAATGAAAAAATGGGAAAACCACAACAAAAAAAAGACCTCATAAACGCATCAACAAAATCAAGGGAGCCGAATCCCTGAAAAAATCATGAAAACAACATGATACTATTGTGAGGAGGTGAGAAGTGTAATGAATTTGGGCATATAAGGATATGGCGTTTATTTGATTCGGGGACCACTACATGATTTGTGGCACAAACCAAGCGATGCGGTTTCGATTCTCTTCATTGAACTTTTTTTCTTCTTCCTCTCATCTGGTTGAAATTGAGGGAACTTTGGGCTATTTCGCATTCTCAATGTCTTGACTGAATTCTAGGAGGAAGGGGGATTTAATATTTCGACGAATGCTCGTTCTTGTATTTTGCTTTCTTCCTAACCCCCTTCCTTTTGCCTAGTTGATTTTGGCGCGCGCGCTCAGCAGGACTTGAGCTTTTAGAGCTCTGATTATACACCGAGCAGCTGAAAGGCAGCATTTCCTTGATTCAACCAATTTTTTTTTTTTTCTTGATCTCAGTTCGGGCGTGGAGAGATTTCCTCATCCCGGAATTTTGTTTCTCTTTTTTTGGTTTCATCTGCTCGGTTTTTCCCGTTCTGCTCGAGTCACACATGTGTCTTCCTATTCTCGTTGTGGCTGTCTTGATACTGTTCGAGTACAGCACTCCACGAAGATGGACTGTCGCAGCATATCCATGTTCCTAATTAGCAACTTGGATCAATGTATCAGTCCTGCTGAATTATGGGGGGTTTCTTCCCTTCCATTTTCCCCCTTCATTTTCCCTATTTTGGATTGGGAGCGACTCTTCGTGTGTATACATTCTCACAATGTTTTAAATCAATTTCAACTTGTTCATTAAAACTCTCCTGTATTCTTATAACACCGATGAAATTCTATGTTTGTACAGTGTAGTAGTGGACAAGCCATTATTCCAACAAGCTAAAAAAAAGGCCAAGAATGAAATTTAAACACGTTCTCTCTCTTCATACAACTCGTAACGGCAGGATATGTTGCACCATGGTCTCCCTCCTGCAAAGGGGACACTCCGGCTTCTCCCTCACCCAGTCGCCAATACACGCCCAGCAAAAGACGTGGCCGCACTGCGTCGCAGCAGGATCCTTCAGCTCCTCAAGACAAAGCGTGCACTTGCGCTGCTGCGCGCCCTTGATGAAACCCATAACAGAGTCATCGGAAAGGTCGTACCGCGCACCGCGGAGCACAGGGGTTTGCGTCGCCGTCTCGATGTTAAGCTTCGTGGGATTCCCCCTCGTCGATCCGGAAGGATTCAAGAGCTGGTTGTTGGAAGAAAGGGCGTAGTCGTCGAGCGACACGTCTACCTCCGTCGAGTAGTAGTACGCATCGCGTTCGCGCTGCTGTTCCGCGGTCGCGTCGGTGGCGGGGCTGGACAGGACGGAGCTGACGTGAAGGTACGTCTGCGTAGCGAGCTGCACGACAAGCAGGGCGCCGAGGACCTCGTAGCCCGCGCGATCGGGGGTATCGGGGACCTTGTGGGTGAAGATGTATCGCAGGCCGAGCAGCCTCTTCACAATCTCGTAGTACGTGCCCGAGAAGTAGAACACGGCCAGCGACAGCGCATATATGGGCGTTCCCGACGCGATGGTCGCGAAATGCGTCAGGATATACCTCCAGATCCTCGCCTCCCTGCCCTTCGCTTTCCCCTCGTCGGCGAGCCTCTTGACGCGGGTCTCAAGCGCCGCGCGTACTTTACTCCGCAGTTTTGGGAGGATCTTGGCCGCGACGTAAGGAGCCAGCACGGAGCCGAGGATGTAAGCCGTCCGGCGCGACAAGGTCGGCAGCGAAGAAGATTTGGCGCCAGCGTGGACCTGGACGACGTCCGTGTACTCTTCGCCGAGGGTGCGGTTCCCCAGCAAAGTTGTGAGGGAGAGGTAGAGGAGGGAGGAGGCGAGGCGGGATTCGTGCGCCCAGGTGTGGGCGGAACGGGCGCCGAAAAGAGACCGGTGGAGAGAGGAGAGGCTGTTGGCGAGGTAGCCGGTGAAGTAGGCGTCTTTTTGGTGGGCGCGGATTATGTCGGGAGCGCCGGCGTAGGGGAAGGGGCTAGTTGGGGAGAGGCGCGAAGGGGAGAGTTGAGGGCCTAGGAAGGGTTGGGAGGAGGGGGTTTCGTCGGTGGCGGCGGGAGGAGTTGGAGTGCTGTCGTCCATGATGTCCATGGTGAGCTTCGCAGATGTGAGTGAAATTAGGGTGTTGATGTTGAAGTTTGCACCTTTTTCCACATACTCGTCGAGTAAAGTGTCGGCGAGGCTGGGTGTCGAGAGGAGGTTACGGTGGATGGGCGTTCGGCGTCGTGATGTAAGTTATCAATGGGCAGCAGCGATGTACCTCGGCTTCCACAGTGCTTGCTCGAGCTTTCGGGAGTGAGAAGTCCTCCTCCAACTCACTGGATCACGTGCAATAGGTTGGGCTTGATGGAATTGGTACCTGCCGGGGCGTCGTGTTTAATTGCAAGGCCACCCAATCAGACGAGACTGTCTAAAAAAAAAGTTGGCCAGCGTCGCATTTTGATCTTGGAACTCGCAATCGATAAGGCACATGTCCGGACGAAGTACTTCGTACTGTACCTACACCAGTAAAGGTACTTCGTATTCCATACTCATGCACCCCCCTGAATCGGTATTGCTTCGTATTTCCTCCAAACTTTCCACCACGCTCGTTAGATTTTGCAAGATATCCTCGCGAAATCCACCCGGCTCGACGCCTTGGCTTTTACCCTCGCTCCGGAGGCGGTTCTTGATGGTTTTGGAAGGGTCAAATCGGCGGGGTCTGCGTCCTCTTTTTCCTCATAGATGAACACGGCGACGGGAAGCTCGCGTGCGATTGAACAATGAGTGACGACCATGACATCCACGAGCTCGACTCGTTTAGCTTGCAATTTCCGCTGCCTTATCGAGTTGGGTTTATAATAGCAGCAGGTATGCCCATTCCTTTTCTATTCTTTTTTTTCACGAGGTCAGACGAGACAATCGCTAAACGAGGCTGCCCTTGGCCTCTCCTAGGTATCTGGGGTTGGGGAATCAATCTCCATCTCCTCCATCGCTACAAGATCGATGTGCCCGCCCTCATCCGATATCCACCCCGAACATCGACAAACCAAGCTCCCCACCATGTCTCGGCATACCGACTCGCCGCCCTGATAACCTTCTTCTTCTGCTTCTCGCTCGTTACGTTTTGGATCTTCACCGGTGGATCCGCCGCGCACGTCGTCTCCTACGACTGGCTCCCCGTCAGCTTCCTCGCGTCGCTCTGCGTCCTGTTCCTCGCACCCCTACGCAACTTTATCCACGGCGGCCGCAGTAGATTCCTGGCGACCTTGCGACGAATCAGCCTCGGCGGGCTGGCGGAAACGAAGGACGGCAAGTTCGGCGACATCATACTTGCCGACGCCCTGACGAGCTACGCGAAGGTCATCGCGGACCTCTACGTCGTCGTGTGCATGTTCTTCACGCCAGGCAGTTCGGCAACGGGTCCTCCTAACCGTACGTGCGGCGGTAACCTCGTGCCCCTGATCGTGGCCATCCCGAGCGTGATCCGGCTGCGGCAGTGCCTCATCGAGTACCTGCGCGTGCGGAAGTCGCCGTTCAACCCGGCCGTCGGTTGGGGCGGACAGCACCTCGCCAACGCCCTCAAGTACTTCACGGCATTCCCCGTCATCATCTTCGGCACCCTCATGTCCCGGCTACCTCCGGACCAGCCCGACTATTCCCTCAACCGCGCGTGGGTCATCGCCTCGCTCGTCCAGTCGCTATACTCGTTTTACTGGGACGTCGCTAAGGATTGGGACCTCACGCTATTCTCGTCGGCGAAGGAGCGGCTGTCGGCTGAGTATCCAGCCGGACTAAGGTGGAGGACAGTGTTTGAGCCGTGGACTTACTACTCCGTCATCGCGCTCGACTTGGTGCTCCGCCTCACGTGGATATTCAGGCTTGGGCCGGGTCTGACGCGGCTGCCGGACGCGGAGAAGACGGTTTTCATCTTGCACTTCCTCGAGGTGTTTAGGCGGTGGATTTGGATCTTTTTTAGAGTCGAGACGGAGTGGGTTAGGAGCACGTCTACGGGGTTGGGACTGGATGATATCTTACTCGGGGACTATGATGGCAAGCACGAGGATGAGGACTAAATAATGTATTTGCTTGCTGCCTCCCCCCCCCCCCCCCCTTCCTTTTTCCCTCCCGCCGCTACTTTTTTGTTTTTCGGAGACGGGATATATATGTATAGACCAAAAAGGCGTTTTCACTAGAAAGGACTGGACTAGGACGGGGAAGAAGGAATCATGTTTTCAGCGAATGGCTACTATCGGGCGATGGTACGGTTGAGGAATGGGATTGAAGGTATTACTTGTACATCATCATCAAACCAAGTGGAGGATTTGGGGAACGGGTTTTATTCGTTGATAATTCTCGTCCATTGCTTCTTCACTTAGCTTGCGAAGGCTTTCTGGTCATAGGACCGACATATCATATTCTTGAATAGAAACCGGTCCGTTCTTCGGGCGTTTCAACAAAAGCATCTTCTGTTTGAGCTTTAGTTTGGCATCGCGACAAGGCTTCCTTTTTCCACTTGTTTATTTTCCCCCCTTGAGATTGTCGAGGAGGGGGGGTTACAGAAAAATGAAGGTGAGAGCTGCAAGCCCAAACGTGCTTGGCAAGGTGTCGGCTGGGTCAGTCTTCTGCTCGACGTCGGCTCTCGCAAGGAGGAACAGGTCATTTTCAGATAATTTCACCTCTTTGTGCTCTTCTCTATGATGTGTGTTTTCAACCCATCAGCTGATTCTGCTAAACGGGCTGAAGTACCAAACGATAGATCTAGCAATGACGGAGATGATCAAGATTATGTCTCATTCTCGGTCAGCTAAGAAGGGTGGTCTAGATCCAGGGACGATTAGGTGCGCATCTACTGTGTACTGCGAGGTTCAGAGGAGATACTAGAAGAGCGGAAGCTAGTCTTGATGGCGATGGAGGGTGATGGGTGGTATGCAACTGAACTTTATTCTCCAAAATGGAAAATTCATTCGATGCTTCGGAGAGCTCCGGGCCATAACTCTGATGAATGCCAACGACTCATAGACACATGGGCGAAAGCAGCGCTGGAAAAGGGTCCGGTCTCATTCCCATTGTTTGTCTCGATCTCGTTCAGATTTCCCGTTTCGACCCAGCTTCAGAAGATTCAAAGTTCGAGGCTGCGGGGGTTAAATCCGTGTGACGATGACGATCCGGGCTTAGAACTTCAATGTCTCATGATGAACTCAACCGGCTTTAATCAATCCTTCTCACCATTTCCGCAGCTGTGCAGATCTCCGCCTATTAATTTCTTGGCCGACTTCCATAAGCGAGAGTAATAAAGGTTGATCTCGCCAAGTCTCTTCATATCATCAATCAATCTCAACGTCGCTCAGCTCCGGAATCCAGATCTCCGCATCCGGCATCGGGCGGGAATGCAATGCGACAGGGGGTGATTGATTGATGTCGTGGCACACGAACCAACCCAGCAAACCAGGGTGTCTCTGAGCCTGGTCTGAGGCCCAGAATTGGATCTGGGGTCTGGATCGCCGGGCGGCTCTTCCTCAGTGGTCCCGTCCGTCCAACACTGATCCGACCTCAGCTCAAAAGCTCTTGCCCACCTCGTACGTCATTCCATCCGCAAACTCTCAGGCGTTTTAACTCTCGCCCTTGCTTTTCCTAAGGAAACATCCAATCTGTCTCACGGTGTTTCTCTCGTCTCGCCTGACGCCTACGAAGTAGAGTCTAGAGCCAGGAGTCATTGAGGGTGATTTCTGTGATTTCTGTGATTGCATCAAATTCATTCAAACCAGCCTCCCCGAAAATAGACGAGCCTCTCTCTGAACCCAACAAGCTCAAACTTCAATATCTTATCCAAGCCGTCAAGGTATTGATGGTAAAATGCGAGATCTCACGAAACTAGATGTTTCCCACATTCCTACAACTCCAGACCATCAGGCATCAGTTTGCCCCCCCTTTGACCCTTTGACCCTTGGGACATTCTTCTCGCAAACTTTGTTCTGGGTTAGAGCCAATATTCCGAGGAGCCCGGGACTGGTTTACCCTAAATGCCACATTTTCCGCTCAAATCGAGCATAGCCCAAATTCTCCGAAAACAGTTCCCAGGAAGTCGGTACGGGCTAGTGACCAATACGGGAAAAGCCCGCGCGTTTTTAGTTCCGCTACACGTCAATGGTAACGTGGATCAGTTGTATCGGTAGTGCAAGAAACAGAAGTGCATGCATGGCCTAGCCCTAGCCCCCCGGTGGCCCCCGGTCCCCTTCGTCTCCGCGGAACTTGAGTATCTTGTGCTCTGCCCTTTTTCCCAAGAAACGCAGGCCAGTCTCCCGCTTCAGGCCTTCGAGGTTCCTGCACGGAGAGGGAGGAGAGATAGATCAGGAGGCTCGTGTGGTTCGGGGAGGCGGACACGGAGGGCTCCGAGTCATCAAGTCATCATTGTGGCTTGCCCTTCCTGTATCTTGTAGATCGAGCTATTCGAGACTGGTCTGCTTTGGCGCCAACGCCTCCTTCGCCCTTTTTACTCCAAAGTATCATATCGGTTGGTGGAGGTGGGTATACGGAATGTGGGCAGGGACCTGCAAAAACCAGACCCGAGAGATGGGGTGACCATTACGGTCTACGGGACGCCGTCTTCGCCCTAACATGGCGCCTCCTGCTTTCTCGGTTCCCATTTTGTCTTGGTCTGGAACGAATCTCGAACGAACTGGTGATATAGATCGCCTCCACACGTTTTTCGTATCTTCTATTTAAATAGCCAAGAAACACTAAAGGGAGGAGAGAAGGGCGGCAACTGAGAAAAAGGGGGCCCACGCGTTGGATGTACATCTAAAATCTCTCGATCCCGAGAAGCCGGAACGGCAACATCTCCCTCTTATTTTTTCTTTTCTTTTCTTTTTTTTTTTTCTTAACCTCGCCTCCCCCACCGTTTCCCCCGCTCCTATTGCGACGGGGCTTTCGATAGTGTCCCGGCGTTTCTCGCCTCCCCAGAATTCCTTTTTGTGTTTGTGTTTGATTCCCTTTCGGCTCATTCCTTTTCCTTTTCCCTCCTCCCTTGCGTCCACCTCTTTTTCCTCTCTGGGAAAGTGTCCAGTACGCCATGGTCAATGTCGAGTCATTTTCCTTTAAAGCTTGAAGCTCGTCATACCCCAAATGCGGTCTCTGGTCCTTGCTCTTGTCCTTTGTCTCCCTACGTCGACCCGGTCCCTCCTACGCACTTACGCTCCGAATGGCCCTTTGAAACGAGTGCATTGATATCTGCTTGCGTTTCTGTATACCCCTCATGACGACTTGACGAAACTCCAATCATAGAGGGCCGCACTTACACACTTACACGCATGTGGAAAGCAGCAAACATCTGAGTTCTCAAGAGATAAAGAAGGGCCTGGATCGAGCATTTCATGGAGAAATAGAGAACATACCGCGGGCCTTTCTTACTCGGGTGTCCAGGGATATATACTACCTCTTTCTTCTCTACATGCCCGCTCCCGGTCCAAGCAACCAAGACCATCACCCTTCCTTTTACTTCCGACTTCCTCGCATAAAGAGGGATTCATAGTCTGCCCATACCGTTGACCCGTGGAGATCGATCCTAATCCCATGTCTTCTCCGACGACATCCAGCACCGAAGCCGAGACTCACCCGGCTACTTGGAGCAGTTCCAAGAACATGGAGCCTGCAACTCCTCCGAATCAGCCTCTGCCGCCACAGAAGCCGGCACAGCTCTACGAATCAAAACCACTGCCACCACTACCCCCGATACCTTCGAGATCATGTAGCACCTCGAAGCCAAAGCGATCAAGCTCGAACAGACAGGTTCAAAAGCCAAACCCTTCTCTTCCAGGATCTCGGCCGATAAAAGCGGCAACGGGCTACTCGCAACGAAGATCACAGAGCCAACGCACCTCAAGTTCTAAGCCAAGACCACCCCCGATATATCTACCACCCCTGAACTCCCGATACGGCCGATGCACCCAGCACACCAAGATAGCAGTCGGACCCTCGTATCCCCTCTCCCCCCCACCGGAAAACAGCTCGACGGACACGCCGGCCCACATCAAACGCTATAGCATGTTGATCACCCCCGATGACCTGACTCCCCCTCCCCTCCTGTCCGGGGCCCTAACAGGGGCGGTGGGAATTTACACGGCTCCCGCATCGCCTACATCGAGCAGCTACGCAAGCGAGGGCGCCGAGACTACCGTTTCCGAACCTGCGCCCTTCACTCCGGGTCCTGATGTCTACGAAAACTATTCTCTCGACGATATCGACTACGATGCTGATGAGACGCTGGTATCTGGCTCCTTCCTGTCGATAGGGACTCCAGACTCCCCGGTGTCTGCAGTCATCCACCCACTTAACATCCGGCGAGTGAGCAACAGGGCGAGCGGAGCCAGTGGCTACTCGTCGTCAGTGTATAGCGACGCCAGCCCGCCCCAGCTGCACCAACCGATTATAGACCGCGGCAACGACAACGACATGGCCGGAAAACAGACGCTAGGAGCCATGCACGACATAGACCCCAGCAACACCAGCACTGCCATGGAGGAATACGTTATCAAGGACATGTACCACGCATCCGTGGGACAAATCGCAGCATCGACCAGAGAAAGCCCCACGATACAAAGAACCACCTCCTCAATATCGCAGCGCACGCTGTGGCCTACGATGGACAAGGTGAAGAGGCGGTTCTCAACAAAGTGGATTCCTGGGGCACCGTCTCTCAGGGGACGACCCGTGAGTGTGCCATCGAGCGTGACAAGCGTGGATCGCCAGAGCCTGAAGTCTGCGAATACCACCACCACTACAGTGTCTATGCTGAAGAGTACGTTCGAAGAGGATGATGAAGAAGATGTGGAAGAGGGGAAGAACAAGCTTGGATACATTCTGAAGGTTTTCGGGCGGACACGGCGGAGGCAAAGCGTAGTCTTTGAGAACAAGCATTCGTGGTCGCAGAAGAAAGATACACCACCGGAGAAGCAATCGACCTGGCCAGAGCCTAGTGCCACAGCCAGGAAGCCTAAGCTTACGAGTCGACAGTCGAAGTTTGCCCTGGGCTTGCACAACCTGGGGAGTCAGGCGAAGTTCTTGTGAACACGTCAGAAAGGAAGGTGGAAGGGAGTTCAGCTCGTCGTATCCTCGAAGTGCTACAAGCAAGTGACATCGTTTCTCTTCTCACGACAAGTAGAGCTCGGCCTGAGGATTTCTTTTGTTCCGCTTCTTCTCTCCCCCCGCACTCCGTTTGGCTTTCTTTCCTTTCTCATTCTGGCGCAATTTAGTGGCGTTTGGGTATGGGGGTTAGATTGAAGCTACCTACATCGGTTGGGTTGGCAGGTTTGGGCTTCGGGGGTCTTGATGGGCAGTTACGAAGTATTATTGTCCGGACCGAGGTTTATGAAATCAGACACATCAAGGATAAAGCGTCTACCTATAGATTATGAAGGAATAGCGAGAGACATGATGCTCAATATACCAATATCTATTTTTTTTTCTTTCTTTTTTTGATGCCCTTAGAAGTTTAGGTGATGATGGCGTGTCAACTTCAATGTTCTTTTCGCCTGTTGTGTGTATTAGTGGAGCTCCCCCAGGCTCGGAGTACTTCGTTGACGACACCCGAGCATCGGCTCAATACATCGGATCCATTGTCAAACTCTGGAGACTTCTGAATTGATGTTTCGGTGTCTTGGACTAACCTCGGTATCCATCCGCCTTCCTTCCTCTGACTGTGCCTGCAATCGCAATCGGTCTAGTCCACACGGATTGAATCAGTTTTGGGTTGGTAATGACGGAGAGAACCAAATCGAACCCTAAACTGCCACTGCCACTGCCACTGCTATTGATCCATTGATGCACGCAGGTGCTTCAATCTCCATCCCTTGATCCCTTGATCCCTTGATCCATTGGGCATTGACCCCATTGATGCGCTTTCCCCGCATTGTCCCAATGGTCAATCCTGCCCCAGTCGTGCCTTTCCATCCCTGACATCAAATTGATATCCCAACGTACTTCATACTTCGTACTTCGTAGCCCAACGCACTTGTCCAAAGTATTGATCCTAACGCAACGCCCTCCGAAATCGAAATTCAGCTCCCACCACCACCCACCGCACCCGGACCAGACAGAACCATCAGAACCATCCCATCTCTGAACGTTTCGGGAAACTCTCTCTCCCCCTACATACCCCAGCTCTTCCCCCGTGCATACAACACACATTATCACTCCCCTCCAAAATCCTACAAAAGATATAAACCACCCCACCTAATCTGCACTTGCATACCACACCAGCGCAATATTCAAGCCATGATCCAAGCAGGTCTCCCTTCCGACCTAACCAACAGTGTCACCTCCTCCGAGCCCGCGCCCGCCGCCGATTCAACCTCCGATCCCACTTCGGCACTTTCCGCTCCTGCCGACGCCGCCTCCACCTCAGCCTCGCCGCACATCTTAGAAGCCGAGGTTCAGAGCCTCGCCGGTGCCGTGAGAAACGCCTGTTCTTCTTCTGGCCCGGACTTGTCGGTTGATACCAATTTTTGGGATGTTGAGATGATGGCGCCGCCTAATGCTACGTCTTTGGTAAGTTGTTCGGTTCCTTCGCAGTCAATTCGGTAGTTCACTTTTTTTTTTCTTAATTTTTTTTCCCGCTGCTGCGGCAAGCATTTTTACTAGGGCTTTTTGGTGCCTTCTAAAATCCGTCATGTCGTCATCTCCAAGCACTTTACTCTCCCTCTCTTGCACTCTCCGTTGAACAGCAATACCAAAGCCATGAACCTCAACTTCCACCCGATGTAACCGCAATACTAATTAGCCCTTTCACTCTTTCCTCCCCGACCCCCCCAACTCTTTTCTCCCTTCCGCGCCAAAGAGCCCAAAAAAGGCCATGATTCCCACCTTCAACTGGACCAAGCTGACACGCCTCCTCCCCCTCCTCCCCTCCGCAAAGGCCGCCATCGCCCGTCTCCGCGCCTACACGCCTCCGTCCTTTCCCCTCTGGGACCAGCTCCCGGCGAGCCGCCGCGCGGCCGTGCTGATCCTCCTCTATGCCGATCGTCGCGGCGACTTGCGCGTGGTGCTGACCATGCGCGCCGCGAGCTTGAGGAGTTTCTCGGGCCATGCGGCGTTTCCTGGGGGCAAGGCCGATTCGGTGGATGAGACTCCTTGTAAGTTCTAGTGTTTTTTTTCTATTCTTCATCGCTCCCTCCCCTCTCTTCAATGCGACAACTAGAAAAGGTAGATCGGGAGGGGGGAAAATAATACCGAACAAAACTGACGCCTCTTCAAACGTTAGACCAAATAGCCCGACGAGAAGCTTGCGAAGAAATCGGCCTACCCATGGATGACTCCAGGATCCCCGCACCCTTCAAGATCGAATTCCTCTGCCACCTCCCTCACAGCCTCGCCCGCAACGGTCTCGCCGTTCGCCCCTGCGTTGCCCTCCTCCACAACCCACTCACTCCTGCCACCACCAACTCATCATCCAACTCGAACTCTACCAATTCTTCCTCCTCCCACCCCCACTCCCCACCGGACTCCATGATGCCCCGTCTCGACGCCAAAGAAGTAGCCGCCGTCTTCTCCGCCCCCTTTGGCAACTTCCTCCGCGCAACCGACGCCCCCGTCCACCCCGGATCAACCCCTCTACCCGCCGGCCACTGGTACGACGGCAACTGGATCTCCTGGAAGGACGAACCCTGGCGCGTCCACAACTTCTACGTCCCCGTCAACAACCAGCGCGTCGTGAAACCCGACAACGAAGACGTCGCCACACCTATCCCAGACCCGCTCGAGAACGGAAACGGCACCCCGGCGCAGGGCGAGAAGATCGAGGAGGTCGCCGAGAGGTACAGGGTGTGGGGCATGACGGCCAAGATCCTCGTCGAGGCCGCATCGTTGGCGTACGCGAGGCGGCCCGAGTTTGAGCATAACGAGATCTGGGGCGACGAGAAGATTATACTGCTTGCGAATGAGGAGGGCCAGTTTTTTGATAGGGCAAGCACTAAGATCAAGGTGACGGGGGATGTCGCGGGAGCGGGAGCGGGAGCGGCGACGACGAGGACGAACGAGCCGATGACGCCTACGGATGAGGCGGTTGAGGCTGCGAAAAGGGCGGAGCCTGCGAAGATATGAAGATGACGGCGGTGCGCGGTGTGGCTTTGTCTTGGGGGTGCGGTCATGAGAGCGGAGATAGAATTCTGATATGTTAATGAGATTTAGATTTATGTCCCTTTGCCTCACATAGGCGACTTTACAATGAGTATGATATTGATCGCCAGTTGATGCCCTGTTCTTCCCCTCCATATCACTACACATCTCTCTCCCCCTCTCTCCGAGTACGGCCACGCCTCGTCGCCGCCCAAATCTCCCCTCTCGACCCGTGTCGCTCGTTCGAGGAAGCTCCACGATCAATGGCACGCGGTATCCTTCGTCGAAGAAGTGGTGTTTCCGAATAGGAGATACCCCACAAATGCGCCGACCGAGACGGCAATCATGACCCATCCGTTGTAGGTCATGAAGATAAGCCTAGTGCCGGGAGAAAGAAGTATTGCCCACGATTAGAAATCCCCTCCCAAACCAGACCAAAAAAAGGGGGAACGGTGCAGCAAATTGAGGGCACGGGGGATAACTTACATGAGCATAAAGGCGTAAAAGTTTTGAATGCCGTAGAGAACGGCCTTGATAATGTGGGCTCGGCGGTTGATCTCTGGCTGGTTCTGTCCTGACCAAAGGAAAGGAGTGGACTCGTTAACCTCTGCGTCACGATCGTCTTTTTTGTTGAGGAGACGAGGGGGGAAAGAACGTCTTAGCTTTCTCTGTACCACATAATTTTCTCTGGTGGGAAAAAGAACCCCGAAACAGAACAGAAGAAAGATAAGAAGTATAGCAAAACGCTTGAAACTAAACGAACGATTGGGAGAAAAGGGGGGGAGGCCAGGTGTTGGACTTACTCGGAGCCAACTCGACTCGCTTTGTTACGGCGAGCTCGTACTTCCTGCTAAATGCTCGGATGGCTTCGTATCCGGCGCCAATGGCGACGACGGCGATGAGGGAGAGGACGAGGTCGAAGGTGGAGCGGATGTGCCATTGGCGGAAGACGATGCAAAGGTTCTTGGTGCTCCATGTGAAGAGCATCTAAGAATAAGTAAATAGAGATCTTAGCTGACTCTGTTTGGAGGAGATGCGATTGGGGATTGTAGACGGGGGATGGCTAAAACGAACGTTCATGCTGCACATATCGTTGCCGCCGCCACCGTGATCCATGCCTCCGTCGCCGTGGTCCATGTCGCCGTGATCCATGGCGTGATGCATGTGGCTGCTGTGATCCATGAGGAGGTTGTCGTGGAGCTTGCGGGTTCGAAGGAGACAGGCGCTTCGGGGTTCGTGTCTAGATCGTCGGCGTGGCCGTCGCGGAGGTCGAAATCGAGATTCTGGAGGATGGGAATCTGAATCGCGAACTCGAATAGTGTAATTGTCGCTAGTTTCTTGCGGAGAATCAGGTCGGGACAGGAAATGAGTTGAAGGAGGAAGGAACAGGGACGGGTGAAGGCGTCACGCGAGTTTAAGCTGTAGCAGGGCCCTGGTCAAGGTCAATGGACTGGGCTGGACTAGACTAGGATTTGAGTTGAGCTCTTTACAGTGGGGCAGAGAATGTGCTCAAACGGGCGCATTTCACACCAGCATGATGCGTGTCGGGGCCCATTGCGGAGCTCGCACAGGCCAGCCACGCTACAATGACGCTGAGGGGGTGCGTGGTGTTGCCTGGCCTGGCTTCGCTGGCTGGCTGGCTGATGGAAAGCTAATACTTCGTACGCGTATCAGTACGCTTGTGCCTCAGTAATGCCAGGCCGTGCGTCGTTATCGTTGCGGTGCCCGTCAACGCTGACTGATTATTCAGGCTCCCCCCCCTCCCAAGGCAATGGGCTTTGATATGAGACTTGACAGTACCGAGTGGCGGATTGATCAATGTTCTACGAAGTATTTTTGCGCTATTAAGATTATTATCTGATCAAAATGTGGAGAAGCCGCCCTCGGGGAGCGTAACGTGGTGTGTAATTTGTAAACGGGAGTCGAGTCACAGTCTCAGTCTCAGTCTTTGAGATGGTGTCGTCCCATCATTAGGCGATTTCGGACACAGCAACACGCCAGTCTGTGAGAGTAAATCAGCGAAACCTTTCACTTTCACTCCTCCCCTTCGCGAACTGCAATCCCTACCCACCCCAGGTCAATCTTACATTCTTCAAAGCCGCCGGGCCCCTAGTTCGTGTATTGGTTGATTTATTTTCCTTCCCGTCCTACCCCTGTCTGAGGTCCCCCATCGCATCCTTGCTTTTCTTTATATCCGCAGAGATGTTGGCCCCTCCCATCAATCTGCCGAAGTGGCAAGTTATCACGAGAGAACCCCAGATGAGTTGCAAAAACTCACCTCAGTCTTGAGAACAAACCAACTAACCACAACTTGAAATACCTTCAGGCTCGAGGGAAACTCCCACCTCCTTCAACCCCCGATCAACAATTACTGCGTATACAATGAAGACTTCACCGTCATGGTAAGTTAAAAAATAAATAAAAAAAGACCATCAATTGATTTGAAATCCATCAACCCTCTCACATCCGGTCATTCCACTTCCCAAATACCCCGCCAAAGAACCAAAAAAAAAGATATCAATCCCTAACACGCGATCCCCTCTCTCCTCCCCGCGCCCCCAATACCCAGATCGTCGGCGGCCCCAACGCCCGCACCGACTACCACATCAACGAAACCCCCGAATGGTTCTACCAATACAAGGGCGCCATGCTCCTCAAGGTCGTCGACGACGGCGCCTTCCGCGACATCGTCATCCGCGAGGGCGACATGTTCCTCCTGCCCGCCAACACCCCCCATAACCCCGTGCGCTTCGCCAACACCGTCGGCGTCGTCCTCGAGCAGCGCCGTCCGGAGTCCTCCGTCGACCGCATGAGGTGGTACTGTCAGAAGTGCGCCGCCATCGTGCATGAGGCCGCCTTCCACTGCACGGATCTCGGGACCCAGATTAAGAAGGGTGTTGAGGAGTTTAAGGAGGACTTGGAGGCTAGGACGTGTAAGAAGTGTGGGACTGTGGTGGATTGGAAGCCTGCGCCGGGATCTATCAAGGATCCGAATTTGGAGTAAACCAAAGTTTGGTATACATATAAATGTATATGTGTATTATGTAGAAGAAAAGGCGCAAAGAGGAGTAAATAAGCACGGCGACTGAGGGTTGTGGTTTGGTTGTGGTTTGGTTGTATTAGGCGGCTGGTGTTGAGCAAGAAACTACGGGATGAAATCTATTATGCATTGATATAAGCTCTCCATGATATCCAAATCAGCTCTGTAAGGTTAACTCTTCCCTCCTATTTACATCCGCCATCATCAAGTGGGACGCATATTGTTCCGTAAAATGCGGCGCAACTCGTACAGACCCTATCCTGGCCCCAAGAAAAAATAACCAAAAAAAGGAAAAATTCCCCCCAAAATAACCCTCTAAGTCTCAGAGAATTCATACGAGCTAGTCGACTCCTCAACAGGAATCTCAATCTTAGCCTCCTCAAGCTCCTTCCCATCAACCCTGAGACCAGCCCTCATGACATCTCCAGGAACGACGGGGCCAACACCGGCAGGGGTGCCGGTAATGACGATGTCGCCGGGCTCAAGGGTCATGACCTTGGAGATGTCGCTGAGCAGCCTGGGGATCTGGAAGAGCATGAGGTTGGTGGAGGCATCCTGCCTGGTCTCGCCGTTGACCTTGAGGAAGATCTCGATATTGTGGGGGTCGGGGATGGCGGACTTGGGGATGACTCGGCTGAGGGGGAGGAAGGTGTCGAAGCCCTTGGCGATGTCCCAGGGGAGACCCTTCTTCTTGGCCTCGTTTTGTCCGTTGCGGGAGGTCATGTCGATGGCGAGGAGGTAGGCTGTGGGGAAATATCGGGGTTAGTTGGGATGGTCTCGCAACTCGCGTCGGGTGGCAAGGAGGGGTGGTTGGTGGGCGGATTGCCCCTACTTACACTCAATGGCGTCCAGAGCGCTCTTCTCATCAGCAGCGTCAAAATCCCGAAGCCTCTTGTTGAGAATAACACCGAGTTCGACTTCATAGTGGAGATCGACACCCCTGGGGCGGATGACGGGGCCGGCGCCGGGGAGGACAATGGAGGAAGGGGGCTTGAGGAAGAAGAAAGGCTGCTTAGGCCGGACGTTGTTGAGCTCCTGGACGTGGTCACTACAGATGTCACAACCGCCGTGTTAGCTTTCATGCATCACCCCGCAACTCCCCTCCATAAACGGTTGGAGTCGGTAAAATACCAAGCCAGTAAAAAAGACAACATAATTGGAAACGATGGCGCCTTTAAGCTGCAGCTCGAACTTACGCATAGTTGCGTCCAATGCAGACAATCTTGCTAGGCGTACGGAAACCAGAGGAAGTCATGGTTGCGAAGGATCGACGGAAGAGCGACATGGTGATGGAAGGAGGGGAAGAAAAACCACAACAAAAATAAGCGAGGAGAAATGGCGTCTATGTACTATTGCAAATGCGCAAGTGGCTCTATGGCAAACCAGGTCGCGATTACGGTATCGAGGTGAGGGGAAAGCAATAAGTCACACAAAGAATTGCGCCGGATCAATATCTCGGGTGTCCCGCGCCCTGCTTGTAAGTCTCGGTCGTTCTTCTGGGGAGCGAAGTCAAAGTGCTGGTGGCTGCGGGAATATGTACGTTGGAGACGAGGGAATCGGAATTGGCCAATTGGATCCGACGACCGGAGGAAAAAAGAGTGTGCGTGACTGTGACTCTGGAAGGGGAATGGAACGTGGAGAGGCGTCTAGGAAAACGGCAGTTGGATTTCGTTCTATTCTGCTGTTCGAATTGAGGTGGAGGTTTTTTTTTAAAGCTCGCTTTGAAACTCGACTCGACTTCGACTCTGAAGTACGTACACAGGTACACCACATGCACATGTCGTGTTTCCGAGTAGCCGATGTGCGGAGCTTGTTCATTGGAAGATGGCATCGTGGGTGGAGCTCGCGGAGAAGAGCTCGGAGACGAGCGCCTGTGGCTTCCTCGGATTTTCCGAGCTTGGTTCACCTTCACAGATCGACTTCGGGTACAACCACGAAGCACTTACACTACCGCAGAGCCCATGTGGGGCAACTACCCCAAAATTCCGGGGATGGTGGCTAGTTGGAGTTGGAGGGATTTTGAGAGAATCGTAACTTCTCCTTGTTGGAAGGTGGATCCGAATTCAGAGGAGGCTCTGAAAAGTATAACAACGTGAGCATGAACTCTACCGTTCCTTCTTAGGTATAAGACAGTCACTTCAAAGCTGGAGGAACGAGTCATCACCAGGCCCACATTCGACGACAGCTCATCTCAGAGATGCCAGTCAACTTCTCCGCCTGTAACATGGCAAATGAAGCCGCAGCTACCCGTGGGAGCCTGCACTCCTAGCTTAAGATCACGCATGGCATATTCCAAACGGCCTGGTGAATTCCGTCTGGAACATCTGCAGTGCGGAACCCATCTCGATTGGAATCCCTCTCGAAACGATGGACCCGAAAAAAGAAAGAGAGCACATGAGGAGAAATACAGGTATTGCAGATCTGAGGTTGCTTCCAAAGTACCCATATGTCTATCACTCTGGAAGTTAGGATATGAAACCTGTTTGTTCTTTGCTCTTACTCTAGGTATCCATTGACAATCGATAAAGTCTTTATGTGGATGCTTCTTCAATGTCGTATTATTGTTGTGTTTGGCGTTCTAGACTCCCTGTGCTTCGAGATTCAAGGCTTACTAACGCTTTCTGGTTTAATGAAGCCAGGAGGGCAGGTGCATTGCAGCCTCACTCTGGCCAAGCTCTGGGCACGACAAATAATTACGTTTTTCCGCCATTAACCTGTCGGTGGTCAACACCACTCACCAAACCATTTAAAACATCACCAACTTCATACCACATTTGTGAAGTCGCAAGACGAGGTCGGAAACATAAACAAAGCAGTTCCAAGAAGTCATTCAAAAGTGGCATTACCATAAAAGCATCAATATTTTACACACCAACATTTCAATAACCAGTCTCAGCACTATTTTGCCTGTCGTGACCCACTCGAACAACCCCTAATTCCTCCCACGACACTCTCACCACAACATTCCAATTAGCCAACCCCGACCCATAACCAGCCATGGAGACCCTCCAGCTGGCCCAGATGCTGGCCGACCTGAGCAGTCTTAATGCGACTGTAAGTTTCCTTAGGTTTAGCTGGCAAGACCGCTAAGCGCTGAACTCGAAAGCCCACTACCACCCCAAGCCCCATCCTACAGCGACACTGACGCTCAGCCCGGCATACTAGGAACCCCCCGCCGCATCTTCCCTCTTGAACGCAAGCAAGAAGATCGACACTGCCATAGAGAAGATCGAGATCGAGCAAAAGGACCAGCCGAAGCAGGAAGGCCGACCCGGAATGAAGAGAGCCGCCTCAGCTATCAGCTCCACAGGAACTGGAGGCAAGTTTGACAAATTCAACCGTCATCTCCTTGGCAGCCAGTCTCCTTCCCGACCTAGTTCGGCCGCAGCCACGTGTCCTGCGACCCCTATAGGACCTCTCGATGTATGACTACACTTTTAACGTCCCCCATCCCCGCCCGGCGTCCCCTGCGCCACATCCTACGAACCTTCCATTTGTGTTCTAACATGTCTATGCGCATCTGTAGATTGAAGACGATGTCGATAAAGCCTCTATGCTCATGGCCCTCCACGAGATTCGAGCCAAGCTCAGGCAGCAAGATAATACCAGCCTCATGAGGGCGAGAGAGAAGATCGATGCTTTGGCTGCTCGCCAGCAGGCCCGAGAGGCGGCTGAGCTGGCCAAGTCGAAGGATGAGTCTCGCAAGGCCCGATACCATTATCCCCGTTAAATCGACGGACGGCAAAACCACAGTACCTGAAGTCGACAAAGGAGCTTTTATAGTGTGCTGATGACGACCATGGTGATACTGCTTTTCTTCTTCCCTCCTAATATTTTCGTTTCTTTTTCCACTTTTTTTTTTCTATTTTGGTCTCAAGGAAGGATCTAGGAGTTTTGAGGAGCAGGGCGGTCAGGATCCCTGATTTGAGCAACAGGGGAATTTTACGGACATTGGCACATCGGCGTACTGGAAGTTTGTGTTCTTGCTTTTTCTTTTTCATTTGTTTCTTTCTTTTCTCCTGTCACGTCACACAGCGACGATATACTCGAGGCGGACGTGGACATGGACATGGGCATGAGGCGCACCAAAAGGAAGGGAGGCTTTCTGCAAGTGATTTCATTTTCGAACAAGAGTGGGCAAGGAAGGAAAGCCCAGCGCGACATAATCCGTGTCATAGCAATTCGACAACGACCATAATGAAAAGTCTTTACTCGTCAAGAGGAGATGTCTTTTTTAACCTAATTGATGCTGCACTGCGCCTTTCCTCTATTCCAATAATCCAAATTGTCTCATTTGTGCAACTCGTCTGTGTAGAACACCCTGCATGTAGCATCGATGTAATCGCGGAGGGAATCCCCACTCGACGTCATCGGGAGGGCAACGGGGCTCTCCGGAATTCTCATCAGGTGCCCCCACCTGGCCCTCCTAATCTTTAGTTCGTAGTACTTCGCCATCAAGTATGGGTACTTTTGATGGGGCTGTGCCCACGATTCGAGAATAAGCGAAGAGAGTGAGGATTCCCGGGGGGCTCCGAGTTGAGATACACGATCTACGGTTAAGAATCTAACGGACGTAGTCTAGATTACTTGGCGGTGTGCACTAGGATGAAAGAAGTGGGATGGTGCGCAAGTGCGAAACATTTGGCAACCCTTGACCCAGTTCCGGCAGCGCCAATCGCCGAGAAGGATCCTCGACTTACCGACCGGACTGGGGTTTAGGGGAAATCGTGCACTTTGTCCAGAGTATGACGAAGAAAATCACCGTCCTTCTCCGGCTCCATCGTCTCCCTAGGGCTGACGCGTGTACACTGAATTTGCATTCTCTTCGCTCCTTGAAAATTGAATAAAGAGACGAAGAAAGTGTAAGAGAATGGAAGAAAATGGCAGAAAGGCGAAGAGACCGAGATCGCGTCAAGAAAGTAGTGCAAAACTCAATGACGTGGCGCGAGGAGGCTGAGGGGCATTTGGAATTGGAATTGTCAGCGCAACACAGCTTCATTGTTAGCGTGGAGGATGACTGAGAGGTTGCACGGGTATCCGCTGTTGGATGACGTTCTTGTTGGCACGAAGCTACGTTGATCTCAAGGCAAACGTTGGGGTCGAAATACTTCACTTCGAAGTACCGAGCTTATTAACTGAGCCGGACTGGGGAACTGGGGACCATCAAGAGCTCAGAGTTTCAAACTACGCCGTAGTACATGCGAACCTAGTGGTTAGGTTGGTTGCGTTGGGCGAGATACTTGCTTTGGGCAAGCTAAACTCTTACATTCCAGGTTCCGTTGATGTGGACCATACGGGCTCAGATTCACATTCCTGGGTCTCGGAATAGTGCTGCGGAGTGGCAGGCGGGGAACATTCGTACTAAGGATGCGAACCGGATGTTTGTTCAAACTTCAGCTTACTTGGGTCTATCACACACTTTGGAATTAGTCCAAGCCTAACGATTATCACCGTCAACCTAATCTGTATAATTTTCGTAAACGAGCTAGATGAAGCGGTGGGATAAGGTAATGGACGTGTAATCGCCCAAACTGGACAATAAACGTGCCGTGACAAGACAAGGAAGAGGGCACAGCCATCCTCTCCACTGAGGTGGCTGAATGCCCGGTATGGTGCCGGGTACGGTCCATCACCTGTTTCGTAGACCTGACGGAGCAATATACGTGGGCCGAGCCAAGTCTTGGGATTGTCCCCAACGACCCAAGCCCAGCTTCGCCAAGAAAACAGTCAGAGGCAAAAGTCAAATCATGCCGACTCTCAGCTCCTTCCTCTTTCTATTATAAGTCATTCCGTACCTTCAATCGCGCCCCTCCTTTGTTCCTTCTCCTTTCAGCTTTCATTTAGTTTTTTCATTCGACAAATTCCTCCTACGAAAGAACAGGTTCGAGACGGTTTTTACAAGTCGCGACAAACAAACAGCCATCTGTACGACTTGAATCGCAATTCCCACCCAGACTTGGTCGCACTTTACACCGTCGGTGATTTTCACTACACGAACGGGTCTCCAACACCTCACTAAGAACAAAACACGATCGGGAACCTCCATCGATTCACTTCGAATTTCATCGATCGCATCGGGCCGTCGACGTTACTCCACCCTTAACGGGGATTTATCCTGATCGGGGAAACAATCACATCTACACAATCAAAATGGAGTCGATAGGACACGAACTCTACAGTCGGTACGTCATCATCTCCCTCCGCCTTACGCTACCCAATTCTACTGGACCAATGACGGCAAGAAGAAAAGAGGAAGAAAATATCAAGAAGCTAATTACCTTTCTCCTATAGTGACTTGGGCTGCCCCCGAGGCTGGTACTACTCCCACGGCCGCTGCTACCAACGTACTGGGTGGTACTACTGGGGCCGCTGGGTCGTCGCCGGCGTCATCATCGCCCTCACCATCTTCCTCTGTCTGATCATCGCCTGCGTCAACTCCCGCCGCCGCCGCAAGCAAGGCCTCCGACCCATGTACGGAACCGGCTGGATGGCGCCCCCGGGTAAGTTTGGCGGCCCTCCGCCTCCCAACCAGCAGTGGGCTCCCGGCTACGGAAACCCCGCGCCGCCTCCGCCGCCCTACGGTCAGCAGCCTCAGTATGGTGCGTCGCCTTATGGCCCGCCGCCGCAGAATGGATACTTCGGTCAGACGGAGGGCGTGCAGCAGCCGCCTAACGCGTATCAGGGCGGCTACGCACCGCCTCCTGGACCTCCTCCCCAGAAATAAGGAGGGGACTCTGTGATGATGGGGATTGGAAAAGAAGAAGGGGAATCGGATCGTTATACGAGTCGGCTGCGAGGGGGATGAGGAATCGCTTGGTCGCGGGCCGGATGTCAGTTTTTAAGGGTAAACAGGAATGGAACGGATAAGGTAATGATGAATGATACCTCGCTAGCCATAGTGGCTTTTTTCCCCATTTTCTCTCTTTCTCTTTCTCTTCTTTTTTTCCCTTAACAAATACCTTGTATTTCCGTATTATATTGTATTAGACAGCTACGGAGTCTTTTCTAAACTCCAATCGATAATCTCTACCCTTGCGGGTTATGGTTTTGCTCAAGTTGTATTCAGAGTCCTAGTGAACTCTTCAATAATGAAACGTGCACCTCGATATGTCATATTTTCCTCCCTACCATAGCCCAGCCCCGGACCCCAGAAGTCAAGATGCCTTTCGCCTCGCTCGAAGCGATGCTTGCCATCTCCTCGACCAGTCTACATATCCTTGGCGAAGTAAAGACTCAGCAACTGGCGGGGTTCGATCCTGAGTCAGTCATAGACCGTGATCCCGAGGTGGTGCTCACTGAGCGATCGCCGGCCGTCACGGTCCTTGGAGTTCCCTTTTTTTCTTTTTTTGTTCTCCCTCTTTTCCTGGTCAAAGACCGTAACTGGGATCGGGGGCGTTGTGAAAGGTGAGCCAGGTCTTGAGTCGCGATCAAACATTTCCACCCGTGATAAACCCTGCCACTGTATAGGAGATGGGCGCAAGGCCGCATGGTTCTTTACCGTCGAATTTTGGATCACTAACACACCAGAGAATCACTTTCCCAATGTAGCCGTCCCTGCCAAGTTCGTTTATACCGCCCTTTAACGCGACCATTGTCTTCGCGGCGTCTAGATGCTTTTTCAGGGCATCGGCGTCACAGCACAACTTCTGCCCCCACCTCACATTCGTTAGCTCACGGTCCCTTGGCCTAGAGAGGAAAAGAGGTTTGGAAGTGAAAAAGGCATGTGGTCCTCACCGCATCGGCTGCAAGAGCGAGGGTCTTAGTAAGGGTCAGATCACTGACGGCGGTTCCTTCGCGGCGAAGGGCGTCATTAATGGAGGCGATGCATTGACCTTTGTACTTCAAGGCCAAGGTAGAGAAAGATTCATCATGGTGCACGTTGGCCAGGCTTTGGCATGCAGCGAGGAGGAGGGTTGAAAGCATGCCGGCGTCGGCGGCGGCTGTTTGGACGAGGTAAGACGTCATGCCCTGAGAAAAGGAGGCTTTCTCGGAGGCATTGTCGAAAGGCATGCAAGTGATCACTAAGTCTAATGCAGAGTTGAGGACTGGGTGGATTGTAAGTCTTGGAATGGACTTTGATTGGGGGAAATACTAGGCAAGAGACTGAGTTTGGATAGGGGAAGAGAAGAAGAGAACTCACAGTGATCAAGCAGATGATATTCGAGACGGCTCAGCGGGCGAGTGAAACTATTGAAAGGATCGATCCTTATAGTACTTAGACCCGTTACCACTAGGCTAGGGTCTGCTGTCGTAGCACCCGTTCGAGGGATGCGGGTAGTCCTACGCTGCCGGGATAGCGACGAAGTAGGAACGGCGGCTTTCTTCTGAGCTGCCTCCTTGGCCAACTTCTCCTGATGCTCGACTACGTTCCTCTTGCGCCGGCGGGGATTCCTTGCCGCGTGCGAGCGAACTAGCGTCTTGAACTCCGCGGCATCCGCAGGATTCGATAAATGGACAAACTGGAGACCTCCCCGAGCACGAGAAGGAGGCTTTGGCCTTTCATCGGCGATGGTCATGCCGGCGTTTCTTTAGCATTTGCCTAAAGGAGGTTCGAGGGGTTGAACTTGGAAACCTGGTGCCCTACAAAGTACGTGGGGGGATGATGGGGAGAATGAACTAGGAGGAAAACATAGACACCGCGTCACCATCAGAATATTGATTTCTTCTTATTAGAAAGGACACCTTCGTACTGTTTATTAGGAAGAGTTGGAGCGGAGGGGACGAAGAATTATAAAGCGACCCTGGAACTGACGGGGTATGCCGGTCCAAACTCGCCGTGTCCCGTCGGAGCCTGATGGATCAATTGATCCTTCTCGAGAGATGCCAAGAGTTGCATTTCCCCAATTCGGTATGGGGTGGCCGAGTTCTTGGGAGCTCTCGGCCTAACCAACCCCGACTCCTCCGAGTGATGGCTTGCAAAGAACACAGCTCCTTGCCTGCTTGTCCTATCGTCGGGCACGATCGTAATTTACAGCAAGCGGGAAGAGGAAAAAAAAATAAGAACGTCTTAGAGATAGCAAATTCCTATTTTAGAAGGACCTCCGGCAAGTTTCAAGCGGATTTGAAACGTTGGCGAGTAGACACACGAAATACTACGAGGTTCAGAAGTGATGTGCATCGTCACTCAGGGTATAAACGCCGCTCACGACCGTCACCAAACTGAACCCTCAACATGCATCAGAACCCCTCAGCTGTCTCACCCTACTCCTAAGCTCGCATGCCTAATGCCAACTACCTTGTCTTCAATAATTCCGATGTCCCCATAGCTAATATTTACGCTTGAGATCCTAAGTTTGCACCCGTGATGCTTCGCTCGAGGCTCGACAAGGCTCGGCAGGACGCTCGAATAAAAAGCTGGGACCCGAACACTCAAATACCGGATCTGAAGGGCAAGGTTTTCGTGATCACGGGTGGCAGGTAAATTGATTGTCTCCCGATGGACTGTTATGCTCGATCGCACTCCCAAGACACACTGCTGACTCGCTTCCAAAGTGGTGGCCTAGGTTTGGAAACGGCGAACAACCTCGCACGAAAAGGCGGCAAGGTCTACTTCACGGCGAGGTCGAAGGAAAAGGCAGAGCGCGCCAAGGAGTACGTTCGATCCAAGAGTCCGGATGTGGCCGAGGACCAGCTCGTCTGGATCTATCTTGACCTCGGAGATGTGGTTAGCATCTTGCGTGCCGTTGACGAGATCAAAGCTAGCACGCAGAGAATAGACGTCTTGAGTAAGGGGCTCTGGGTGTTGTGAACCTCGGTTTTGTGGAGTCGCTTACATGGTTCTTCAAGTCAACAATGCAGCTACCCTTAAGGATATAGGGAAGATGACGGATGCCGGGTGGGAATTGGGCATGGCGGTTTGGTATGTTTCCGTTCCCACCTCCCATGCCCCCGGCCAAAATCGCTAACCACAGTATCTATGTCGTAGTCATTTCGGTCACTTCATATTTACCAACGGCCTCCTTCCAGTCCTAAAGAAGACGGCCGCTCAAGACGACAGCGATGTAAGGATCATTACCATGTCATCCGAGGCCGCAAACGTTTACCTACCTGAAAACTACGAGTTCGACTTCACCTCACCATCTTTCGTCTCCGGCGTGCTGCCCTACGAGCCATGGACATGGCGATGGTTCCAAAAGCCACTCTTCGATGTTAATATGGTCCTCTATGCCCTGTCCAAGCTGGCCAACGCCCTCTTCGCCCAAGAACTCCAGCGTCACCTTGACGAGCAAGGCGTCCCCATCCGATCGCTGTCTCTGCATCCGGGCGAGGCTGGAACCGATGGGAGCCTATCCATCTTTGCGGGACCGTTCAAGTCTCTGCTGCGTCAAGTGATGCTTACGAGTGACCAAGGCTCGTATCACACGCTGTTTGCGGCGACGGCTGGCGAGATCCGGGAGAGGGCCGAGAAGTATAAGGGGAGGTATATGGTGCCGATGGGGGAGGTGAAGGCCGTGCATCCTGTGGCGGAGGACGAGGAGCAAGCTCGGAAACTGTGGGAGACTACTGCAGCGGAGGTGGATAGATATCTTGCTGAAATTGGACATGGCGCTTTACCTGAGTGGTGAAATATTGAGGTTTCTCGCTTCAAGATTCCGAGGGCGTGCCCGGTGTTTTATTCAACTGGGTTGGGTCAGGCACTGATACTGGAAGGTTTAATGATATTATACCAGAAATATTGTACCGCTGGATACCCCTACGAAGTAATGTTGGGACAGGTCGTCTGGAAACGTCAACAGACTAGAGTCTTGTGAAAGCGGCACGCCCATCAACCAAATCAATCAAATCTCAGGTAATACCCGGGACGCCCACCAAAATGGGATTATTCAGTGAGAGGAACCGTTTCGTGGCGTCAAAACCCACCTAAAATCTAACATATTGCTACTTTTATAGGGATGAGGGATTGGGTCTAGCTTGTTCATTGGCCAGCACTGTAAGTTGTATAGAGAGATTCAGCGGGGTTTCTGCCATCAAAGGCAGGATGGCCGAGCGGTCTAAGGCGCTGCATTCAAGAAAATCTTCTTTCCAGGGAAAATTTGGATACCTGCAGTTTCGAAAGAAGCGTGGGTTCGAATCCCACTCCTGTCATTTATTTTTTTTCTCTACTTTTTCGTTCGCTATTATTTTTTCTCATCCCTCTCCTTCCACGAATACTGCCCAACCTTGGACCTACGCTCCAACTCATCAAATTAGAGCCATCCTATTTTTACTACATCCACTTATTTCCTATTCTCAGGGACGTATGCGGCGAGAAGTACTCCAGCATCCCCAAATACCATATCAAGCAACACGGGCATATATTATTACCCAGTTGCCTAACAATAAATATCAAGTCGTTTTTATTAGTAAAATTGTTCTTCTATTTAGAAGAAGAAGGCTTCTTCCTAGAAATAGTGTTCTCAAACTATCTACTATTTTAGTAGAGGTTTAGTAAAATCAACCAGGGTCAACCAGCTAATTAGAGCTTAGTTCCTATACCCCCCCTTAAACTAAGCTAAAGTAATTATCTATAAAAGGTAAAAGAAACTAAAAGTACAGATAGAAATAACAGCCTTTTCTATATAAAAGTATCCTATAAAACTAAGGCTAGGATCTTATTTTAATAATTAAATAAATAGGTTTAAATAAGTAAAATAAATATTTCCTTTTCTATTTAAAATCTAATATAATATTATTTTATTTTATCTTTTCTCTTTATCTTCTTTTTTAATATAAAACTTTATTATATTCTCTTTAGATATTATATTTAATTAATATAGAAAGTTTATATATTTATTTTTATTAAGTAGCTTTATTATCTTATTAATAAATATTTTTTTAATTTTAATATATTATAAATTAAATAGTTTTTATTTAATAATCTTTTTAATAATCTATTTAAATTTTACTTTTTTTTCTAGTAAAAGGAAAGGTAATTTAAAAGATAGTAATAGTAAAATATCTACTATAATATTTAATAATATTTCTATTATTATCTATTTTAATATTATAAACTTATTTTCTAAGTAAAACTTTTATATTAGATAGTTTCTTTATAAAAATCTATATCTATTAGTTTTCTAAAGCTTTTTTTTATCTTTCTATTATAGAAAACTATATTATTTTATAATCTAATCTTATAACTACTTCCTTATATAATTTAAAAATAGCTATATTAGATATAATTATATTTACTTTTAGAAAAACTAATAATAGATTTTTAAATATATAAAAAGTAAAGATATCTTCTTTAAAAATATAATTATTAAAAACTTATTTCTTCTAGATAAAGTAAATCCTCTTTTTTATTATAAGTCTATTAAATTTAAAGTTATTTATAATAATAATATTAATATATTTTAGTATAGTATATTAAATTAGTTTAGATATTATTTTTAATATTAATTATTATAGTTAAATATTATTATAGTATTTTTAAACTTATTTATATTTAAAAGTTTAAATTAAAAAGATTATTAATTATATTTATTAAGAAATTAATTTTATTATTAAATTTTTTATTAATTTTATTATTTCTATTTAAATTTAAATAATTTAATTATAAAAGATTATATTAGCTTTACTTATCTATTTTATTTTTTTTAAAGCTTCTTTAGAAAAAGGAGATATAATTTTATAAAATTTTATATCCCTTATTTAAAAAACTTTAGCTAATTCTAATATCTAAATACTATAGATATAACTATATAGACTATTATAGCTTATAAAATATCCTTTTATTATATAAAAAGCTATTTTATTTACTTTTTTAAATTAATAAGTTCCCTTTTTATAAATATAGATAATATATTTAAAAGTTCTTAAATATTAAAGAAATAGCTATCTTTCCTTTTTAGGAAAATTAAGATAAATTACTAGTTTCTTATATAAGCTAATAAATCACTTATTAATAGATATAGAAAGTAAATTAAAGATTATTATTATTATTTTTAGAATATAAATAAATAGTTTTTTAGATATCTTAAAATAGATTATTAATATTTATATTATTTTAATTAAGATTTTTTCTTATTATTTTATAATATTATTTTAAGTAAAAGTATTAGGAAATATAATATAAAAAGCTATATCTTTTTTATTTAGAATATTTTCTATTAGTAAATTAGAAATCTCTCTTTTTTTATCTATATAGATATTTAATATTTTAAAATTTATTTAGGTTTTCTAAAATATTATAAAATCTATTATAGCTTTTATTATTATCTTAACTACTTTATTTTTAATATTATAAAGCTACTAATATATAATCTTTTTTTTAAAGATATAGATAATATAGTAAAACTTTAATATTAAAAATAGCTTAACTTTTACTAAGTTTATATAGAAATCTTTAAATTCTTTAGGTTTAAAAAGTTTTATTTAATTAACTATTTTAGTAAACTTAGCTAAGTAATATACTTTATAATAAAAGAAATCTATATCTTCTTAATTAAATTTAATACCTATAGCTTTATAAGCTTTTAAGATTTTAGACTTTTTAGTATAGCTAAGATATTTATATATTAGTTTATATAGTATATTCTTAATTTTAGTTTTAATTTTAATTTTATTTAATATTAAAAATAAAAAAATAAATATTAGTTTATTATCTTTTTTTTAATTATCTTAATTATTTATTTTTTTATAATCTAGTTAATTATTAATATTATTATTATCTTTATTAAATTAATTATTATTATTTTCTTTAACTTTAATAAACTAGATAGCTATAACTAACTTTCTTTTATTAAAGTTTATAATAATATCTAAGTACTTTAGCTTATTTTTTTAGATAATTTTATTAAAAGTTTTAAATATATTAATACTAATAATTAACTTAATATATTAATTATATTTAAAATTATAATCTTTATAGTAATCTATATTTACTATATTAGCTAGGGAATTAGGAATATACTAGATATTATTAATTATCTATAAAACTATTTTTATCTTATTATTTATATTATAGATATTAAATTATATTATACCTATATTTATTAATATAGCTATTTTATTAATATTTATTATATAAATAGTTTTTATTTTTCTAATAGTAAATTTAATAAACTATTTTTAATTATTAAAAGCTATTTCCTATAATCTTAAATTAGTAATTATATTATTTTTTATAATATTAGATATAGTACTTACTTTAATATTTATTAAGCTAATAAAAGAAATAATAATAAAGTTAGAGTTTATAGATATAATAGTTAATATTATAGCTAATATTATTTTTTTTTTTAAAATTATTTATCTTCTAATTTTAATTTTATTATTTTTAAATAGCTTTTCCTTTAATTATTTTCTATTATTTTTTTATTTTCTTTTTAAGAGAGTCTAATTACTATTATTATAATAAAATCTTTTCTAAAAAGAATATATAATATATATTTCCTAAGTAGATTTATTTATAATATTTATAAAAGTAAGAATTAGAATAAGAAGTTAAATTATTTTTTTTACTAGATAATACCTTATTTTATAAAAGCTTAGATTAGTTAGCTTTTAAATTAGTTATTATAATATTAAAAGATTAAGTATTTTCTCTACTCTTAATAATTTATATACTTATAAGGACTTCTATAAATATTAGTTTATCTTTAGTAATATATTTCTTAAAAAGTTTATTATTAAAGCCTTTTATAATATTAAATAAAGTTAATATAATATAATAATTAAAGAAAGTTTTTTTTATTATAAGATAATTTTTTAGAAAATAAAAATATTTTAATATTTTACTTATAAATATATATATAATCCTTTATATAGAAGTTAACTTAATAAAGATATCTATTATCTACTTAATATTTAATTAGCTAATTATAAACTAAATTATCTACTAAAGTAAATATAAGTCTTTATAATCTAGTTAAAAGTTAGTATTTTTAATAATATCTATTATTATATTAGATAGAGAATTTTAGATAATATTATATATATATACTTTTTTAATATTTTAAAAATTAATTTAATTATTAACTTTTAATATTAATATATTTTCTTTAATATATCTTAAAAGTTTTATATTTTTTAAATAGATATAGATTAATAACTTCTATTTTTTATAGTTAGTTTCTTCTTTTAATAATTTAATATTTAAGATAATTATATTTTAATAATAGTAAAGTAAAAAAAGTATTTTAAAAGAAATTAATTTATTATAGGTTTCCTATTATATTAAGATTATTTTTTATAATAATATAAGAAAAGTAAATCTAGCTATTAAAATAATTTCTAATTATATTATTTATATATTTATTTTTTAATAAAGTTTAATAGTTTTCTTAAAATTTAAGAAAATTTAAAATTAAATATCTAAGTTTACTATTATCTTTTAAATTATTTATAGTTAGCTTTAGATATTTAATATCTTTATATTTTATCTAATTATATATTCTTTTAGATTATTAGATATCTTTTATAACTTATAATAAAATTTATTTAATATAGCTAAATTATTAATAAAAGCTAATTTTTTATTATTTTCTTCTTTATTTTATCTTAATAGTTTTAAAAATATTAAAGTATTTATTAGTTATTTACTATTTAAAATAATTATTAGTAATTTAGTAAATAAAATTATTATTATAGTTTTTAGTTTTTCTATTTATTTTTATTTTATTTTATCTATTATTTATTTTAATATATCTTTTAGTATATTTTTTAATATAGTCTTCTTACTTTTATTTACTATTTTAATAAACTAAAAAATAAAAAATAAGTTTAAGATAGAAGTAAAAAAGTTTTTTTCTTTAAGGAAGCTTTTTAGCTCCTAATTCTTTTTTTTAAAGGAAGCTTTCTAGCTTTTTTTTTAATACCTTTTTAAAAAAGCTTTCTAATATCTTTTTTAATATTTTTTTAAATCTTCCTAGCTTTCTTAAGATAGAAAAAGGGAGCTTATTAGCTTTAGCTCTTTTAGCTTTTTCTTAGGATTGGGAAGATACCTATTAACCCTTCTATATTCTTTTCTTAACTAAAAAGAATATAAAATATACCTTCTAGTATTAGAATTGAATTGGAGAACGATATCTTTCTATCTTCTTTAAAAGTATAATGATTTCTTCTAGCTAGTAGGGGTAGAGTAGCTTAGATTATAACCTATTAGTAAAATTATTTTTCTATTTGGAAGAAGAAGGCTTCTTCCTAGGAATAGTATTCCTAAACTATCTACTGTTTCAGTAGAGGTTCAGTAGAATCAACCAGGGTCAACCAGCTAATCAGAGCTTGGTTCCCACAGTTTTAGATCGGGGAATAAGCCGTTCTCGGTTTCCTTCGCCAGCTTCGCCAAGTCCGGAAAGAGGCAATATAGGTCGGCTCCTTTGAGGATTACTTTTGCAATTGATACTGGAAGGAGAGTGTGAAACAAAGGGCGGCCCATCTCTTACTCCACATCTCCACCAAGAAAGCATGTTTGATCAATGACAAGCGTTCTGAGGGCTGTGAAGCTCTTCAAGCTGGTTATCATATCATAGCGCTCGAGCTCTTTGATGCCTTCCCAATTACCTACCTGTATTTCCAGATATTCCAAGGTCTTGTTGCAATGTTCCAGCCCACGGGATATTCCCCCTGGAGGCACCACACGAGGCCTGTAGTAAAGCCTTTCATCGGGTCCTTGAGGCTGGATATATTCGAAGGTAAAGGCCTTGAGTTGCTTGCACGAGGACGCCAGGTCTCTCAGCATTCCGGAGCTAAGTGTGCACATTGGCAATGTGAGTACCTTCAAATTTGATAGATTCAATCTTCTCGGACATGAATAGCACATATAAGCTTCCAGATACTCGAGATTCGGCGCTTTCTTAAGGACGCCAGCGACCGCTTCCAAGTTGAAGCCGGCGGTCTCGCCCCGATGCGTTACCCGATGCGCTAAGTGCAATGACTTCAAGGATTGTAGGCTCGATGACGGAAGCATGAATTTGCCGTACGAGGTGGTACGCGAGAGCTGTAAGGAAAGCTGCTGCAGGTTGACAGCCGAGCTGAGAAACATATCGACCAGAAATCCATGCCGAAAGCCCTCCTGGAACGAGCCATCACCAAAATCAACATCCCGATCGCGGACAGGCCTCCGGACTGGCTGCGGGGTCTTCCAACCCTTAGGAAGCCAGACTCCCAGATGCTCAACCAGCTTGTTGATAGAAGCCATGTCGTCTACTCCAACCCTGAATATGTTGAAAGTGGCCTGTCTAACGGACGTGCCGAGGACGGGGAACTGCATGAGAGTGCGCATAAAATTGAAAAAAGGCCGCTGATGGGTCATTGAAAAGAACGCATGGTATAGAAATGGTGTTGCAAGAGTATTGAGTCGGCGTGATGTTCGGCACAAGTTGGCCAACGCTGCGACGTGAATTCGAATCCGCTCGTGCTTCTCGGTTACGTTATGAAGAGGACGACGTAATTTAGATGGCGCTGTGGTATGAAGTCGAGCTCGCTTGTGCTTCTGGGTTGTCCCTTCAAAAGCACCATCGCAGGAAACATCCAGGAATTCCTGGCAGTGTAAACAAAGCAGCGCACAGACTTCGTGGAGGACCTCATTCGGGAGGTCAAGCAAGCTTCTGCCGGTCATCGCCGGAGGCGGGGACGGTTCCTGGGGCTCCAGGTGTTGGTGTTGGGACATGGCTGGCTTCTGAGAGTTGGGATCAAACTGGAGCAGGTTTATATGATGGCAACTTGAGTAGAGCACCTTGGAGAGTGTGATAGAAGCAAACTGTGTGGTGTTGAAATGGGATAGGCATCAAAGATCGAAGAGACGATTGCCATCTTTCCAGTTCTGGAGGAGCCAAGGTGCTCTTATACCGCGCCTTTGCTTAAGGCAACAGCAATGACAATGAAGCATGCCATCTTGCGGAGTGAAGTGCAGACCAGAAAGAAGTCTTTAGCTCGTCGAAATACAGTTTAATGTTCAGTATTCCTTTCATTGTTAGTTCTGTTCCTTGGAAACCGGGACCCGATACCGTCTGGTGTCTATTATTCTCTTTGGTGAAGTGCTGGTCTTCTAACTCCGCCTTGTAGCCCCTTTTCGGTTCCTATTCCATTGGGGGCTTCTACCGTATGTTCCCAGCTTTGTTTGCAGTTCTTACAGAAGCCTTTGCAGTGGCTACCTGGGGGGATTGGTTAACACTATTGGCTAGGCCTCCAGTTCAAAGTTGTTTCGTTCCTTGATGCGTGATGCTGCGGACAAAGGTTGCACCACCAATCCGTCTCGCCTCTACTCCAATTAGTAAGGCAGCATAGTAAAGCCACTCGGTGGTGAACCTCGCACCAAGGTGAGCAACAGTCCGAACCCCCGCGATTCCTGTTATACTTTGCGAGCCGAGCCTCAACTTCCAAGCCAATGCGGTCCTTTTGGGCGCCATAGGAGCTCTCCAAGATGGCAGGTTGTTTGCTGACGATGAAATAGGACTACGGAGCTTTCCACTGATGAATCTCGTTTCCTAAAGTTAGTCAGGCGTCATCCGTGAAGCCCGAACTCTCCAAAAGAGGCGAATCCCGACTGACGAAAATGGCTCCGCTCGAGCAAGTTGAAGAAGACAATATCTCCGTCAGCGTCTTGCAGGAGCTATTAAAGACCCCATACGCTTGCTCCTCGCTAACCCAACTCACTGGTGGGACTGCCAACTTTGTCTATCGTGGCACCTTAACTCGACCCTTGCCTGCTCAAAATGGATCCACAGCCAAGAGTGTCATTATCAAGCACTCGGCCGACTTCGTGGCCGTCAACCGGGACTTCCCACTCGATGTCACTCGTTGTGTAATTTATGACCCTCACCTCGTCCTCTCTCTCCCTGGGACTTGAGTGGAGGTGCTGACCTATCTGTATTCCCTGGAAGACATTTGAAGCGTCCATGCTTGACGCTGTGGCTTGCTATTCGCCTCCCAACATCACTGCCGTCGTAATTAAGACACCTCGTCTTTACCTATTCAATCGACGGACAAACACGCAGGTTCTCGAAGACTTCCCCGATAGCGGTGATCTAAAATCCGTCTTCTTCTTGCCCAATGTTGGCAGTCTTCTTCCCGGTTCCAGCGCGACGACCATCGGCCACCACTTGGGGTCCTGGCTTCGGTCCTTCCATGCGTGGGCTTCGGCACCGAAGCAGGCTAGAATGCGAGCCTCGATTGGGCAGAACCGCCCGATGCGAGAACTGAAGCGCATGGTAACCTACGGTAGCTTTCTCACGGTCCTGGAAAACTTTTCCGAACTGTTGGTGGGCTGCAAGGAGACGCTGGAAATCGTCCGTGATGTCATGTCAAAGGAGTTCGAGAAGCCGCCGGTTTATGAGGACGAGGACTGGGGAATTATACACGGGGATTACTGGTCTGGGAAGTAAGTCCTGTCCCTTATTCTGCAATCATCAAGCTGGACGGGTCCTCATGGATGACTTTTGATAAACAGCGTCCTACTTCCGAAAACTCCATGGCAAGAGCCCGGCGCCGGAACCAACAAGCTCTTCATCATCGACTGGGAATTAGCTCAGTATGGCCATAGAGCCTACGATCTCGGCCAAATGATCGGCGACCTTTACGAGCGGAAAATATTCAGAGATATCGACATCGTCATGCCCGTCATGCAGGGCGTCATGGAAGGTTACGGCGAGCTGAGCGACGATACGGCGTTTCGGACTGCTATCCACGCAGGCGTTCAATTGATCGGCTGGTATAATAGGCGGCCCCCAACGGGTCCTCTGATGGCACCGGCGGAAGTGGTCGTGGCCGGGTTGACGGTCGGAAGGGACCTCATTCTGAAGGGATGGGAGAAAGACAGGAAGTTCTTCGAGAGAAGTGTGTTGGCATCTTTGTTTGCCGCAAAGTAGACCAAAGATGGAGTTGGGAGGGTGATGGCTGTTTCACCAACCAAGGCGAGAGTGGGAGAGCCCACTCGGGGCTACCTTGGAGCGGAGCTAAGGGTTATGAAAGGGGAGAACAAAGGCCGATGGATCGATCCATTGCATGCATTCAATGTTTCTCGTTTCTTGCTTCGTAAAGTTTACATCATAGATGCACCCGAGGTCTCAGACAGAGAATCAATTCGTACACAGTAAAAGGCTACGAAGTACTTCGTAGAGCGAGAGCAAGACGTCCGGGAGATGACAGGACGGCAAATGAAGATCATTTTTGAGTATCATTCTTCGTCCCCTGTCCCTGTTCATAGATGGTTCCCGGATGCCGGGATGAATATGTCTATATGGTGCATGGTATATAATCCATGTTTGAAGCAGTTCCGACCAGCGGTGGTGAGGCAAGGGCAGTCCCATCCCCATCAGGATGACAAAGCCAAGCCATTCTTGAGGCATGAAAATGGTCAATCGTGATCTCGGTGTGTCCCGCACGAAGGCCAGGGATATTGAATGGAACCAGCGTGACCGTCACTCGTCACTCTTCGCAATTCTGTCAATGCTAGCATCAGGGGACAACTGATTGATGGTGTTGTCCGGTATCGCCTAGGAGATGACGACTTTATCAATATTTCTTTCGTTCTCCATTTCCCACTTCCTCTTCTGCTAATACTGTTAATACTGTTAATACCCTACGGCCCCTTGCTTCGTCCTCTCCCTCGTCGTGCCGCTTCTGAGGATGGCAATCCCTGGACACAATTTGCGTCAATAGATCCCTGTCTATCCGGCATGCACTATCCAGTTATCTCCGATTCTACTACGAAGTACTTCGTAGACGTAATAATACGAAGTACGTATTTCGTACTACTTCGTAAATTCCTGTGCTGTGTGAAGTACGCCAGGCCGAAGCTGGCAAGGATCGATCCGTTCGGGGCGCAGCGCAAGCAGGTCCAGACTCCAGAGCTCTGATCAATCGATGTCACAGCGTCAGTCAGACCGGGCTTCAGAAGTTCAGGGGTCTGCGATGACCTCGTCCTCAATTTGATCCAATGGCTGACTCAACCTCAAGCAAGGGGCACGTAATCTTTTCTGTACGGAATACATCGTACTTCGTACTTCGTTACCTTGAACTGGATTGATTCCTTCCTCTCTTGCCTTTGACGCGATCGTGAGCTTCAACCTCTTCTCCTCAGGTGTGAGGTGAACTACGATTGTGAACTATTTCCTGCTCTACGATGCAGGCGCCGATATATCCGGTCCAGAAGTGAGCCGCCTCTCACGACACTCTTTTCGTCTTCATCTTCATCTTCGTCTTAGATCCTTCGCTTCATTTATTTCCGCCCCCAATCTCACTACTTTCGTCCATCCTTCGCGGCAGTGCTGGTACTTCGTACGTATGTGGACAAGTGGTGATTGCCACTATTCGGAGCACCTCTGCTTCTGATGGAATAGGTTATACGGGCTCCTTGGCACTTTCGCATCTCCTATTAGCCTGATCTGTGTCGTCTTCCCGCCATCAATATCTCTTTCTTCGGATCGTCACCTGGGATCCCTTTTCGGCTCGCCGTGTCTTATTATCTCTTTCTATATATCCTCAATCCAACATCATATTTGGGCTCGCGGAACCAAACTGCGATAGCGAACAAGGGAGCAGGAAGAAAGGAAGGAAATAATATCGACTGACCGTTTTAGCCCCCATCGTCAAGATTGAAGATAATTTTCGCTCTTTCCCCTCCAAAAAAAGAACAACATCCTCGTCGGAACACAAGAATCCTGCAAACGACTACGAAGGAGGATTTAGAATTTCCCGACGCCTTCGGACACAGCCAGCTTCATAAGTTTCAACCCCGAGAGTTTGTGACGAACAACACCGTCTCGAGCCAATTCCGCTTCCTCAAAGAGGCTTTGAACGGCTTCCCAGCGTCCAATAGGGACCAGACCCAGCTCATTTGCACGCTGTGACATCCCCGCATCACGTCTCTAATAGTGTGCGTCTAAGTACGTCCACGAGCGAGTGACACTGCCAAGCGCCAAGTGCGCAGCATCAATTAGCGCACGCTATCTCCTGCTTCGTGCCGAAGCTCAGACTCAGCCCTCCAGCCACCTCCAAGTCGCCGCCCCTTGCTCCTGAATCTGGCATATGCTTGCCAAATATATTTTTTGGGTCGTCAGCCAAAAGGGAATCAAAAGCCATTGGTCATAATCCTACAGAATTGCTGCAGAATACGCAAGGTCTCCCGGTCCTTACTCGCCTCGTTCCGCTCTTTGTTCCTGTGCCTGGAACAGTCTTCATCCAACCTTGATTTTCTCCCCTCCACTTTTTTTTTTTTTCTTTGGTCCCTCAAATACTCCTTTCTTTCATTCGACCAAATCTCCTCGATTAAACAATCTAGAGCGTCCACTTAGCGTCACCTGCCTCTCTTCTCTACATCGTCACGTTACGAAATAGACACGAAGAAATAATCCTCCTTTCAACCGACAAACCCGCTCGACAACCAGGCACTACACCTCCTTGCCGCTTAGAGAAGATCTTCATAGACGTCGATCATACACATTGGTTGGGATCCCGCCTTACGAAGTACTGGAGGCATGGGCATGTGTGCTCAGTAGTGTTCTACTCGTCTCCACCCCATCCCCCGAATTTCCTCTCGACTCCTCCTGTACGCCAGAAAATCGTTCGCTCGCTAAACCCGATTTCCACCCATCTCTACCCTCCCTCCTTCTCCTAGCTGTCGGCCGATTTTCCTTCCATCCCAACTTCTCACCTCTTCGTCGGCCTCTTCTCTCGTCTCTCTCCTTCTCTGCACCCCTCGATTACATCTTCAGCACCGGGGAAGGGGAGACGGGCAGTGAAGATGCCATCCATTGACGTTGCAATGGTGAGGAGCCTGCGAGGCGGGCTCTGGGGAGCGTTTGCCGAGAGTTTATCGGCGACTGTAGAGAGGCGAGATGCTTTTACAGACATCACCAACCAGGCCAGCGATGTAAAGACAGCATTCTCCAGTTGGGACAACTGCATGCAAGCCAGTTTTTGCAAGTAAGACATTTTTTCGCAGCCCTTCAAAGGCGCCTCCCCAATTAAGCTTCGCGAGATGGCTCCTCTGTCTCAGTTCGGACGTGCCTGCTAATCTACCTAACCTTATCTGCAGATGGCCCGTTATCGCTATTATTATTATCGGTGGTCTCATCATATTTTCCGTCGTCTGGTGTATTATTCGATGCGCCTGCTGCGGTCTTTCGTGCTGTTGCGAGTGCTGCTACTGCCTTAAATGTTGTGGCAATTGTCTAGGATGCTGTGACCCGCCAAGGGGTCGCGCCCACAAGTACCTTGATAACGAGACACTACCGCCAACCCACGGCTACCGACCAGAGCCTCCTATGAAACCTCCCGTATTCTCGCCCGTGCGGTCGACTGCCCCGGGCCCCGTTTACGAACCTCCTCAGTATGCCGAATTCGACGTGAGCAAGAAGGGTGGAGATGATGCCCTCCCCTCTATGCCGACGTGGGGAGATGCTGGATCCAAGAAGGTCGCCGTCGAGGAAGATGGCGTAGAGATGAACAGACTTAACCCGGCTGCAACCGGCCAGACCGTCGCGTCCGCGTCCGCCGCCGCCGCCGCTTCTGCGGCAGCCGTCGCAGCGGCGGCAGGTCAACCGAGCCCTAGCATGTCTGGTGGTAACCGAAGCCCCTACCGCCAACCCTCGCCTGTCGCAGCGAGCGGTTACGCAGGCCAAGCCGTTGGCTATGCGAATCAACCTCAAGGCCAGAACTACAACAATGGTTATGGCCAACCTTCCTCGCCTTACGGTGCCGATCCTTACGCCGCTGGTGCCATGGCTCCCGCCCCTCGGATGGCTTCTCCTCACCAGGATTACAATAACAACAATGGCAACGGCTACAACCAATATGGCAATGCGCAAGGCTACGGTGCCGGCAGCCAGGGTTACGACAACGGCTATTCTTCTCAAGGCTATGGAGGAGACTATTCGCAAACTCCTCAAGTCGCTCAGGCTTACGGCATGGACCCGAGACGACCTTCTCCTGCATCGGCGGCCTACGGCGCTGATCCCATGAGGCCCTCTCCCACTCCCCAGGCAGATTACGGTTACGGCCAGCAGCAGCAATATGGTGCTGGCGCTGGATATAGGCAGCCCCAGGCACAACAATCCGCCGGCCTCCAGAACTCTGGTGGTTTCGACTTCAACTCCGGATATAGCCGGCCGCACGATCCCTACAACGACTACGGACACGCCAACGAGCCTCAAGAACTACCTGCCAGTAACGGTTATGCGGCATACTCGCCTCGCACCGCCCAGCGTCCTAATGGTGGCTACTAAAGAAAGTAGCGTACGTGCGCAGCGTGCTCGGGACTTACCTGACCTCCTGAACCGTATTATTCTCGCCCGCGGGTTTCATTTCCAATTTACGCATCGCCACGGCTAGAAGGTGTTATTTTGTCGTTGTGTCCTTTTTTTTTCTCTTAAAAACAGCAACTTAGACGAGCCGTCTGCATTTACTCACGTCCTTATTTTTTTTTTCTTTCTTTCTTGGGAGTCACGCATGCTTCAGGCACGGTAGAAAAACGGAGTTTTGTGGTATTTTGGGAGTAATTTTCATTTCGAACATGACCAGAGGGGGCAGGTGCGAATGACATGGCGTTGTACGTCGTCTGTGGCTTGTTTTTGGAAAGATGATCGATTCGGTGTTTCGACTGACTCGTTCGATCGATCGTTTTCTTTTCTTTTTTTTTTTTTTTCCTTTTCTATTTGATTGGAAGGAGGCTGAAATTTTGAATATTGCCCGCCGTCGAGGGTCCTTCTCCTCAGCTTCATCCTCCAGTATTCTTACGAATCTTCGTTAACCACGGCCCACGAACGGGCAAGGGCCCGTCAGTCAGATCGCGGGAGCGGAGGAAAAGGTGCCGGCGAGGAGAGAACTTGTTTGGATTCGGATTCTGATGTGTTGTTTGGGTGGTACCGTGTACTTGTACGGAGCGGGAGTGTTTGCAGAACTTGTACTGGATGAGATAACTTGGAAGATATTTTGTCTGTCTGGGAGCGGAGAAAACGAAAATGGGCGGGCTTATAGCGAAGGGACAGAATAATACCACTTTCATGACAACTCGGAAAACAATGAAACAGCCGAATCTTGTTCTAGGCATCAGTCTCTACGAAGTCTCTGGCGGCCTCTGATAATTGCAGATCGGATGGATATTTGTATTCAAAAGCAGTATATGTATGAATGCCCGTCAAATGGAGCCCCCGACTCCAGCTACAACCCGCGAATCACCTGGCTAAAGAAAACAAAAATGAAGAACAACGCCCATTTCCCCGCTTCTGCTTTGCTATCCCAATAGAAATGTAAAAGACACCCAAGAAAGACAAAAATGTACCTAGTTGTTTTGCTCGTGCGATGCTGGACACCCCCTCCTGAATGGGGATGTACGAGGATGGTATATAAACGAAAGACTTTAGAAACACAGGTACGAGAATGGAAAAAGGCAGGGGGTCAAAAATAGTAATAGGAACGCAATAGAAACACGAGAAAAAGAAATTTGAAACTCTTTCCCCGTTGAACCCCGACGTGTGTCTTGCAAGTGTATGTTCCCAAAGAGGATGTCTGAGTAGAGAGTGTTGAGAGTAAAGGATGGATCAAAAAAGCGAATATAGGAAACTCGCGGTGAGTTCTGGCGCTTTTACAAATGGTACTCGGTTTACCGGGTCAGGACAGCAAGTTCCTACTCCTTAGGATAGAGACTCGTCGGCAGCAAGCTTCCGCGCTCACTCCCCCTGCTGGAGCCGCTGCCCCGCACCAGGGTTTCCCCGTCAGCCTCACCATCCGACTCGTAACTCGGCCGCGATCTAGACCTATGCATGCGCACGCCGTACGTATTATCATTTTCGGTACTGAGATCGTCGGAGCTAGTCTCGAAATTTTCCGCGTCGTAGAGGCCGGCCGACGAGCGGCGTCTCCTCTGATCATCGTTGTCGTCGTCGAGCTCCTCGCCGGGGACGCGCTCGTGCTCGCGGGGCGGCTGCAACTTGATAAACGAGTCGATGATGTAGTATTGCAGGGCGTTCATGATGAGGGGGAAGAGCATCATGACGAAGAAGATTTGCAGCTTCTCGTTGCCTTCGGTCCAGCCCAGGGCCCAGTCGCCGATGTGGGAGACCCAGGGGAAGAGGACGAAGATGACGAGGACGACGAGCTTCATGCCGAAGAGGCCGCAGAAGTAGAGGAGGGATTGCTTGAGCCACCATCGCCAGTTGGGTGGGGAGCCATAGTTGCCTGTCTGGATGGATTCGGGAGGCTGGCCGAAGGATGTGAGGGAGGCGAGGCCGGTGAATAGACGGAGGAGGTAGATTAGGATGGGGATGCCGAGTGTCGTCTATTTGGTGTGAAGCTAGACGTTAGCAGCCGTTGCATATCTTTAGATCTATGGTGCCTTTCGGAAGCAGCTAGGGGCAAGCGCGGGCGGGGGGGCCGGGAAAAGCAAAATGAGAACAAAGAACTTACGTCAATGCCCAGGTTCAGTAGGTAGGCGGAGCACGGGTTCGGACTATACCCGTCTCCATCCCTACGCAGCAGCATCCTCTCCATGGGTCCGATGCCAGGCTGTGGCGTCTGTAGAGTAAAGCGTCCCGACGTGAGCATGGACATGAAGACGTTGGCGATATGAACCAGCACGGAGCCAAACACCTGCTTCGAAACGTCGAAGAACCAAATCAACACGGGTCGCTGCGGTCGTTCCCTCCATCGCTTGTACACCAGGGACATCATGGCAAGGCCGCCGAGAGCTGCCTGCACAATGAGGGCAAAGGAGCCCAGGAGGCGGCACTCGCCGGTATAGTCATCGTCGTCGGTGTCGTCATCGTCACCCGCGATCGGGATACTCGTCGCGGTAGCTACTGCTACGGCGGCGGCGGTGGCTAGCAAGTTCGCGGTGGCGAGGGGGATCGATACGTCGGTTGGCGTGGGGTTCGCGACAGTCGTTAGCGCAAAGACTGCCTCTCTTGCGAGGTCGAGCACAACGGCGGGTCCTTGCTCAAGTGGTGGTGACATGGGAGGCTACCTGGACCGGGGATATTGGAGGGGAGGTAGACGGGCGACGGAGTGGTGGGATGAGGTGGTGGGAGCTACGACGTGTCGTGTTAAGGTTCGTTCTCCCAACCGACTCTCGAGTTGAGCGAGAGGGGCGAGCGTGCGAATCGTCACGCCCAATTCATCACTGATCGGAGTTTTTCTTGTTCTTCTTCTTCTGCCTCGTCGTCGGAGATTGTGACACGGCTGTGGGTGAGGAAGGGCTTGGCAAGGAACGTAGGGAGATTGGAAGCCGGGGAGTAAAACAATATGAGTCAATCAAAGTAACGGCGGGAAGAAGAACAAAGAAAAAAGAAAGTAGTCAAGAAATAAAATTGAGAAGAAGCAAAAAGGAAGAAGGAAAAAAGAGCCAAAAAAATCTTTCTTTTTTCCAATTTGACACGGGAAAGCGAGAGAGTGTAGGTTGTCGAGGATAGGTTGAGCCTCCTGACAATCTGTTACGCCTCGTGGATACGGGTTGTATTACTTTCGCTTCGTACTTGGAGCAAGGACAACCTGGACGTTGGCGGTACGGGGCAATTGCTCCAATTCAGTGCTTGGCTGCTTGGCTGCCTGGGATCATCGAGGCGGAGGGGCCGAACAGCGTCACGGTTTCGGTGTCTCACTCGTAGTTTAGGGCGAAGCGCAGGGGCTGTTTAGCTGCATGTGGTGTACAGTGGGTGCATCTGGCCGGAAAGTGTAAGAAATTACTGGGGCCTTTTGTAATTAGATTGCCTGTGCTGGCTAAGTAGAGCCACCGACGCCCCAAATTTACTTAGTCTCAGGGAACGGAGTGTGGACGATGAAGGTCATTATGACAATGATCAATGATACTTCGTTGCCGGTCTCGCGTCAAATCTTCTCTTTATCGCTAATTCACTTGTATTATACTTCATGGAGGTGTGATATCTGTCCTAAGCTAGATTACAAGATGCCCTACATCATTCGCCAAAGAGTCCATTCCCATCTGGTTCCTCCTCCACGTTGCTCTCATTGGCGGGAGTGACAGTGACCACTGACGGCACCGCAAGCCGATCGCATGGCTGAGGTTGAATGACCCTCCCCGGGGCCAAGTGACCTTTTTATGCCGAATTTGGGGCATTGCCTAGCGTATCGCCCAATCATCTTGGGATAGCTTGCCCATGCGCCATGCAGTCAGACCGGTGTCACTCATTCGCTTTGCGTCGCTTCGCAATGAACTCAAGGAATGCGTAACTGTAACTTCATTGAGCGCAGCCCGCTTGAGATGACCCATCAGCTGGAATCTGCTGTCAACTCCTCTCTTGACGGCTAGCTCTGGCAGAATATCGGGTGAACTAAGCTCATGTCCAAGTTGGACCATTTTATTACCTAAGCCAAAGCTCGTGTGGTCACTGTGACGAAAAAAAAAGTTGCCATGAGGGATGAAGCGAGAAGCGTATGATATATGTAAAGACGGATCAGACACTTCTATTGAGCTGTTTCCCACCGAACTAATTCGACGATCTAGAGAATATCCCAATTGAACTAATTTTCCAGACGGGCACTCTCTAGTCGGCCACCCAAAACACCACAATGTTCCGCTCGAGATTAAGGATACCGCGTGTCCCCGTCGTCGCGCGACCAGCCGTCCGAGTCCAGAGATCCCTCCATACCCTCCCCGAGCTCCCGCACTCCTTCAAAGATGGCGTACCAGGTCTCCTATCCGCGGAGGGCTTCGATATGGCATGGACGCAGTACCAGAGCCTAATGCTGGAGAAGCTCAACTCCCTTACTGCCGGTAAGCTCCACGGACCGTCTCGAACCACTTTTTCTCAGTTCTTTCCTTCCGGAATCTCTTGAACAGAACAGATTCGCACGCTCCGTTCTGCGCTCAATTGCAATCGCTCTAACGCAAAATCTAGGCACCGAACTCGAGCAAAAGGACACCTACTCGACCCTCGTCGCCACGGCCCGCGAGCCCTCCAAGGCCCCCATCTTCAACCACGCCTCCATGGCCCACAACAACCACTTCTTCTTCAAGAACCTTACCCCCAACCCGAACCCCATGCCCTCCGACCTCCGCCGCGACCTCGAGCGCTCCTTCAGCAGCATCGAGACCCTCCGCCGCGAATTCATCGCCACCGCCTCGGCAATGTTCGGCCCCGGCTTCGTCTGGCTCGTCCAGACCTCCCCGTCCGAGTTCTCCATCCTCCCCACCTACCTCGCCGGTTCCCCCTATCCCGCGGCTCACTGGCGTCGTCAAGACACCGATATGAACACCACGGGTCAGCACGGTACCGGCGGCCCTTGGCTTAAGAATACCCAGGTTAAGGGCATGCCGCAGAAGAAGGACGAGCTGCCCCCCGGCGGCGTTAAGCTCACCCCGCTCTTGTGCCTTAACACCTGGGAGCACGTCTGGCTTAGGGATTACGGCATCGGTGCTGGTGGTGTTGGCGGGAAGAAGGCTTTCGCCGAGGCTTGGTGGGAGGCTGTTGATTGGGAGGCTGTCGTTTACTCGACGAGGTTGACCAAGTCGGGTGAGGGTGGCACCGTTCCGGCGAAGGAGTCGCTTTTGAGGCCGAGGCCTGAGGAGACTGCTACCTACGGAAGGGAGGTCGAGCCTACCCCCGAGCTGATGGAGGAGCAGGGAAAGGAGCGTCCTGCTGATTCGTGAGCGTGTATTGTATTGTGTGTGAAAGGGAGGGGGGAAGAGTGTGCGCTTGCAGCTGTCTAGTCGGATAATTTGTTTCATACTTCATAGCTATAGCTCATGGGCCGTAAAGGGGTGTTACGATTCTGAGTGAGTGAAGAAGGAGGGTGTGGAGAGGAAAAGGGAGATCTCCATGGCACATTTGTACAATAGTATTGTTCTACTATCTAAGATCCATGTCAACAAAAAGGAAAGGGGGCAATCTAGACGTCTCTACATGCAAATAACTCCAATATCCAAAGACCGTTTGCTAGAATGTGGCGCCATAGTTGAGCAGAGCACGATTTTGATCAAGTCACCCCATGGAGAGCGATTGTATAACATATGCTATTCAAACTATATACTATGAGTATGCCGCCCATTATAATAAAAACGAATGGAGGGGATTGGTGTGTGTGTCCATGTGGTCATCTCAATATTATCTGTGATTCTTTTCCAAGTCGACATTTTTCATCAGTCTCCGGGGAGTATCCTGTCTTTTCAAACTCCCCTGCCAAGCCACAATCCCTGAACTTGCTGTGCCAAAAACGATAAATGAGTGAAAGAAAGAAAGAACAAACGAGACGAAAACACACAAGTGAAAACGGCCGCAAGCAAACCAAGGAAAAAACTTCTCAACTCTGCCCAGCTAATCCAGGCTGGGGCAAGAGTGGATCAGATGCGAGGAAATCGAGGCAAAAGTATGAAATCAAGCTTGAAAAGGTGAAGGGGAGAAGAAAGAAAAAGAAAATCCCAATTCGCCTGTTATGCTATAACACCAAGTCCATGCATCGTCCCAGTTAGGACAGAAAGGAAGAGTGAAGAGAGAGATGAGAAGACGAATGAATGGTGATAGCCGTGAGGAGGAAAAAAATGAACTGCCGAGGTCTTGCGCGAGCAATCCTTGGGAGGAGGTATAAGTTGCTATTGTAAACCGGTATTTTCTTTGCCCATGCAGTGATAAACGAAGACGAGAGAAATGGAAAGTATGCGCCGAGAAATGATGAATCGAAGAGCATCGACAAAGAAAAATGACCAGGAAGAGAGAGAGAGAGAGAAAATTGGGATAGAAGGGATATTCCAAGCACTAAGGCATTTAGATCATGCTTCCATTGACGCTGATCTGGAACCCTTCGCCCTTTTGCTTGAGAGCCTTGGCAAGCATGAGCTCGCGCATCCAGTCGATGCGCTCCTCGCGGTCCTTGACGGCAAAGTGATGGGTCTTACCAGTGCCGTTGACACCATCGGCAAGGTCGCCAGCCTGGACACTGTCTCGCTTCTTGAGCCTGCCAGGCTGCTTAGGCGGGGGCACAAGCTGGAAGGCGAATGCAGCGACGTCAGGCTTTCCACTCTTGCCCTGTCGGATGTGCATGGACTTGAGAGCGGCGCTGAGCTTGGACTGAGAAGCATAGCTCGAGCAGGCTATGGCATAGTCGTCAATATCAACGTACTCGAGGGTACGGTCAATATCCTGCGCATCCTTGTGCATGGCGAGCCTCGTGCCCTTGAGGGTAAAGTAGCCATCCTGCCACTCATGGCGGAGGAAGTGAGTCTTTCGCTTCTTCATCGGGCCCTGATAAGTGGTGCCGTCCAGGGTGGTGGACCGAACTGCATCCTTAACAGGTATGGCCTGAGACACGCTGGGGAAGGGAGGGATAGCGGTTTCAAAGGGCTTCGTGCGCTCAATCGGCGACCAAGGGTAGTTTACTCTCGGCGGCGCGCGAAGAGGCTGCTGATGTGTCCTGCGCGTTGGAGACGGAGTCTTGGATCCTTGTCGAAGAGGAGGAGGGGTAGCCCTGTTCTCATCGACGGCGGGCATGACAGGGAAGGAAGGTCGGCGAGTGGAAGCGCGAGACATGGCGCGAGCAGGAGCAGGAGCAGCAGCAGCAGGAGCTCGGTAGTTCATGTCCGGAGGTACAGACTGAGAGACATCTCGAGACAGAGGGTCAATTGGCACAGCCATGTAGGGAACATCCATCTCAGAGAATGGAGTCCCACGGCGGAGATTGGATACGGGGGAGACGAGATCCTGGGCAAGCGGCGAGGCCTTCGTCATAGTATAAGGAACGAAGCCTCCTCCCGAAGCAGGACGTGTCTCCTGCACCTGCGCCTGCACCTGATCAGGCGATTGACAGACGGGGATAATTGGTTGCGCAGTCGCTGCCGTCTGTGCCGTTTGTACATGGCGAAGTGCCGACTTCCCAGGAATAGAGAGCTTGGGAAGGTGGCGAAGGCCCTGGTGCGGCGCCTGGGTTTGAGGGAGAATCTCGAATGGAGGGGTCGGGGGAACCTCGCCAGCCGATTGCGAGCGCTGGAAGTTGAGGAATTGCCTGACATGGTCCGGCTGGTTCTGGGGTTCGGCGTCTTGGGCGCTTCGAAGGGTGGCCAGGCGAAGGTATTGCAGCGGGGGCAATTCGCCAGGGCCCATGACGTCTGACGATGCAACAACAGACGGTACGGCATCTGAGACTGGACGGAAGTCTCCAGGGTCCAGGCGTGTAGCCGTCTCCGGGTTGCCAGGGTCACCAGCAATGAGAACACCATTCTCGAGGGAGGCCAATGGATGCTCCTTCTTAAAGGCCTCGATCAGGCGCCTCTGCTTTCTGAACTTGGAGCACGCTTCGCCCTTGGAGCAATGATGGGGCTTGGGAATTACCTGCTCAATGCCGACAATGGATACGGACTCCATAGGAGTGATGATGTCGTCCATCTTGTTCTTCTTGACCCGTCGCCTCCTCGTAGATTGACGCCTGGGAAGCGTGTCGGCAGGTGTCTTGCAGACATCTCGGCTAGGGATGTCCTCAATCGGAGTGGGAGGAAGCGGTGATGTCGCCTTGCAGTCCCGGAGTACTTGGACCTGGTTCCAGATCTTAATGCGAACACCGAACGACTGGATCTGGAGCTCCTTGAGGTCCTCAAACTTGAGAGTCATGAGGATGGCACCGCTGATGTCATTGTCCACGAATGTCTGGGCCACGGAGTAATCTACACCGGCATTGAGCATTGACTGAGCGACCATTCGAGGCGTCCATGAGGCGAGGTCCTGGGTGTCAAGATGCTGGCTCGTAAAGCCCGCAGGTGTGGAATGGGCGGCCAGAATATTCGCTAGCTCCTTACTGGGAGAATAAAAGTCGGAGTCGTCGACGGACCGAAGGTAGTTATTGGACTCCTTTACGGTCGAAGGAGTAATGGGAGAAAGAGTCAAGACATGCTCGTCGCTGTAGGTGGTCGATAGAGAGTCGCGGAACAGGTGCGGACCGCGAGGGCCTTCAACTTGCCTCTCCTCCATCTCGACAAACACTTCGGGTATGCGGCCATGGCTCGATCGGGGTGTCGTCGCCTCATCGTAGGACGAAAGAGTTGTCTCGCTCCCCTGCCCAGTCTAGAGGAAGCCCCCAAAGGTTAGAAAGAAAGAAACCAGGTGCCACATGCTACGGCGCTGCTCCAGCCACTTACGGAACGTAAACTAGCTCGGGGAGAGTTATCCACGGGCTCCTCGAAATCACTGAGGATGTCATCCTCATCCCAGTCGGTATCGACGAATTCCGTAGCAACCGACGTTGGCCTCTTCTGAGGCTCGCGCTTCAAGCCGAAGAAGGTATCTCGGAGACTGCTGCGCTCCCTCATCTCCATCTGGGTGGCGCGTTGCTCCGTCATTGTAAGCTGGGGATATTCCTAGGTGCGCAGACCCACGTAAGCTATCAATCCCAAGTCTGCTAACTGCAGTCAAGCTGTCTTTCGTCGCGGGCCGTGTAAGCTGGATCTTACCATTTTGTGAGATGGCTTTCAGGTCACACCAAAGTCAATTGGCGACCTTGATGTGGAGTAGTCGGGTCCGTACAAATCTCCGCTGTGGTACCCCGCCTAGACTTCTCGGAGGGGAGGGCCGTTGCCGGCAACGGTCTTGGGGGTTGGGTTTATATAACTGTGAATTCGCAGGGGACGGATTGCAATGTCGAACGTGGCGTGGAAATATGCAAGGGAGCGAACAGCACACTGGATCTAAAGACAAGAAAGAGACGAGAGGAAAAAAACAACATCCACAGAGTCTACACCATGAAGCATCGGTGAGAAGAGAACTGAAGGGGTGGGGATGGGTGGGCGGGTGGCGCCCTCTTCTGGTTAAGTATTAGCGACTCTCTTTTTGTGCAAAGACGAGATCGTGGGCGGACCCCTGGATATCTGCAAGTTGTGGGTTTTTGTGATTCGGCTATGTATCACAGCGGATCGGCGGTAGGACTTTACAAGGTCGACCAAACCAAGGCCAGAACGGAAGAGGATGGCTAACGGAATCGGTACAACAATACGAAGCAAGGAAAGCCATAGACAATAGAGACTCGGGACGGGAGGAGGAGGGCGATTCCATGTGTGTCCACTGCCCACTGATTGATGCAAGGAGGTACTTCTGATTGAGTGTAATCTGCGCTTGAGAGGGGGGTAACTCATGCACATTGCAACGCTACTACCCATGGAGCAATCATGTATTCCGTAACGGAGCACGTTTCGTTTGGTTTCCTTTGCTCTGACGGCGACTAGGAAGCGCCGACTGAGTGACTGAGCCCATGTTACAAATATAGTAGCAGCAACTGAGGCGATAACACTCTTTGGAGTGCTTGGTCTGCGCGAGAAGGGAAGGAGCACCCCCTCTCCAGTGGAGAGGGAGGGAGGGGGAAGCAGAATACGTCCATGTGAGTCTTGCAATCCTCTTTCCCCCACTGGCTGCCGTTCCGTCACACTTCACTGACGTTGGGATTTCCCGCGCAGGTTGTGAGGGAAGGCGCGAAGCGATGAGGGCTCATTGGACCGAAACTTGTGTGGAGCTGCGAGGTTAGACCGCATTTGTGCAGATGTTTCCCCGACTGGACGCATGCACAGAGAATTCTGCAGTATGATTGGACAAAAAAGTCTAAACTTAGAGATTTCCTTTTGGGCAGTACACCCATTCTCCCCATCATTGGCTGGAAATCCGTCAAGGAGTCGTCCGATTGCCCCAAATATAGACATTTTAAGCGCCGAGCTTGGACACGACCCTCGACCTTTATCCCCCATCGTTTACGGGCGAGAAAACGGACGCGTTGAGTGTGTGCAGATGAGTGCAGGATTGCCCTCGCACTCCATCCACTTACTCTTGCACTAGGCCATCCCATCACAAACTGCTGCCCAAACTCTAGCTTCTAATTCTCCCTTACTTTGACGCTTGCCATTACACCGCTTACACGCAAGGATATGAGGGCATTTTATATTTCAGAACCTAAGCAAGAAGGGGTTGAGAGAAGATACACTAGGTAGCGAGTGGCTTCAACACCCATCTAAAAATTCGTCTGCCCTCTTGCCACCGTAACGTCTCCGGTATATTCTCGTCGAGTGGGCGAACCGCCTTTTGCGTCCGTGTTCGAGGTAGAAAAAAAAACTTTGCCTTGGTCACAGATCGGGTCCTTCAACACCGAACGGCGACTCCTACTCGTTGTCGATGAGCTTCACCTCCACCGGACAAAAAAAGAGCAGAAGCGAGGTGACAATGTGGCGAGCGAGAAGGACCAACAGCCCCCAAAAGCTCCGAATGCGGTCACCCTGGCCCCAGCACCAATAAATCCCGGACGAGAAATGGGTGGCTGCAAGCAGAGCCAAGGTAGCGTAGCAGTATCGGCCTGCACGCATGGTCACAACTAGAGATGTGATGTGATATACCTCCAGAGCACACTACTACATCAATCTTGACCTTATCTGTTATTGTCTTGCATTAGTGCTGCTGTGACAGCTCCCTTCCCTACCCGCCTCCCCCACCACCACCGTCTTCGAGCGGATGGAGTACGTGTACTTCGTACTAGAAGACCTATTGAGAGAGCTGGGTTGGGCACACAAAAAGCTCTTCCTCTTTTGAGACATTCTGGACCTCTCATGGGCCACCGCTAATGCCATCCACCACAATAATCCTAATCCTGCACCACGATGCAAGGGTGCGGGAGATTGGCAACCAGAGCCTCAAGAGGTTGGCAATTCACTTGTATGTGGCGTGATCGATGCTGACGGTCAAGAAGAGCTGGAGGCGTTCGGCTCGGCCTCTGACCGAAAGCACTGGATCAAAAATGTCTCTTACCGACGCCGTATGCACCCACGACAGGAGTCCTTCTCCAAGCCTGACCGCCACAGTCCTAATAGCGGTCGGTCATCGACTTTCCAAAATGCTAGTGATGGGGTAAATGCCCAACTCTGTGGATCTTTTCCCTTCCCACTTCCTCGATGACTGTTTCTTGCCCAGCATTTTCCGCTCGACCTTTCCTCGGAAACTCCACTGCGAAAGAACGCTCTCTTGGCAGTCCTGGTCTGGACTTCCAGCTGGCTTCGACCCTGGTCCGAGAAGATCTTAGCGTCCGCAATGAGACCTTTAGGGCATCAAATTTCCCCCCTCCCCTGGTCGCGTCTTTCCAAACTTACTTCAATGTTGTGAGTCCATATCCATACACTACGCGAGTAAGCCGATATTTCCTCTTGCCAATATGCATGAGTAAAGGACGACTGGAGGGACGTAATCCTCCTTGCTTCGTACTAGTTCAGTACGGACTTGAATTCCCATCCACCACATCCATCTCGGATATCAATTGGGGCAATTTTGTTTTTCAAGGATCGACAAATATCACAAGACAGGGTCTAGCTCTGTTCAAATTCCGCGCTACTGCGAGGACGAAGCAATCAACGACCACGGTACCCTTGAACATCATCTTGATAATCACTGCTAGTACGAAGGACGAACATATACTGCCACACAAGAGCTCGGAGTCAACGGCACGAGGTTGGCCCAGCCCCGAGCTAACGCCACAAGGACCTTTCCCCCGCCGCCCTATGATAATCTGACATCTGAGTTCGCTTGGCCAAAAGGATCACAGACGTTATTGTCGCGTTCGTTTCCGTGCCACGCATTGGCTTAAAGTGGTCACCTCGTGACTGTCTTGTACTGTGAAGCTACTGGGTGACGGTAGAAATCGCCGAGCTTTCCCTCGCTCATCATCCCAAGTCCTGTGGTCCATCCGGCTGATGACTAGCATTTGCGGTCAGAACGGAGACCAGCGGTCCATTCCTTGCGCGGGAATCGGCAGCGTCCGTAACAATACGTCCTGCTAAACTGAAAAGGGTGGAGAAAAGCGAGGGTAATTGCGACCGTAGCCCAATTCACTCCTCAACCTCAATTTCCTAGGATTCATATGACCTCATAAGCTGCGAAAGGTAGCGGTCAAGATTTAGGTCCCGTAAGCTCTCCCGAGTCCGACAAGGGTTCGAGTTGATTTTTTTTTTCTTTTTCCTCTCTAGCCCCGCTGCACTTTGCTTCTTTCGTGTCAATACAAGCAAGGGGACCAGGGGACGGGAGACTACTTGTACGTGGGTATACAACTTTCATCGTTCATTCTCGGCGATCAAGTCAATCCGAGTTCCACCAGGCATTCATGCATCGGCGTGCGGGAGTCCGTCCAGCTGTGCCAGACCGAGGATATCGTAGGTAGACCCCACGGGGGGCTGCATGCAAGGAGCGCAGAGAAGAAAGGAATTGTCAATTTGAGGTTTTTGGTTTATAGTATTTTGCATTCTGTGGTCAGTTGGGGAGGATCGCACACTTCGTATCATTGATCCGCCGAACCCTCCTACTTCGTACTTCGTAGGCATCAAATTGAACATGGAGCTAATTGAGCTCAACCAAAAAGTCAACGGTGTGTGTGTGTGTGTTTATGTCTGTGCCTTGCAAGGGTGCAGATTGCAGAAGCGCATCGACGATGGCATCCGGGGGTCGCACATCCGGGGGGAGATTAGCTTGGCCATTATAAGGTAGCTCATTCGCAAAACTCGACAATTTCTTTATCACCCAAGAGATGGATCAGGAACCACATCATGGAGAATTTTTGTGATGGAATATCACAGAGTTTTTCAACATGTCGAATTTCCACCCCTGGTGGGATTGCTTCCCCGAGGGCACTTCTCCAAAATGAGGGATGATGAATTCTGGAGCACCTCTCCTCGTACAACGCCCCCGCCCGGTTGCTAGGGACTAGTGTTCCTCGTGGCGTAACGGCGGTGAAAGTTTCTGTGCCATGCTTGACGGGCTGGAGGCGTCCCGAGAATATTCTAGGTCTGAGACTGCGTAATACAATGAGGCTACTGGGTAGAGCTTTTGAGACAATGTCTTAGATGCCTTCTAATCAAATTTCTCCACGGCATCTTCCAATTCCCTTGGTGATGTCCTGTGATCCCGTGATGCGGAGACCAGCACGACCATCAAGTTGATGAGCTGGAAGATTCTGGAGCTGGATTCGTGGTCACACTTACACGAGCGATTGGCTCTATTCACTTGCATCCATTGCCTCTTCCAATTGCGATTGCAACTGCGAAACGAGAACGACCTCGTCAAGTGAGCTAGCCTTTTGGCACCCTAATAAAATTTGATGGCTGCGGTGAACCTGGTCTGGTTGTGATGTTAGATCTCGCACGGGCTTGCCAATCGGTCTAAGGTGCAGTAGGGAACACACAGAACGAAAGAAACACATCAACGATGAGCTCAGTATTACGAAGTATGTAGCCATGCACCGACTAGAGCTGCACGGGGCAAGCAGCTTCCCGTGCACCCCACCCTCTTAAAGACTCACGTTTCTCGAGATAGTGGTCCACCCCTC